ACCTATTACCCTCATTGTCTTCATAGTTCGCACTTGGACATAACTTTTTGTAGCGTCGCTCATGCCCTGCTGCATTGCAGCCTTTATTTCTCGAGTCTGGCTGCCTTTTCGTAAATTCTGTAGCTTATTTTTCCTGTGGAACTGAAACCTCCAAAGGCAATTTTGTAAGCGCTATGCTAATTCTATTTTCATGGGAAATAGTGGTGCCGCTTCACATGGATACATTCCGCACCTCTAAACGATCCTTGAGGCACGGTATTATTCTGTCTGGAGGAGCACCATTCAGGAAATGCTTGCAGGCCTGGAAAATGATTTGAACAACTAAGTTTTGTGCTAGAGAGCTGAGTTACCACTTTCTCTTTATTCATACTTGGAATAGAATACCAACCCACTGAGCTGTCACGCTGGCCTTGGGCAGCTTCTGTGACCTCATGCGCATAAAACCGCGTGTTATTCTCGGTACCTCATAATTTGTGGCGAGTCCCTTTGAATGAGAGGCATTGTGCTGCAGCTTATGTATGCCTTAGCTGAACCTGGCTCCGCTTGGGCACTCTTGGAGCCCTGCCATTTCGACTAATAACTGCAACAGAGCTTGCCTGATGAATGCAATTAGTGCATTGTTATATATGTGTTTTAGTTATTTATACTGTTCACTTTTTTTTTTTCAGGGTTTTTCAGGGCGGTTACAGGAGTTGAAACAAAAATGACGCACGACTACAGTTCACAATGTTCACTACAAGACACACTCAGAGCACCAAACTGCTTTGCTTCTCCAGCATAGCAGTGTTCCTGTTTGATAGCTAATTTGTGTGCCATTTCTAAAGTGGCAGTAAAACAAACTAGGGCAATTGTTTTAGCTGGGGATCATGCTCAAAAAGGCTTTCATAAAGCTCTTTTGTGTGTGTGTGTGTGTGTGTGTGTGTCTCTGTGTGTGTGTGTGTGTGTGTGTGTGCGCGCGCGCTATTGCGCTACAATGTTGTTCAGCGTTTCCCACAGGTGGTGCATTTTTTCAATAAAATTTTCAAAGAGCTTACTTACGTGGGGAAAAGTAAAGAAAGAAGAAGGCTTAACTCCTGTGGAACCACAACGAAGCCAGCCGTCTTCAATCAATAGGTCACCCTATTGTTTGAAGACTGGTGGCTTCGCTGCATTTCCATAGGAGTTAAGCCTTCTTCTTTTTTTACTTTTTCCTCAGGTAAGTTCGCTCTTGGCAAAATTTAAAGAAAAATGCACCACCTGTGGGCAACGCTGCACAAAATATTGTAGCGCGATAGGAAACCGAATTTCGTGGTCGATTTAAAGAGCCTGGCCGCTACTTGAGACACCCAGTACATTTGCCCATTGTGCAGAACTTGCCTTGATGAAATAAATGGAAAACTCTCGATATATATTGCTAATATCCGGCAATGCGCTATGTTATATACCGGTGAGAGCATGAGTGGAATCTGGCGACGAGGAAGTTTCTCGAAGGATGGACGACTCTGCTCATCACGGACGGATTCCGGAGTTTATCCCCAGCAGAAACTGGAGTTCGTGGTTGGAACGCCTCGAATTCTACTTCGAGGCTAAGAACATCACAAGCTCCGCAAAGAAGCGAGCCGTCCTCCTGACGTCCTGCGGTGAATCAACTTATGACACCGTACGAGCCCTGCTCGTGCCCAAGAAGCCTTCGGAGGTCGAGTTTGAGGACATCATCAAGAGCCTCAACGATCACTATGACCCCAAGCCGGCGGAACTACTCAGTCGGTTCAAATTCCACCAACGGAACCAAACACCGACAGAGTCCATCTCAGAGTATGTGGCCGCACTGCGAAAGATCGCTGCTGACTGTAACTTCGGCCCAGTGACGACCGCACCGCCCACACCCACTCCGGCAACGCCCTCGGCGGCCACGCCCGAGCCAGATGCCAGCTCATCACAAGGAAAGCCCACAGGTTCCGCAAGCCCCAGCGAGAAAATTCTCCATGGTGCTACCACTCCAGGTGATGCTGAGGGACCGATTTATTTGTGGCGTCAAGGATTCCCACCTTCAACAACGTTTGCTAGTGGAACGAAACATCACCTTCGGTCGCGCCTACTACGCTCTTGCATTGGTAACAGAGTCTGCCGCCTGCCAGCAACTCCAGATGCGGAAACCAAAAGGGAAGGTGCACAGTTCTACTGCAATCACAAGTAAAGGCGCTAAACCATCAAAGAAACCATGTTTCCGTTGCACGGGCATGCATTCACTTGATGAATGTACCATAAGCACGCGAAATCCACGTGCAAATTTTGCCACAAGAAGGGACACCTCAAAGAAGCGTGTTTCAAGCGCAAAGCTCAACGCAAGGCGCAAGAACGCTCGACAAGTCACACCCATCAGTTGACAGCTACGCAAGATGAGACGGATGGAGACCTCTTCGCTGTGAACAGCGTCACTCAAGGGGACACATCGCGAATCATCGTCAAGCTCCTGGTGGACGGACGACCTCTGAAGATGGAAGTGGATTCCGGTGCATCGCATTCTATCATCAGCTCTGAGACTGTTTCTCGCGTTTGGCAAGATCAACCGCCTCAGCTCGAACGCTGTGATCTCTCTTTGCACGTATGGGCTGGGGATAATATGCAGCTCACTGGAAAACTCCCTGTTACCGTGCGATTCAAAGGGAAAGAAGCTCGTCTCAACCTCTACGTGGTTACTGGAGCAGGAGCAAGCCTCCTGGGGCGAGACTGGTTTTCTGCTTTCGACATCAAGGTGTCCGGAGTACATGCTGTGTCGCCGATAACTCTCAACGATATTACCGCAAAGCATGACAAGGTGTTCAAAAGAACCCTCGATGGACACGTCGGCACCCCACTGCACATTGACCTTAACCAAGAGGCAACACCAAAATTCTTGAAGTGTGGGCCAGTTCCCCTTGCTCTACGGACAGCGGTACACGAGGAGCTGGACAAACTTCAAGCTCAGAACATTTTGGAGCCAGTGAAGTCGTCGTCCTGGGCAACTCCTTTGGTCATCGTTCGGAAGAAGAACGGCAGCCTGCGGTTATGCGGAGACTACCGATGGACGGTAAATCCTGCACTCAAGTCCAACGCATATCCGTTGCCCATGGCATCAGAACTGTTGTCAATCGTTAGAGGAGGCAAGATCTTCTCAAAGATAGATCTTCAACAAGCCTATCAACAGCTACACGTTGACGATGCCACGGCACAATTACTGACCGTGACCACCACGAAGGGACTCTACCGCGTAAAGCGAATCCCTTTTGGAGTTTCGGTGGCGCCGCTGCTCTTTCAGCAGTTCATGGATACCTTGCTAACAGAACTCGAAGGTACCGGCGCGTACCTCGATGACATCATGGTCACAGGAACAACCGGAGAAGAGCACCTGCAACGCTTGGACGCCGTTCTGCAAAGGCTCAACGAGGCAGGACTGCACGTATGCAAAGAGAAATGCAAGTTCGGTGTTTCGTCCATGGAGTTTCTTGGCTACCACGTGGACGCCAAGGGTGTGAGCCCAACCACGGAGAAGCTGAAGGCGATCACCGAAGCGCCCGAACCCACCAACAAAAAGGAGCTACAGGCTTTCCTGGGTATCGTGAGCTTCTACAGTCGATTTTCGCAGAACTGCGCATCCGTTGCCGAAAAGCTGCATCGACTCCTCGACAAAGACGCCCAGTGGCGCTGGGGCAGCGAAGAACGCAAGGCCTTCCAGAAACTGAAGGAGATCTTAACCTCAGCACCAATTTTGGCTCACTTCAGGGAAGAGCAACAACTTATCCTGTCTTGCGACGCGTCGCCATACGGCGTTGGAGCGGTTCTGTCTCAGCTCAGCGATGACTGTTTCGAAGCACCAATCGCCTACGCTTCGCGAACGTTGGGCAAAAGCGAACGCAACTATGCTCAACTCGACAAGGAAGGACTAGCAATTGTATTTGGCATGAGGCATTTTCACCAGTACGTCGCCGGTCGACACGTGACTGTCTACACGGACCACAAACCGCTCTTGGGGATAATGAGCCAAGGACGCCAGATTCCACTCATGCTCTCACCGGTATATAACATAGCGCGCCGCCGGATATTAGCAATATATATCAGTTTCCCCCTTCTGGGTTAAAACTTAAGACATAGTCTTGCAAATGTGCTGGTGGCTTGATCCTGCGGCCGAATCTAGTCCTTGAATCGGAGGTTGTTGGACCGTCCGCGGTGTTGTTGTCCGTGGTGATTTCTTCTCCGCGTGGTTCCGGTTGTCCTAAAGCTGGGGGTTCGTTGGCAGTCTCGGCGTTCGTCTCGGCGTTCGGGTAGCTCATGAAGGGAGATAATTCCTTTTCCATGTCCGGAGCTCCTCTGTTTTCTTGTCAACGGCGAATATGGTCCACGTGTCGACGCTGAAGTTTTCCGTCATTCGACCTTGTCTGGAATGATCGAATTCCCATCGGCTTCACGATTACCGCTGGCAGCCAGGTCGGACTTTTGCTGAAATTCCTCACGTAGACTGGCTGTCCGACAAAATAATCTGCCGTTACTCCATCGCTGGGAACTTCTCGGTCTTCGTTTGTAGACCCTATAGTTTCATGAGATCGAGGGGCGTGGCTACTCGTCGGCCGAACATTGCTTCGGTGGGTGTGAGCCAAGGACGCCAGATTCCACTCATGCTCTCACCGGTATATAACATAGCGCGCCGCCGGATATTAGTAATATATATGAACTCTCTTTTATACAAGGTAATGAAGAAAGAAAACTGAACTGGCCTTTCATTATTAGATTATGAACCCTGCACTCTTACAAACTTCATTCGTAAAATGCCATCTTTTTTGGCTATTTATTTTGCCATTGTGACCTCGAAATTCCGAGTTTTTCGGATTAATCCGGATTGTCCGAACTTTTGCCGGCGAGTGTTTTTCGGAGTTTCGGATTTATTCGAAAACACGAAACCCTCGCAGTAGCACACTTTTGCAGGTTGCTCAGTCCTGATGAGAGAATTTGGAGGTGCAGTCTAAGACGGTTGCGTCCATGTGCAGATGATCCTGCCCAAGACAAAGGACGACGCGGACCAGTCGTCGGTGCTGCTGCTGGACGCGAGCGGGGACCGTAACTCTCAGGTGAAGGTTCCGAGCAAGCACATCATCCCCGCCGACAGCATCGTCATTAACAAGGAGCTGGGCGTCGGAGAGTTTGGGGTCGTCCAGCAGGGAGTCTGGAACAACGAGGAGGGGGACAGGGTGGGTCGCCTTTGGGCTTGTTTCCCTTCTCGGCTCTAGGAATTTGATTTTGGTCGCTGCGAGATTTAATTTTTTCCTCGCAGAGCGAGCCAAGGTATTGTCCAAAGATTATTCATCCCCTAATGCGAGTGAAGGACGGGATTCGTCTGGGGGCCTCGAAGCACCATTCGCTGACCAAAATAAGACATGAAAACACCAAAAGAAGTTAATCGTCTGCTACGGACCGAGTGAACTCAGGCTGAAATTGGGATCCTCTGCCATTTCACTTTGGAAGCGATTGGCAATTCACATTTTCTTCACAAATCTCGGGTTGTTCCGCTGCCTTACACGACCATGACATAGCGGATCAGAGGCCATAAAGCCTCTCCCGCCATGTGTAAGTTGGTGAGCATTCTCACTAACGTATTCCCCAATTGTGGACTCTCGAACGCGTAAAATATTTCTTATTGGTCGATAATTCATTCCCAGCAGAAAGCCGCAATGCCGCATCCAAACGGCATTGAGAAAGTGTTGCTCTCATACGGGACCGAAATCGAGCCCCTGATCGGCTTTTCTTTTCTTTCTGTTGCTTGCATGTGTGTGAAGTGGATTGTTTTTCGGTATGACAACTCTTCTCGGCATAGTGATCATACTAAAAATTCATTCATAAAACTTTACCGGTCTGTCTTCGCGCTTTGCCAGATTGCGATGTTGCGGGCGTGGCCTCCGCTGGCAGCCATTTTTGGTGTTTCGGTGTTTGTCCCCGCCAAACCCGTTGTTCCCTCTGCCTGTCCTCAGATCCAGGTTGCCATCAAGTGCCTGAGCAAGGACCAGATGCAGAACAACCCGATGGAGTTCCTCAAGGAGGCGGCCATCATGCACACGATCGACCACGAACACATCGTCCGACTCTACGGTGTCGTCCTGGACACCGTGTCCCTCATGCTCGTGAGTGGCACCCACTTAGGGTTGCATGAAGGGGTGAATTTTGCCTGCAATAAGAGTTGCATGAGCTTCTTTAAAAATAGAGTTTTCTAGGGGTGCCATGATCTCTGCCCTTGCATTTAAGTTGTACTCGGTTCTACCAGAGATTATTCAAAAACCCCAGCTTGGGTAAAGTTTGTGTCATATATTATCTGCAAGAACTATTCGTGAGGTTCACTGGTTTTTATGCGAACCAACTGAGAATGTTGACTACATTGCTTTGACGGTGTAAGTATTGCAGAGAGCCTAACTGTAGGATATATATCATACAAGATCCACAAATAAGAATACATATTTATTTATTTATTTACTTACGGGTGTTTCTTTTGTTGTTAGACCTGAAATGCCGAAAATAAGTAAAACCCCCCACACAATAAGCAAAAAAAAATGCAAAAAAAAAAAAAAAAAAAATTCTTTTCTCTTTTATCTTTTTTCCGCTTTCTCGGTCCAAGCTTGCAAATTACCGGCTCGTTTGTGGACTTTCCTTTTTAAGACGTCCCGTAACCGTAAGACGTCTTGTATTAGCAGAGGCGCAATGCCACCGAACAGCATGCATCTGGCAGCGCCGGCGATGCCGCTAGAGCTCGAGCTACCCGTCTCAACGACGCGTCCCCCCCCTCTATGCAGGTGACGGAGCTGGCGCCCTTGCGGTCGCTGCTGGAGTGCCTGAAGGAGAGTGCGCTGCGGCCCAGCTTCCCCGTGATGGCGCTGTGCGACTTTGCCCTGCAGATCTGCGACGGCATGCAGTACCTCGAGAGCAAGCGCCTCATCCACAGGGACCTGGCCGCACGCAACGTCCTCGTCTTTGCCAAGACCAAGGTCGGTTGGCCCTGCCTCTTCGACTTTGGAGCGGCCGCAACGTCTCGTCCCAGACGTCAACACTCTGACCGGAGTGTTGACGTCTGGGACGCCAACGCTTTGGTCAAAGGCACCTTTGACGCGCCTTTGATTGGAGTGTTTGGCATCCCATACCGCCCACACGTTGGAAGTGGTCCCAAAATGACGAGCGAGTGCCACCGGGAGTTTGCCGCTAACACCTCGACCGCTTATACCGCGTTTAGGATCATGGGAGGCAAAAACATAATGAAAGTGTGATTTCGTCGAGTGAAAATGGAGGGACCGCAAACGAGGACACGGCGGCCACGCTGGTTGGGGACACGTTTCTGGCGCTGTGGTAGCACGCCATTGAGCCAGAGAGAGATGTCGACACAACGTTTCTTTCGGGTGACAGGTGAAGATCAGCGACTTTGGCCTGTCTCGAGCGCTGGGCGTGGGGAAGGACTACTACCAAACCAACTTCAATGTGAATCTCAAGCTTCCCATTGCCTGGTGAGTTATTGCATCCGCTCGTATCACATTTCTGCATTTGGTCATTTTGTTTTCAATTCAGTTAGATTTTATTTACTTCAATTTAAGATTTTATTTACTTCAATTTAACGCAGAATGCGTTTAAAAGCTGGGGTGTCACGGGACAGTGTTTTAAAGCACCGCAGAAGACGGTCGCGAAATCTCTCGCGCGGATTTTGGGGAAAAGAAAGTAATGCATATATAAGTAAGAAGAATTTACAATAAACAGAAAACAACATTTTTTAGCGTCCCCCAACGAGAATCGAGCCTAGGACACCAATATTGTCAGCCCGGCAATTGACCATTTTACGAAAAAGGGGAATCGCGAAGCCTCGGTCACTTCGCAAGCCAAGGGCGGAAAGAGTGCGGGTAACCGTGACCCTATCGTGGGACTGTCACGTGATCTCGCATCACATTAAATATTTAAAAGCCGCAGGGGAGTGTGGAAGCGAGCGAAATCAACACATTGTTTATACCGGCTTTATCCGTGGGGTGAAGGTAAATCGAGCTTATAAGTGCACATAAATACATAATCGTTCAAATAATTAAGAAATTCTTTTACATTGCATAGTAACAATGATAGAAAGAGGGTCTTGCATGTTTAACCATCCATCCCTTCATTTAAAAGAATCTCACGAGAGGAAGCAATGCGAGGGCGGGGCGAAGAATGTAGTTGTCCAATTATACGTTGCAGGTGTGCGCCCGAATGCATCAACTACTTACGGTTCACGTCTGCTTCCGACGTCTGGGCCTACGGCGTGACCCTCTGGGAAATGTTCAGCTACGGATTTCAACCGTGGGCCGCCCTGACCGGGCAACAGGTTCGTGGTGGCACTGTGCCGACAGATTAGCTCTTGACTTGCATCGTCGATACTGGGGCAAGTTTTACCAGAGGTGAAGGCCACCTTTCCAATTTTTTAACCCTAGAATTTTCCATGCTGCGTACATTTCTTGCATCATCAGAATTATGACAACGACGCTTTATTCCTCGATGCCTCAACACAACTGCAGTCACGACGCTGTGCTACGAGATGCTGTTATACTGACTTTTGAGTACTACTGACTCCTTTCTCGAAAGAACTCTTTGGCGCATTATTGTAAGCATGGTGTCATTGTCAGTGTCTAGCTATCTCGATTTGGCTGGAGACTGAGTCGAATGCTTAATCTCTGCCCAAACCTAGCTCCGGTGGCCTGGACAGGATTTCAAACATTCGTAGCTTGCTGGGAATTTCCAGCGAGAAAATGGTGACCGACAAAGCCCATGTATACCGTAGAATACCGCGGATCTGCCCATTCCACACTAAGCGCCCATTCCCGAATTTGTAAGATCTGAGAAAATATGCGCAGTACATTCATATGAAAAATTGATGACCGGACATGAGCCCATCCCCTATTTGTTTTGTGATTGTCTCTTAATTTTGAGTGGGCGCTTGTGCGGTATTTTACGGTACATTGCGATGATTGCCGTCGTGTACCGAATTCTTTCATCGAAACTTGCAGAAGCTCGCTCATCACTTTTGAGTCGGAAAGGCAGGCTCCAAAACTCTGGCACCGGGTCCAAACCGCTAATGCAAAGTTTGGGTGGCCACTGAGCATTCAGCAACGCATACTTGATTCTTGCTGCGAGAAAAACGGCGTAAACTTTTTTTGAAAGCGCCTGACACTTCACTCCCTGCGCAGCTAAGGTATTCCCAGTAGGACTCACGCAGCACGTCGGCCTTCTCTTGGTACCTTCAGATCCTGGAGGCCATAGACGAGCCCAATGTGCAGCGGCTGGAGCAGCCCGACTGCTGCCCCAGGGAGTACTATGCCCTGATGCTCAAGTGCTGGCAGCACGACCCAAACAAGAGGCCCAAGTTCGCCGAGATCCTGCAGATCCTCCCCGAGGTGAGTTTCGGGCAGCCTTCTCTTTTAGTCTTGGAACAGGCAGCAGCAGTCGGCCAAGTTCCTCGGTGTTCTTTAACCCTTTCGTAATTGCGTGTCTTTCCCAAATGATGCGCCTTACTGATCAAGTTTTCTCTTTATTTTTTAAAATTTTTTTTAAAGGGGTAGTAGAGAGAAAGAGTCAATGCACAAGTTTTTTTTCAAGATTATAGAGTGGGGGCCGTCCAGCACTTGCGAGCGGTCCAGATTCAGAAGCATCGAATAGAAAAGTCGAGGACAAAATGTCGTTGCCTTTCTCCTGTCCAGTTTTATTATGGCAGGTCCGCTTCCAGGACATTCTGGCGGTCTCGGACTTTGAACCAGATTTACTTTTCAGAGCCCCTTCGTCGGATGATAAACTCTCATTCTCCGAATTCAGTTTTTGAGAGGCGTATCAGAAGTGACTGCGCTCTGATTGCCGCTACCGCCAGAACAGCCAGTGTGCGAAGCTACCGTAGCGCACCTGTCTTGCGCACGGAGCATCTAATTTCGAAACAATAAATAGCCCCAGCAAGGCGAAACAGGGTGCAAACACAATGTTTATAGTTCTCCAAAGATATAACGGATAGTAGCACCTCATGGGGCATGTGTGATTTCATGTTCAGGAGTTAGCTTAAAAATGTGCAATTGCAAATGTACACGTCTGCTGGCAATCATCAAAGGGTTAGCACAGAATGTCTTGTGTGACTGGCTCCTAGCAGTGTCCCGTAACTCACTCCTGTAATGATAGAGCATTACATGGGGCAAAGCTTGAAAGTGCCAGATTTTTCCCCCTATCCTTTTTAACTATAAAACTTAAAAGCTAAAGGTTTTACATGTGATAGCATACAGGAGGCAGGGTGGAAGAGGACAAGCATGCGCTTTGAAGTAAACGCGGAAATGTGAATTAGCAGGGTTAAAACTGGGGTGTGTGACTGCAAGAGGTGCAAACTTCACGTTCCATTCCTGCTGGAGCACTAGCTCTGGCAGGGCTTCCTTTCAGGCAGGCCACGCCCGACAATGGTTGCACCTTCAAGGCATAAAATGTGTTCCAAGTTCATCTGTGCAACACACCACCACGAAGCAATGCACAATACATTCTGCATTACCACTGCCTTTGCCACAATACCACGGGAAAGAGGCAAAATTTTTTTCGCACCGGTTTTACAAAGAAAGGACTGCTTCTTTGTTGGCTAGGTCAATCTCGTTGTTGTGGGTAACTTCGAAAGAAACTGCCGAAAACCTTGGCGATAAGGAAGGTGTATACAATCTTCGCTCATACGTTTTGGCCACAGTGCAAGCCAGAGCAGGTGCAGGCAATCGCGGATTGCCCAGACACTTCCACCGGAGGCCCAGTCAAGTTGAAGAAGGACTCCCTCATCTACCGGACGGGGGACGTCATCACTGTGCTGGACAAACGGTGAGGGTCACCGATTTGCTGGAACTTATTTCAAAGGGATGACTAGCCATTCCTAGTTATTCTCAAAAACAGCTGAACCTGTTCACTTCTTTCTCTGGCTTCTCGCTACTGCACTCGTATTAATAAACCTGAAGTCCTGAGTCCGGGGGGCCTTGACAGGCTTTAATTTTGGACGGCTCTTTGGACAACAGTGTAATTTCATCTGTATTCTCGGCACATCAAACTTTGTGGCAGTTTTAGCTTATAAATTCTGCAGAATTTTTGAATAGATACTTTTCGTTGCACCTTCGGCACTACTTCAAATTTCCTAATTAAAACTGGGCTCAAATTTCTTTGAAAGAAAAGGACTTTGAGCACATTGTGAACATTAGTTTCTAACATTTTGCTAATACTATATGTATATCACTGGGTCTGTTATGAGTAGTTTATTGGAATTAGAGAGAGCCGGACAACCCTGATTAGGAGCTATTTTAATAAGAAAAGAAACCCCGAGGTTCACAGAAATAAATATTTATCTACTACTTTATTTTTGTTGACTTGGAACATAACCTACATTAAACTGTCTGCTAAGCTGCGTTTTCTTTGGGAACCACGCCTTTGTTTCGTTTCCTTCGCATACCAGTAGGGGGACATTTTCCAAGTATTCAATCCATATGCATGTTCCTTGGAAGTTGGGAAATCCTATTGCTGTGTCCTGTTTCCTTCACTAGTATAAGCCCCGATAAATGCAGATTTCATTCCAACACCGATAATAAGCCTCGAAAAACACCATATTTTTGAGAGAACAAAACCCCAGAAAAGCATGCCAAAATGCAAAAAAAAATAAGCACAGGAAAAAAACACCAAAAACTAGTAATGGGTGGCCTTGACTGTAAAACATCACCAACAGAAAATTAAAAAAACCTCTGGGGTCTTGTATTGCATCTCAAGTGAGCTGAAAAATCTCCTTACTTTTCTTTGTGTGATCAAGATGCCTTTCAGCAAGACCATCGAAGAATACCATCTGATGCCTCAGATAGCAGAGCTTATCATTAATTGGTACCTAAAAATCCTAAATCACTCTTAACTTTTTGTTTTTTAATGTTCAGAAAACTGTGTTTTTGCAGAAACAGACCTGTTCACGATACTTTCACACCTTTCTTGGCTACTGATTAAATGTGTTGTCACAGGCCAGCATGCTTTATTCACCAATCAGAATTTTTTTTAGCCCTTTGCGTGTCCACAATTCAGTGGTGTTTTGATGAGAACTTCTCACCAATGCAGAAATGGTGAGAGAAGTCTCGTAGCGTAGCCTTTGAGATGCTTGACCTAAGTGATCCTTCATCCACTTGTCATTGTCAGCTTGTGTACGGCAGCAGGACAATTCGAGATTTGCAAAGAAAGCACAAGTCGTCAATCACTTTCAACGTGAAATACTGTCGAGACCGGTTATAACGAAGTCTGTTATAAAGAAAATAGCGTCTACAGCGAAGCAATCACAATTTCCCATTATCTTTTGCACTTCGTTTTAACCGAAGTTGGTTATAACAAAAAAGCGGATATAGCGAAGTGATTTCCGAATTCTGTTGACTTCGTTATAACCGGGCTCGACAGTACCAGAATCGCATTTTCAGCTTGCGTCCGGTATCACTTTGCCGTGCCACTCGGTTCGTAGCAGACAATCCACTTTTTGTAGGTTTGTTTGCAAATCACGTATGATGTTCTCTCGTTTTATTTTTGTCTGCGAATGACGTTTCATAGCCAACAGGACCCGTTGTCCTCTCGTGTTAGCAGACAAACCTTCTGCTTGCTCGCTCCAGCTACCTTAGTGGCTCCGAGGCCAAGTGTTGGCTTATGGACCCCAAGTTGGCGGGTTCAAATCCCAGCCAAGGTGCCTGCAATCTTACACAGACTTGCTGCGGGGAAGTCACCGGGTAACGGAGATTTCAGTTGCACGTCCAAAGATTCCCAGGTGGTCAAAGATATTCCCCAGTCCTTCGCCGGAGCGTGCCAAATAACCCTCGTTGGCTTGACACGTAAAGCCCTCAAATTAGTTTGCTAGCTCGCTCCGTGAGAACCACATTGTCGTGGATGGAAAAGGACCGATAAGCGTAAACTGATAATAAAAGTTTAATCAATGAACTTGTGCCAGAAACAAAAAAAGAATGAGCGTTGTAACAGTAACAGCAATCGTCGGGGCGTCGGCATGACAGCTGGCTGGAGTGAGACTGCGAGGGAGAAGCAAGGCCACGCTTGGCTAGTTATCGGCATCTCGAATATTTGACCTAGAACGTTTGAGAGTGAGCTAGGGCGAGACTCACTCGGCAAGGTCGTGTTGGCCTCCTTTTCTTTAACGCTTGGCGCGAGAGTAAACGGGAATCTTCTAGGAGTAAACGCAAAAGCGTTCCTTCTTGGTCATGCATGAGGCAGTATTAGGTCTCGTGGCGATCAGAATCGGACCCCAGGAGAGGCAGACGAAAGTGCACGACCGTTCTTTCCCCAGGCCGGACGCCTGGTCCCTGTGGAAGGGGGCGACCCCATCGGGCAAGACGGGGCTGTTCAACCCGGCGGCCACCATTGCCTACCTGCAGCTGCCCTCGAGCCGGCCGGGCAGCTTCACGCGCTGGGACCCCCGGTCGGGGGCCGGGGCGGCGTATGCCAGCGGCCGTCGCAGCCGCCTGCGCCCTGAGATGATCTCGGGGCCCCAGGGGGACTTGAAGCACACGGGCCACGTGGGGCTGGACGGGGCCTTCTTCGGGGACGTCGCCTTCCTGGGGGACAAGTACGGCCAGCTGCCCAAGCAGGTCGTCAACCCCTGTGAGTGCCACCCTGCCCCGGGGCAGTTGGGCTCGCATGCGCGCACTTGCGTGCGCGACTGCAACTCGACATTGAAGAAGTATGGCAGACAGAGGCGTCCACATACCGTAGAGTATAGTATTTACATATGTATGTAGTGGGAAATATTTAGTGGTGTTGCTAAGCATGTCCAATCGTTGACCTTTCCTGCTGGTGCACTTGCTGCGAACCTTCCGTCTGTGTGGCACGAAAGCACGCTGCTCTCTGTGGCTCGTGGCATGCCTGCTGCGATGCCGTGAATAGGGTGACCACCCGTCCCGCGACTCGCGGGACTGTCCCGCATTGAGGGCTCGTGTCCCGCGTCCCGCAAGAAATACCAAAATTTTTAAAATGTCCCGCATTTCACATTGTCGAAGCATTCGACTACGCAAATTCTGGCGCTTTTGAAGAGCGGGCCACGGGGTAGCGCGGAGGTCGCTGATGAACGTGTGAATCTCGGTTGTATGCCATTTTCTATACAAGCAACGCGTGCAGCGACCGTCGTTCTTACAGGAGTATGACGGGCATGTGCGTTTGTGCCTCGACCCTTGATAGCAAAATATTGCAAGCGACAATTGCTCGCCGAAAGTTGAAAAATAAACTACTATTGTAGTTATTTCCAAATCATACTGTGTCATGCGAAAGGGTTGTCATGGAAAGCTTTTTTAGTGAAGACGGCCACACAAGGAAAAAAACCTGCAACTCACAAGGGGACGTAAAAACAGCAACATAAGGTTCTAATTTTGTGTAAGAGCATGTTAGCTTGTAAGTATCGACAGGAAACGACAAGTCGAAAAATAATTACTGTTTCTTATTTCCCTTTCATGCATTGTGGTCTGCTGCAGTCGATTTCCATGTTTTCAACTTAGGCACTCATAATAAAATATTTACCATAACAATTATACAAACAATATATCACTGCGAGTGAAAATTATTTTAGCTTAATTTCCGCTGCACAATCTTCAGGAGTATAATATGCTTTCGGACTGCACAGGAGGTCGGGGTGTGCGTGATGGTGAATTTTTTTAATACCTATTCCTGAGTCGTGAAAATACCATCCTTCTCTCTTCTCCTCACGCACGCCCCCCCCCCCCCCCCCCCTCCCCCCCCCCAGGTCAGGGTGTCCCGCATTTCGCCTACAGGAAGGTGGTCACCCTAGCCGTGAAAGAACTAGGCAAAGAGGACAGACACATAGGGCTGTAGCTCAAGATTTGAGTAGAGCCCCTGATTTGACAAAATGGGATATCAGTGCTTGCTTGCACCGATATAAATTTCTAAAATAAAAGAACAAGAATGACGAAAAAAGAAATCATAATAGTGTTCTGACAGGATGCTGAAAGTTAGAGTTGTGCTGTTCTTTCGTTGATTCTGTTGTACCTGGGACATGACCTACATTCCCAGGCCACTGTAGGCAGACACCCCAGTCGTACTGAACACAATTCTCCATTAATGTTGTCAAGTGATTTATATACAAAAGGGCAGGCAAAACCTGTGGCACCATCTCTTATGCCGATTGATGAATAACAAATGCACAGATTTCAACGAAAGAACAGTTATTTCAGATGCACTGTTCATGTGCGTGGACGGATGCTGACTGACACAAATGATGGGACTCTACGATGCTGCTTTATGTCGGCTTTAAACGGTTTCGTCTCGTGGGCACAAGCGCAGCTAGCAGACGCAGCAGCGACCCCTGGCTGAGAGAAAGAAGCCTGTGGTTTCGGCTTTTCGCTTTGATTTTCCTTTATCTGTAACACTTTGGCGAGATTGGAGGAGTTGGGGCACCCATTCTTCGCCCATAACAGCAAAAGGTTTTGAAGAAGGGCATTCAGGGACGGTCCGGTGCCAGTGGAAAAGAAAAATTCCCTCCAATCAAGCGGCAAGCTGGCAACATTAACTGGCTTGCCTGTGGGGTGGCATAATTATGCGAGCTAAATTTGGCACACATGCTATCTGGCTTTTGATGGTTGGCCAGTTCGGTGAGGAGGTATATGGCAGTAAGTTGGTGTGGTGCACAGTGTGGTTACCCAGACAAATTGTGCCCTTCATGCGGGGTGTCGATACTAACAAATTCGGATCGTAGCGAGTTGATCCAAAATAATTACAGATCGGGTGGAGATATTGGCAGAGTGAAACAATGAGTTGAGAACCGTGCGAGTTGGATAGACTCTCAATCCGTACTTCAAAATATTTGTACAAAACAAGCATACTCAACGTGCATGGTTGCTCCATATTTGCACGGTTCACCTCGGTCAACTCTAATTTGTATCGCAGACGAGGCTTTACAAAACGATGCCAGGAAAAAGGCAGTGCCATAAACCTCTTACGCAGGCTGAATATTCGTATTGCACGAGGAAACTGCAGGGAAATAAGTGCCTTTGTGATGCAGTGGTAGGTCGTAGTACCGACAAAAGTGAGGAGAGAGAAGAGTTGGTAATCTTGGTGGGGGCTTTAAGGGCCTGGAGAGTGGGGCATCAAGTGCCACTTATCTTTCAGATAAGCCCCAGGAGGATAAGGACTCCTCCGACTCCTCGGACATGACTCCACTCCTCAACGGTTCCAGCTCCACGGTGGACGGGAAGAGCGGCCCTGCCCTGGGTATGTAACCCACTTTCGTCTTCTTCTTTTTTTTTAATGGGCTCTTTCCACACTGGAAATGACATCCATTGTTGATGTTGTAGTAGCTGATGTTGCAGTTGTCGTTGTAATGTTGTAGTTGGCAATGTTGCGAAATCTTCGAAGATTGCCCGCTGCCCGCAGGAATCGAACCTGGGTCCACTGAGCTACGCCACAGCGTTAGAAGCTGCTTTAGACTCGGGAATTTCGTAGTACCCAATGCCCACCGCACAAAAGAGCTCGTACCAGAGACACACTTTCGTGCACTCCGGAGCAAAAAAGAAACAAGAGTAGGGTTGTGCGAATATTCAAAATTTTGAATAGGTAGTACCGTATTTACCCGAAAATAGGTCGACCACGAAAATAGGTCGACCCCTATTTATTGAGCCCACCGAGAATAAAAAAAAAAAAAAATTCAAATATAGGTCGACCTCTTTTTTTTTTTTTTTTTAAGGAACAGGGGAAAGTTAGGGCAAAAGAAACAAACCTTTATTTACAGCACTCTCAGCTAAATCACAGGGCGATGTCAAAAAAGCTTCGTCAGCTTGGTAGACATCATCGCAAATCGGCAACAATATCTCACTGACACGGTTGTAAAATGGATGACGACAAGAAGAAACGAAAGAAGGTGGAGACGGGCGAGTGACGAAAGATCAAACACAAAGACACGAGCAACGCTGCGAGCCCCGTGAGTAACACGCGACCCGCCGAAAAAAACAAACTAAAGTAGCTCCGTTTTTCTTTTTTTTTTGTTTGCGCGTTTGCGAAGGAGAGAGGAATGGAGCGCATAGGAGGGCAAAGTGCATGGCGCATCGCGTTCCTCTCCCTCCCCTTCCCCCTTGCCCAGCGAGGGGAACGCTACAGGCGTGATGGCGAAACTCGACGCCCGAGAAATGTGCGCGAGAGCCGTAGCGGACACGGGCTGTCGGCTGCTGCTGTTCGGTTGTTTTTGTGCATCAAAAGCTTTTTGAAACAAGAAGCCGCGCGGCTCTACCGAGACGCCGGCTAGGTGATTGATAGCCCCATACCCTCGGTAGGGTTTCAAATTTTGGTTGCGAATTAGGTCGAAATTCTTTGGTCACGATTATAGGTCGACCCTTAATTTTTGACAACATTTCCGAGAAAAAAAGGTCGACCTATATTCGAATAAATACGGTAGTTTTTAATAATAAGCTATTCGATATTCCCTTCGAGAAGAACTGCACTATTTGCGTTTTTCGAAGTATTGATTGCGGTGGGTTAGCCCCGTTGAGCGCACTTTTTACCCGAGCACCGTTGCAATACCCGCGGTCGCTTCCATGGGTGTTGCTTTTCTGCATTTCATCGGTGCTCGGTAAGAAGCGCACTCAACAGGGTAACCTGCCACGATAAACACTTCGAAAAGTATGAATATTGCAATTGCATACTTGGAAGAAAAACATACATTGAAAGCGGGATGGTGCACTCGTGCCGGCTGTATTTGAAAATAAATGGAAACTTTGTGAATGTGTATATCTACATTGTAGTAAAGGTTTTAAAATTAAACTGACTGTTATGCAAGAGTGTATGTTAGGCAGAGGTGTCCTTACAACCTGCCATCATCATGCGCAATTCTTTCTTTTTATAACTCAAGATTAAAGAAAGAATATTTTATATAGCAAGATTTGTAAATTCATTCGATTGAGTATAGTTGGCCATCATTATAGAATTCATTTTATGTCAAATCCGTCGTTTACTTACCATCCCAAGAAATCGGACCTTCTGGGGTCACAGTTCATAAATATACCGTAGAATTCCGAGCAAGCGCACCACCCGCACGCAAGTCAAAATTACCTGTAAAGTGGGGGGGCGTTATCCCGGAACGGCACCAAAATTCAAGATGGCAACAACAAAATCTTTTGCCAGAAAAAAAAAAAAAAGAAAAAAAGTGTGCTGTGCACATGGATTTAATATTTTATTTATCTCTGGGGACAGAGGCTTTATTAGACCAAAGATTTGTCACTGCTATGTTAATCGCTTTCAAAACCACCAAAAGACTCCTCAGAGTCAGTCGCAAGAAATAGTTTGCAGCATTCCGCGATGTTCAGGGGCGGATGCAGGACTTTCCTGAGGGGGGGGTCAGGTGTTGGTCAGCATACCCTATGTTTAGGAACCCCCTCTCCTCCGTTTCACGCCCTAAACTTTACACACGCAGAAACCAAAAGGGGGGTAAGGACATCCGGACCCCCCCTCTAAATCCGCCCCTGGCGATGTTTCCCAACTGCATGCCGTTGGCTATTTTGACAGCCTTTTCAGAAAGAAGCCGGTTGCTAACGCCTCATACTTCTTTCGCACTCCAGGTATTCAAAGAGTGCGTCGTCCACATATTCACTGAGCACCGGCACGCCGTTACTTAGCTTTCGTCGAAGTTTGCCGTTCCCATAGTTTTGCTGTAGCAAATTGTTAAAATTCCTCTCCCTGTCCAAGTGTCGAGACGACTGGTGTACGTTTTTTTCGTTTTCACGATGCCATCGGACGACCTCGATTTTCTTTGCCATTGTGTAAAAATGCATAGCCAACCTAACACCGCTAAAACAAAGCGACAATGGCGCGTGGCAACCGGGCTGATCGGGCTGCAAATTAGGAGGGGATTGGATTGGATTTTTGGACTGGATTTTTGCAGGCCAGTGTTGCCCTGGCGCGGTCAGCGCGGGCGCGGTGCTTGATACAAGTGCGGTGCGGGGAGGAGGGCGCTTTTCCGGAACAGCACGGAAATGTGAAATTAGCAGTGAAGTTGGAGGGGGCTCTTGCCTGGGTGGGGGTGCTTGCTCGGAATTTTACGGTGGATAAATTAAACTTAGCTTATGAATGAACAGGTAGAACAGCCTTCACGAGTTTAGCTGGGTTTTCGTCTAAGCATGATGCAATGGTAATGAAAGGTGTGGAAAAACTATTACAGCGGAGCTGTTAAGGGCTAGTTTCCCCATGATCGTGTCCCTTGCAAAGAAATGTCGACACAAAACTCTGGTTGCCACCGTCACTCATAGATGGCAAAAGCTGTCCAGAGTGTTGTGTTTGCCGGTTTTCCGCTTGTCGCTGTCGCTCATAGATCGCGGCAACATTTCTTCGGGGGAAGAAGAGCGGGAACGGAATGAGCAGCGAAGTGCGCAGCAGCGCGAATGGTTTCGTAATGGCTGCGAGGCCGCTAACGCCTAAAGTTCCACTGTGTCGAGCACTTCAGATTCCCTTGCGAAAAAAGAGCAGATCGCACGCCTGGAAAGCCACCGCCGAGAACAGAAGCTACAGCTCCGCTGCTCTTCCTTCTTCACCAAAATGGAAAGGCTGAAAGTTTTTTTTTTTTTTTTTTTTCAATATTCATATCGAAACTAGGTATTTGGCCAAAACCACTATTCGTTTCGAACGAAAAGTCCATTATTCGCACAGGACTAAACAAAAGCATTCTGAAAAAAATGGTCAGATGTCCATTTTGTTTTGAACGCTTTTGTTCACAGACCCGACTGTGTGCGATGGCGATGCCCAACGACTTCGCCGACTACTCCTTTTTTTGGCATCACACTTTATTTTCGGCTTCATGAGACATCTGCCCTTTTTTTTTTGATGTATGCGTGGTTTGTTATTACAGCGCGTGGTCACCCCTGTTACACAAACGGTGACCACGCGCTAAAGAAATTTTTCGTGCATAAACTGTTCTGCTTGCAATCTTAATAAATATCTTTTATATATGGCAGTTCGAGGCATTAAAGGGGGTGCATGCAGCCAAAGACGTTTTGTTATATTGTAACTAATAAAAGAGGGTAGACGAATGTTACGTTGGAAATAAATGTTCAATAGGCGAACATGTACCCATACACGAGACGTAAAAGTTCCGCGCATCCTGTGTCCGCCAAGTAAGGGGTACCAGCTGGATGTTGCCAGCCACAGCAACTTTGAGATCATTCCACACAAGAAGTCGCGATAAGTCGCACGATTCTACCGGAATGTTCCAGAAGATTGGCAAAAGGGGCAATAAACACGAGGCTTATGGGGTTTGAACCTCGTAAAACCGCTAAAACTTTTCGGAACCCTACGAAAGGACAAAGAGAAGCTTAAAGGGCAGTCCCTTTAGTTGCATTTGCTCCCTCAAAGCCACTCAGAAATCCCACAAAGAGCGTGTTTTCTCCCTCTCCTGCCTGTGGAGGCTAATGTGCGATTTTCCCTTTACCACTCAACGTGCCTCCCTTTCCACCCGTCGCCGATGTGATGGCTGTCTCTCTATGGTCCAGACGATTCCAGACACATTCAGTCTTTCCGGCTTGCAGAAATCATAGCTTGCGACAGACGTGGCGCCAAGGTTGGTTGTAACCTTGAGCGTGTGACGGCTTCACCCGTACAGAAACGTGGTCGGACTCGAGCAGCGAGAAGGACCTGACCAAGGAGTTCATCCTGGACCCTACAGGGCCCCAGGGCCGCAAGGGCGCCAGGGAGGGCCACAAGCCCGACCACGAGTACCACGAGATCAGCGACGAAGAGCAGATGGACTCCACCGAGAGCCCCAAGTTTGAGGTGGGCACCTTCATCCGTACAAAAGGACACTGAAAGAAGTGCCATCACATTTTTAGGAAGCGTTTTGGGGGTTCCGATAATAAATTATTGGTCACAAGCAGTCAGCAAACGTGCTGCAGCCAATTTTAGATGTTTACCTACCGTAATACAGTCCAAGCTCATTACAGCAGACCTGGTTACAACAGACATTTAAATATAACATACCGATTTGTGAAGTTCAGTTGGTTTTCCTCTACATACCATTGACTCAACTTCATATCTGCATGCAACATCCTCCTTTTAGAACAGACCGAAATCTTGGTCAAAATCAAGGTTTCTGTTATGACGAGCTTAAGGCCCGTTCACACTCTTGCAACCAAGTACGACCGAGAGAGACCAAGACTTTTTAAACCGCTTAAAATTTCTTAGGACGAGAGAACACACTGGCACACTGGCGCCATCTATGCGGTGACTCTGGAACTGCATTTCACAAGAGCGAAGGTTTTGTGGTATTTCCGAGGTCAAATGTGCGTAATACCTATAAGAAAGGCTCGTTTATAACATTGACAGAAGTTTTTCGAGCCAAGAAATAAAGGATAATGCTCGAGAGAAATAGAAAATATGCCATACCGCCAAGTTTACACTGCTACCCAATAGATGGCGCCAGTGTGTACTCTCGTTGTAAGAGGTTTCAAGGAACCCAGTTCTAAGAGGTCGCAAAGGTGTGAACGGGCCTTTAGTCTGTATCCCGAGAGATGCTCCAGTCCCGAAATATAACCCGCCCCTATTTTTAGCTTGATCTGCTATTTTCTTTTTAAACACCGAAAGATAGCCCACTCCTAGTAATCGTGGTGTTTGGATCAATGGTGACGTTGGTGTAAATGCGTCTAGGTAGCTATGGCGGGATGTAAGCGAACATTGCTGACTGGGAAGTAGTTATTTTTACTTCATTGTCCCTCACTGTAATAACAAGCTTGGCAAGAAAACATGATCTCAAAATAGTTTTTTTTTTTTTTTTTCCATCTTTTCTTGGTTGTACACTGAAAGCCCACCTTATTTTCACCCGATTTTCTCCTGATTTTAGGTGGGCTATCTCTCGGGATGTTACAACAGTTCTTTCTTAACCATGTGGCAGAAAGGCCTACTTGAGCACTAGCCTAACGTTAGACTCGTGCAGAGCTGCACCTAAAGTTTACCAGTCGGTCGGCGATAGCGTATTTGTGCAGAATAACTGCGCCTGGCGCATCTCCAGTAGGTGACCCGCCGATTGGGCTTGACCAACGTGACTGCAAGTAGTTTTCATATTGAAAAGTTTTATGAAACTCTCACCTGTACAGATGACAAGGGCTGCCTGTAGAATCGAAGAAATAAATAAATAGCCTCGTAAGCTTTGTCCCGACCAATTTTATATTTTCTTTGCTTCAACCGATCGATAATAATGATAGCTGTGGTCCGTGACAGCTTGTGGAAATACAGGACGCAGTTTATCAAGTTCACTCCTCCTGCTTTGCGATTCATTTTTCGGCATTCTTGTCAGCTGTTGCCACAGTCAGATTGGCTGCGGGATGGTAATGGGATACCAGGGACTTGCCGCACCCTGTGTTTGGGCCGACAAGCAGCCAGAAAAAGAACTCTCCATCGATTTCTCCTTTCCATTCGAGAAAGAGGGGACCCTCCCCCTTTCTGCGGGGAGTAGCTCTGAGACCCGCTCCCGTGGGGAAAGGCGGGGAGAGGGAATGAAGGGAAGGAAACTGGGGAGCGATTTTCTTCCCAGCAGAAGGTTCTGTCGGTCGTCCCTTTGTAGGCAACTATAATCAAAGCCAAGATTGGTTGAAGTTGCATCTTCTTCGGACTAGGGTTACGGGACAGCATCGAACCCAAAAACCCTTAGAAGCTCGCTTGACCGGCTTCTTTGCACGATGCAGACGCTGGACTTCGGACCGTCGCTCATGGACGAAGTGTTCCGCGCCCTGGAGACGACGCAGCTCAACTTCGACTTCGATGGGACCTCGTCCAAGGAGGGCTCCCTCCCGCGCAACGACTCGCCGTCGACCGCGGCGAGGGAGACGCCAGCGCCCCGCTCCTCCGCGCCGGCTGCCTCCCCGGCCAAGAAGCGGCAGCAGGCGACGGTGAAGCCCATCTCGGCGGCGGAGGAGCAGACGCTGGACACGGCCATTGCCATCGCCAAGGAGGTGGCCGCTCGCAGCATGCAGGAGATGGACGGCCGCTCAGAGTCGGACACCACCCAGGACAGCCCCCGCACGCCGAGCTCTCCCAACAAGCGCAAGTTCTCCTTCAAGTTCATGTCGTCAAGCAGCCCCAAGCCGGGCCGCCGCACCTTCTCCGAGGAGGCCGAGGCCATCCCGGACATCCAGGACTCCATCACGGAGGAGGCCAAGGAGGCCTACAGCAGCCTGGTCGAGAGGGCATGCGACAAAGGGGTGGGGGAGACGGCCCCGCTCGCGACACCTGAGGATCCGTCGGACTCGGACCCCGGCGCGGACGCCAACCCGCTCCGCCGGTTGCGGAGCGGCGTCCCGGTGCAGCCCAAGGTCCGCGGGAACCGGCACGGGATCCCGAGCAGCTGCAGGGCCAGCACTCCGCACACCGCAACCGTCGCGAGACTGGCCGCCAACGCGACGAGCGCGTCGCCGTCGGCACGCAACGGCCTGGGGGCGCCCCCGCCTCCGCCGGGCGACGCGGACACGAATCCTCTGCCGCTCCCGCCGAGGGACCGCAGCCGCGCGGCGACGCAGTCGCTGAAGCACCACCAACGGAAGCACCCGCTGCTGCTGCTGCCTGGCGCGGCGGAGCGGCCGGACGCGTGTTCGGCGACCCAGGAGGCACTCTCTGTCTGCTCGCGGCAGTCATCGGTCAACGAGAGGGTGGCGGCCGTGGAGGCGAGGGCGGGCCGGGGCAAGGCGGACGACGTGGTGGCGGCCAAGGTGGCGCCTCCCAAGCCAGTGCGGACGTGCAGGTGGGTGGCGGCGGTCTTTTGATAGGTGTAGTTCTGGGTTACGACGGACTCGCAGACGCCTTAAGCAGCTCGACATTTTGCGGATTGAACAGAATGAACGGTCTTCGACAACGAGTTTGTGGGATTTTGTATTACCATATTTACTCGAATCTAACGCGCCCTCCATTGTAACGCGCACCCATTTTTCGAGGTCCGAAAAAAAAAACGCGATGACCTTGATTGTTACGCACACCAGATATTGTAGGTTGTATACAGAAATTAAACTTTTTCTCACTTGGAACAACGAAGGTTTATTCCAAATGCTTCAATTTTGCGATGAAATGAACGGCGCTGTCTCTCGCCGGCAAGGTCGCCAACACGACAACGGTTCGGCGCAGCGCCCGTGGGGCGGTATGCATCACTCGTCATTGTTGTCGGACGACTCCTTATCGCTGTCGGCGGCCAAAAGCATTTCATCTTCGGTGCCGTCCATAGCGTTAGAAATTCTGCACTTGTTGAAGGCCTTGATAACCATTGCAGACGGGATCATGCACCACGCATCTTTCGCCCATCGCACGTGATGCGGCCCGATTTCCATCGCTCTCCGTGCACAATATCACTTTTCTTTTGAATCCAGCATCATGGTGAATGTGGCAAGGCTTTGCAGTGGGAACTTCCACGCTGATACGAACGCAAGAAACACACAAGCTGGCTACGCTCTAAGCCTCTCAGCTTCTCGGCGCATAATGGAGCGGCCATTTTGAAATGTCGATGGCGATACGGTAACGCAGTTTTGGGTCGCACTCGATTCTAGCGCGCATGCGATTTTTGGACCTATTTCCCCGGAAAAAAGGTGCGCGCGTTAGATTCGAGTGAATACGGTGATACCAATGAAGACCTTGCAGGCAACGTGGTGGTCAAACATGGTTCGACCAGGTTGCCCGCACATTAAACGATCCCTGGCCACCTCTCTTGCGAGGTGGCCAAGTACATTCGGTGACGCGAGTGGCACTCCACCGTAGATAAAAGGCCGGCACAGAACTGGCACGGGGGCTTTATGGGGATAAACGACTGTGTTGTTGAAGTGGTGCGCCTTGCATTCCCTAAGGCAGATTGCGGCGAGGAAAATCCTATGCGGAGTGCAAATTCGTCTGCTTTTTTTGCAGGGGTTGTGGTGACGTCAGAATGGCGAGCTCCGATTGGCTCTGATTGAAGGATAGTGGGCAGAACCAGAGCACGGCGTTCTGACATCACCACAACCTCTGCAGAAGAAACAGACAAACTTGCGCGCATAACCCGGAGTAGTAGCAGTTAACTCGATTAAATATAAAGTGCCCTCGACAGTGGTTGCCGAAACTATGCAAACTTCCGTCCACTGGTCCTGCAGCGGCGATGTCGTTGCTTGCAGTCTCGACGACTCCTTCGAGAACCAGATCCAGGAGGAGATAGACAGCCTTGACCACCTGACTGACGCGCCCTCCCCCCCGACCATCTACAAGAACAGCGACCACGTCAGCTGCGAGGACCTCCTCGAGTTCGCGATGGACAGGCCCAATGCCAAAAGGTGGGTCTGCAGAGAGACACGTAGTAACGCAGAGCGAGCAGCGCCGAAGCAACCAAGGACAAGAGGGTGGGGTACACAGACGGAACGGATGGAGTGTAACTTGTCTTTATGTCCTTAATTTTTTCAGTGTTGTTCTCTACTTAACCATGTTCAACCCACTTGCCAAACTTTACACCGTACTGCAATGAGGCACTCTGCCAGTTTTCGACGATGGCCACTTGGCACATTGTTGTGTTGTTTCGACCGGAGACGGATGCAAATGACCACATGGGGTGCATCTCGTATGGATAAGCCACAAGTGTGAATAACTCCTTGTAGAAGCTGCAGTTTTGGAGTGGCCGAGTTACAGTACCTCTCTACTTTAAGCTTCAGCGGTTTTCTTTTATTGCGCGGAGTGAATGAAATTCTGGTTTTCGATCGGCATAAATATTGTATTTAGACGAATGTAGGTCGACCCTTTTTTCAATTTTTGAAAATCTGAAGTGGGGGGGTTGACTTATAATCGAACCAAAGCATTCCATCGCCGGCCAAAACGAAACAATTGCGATATCATGAACACCTTGGCTTGTTACGAGCATAGAGTTATTACAATAAACGCTAGAGGTTCAGGTGGCACTAGTGTACTGTTGCATTTTGAAACAGACACCAAGCAGTGAGAAATTGACTTCCGGTAATGCATTTCTATGGGAAAAAGCGAGGGCATTTTCTCTCTGCGCTCGATTATAAGAGCAAATATTACAAATAATTTGTATGTACTAGGCACATTGGAACATTTCTCAGTCACGCATACGAAATAATTGGTCAGTTACAGCATTTTTATTTGAAATTCGTGGCGTAAAAAACGGTGTTAAAACCACTTCGTACGTGTATTCGTGTGCACTGTCGGACACTATTAGCGCGAACACGGCGTCGACGCTTTCCAGCATGGGGGATATACGTGCCAAACGAACGAAGGACATGTGGAAAACCAAGAGAGACAGCAAGAACTATGCAGTAACACTGGATAAGTAACTCCTTGTGCACGCAGACAATCAAAATAAATTGAAAGCCACGTAATATAGTCAGATTTGCAATAAATAAGTACTGCTTTATTCTTTCTGCTCATGAATATGTGTGAAGATGCTTGTTCTGGGTTCAAATCATCACTCGCACGCTAAATATCTTTGCAGATAGACCTTTTTTGCAAGTGCGCCACCGTCTTGAATTGTCGTCACTTCCAGTATAGGCGAAAACATAGTTTTGCCTTTGCCACGCCAATAGAAGGCATTTAGGATATAAGCGTAACCGTCACACTTTCTCGTTTTGCCTCCCCTCTAGTTTTTTACTATTTGCAGGTTGAATTGTTGGATTATTTTTTCGTTGCCCATACCGGATACTTATTAGGTGGCTGGGGACGATAATACACTGAAAAGGTCTATAGGGGGAGCCAGAGAGCGGGTGCCCGATAAAAACTGCCCGATATAGAAAATAATAAAAAGAGACACCTTTCGTAGCTCACGTGCTTTATTTTTTGCGTTCGAATGTTTCATCATCTAGAACTAATTTTGCTTCCAGAGGTTGAGTTACAGATTACCATCACTTTTAAACACCTTATATTCCCAAGAAGTTGATTCACCTTCATTAAATGCAAAAATGGAGCCCATTTTTGCCTGTTTTTGGTTTTTGGTGCCATAGAGCCCCATGTATTCAAAAACTCAGTCGGCCGCCATTTTGCCATTGAAATTTTCAGAAAATCACTTATAACTTTTGAATAAGGTATCGGATCGGGCTGAAACTTTGGCATCTGGTTGTGACCTTTAGCGCTACCTTTGGGCGGAGAATGAGCGTTCGGCGATGCCTAGTTTATTTTTGCGGTAAAAAAAAACCCTGTAAATTTTCTGTTGTGACACGCTGTACATCGGCGCTTCAATTTGAAACGAGGTGCTTTAGGCATGGCGCGGAATTCTGGCCTCCCAACAATTCCTCTCTGGAAGTGGCGCAAACGGGGTGTTTTGGTTGTGATTCAAGATTAGATTGCGTCACTATCGTGAGTAAATCTGCATGCTATAAAGTTTGTGGCGTTTGTTACTCTTCTTTTTTCTAACCTGCGTTTTAGATTTTTGTGGACTGGTAGGACCAAGAGGTGTTCCTCTAATGGTCTGTCGAACATCACGGCGCTAACATCGTGAGAAAAAGCGGCTCTTTTGTTAGCTCCGCGCCGACCGCCCATCTTTGGCTGTACATATTGAATATTTGAGTGACCAAATACTAGGAATTCGATTCACGAATCGAATTATTCGGAAACTTTCTATTCGATTAGAGTTTGAGTATTTGCACACCCCTATTGAAAACATGAAGTTGCCCGACTTGCCCTTAGGCCTAATATTCATCAAACCAAGAAATTGTCTCGTGGGCATCTGTGGCATATATTTCAGTTAGAACAGTTTGTTTGAAGAAAACATTGTTTTTCTTGCTGACAAGTGTTTTCCTTGAAATCAATGCCAGAGGCACCCTCAGTGTTATCTCTCGGTTCGACAATAACTAGCCCTAAGAGACGTCAACTCGTAGAAAAATTTTGTTTTCGTGTTTCTTTTTATCTAGGTAGCATCATGTTCTCAAACTTTCACATTCACATGGTGTTCCAGCTCTCTGCGTCGTGTGGTGTATGTATGCGGGTCAAATAGTGTGGTTTTATTTTGTTTCTTGAATCCCTCGCAACCGCAGCCAGTTGGACCATCGTAGCCTCAAATGGCGTATAATCTTTCCCCGCAGAACCCAAGGCCCTGCACGTGGCGTCGACTCGGACGAAGTCCGGATCATGCAGAAAGTTCTCGCGAAAGAGGTTGGTCGGCTTCTAGTGTCTGATAATCTCTCTCCTCTCTTGCAATGCATTCAAAACCTCAGGTAACCCGTTTTCTAAAGAGTAAACACTGTGAAACTTGCACGTCACCTAAAGGCCCATTCACACACATGCGTTGGGACTACGACCGACCGAGACAAAACCGGTTTCTGAGGGACGCCTTTTTTGAACGTCGTCGGGGCGCAGTGACATGTCATCAAAGATCACGCGACCATCTACATACCCCTCCCCCCTTCTCCCCCCGGCCCAAAGTTCCTGTTTTTATTTTGATCATGTTCGTCCTCCTCTATGGTGTTTCTCTCTTCCTTCTTGGAGTTCGTATTTTGTGGCTTTTCTGCTCGTCTGTTTGTTTCTGTTTCAAGTGCAGGGATCTTCGCAAAACGAAACCACGTTGGTGAAGTCGAGCGCAGTGTCGGAAAACGACGAACAAGCCGTGCTCCGGAAGTATGTGAACAATCTCGACAAGGTTGGGGTATCGTGGACAAGACATATAGAGAAAGAAGATGTGCTTTAGCCCATGGAGCATAAGCTCTTAACCATAGGTAGGATGTCTCTTTCAAAATGTGTCCTCCAGGCTCCCCAAACAAAAAAGTTTGAAGAGAAACCCAGGCAAGCCTTCATCTATAAATTTACTTTTAAGAACTTGATACCCACTAAAGTGTCAGCAGTATTCGTGATCTTGGGTGGAAAATGTGCTTCGATAAAATAAATATAGTTTTGTGCACATCTCTCTTGTATCAACTCCAGCGCAAGCTCCGACCGCAAAAAACTATTATTGCTTGTTCACTGCAAGGTTACAACATAACAACAAAATATGCCAAAGGTAGAAGTGAAAGGGCAAATAGAAAATATAAATTTGAAGACTGCACTCATTAGCTTGCTGCATATGTCACCGCTCAACGAGATGGAATTCTTCGCTCACATCTGTTCTCCAAAAAATAGTTTTATGTAGAAAAACGGTGAGAAAAAACTGTGTTAAACAAACAAGCTTCATGGATCCACAACCACAAAGGAAGATTTTAACGTTTCAACGTGCTGCTCAAATTCAAGCTTGTAGCAAAAAACAAACAAACGAAAAATGTTGAAAGAAATGCCGCAGAGTGGGAGAGAGGAGAAAGCGGTGAAAATAACAGGATTTGAGAAGATGGGGGGGGGGGGGGGGTCACATAGGTGGTCACATGATCCCTGTTGTCACATGACTGCACCCTAACAACGTGCAAAAAAAGTTTCCCGGTTTTTAAGCCTCTTACGATGGCTTACGTCCGGCTCTATTGCTGCGCAGCCGGTCGCAAGCCGTCGCAAGCCGTCGCAAAAGGCTTAAAAACCGGTCTTGTCTCAGTCGGTCGGAGTCAAGTACAAGTGTGTGAACGGGCGTTCAGCTTTCGCAGTAAACCCTCGACAGCGCAGCACGAAGATGGTGCAGATGTCGCAAGGATGCAGTGTTGAAACCGCAGATACAAACCGATCGCTTAATGGCAAGGCTCAGAATCTGTATTAGAACCCCTACGATGTGAAACAGCGCTTGGGGTGCTGCGAGAACCACGTGAAAATAACTGTAATTGGGACCACGACATACACTATTTAAGGGCCGAGATACCAGAGGAAAGTGCGACGTGATGTCGCGACAATGTGTAATGCGGATGAAAATCGGTACAAACGAACGCACAATCGGAAAGAAGTTTTGTGCGTCCTCCAACAAGAATTGAACCCTGGACTCCAGGATTGCAAGCCCGACACCCTACCGCCGTGCCAAGCGGTCCCCGAGAACAGGGATTTAACCCTGCTAGGTCAAGGACGGCAAGCACGTGGGTAACTGTGTGACCAAATCGTACGACCATATTGCGCGATTTGGTGTCCCAGAAAGATTCAAGAACCGTGGGAATGCATCTAGGCGACCGCACGACGGTATCAAAAAGGGCAAGTCTTGAATTCACCACAAACAGCACAGAATGAAGTACGTACAGAACAACACATTCTGTATGTACCGACTGTATCCGTAGATGAAGGTTAATCTTTAACCATCGACATAGACTCCTAGAAGGATCGAGCATGGATGTCCAGCAGAACTGTGTGTATGCCAACACACTTACTTGTCCATCGGACCCGTCTGGTGCCAACTGTTTTCTGAAAAGTTGCAAAAAGTTGTCCGCGAGCACACTCATATTTTTTCTACATCTTATTAACAATCGGGGTTTCAGAAGAACCGCCACACGCTTGACTGATGCACACATCCCATGACTTGATATCGGGTTCGGACGTTATGTGATGCCATAGTGTCGCATGATACATCGTGTAGCATTCCCTTGTCGTGTAACATGGCATCAAGTTCGGGTGTCATGTAGACATGGATGTGATGCGACGTCATCGGGTCACGTGACATTACGGACTTGCACGAGGACACGTGTACACACGACATGTACCCAGCTAATTCGCAGCTCATTGCTGCGAATTAGCGGGATGGGAGAAACTCACGGGGGGCCCCCGTCTGCTCTGCCGCAGCGTGTCTCTCCCGAGGAGTGCCTGGTGGCCCTGAGCGAGGTGGACTGGGACGTGCACAAGGCCATCAAGTGGGTGCGGCTGCAGCTGCACATGGGCACCGGGCAGGGCCTGGCCCCCGCCGAGGGCAGCACCCGGGCGCTCGAGCACTGCAACTGGAATGTGGTGCAGGCCGCCTGCTTCCTCAGGACCACCATTCAGGGCTCCGTGGATGACACCACCGAGGTCTGACGAAGAGAGTCCGTCCAAGAGAGAGAACGTCCACGGGACGGCGTCGGTTGGAGGAGAGCACGCGGCGAACGAGAAACCTTGCAGCGTGGCCGAAATTCTAGTAGCGCAATGTTATACAATGCGTAAGCAAAAAGAGAGTCATTAGTGCATCTGCAAAAATACATAGTTCGGTTCTGAGGCAAATGAAATGCAAGCTTTTTCGCAGAAAACCGAATGTTCACGCTCCACAGTAGCGGCGTTAGAAATTATACTAAATTATTTTTACACCATCTAATCTTTTTTTTTTTTTTGGAAAATGAGGCTCACAAATGTTTTGTAACTTGTAGACTCCTGAACTGCCTTTAGGGAACACCAGCCTCACCGGAGATCATTTTCTCGGTCGGGACGTTATTTTCCTTGGAGTGTCCTTTCTGACCGCAGGCATCGAGTGTTTTCTGCGACAAATTGTGCATAGTTTGCCGACGGGCTGGACCTCTGCAAGCTTTGAAGTGGCAGTCGCAAATTCTTTCTTGGCTCTCAAAAGGGCGAAAAAGGCGGGACATATGACGGATAAGTGTTGGGAGTGCAATGGTTGTCACCGTGAGTCTTCGTCTTCTCTTCTTAGATTGCAAAGATGTGAACAATGGACTTGGGGCACCGATTCTTCCTCGGCACGTGGGGTCGCAAAGTCGACCTAGTGCCGCTTTATGCATGCACCCTTGTCTCGTAATGTCTCTTTTCCAAAACTGAGCTGTCATCTTTTTTGTTCACTGACAAAAGCAAGATTCAATGATTTACCATCGCGTACTGGCTGCATACACCCTGCGATGTGAGAGCTCAACTTGGGCTAACTGACCGGCTATTTGTCTTTAATTTGTGGTTAAAGCCTTTTTGTATTTTGCGAGAATCTCGGAACTTGCTGTGCAAGGCAAAAACAAAAGAACTGCCATTCTGGTCGCCTTGTGCCCATGGAGCGTCGAGACAATTCCAGAAAGGTGTCTGGTGCCTTTCTTTGGAAGGCAAATCTTTTCTACCATCGCATTGTTTACGAAACAAGCCCACTTCATTGCTTTTTTTTTTCCACTAGCACAAACATTTATATTACATAAGCTGGATGCAATTCCTGCATTTGGTCAAAGCGTAACTTCTAAATGTTTGGGGGGCAAGCCACAAGCAACTAACTGCATCTAGTGACAGTTTCGGCAACTCTGAAATCGCCTCATCTATGATGGCAGTGAACATACCGAATTGCAGGTGCGTGGTTGCTCCATACCTTTCGGGATAGCGCAGCTCGTCCTTTGATTTCGAGGATAAGGCAGCCCTCGTGCCACCATCGTCTCTTCGGCAATTCCGGTAACAAGGCACATTGAGCAAACGCGGCGAAAGCGCATAGTCGCAGTTCCTATTATTATCCCACTTTTCCAGTTTGTTACACTTACATGCGCAACACAGTTGGCATAATCACAATCTCTGCAGCTATTCGCATTTTGCCCGGACGCAGTATCAACCAATACAAAATTCTGCATCTCAAGTCTGTGCCCCAGATGGTTCCACCTGCCAGTAATTTTGACAGCAGCCTTTGTCACTAAATAAAGACAGGCAAGCCGGCGATTGTGCCCACCGTGTCACGCTCTGCAGCTACGTGTTGTGGCAGATGTAAAACTGAAGACAAAGGGGCTGGTAAGATCTTTAATGCCGCAGATTATTTTTGCTTCATGCTTTTGGACGACACACTAGGTGCACTCGCAATGCGTCGTTTTTGCGGCTCTTTTCTCGTTCACGGAGGCTCCGGAAATCGTCAGTGTTCCAGCGATAAAATCAAAATACAGCACCGGGGAACACCCTCCACCCCCTTTTTTGTCTTGTGTCGTGCGCAACTTTGCTCCACCCCAGCGATTACGGCAAACAACTTCTTGAGGCGCATCATAGTCAGCTCATGGACATCACCAAAGTCTTTGCCAGGAGAGCACTTAAACTTAAGGTTGAAAGGCAGGGACAACTCTTACTTTTGTGCCAGCTGAAGAACCCATAGAGTGTAAATATATTTATAAATAGGTCTGTTCTTTTTTTTTTTTTATATAAATGCATTTGCTGCTCATGACGCCAGCTCCTTCATGCCCGGGCCTGATCTTCTGTACACATCAAAGTTCTTGCTGAGTGTTTCTTATACCAAATGCTCTTGCAAAGTTATCTTGTTTCAAAAATGCTTGTACTAGCAGTTACTCCCTTCCCGCTTGTTTTGTATGTTTGGACCGAACTTGACAAAGTGCACAGCTAAAGTTAATACTATCAGCTTTTGTACCTTTGCAGTATGTCCAACTTGTGTTTATGTAGATAGGACAACTTTTTCGTTCAAGATATTTTATATAACAAAGGTTCGTGTGAATTCATGCTTACGGCAGAGCTCGTGTTAGAATCTCAAGTTTTTTACTGCACTTTATAGAACAAATTGTTTACCCGAATTAACTACCAAGAAGACAGGGTTCAGTTCAGTCAAAATTGTTTAACTAGGATGTTTTGCAGTTTTTGGAATACTGAATGTGCTTACAACTTGCTAATGTATGTCAATAAATTCAGTTTGAACCATGTGACTTAAAGCTTTAGTGCTTTTTGGTTTAAACAGACAAGCATTTTGCATGTTTATTGTTTCACTTTACAAAAATACATGAAGATAAAATCACTTATATGAAACTTGACTTAGGTTGGTAGAAAATTAGCTTCTGTAAAAAAAGTATGCTTCAAAGGCACTTCACATCTAGACTAAACAGGTCTGTATGCCATTTACTTTTTTCTAAGAGGAGTCTTGGAACACATCATTTATGAAAGAATATTTACGATATAGTGTTTCACGCCTATTCCAAATCTTCAGTGGAACCTTAGTTATGGAAAGAATAACTTCACTATTATGTCATTTTAAAAAAACTCCACCTTGCCATGATGCTAGTGTAAAAAAAGAAAAAAAAAAAAAAAGACTTGTAACATGCAAGGTATGCTTCTTATTTAAGAGGTAATTATTTGCAAACAACTCTTACTCCAAAGAACTGTAAAACTAGCATCACCGCACAAATCCATTCTTTCAAATTCAACTTAAAAAGAGATCCACACGACATTGGCAAGAGAAAACATTCAGTAGGAACAAAGTTAAATGTTCACAGAAAATTAGGATTTTTTTTTTCCCGTCTTTATCAAATTTGCAAATTATTATAAAAAAAAGCTTTCACAAACCTTTTATCCCCTTCCTTGTTATTTGAAGATTTATGCTTCCCCTGGTATAATGGACATTCCACCTAATACTGGACACTATGCTAGGCTAATAAAAGAAAATGCTATGGCACACAACACACCATACATATATAAATTATAAAAATCAAGCTTATTAAAAAAAATGGTTCATTTTGGCAGTACAAGCATAAAACAAATGCAAACATTACTTAAAACTTGTGACTTTGAGTGGCACATTTTCTCGATGGCAAAAAAAGAACTTCGGCACACAAAAAAGAAAGACATTGCCCGATCATCTTCAGACTTTGGTCTGGTGTTCGCTCCCATTTGTGGCCCCTTGCTGCATCTGTTCCTGCATCTTCTTGAGCATCTCCTGCATTCGCTTCAGCTCCGCCTCCTTCTCCTGCAGAATCTTGTCTTTCTCGGTCAGCTTCTCCTCGGGCAGGGGCCTGCAATGCGAAACGAATGCACAATGTGTGGGCCTGCTCCAAAATGCGTCGACTCCAAAAGCAGCCACAGTGTTGGTGAGCTCAGAAGTGCCTTTAGTAAAGTCAGGCTTTCAGTGCTTCGAAGAGACTGTGTTGGGAACCAAAACCGACGCTCCAGTTTTGTGTTTCAGGGGTGAATGCACAAACTAGAATTTCAGCAAGATAGAAAGATGATTCCAAGGAACGACTGGCTGGCACATGAAAATTTAAAGAAAATTTTGGCACCCGCTGTAAAATGTCATGTTATTACTGTGCAGTGTTTCATTTTTCCTTTTTATGCAACGTCGGGATCAATGCACTTTCTCTCCGCCACAGGGTATCTTGTTCCCCCTTTAAGTCTCTTATCGCAACGATTATTGGTGATAATCTTCACTATCACCTCATCATACTTTCCCTTGCCTTGACCATTCTCGTAAATTATGAGCAATTTCATTTTGACTGTCTCTTATCCCATGTCTACATTACCACTGCGTAGACAAGACTGGAATGTCTTCTGGCCCTCAACGGCACGGGCCACGAAACCCAAATATCTGAGGACACCAGCCTTCGACAATAAAAGAGCGCGAGACGAAGAAAAGCAACATTCTCTTTAGCGACAGCCAAACAAGCAGAACAAACACATTAAATAAAACAGCAAAAAAAAAAAAAAGGTAAACAAGACAGTGCAAGCACAATTGCACAACACTTGTGAACATCTTGTCCAGTTAGAGGCTTGCTTTCTTTTTTTTTTTTTATTTGGGGGCAAAGCGAATTTTTTTTTTTTTTCCTCCTCTGCTCCCATACCTTTTCCACAGCTGGAGCTAGAGGAACGGCTGGCATGCCCTACGATTTTTCTCGCACAGCCTTTGCGAATGCATACCAATCACAATTCAGCGACGGCAGCGTTAGGGGAAAGCCTACCTACCAGGAGTCCGGTTTTACGAATGTTCCGGGTGGTGGATACTTCTACGTGGAATTTTCAAGGGGATGTCTCGATTGTTCGAAACAGAAAAATATTTCAAAATACCCAAGTTTGATATAATCCGCCTCGGCTGCAGCAGGAGGTTGACAGCCAGCCAACTTTGATGTGTGTCTACGCAAAGCTTAATGCACCAATATGCCAATATGCGCCAATATGCCTACTCCATGCTTCATAATTGCATAGTCAAATTTCTGATCCAAAGTTATTACCGCTGACCCAGTTTTTTGCCTCGAGCCGACATTGCCAAACCTGGCAATGTCTGTTTGGCAAATGTCTGCCGACTGCTCCAAGGAATGCAAGTGTGGCCACAACCAAGACTCGAGTGCACGAGGCTTCGCTTACACGACTGGCTTCTTGGCCGTTGGAGGCGCCTTGCCGGCCAGTCGTTCGGACCGGTAGTTCTCATAGTGCAGTTCTTGAGTCACCTCCTGCAGGTCCTGCATGTGAGTGCTGCAAAAGAAGGGTGCGACAACGTTCGCGTCGCGTCACCTCTTCACCAAAGCACGTAATCTTTTCGGTTTTTTTCAGCTTGTGAATAGTGGCTTAGCAGACATAGCTTCCCCGGTACTTGGCAATGAAAAGCATCTAACAGAAATGTCTCGTGGATCTTTTTGATGCATGCCACTCCCCTAACTAAATCCTATTGGCAGCGTGCAAGAACTACAGGGGGCTCTTCTCTAGCTATCATCGTCAGCGTTTATGACGTCATGGGTAGGACAGGCTGGGACAGACTGCGCAGATCATGGATCCCTCGGCTCGTCACCTCGCTTCATGCGCTGTTTGGGTGACACGCGGCAAAGCTTGTTTCACGCATTGTGTTTATTTGGTGAAGTGATATTTGTAGTAGGACATTTTACCGAAGCTTGAAACCGTGGCACGCATAGTCACGCTAATAAACACTTTTGGCACCGAGATGTCGAAGCACTGGGGCGGTTGTGTGCTGTTCTTGACCCCAATACTGGATGATGAAAATAGAATATCCAGCGCTTCACCCCACTACAACATCTACCACAGCGACTAGGGTGTATTCTTTATTATGATTCAGATAAAATCAAACTGAGAAAGGAATGTCTCAGTAAACTGAAAATGGAAAAGCGAAATTCACCTCTCGCGGGTGTATTAAACGCTTCAGTGAAAGCGACTCCATGTATCCTGTTGGTTCCAATGCGTTTTGTGAGTGCTGGTCTCTTACTAGTTCTAAGTTGATTCCTTTTTGAATTTTGTAAATCAGTAAGCAAACATTTCCTCAAAATAACTGGCAGGAAGAAGCGGTGGCTGCTTCCCGAGTCGTTTCAATCAAATTCCCGCTTATTCACCCGGTCGACGCAAAACGTGCGAAACCCCCTCGCGACCAAAGTTTTATATCTAGTAAGTTGGTAACACTTCAGCGTCCCAAAAATTGAGGTATACGCCTGCTATGAAGTGCTCCCGTTTGTATGTTTAATTTAGCGGACCCAAATGCGCATATTGTGTGATGCACTTCTCGAAGAGTGATTTTAAATTTGTAAACAATTCTTAGTAAAAAAAACTGGATAGAACAAATTAATCAATCGCCTGAATTTGCCTGGCCATGTCCAACAATCTTAGAATTTGTGAAAATTTTTGCTTTTCTTTCAAGCACAAGTTGCGATGTGACGAAGTTCTTTGCCACATATTCGATGCGGGAGAAGCTAAGCGTCAGTTGCTGACGAGCATTTGCTCATTAGGAACTGTGGAGTCGCACTTGGATAGAAGTGTCGATATCGGCAAACTCAATGTAGCTAAAACAAGTGTGCGGCGCTTTGCAACACAACTGTGCGTGCGTGCACAGCTAAGAAGACAGCACGTCATTTACCTTGGTGAATGCAAAACCTTTCTCTGCAGCATCAATCATATCCAAAAAAAAAACAAGAATCAGAGGCTGTGAATAGCCCTGACGCACTCTGCGCAAGCTGTAATGTGAACCGTTTCTATCAACATAGATGCAAACTAATATAGACACTCCATACTTTGACATAGCGCGTCGTCTTCTGCTCGCATCTTACCAACTCCGTCGCAGGAGGGCGCCCGCTAGGTGGCACCACCAAAACATCTCGTCGCCAATACCTGCTACATACCAAAAACACTGTACTTCATATAGCTGATTCCACCATAACAAAAAACATAAAGGAGAGGAATATACAACCTATTTTCTAATGAGACTAACATATTATAAATTTACGCGAAAATACCGAAGTATGGCGGAGGGACCGGTGGCCGAGTGAGTTGACATGCTGCAGCTCTGTGTGGGGGGGGGACTCGACCCGCAATGCAGGGCTCCTGGGTTCAGTGCCAACCTCTGCCCGTTCCAATCTGGACGAGCACTGTACCGGCGTGCTTGTGTATCACTGTTGTGCGGTACGCATCGAGGACCGCAGGCCAGCAGCAGTACTGCACTGGCTAAATTTCTCATCTACAGAGGAGACCCCGGATGTCCACTGGGGCTGACTGATTTTGTCCCACCTAAACGTGTGTGCAACACAACCAAGCGCCGCCTCAATTGATTAAAAAGTGCCCGCAGGCATAGCAGATCCCAGTCGATTGTCCCAAGACCATAATTAATGCGCGTCTCCCGGGACGAGAAAAAAAAATGTATGCATTACGCACATGCCACCCAACACAACAATAACCCCCTTTGCTGAGGCCCCGACAAGAAGAGCGCGTCATTGCGGGAGACTAAAAAGCAGGGCCTACGCACATGAGCATGGTGCGCAGCTTGATGAAGTCGCCGTGTTCCGGGTTCTCCACCTCGACGACGCCCCAGGGATAGAGGCGACCCCGCACCTTCCGACCCTTGACCTCGATCAGCTGGACCGACGAGCTCACCGCAAAGGGGACAGACTCCTGGGCACAGTCGTCGGACGACGCAACTTTAGAAAGGGCAATGGTAACGCATAACATACTGTATGTTGCCTCGTGGCGACATTGCACGGATGAACACACATATGCACATGGGCATAGACAAATGCCCATGTGCTGACATTTTCGACAGAACGAGAGAAAGCGCACTGCCGTTGCCTTGTCACACAAACCGCGAGGCTCAGAACAAAAATTTTAAAAAATTCTTATACAATAGGCTTTTTTTTTTTTTTTTTTTTTCTGGCGATTGCCAGAAAATACTTTCATTTTAACTGCCAAAAATAAAGCTCTTTATTTTTGGCACTTTCTCCAACTGAGCGAGTTTGTGCAGCCAAGGTGCGTCCTTGAGCAAACAGCTTGCTGTTGTAACCTAGTAGTGGTATTGTTATCCCGGCTGATTTGCACAAGAAATGACTGAGAAGCAAATATTTATACAAAACAAAAATCTGTAAAAAAAAAAAAAAAGAATATGCCAAAATGTGTGAACACGTTTTTTGAGCAGAGCTTCTTATTGAGCTGAAAGGATTTGACGATATGTTTACGGCGCGTGCATAGCCCTCGAGGCGTAGGAACGGGAGCTGGTAGCCACGGGATACTTGCGGGCCGCGTCACAGAGAGTTGCGGGTTGCATGTTTCAGACCCTGCTATAAATGTGTCACTGTACTTCTGCGACACAACTGACGGCCTATAAATCGCCAATTCATGCCTTGCTGGAATATGCTGACATCGTATGGAACCCACACTCACAATCTCTCATTGATCAATTGGAAGGCCTTCAAAAAAAGTGATTTATTAATAACTTATGCGGCAAAGGTTTGCATGTGACACCGTTCTACACTGCCTCTGGAGTGTCTATATTATCGCGTCCAAGGAAAGTAAAGCTTTCGAAATTTTTGCATGACTCGTAATAAAACTGGTTTAAACTTTAATGACTATTTGCAGTATTGGGCAGGAAATCGAACCATAGGGGGCGCTCTGACCTGTTTGTTGTCCCCTCAACTTGGTGTTTACCCAACACAAGGCCTGTGAACATGCCATAGGACTTGTGCGCATGTCCATATCATCATCTTCAATAGAATGCGGGGCACAGTGTAATGTAAAAATACTAACAATAAACGAAGTGACGTTAAGTGCCGGATCTACACCGAAAGCAGTCGTCAGAGAATGTGAGCTTGACCCACTTGGGCTCTTGTGCTCAGCTGGGCACCGTGCATGCTGCATTGTTCATGCAGGCCGGAGTGATAACAAAATAACCCCTCCTCCCCCTCACCGAAAAACACAAACTCCAGCCGAACGCTGACGCCGCGTTCGGTTAAGTCAGCCGAGCGCTGAGTCATTGTATTTGTTGTCCCCATACGTGTAGTTCTAAAGCTAACCGCTCGGGGCGTGATGGTCTGATCTCCTCCCCAATAACGCGAGTCGTGACACAAGGCAGAAGCACAAGAATTCTTCTCGAGTTCCATTGTAAAAAAGATGTTAAATATTTCTTTGTTTTTTCGTTCTGTTTATGAGTGGAATGAGTTGCCTCCAAGTGTGACGGCGATTGCTTCTACTGCTGTATTTGCAAGTGCAGTTAATGAACTTTTCCTGTCACCAATGACTACGCTACTTGCTAATTGTTGTGTTTATTTGACTCATTGATGATGTTGTCTTATCATGCCTTGGCCCTCAAAAGTTAGCCAGCAATATTCTCAAATAAATAAAATAAATATGCCACCTATCGGATGGTATAGGCAGACAGCTCTACAACATGATGCACAATAACTTGCACAGAGAGAGGACGTTCCGAAGTCACGCACTCGCTCGTTCCTGTTACAGCACTGCACAGAACAGGTGGACTTGGAACCATGTACCAACACTCGATTTTTAACATTCACCGAGGTCTAAAGTGAAAGCTATCTGAATGGTCGAGTGCATTTCAATGGTTGCTTCGATACTGAGGCAAAGATGAAGCCAGCCAAGCACATCCCAGCAAACTCCCAATGAGTGCGGTGTAAAAACATTAAAGATATCACGAAACAATTTTCAGACTGTGGCTAACAAGTAGTGATGGGCCGAACTTTTGCTGAATCGAAAATTTGGCACCGAATCTCGGGATTCTGCGAAGCCGAATTTTTGCCAAACTTTTCTAAATACTCGGCAAAAGCCCAATTTTTGCCGAACTTTTCTAAAGATTCGGCAAAAATACATTGTTGCCTGACCTAAAAGTTGAAATTTTGTTTTTTCGTGCAAAAAAAAAACATTTTAGGTTTTCTTTTTCAAAATGCATATTGATGCAGTTTTTACTAAATAAGGTGATATTTTGCAAGATAATTGTATCAGTGTCATTTTGCAAAACTGGAGTGACAACGGGGTTGGGTAGTAGGGGGCGCAGTCACGATACACGAGTTTCGGTTTTGAGGCGTCATCAGTGCAAGCTTGCAAGTGTGTATTGTTGAAAAAAAAAAAAGCAGTAACAATGTGTTCTCTATTTTCTCTACAAGTCACCCTTTCGTGCACAAAAATAAATGCAACTGCTGTTGAGCCCTCACCAGAAGAGATAACAATATTATTATAAATACTGTAAAATCCAGAGAGATGCCCCACCAGAGCTGTAAACAAAGCTCGAACTGCTTTCAATCCATTCGAGTCAAAAGCAGTCCAACTGTACGTAAGAAAGCAGTAGCACAAGACTACCAAAGCGCAAAATGTCTTTCGATTTAAAACGCTCTCCATTTCTATGTTTGGAGAAGTGCTTGTGTGACCAGGAGGAAGGCAGGGGAGTAGGGGGGTGGAGGGGGGGGGGGGGGTAGGGGAGGGAGCTGCGAGCCGCACTTTAACGCGCAAAGAGCCGCATGCGGCTCGTGAGCCGCAGCTTGGCCACCCCTGGGCTAGGTCAGTGGTTCTCAAATGGGGGTCTGCGGACCATTTGGGGTCCGCAAAGCCCTGCCCTGTCAGTCAAGCCTGTCCATCTTTTAGGTTGAGAGGTAACGTTCCAATTTCTGGGCAAGTTTTCTCGTGTGTGTTTGCATATATGTAACGCACAAAGAGATGGGAATATGCTAACAAAACTTATCTATAAAACCCTACCCCACACTAGCCCTTAATTATATTCACACATTAAATCATTATCATACTTAACCTATAACTTTCCCTTCACCTCACCACGAACGGGGTCCTCTATCATCCCCTCCGATCCACAAGGGTTCCGCAAAACATTAATGGTTGAGAACCACTGGGCTGGGAAGTGCAGGTAGACAGAACCTCTGTAAACATGGGGCACTACGAGTGAGAGCTTCACGCTAATGCCGACTCAATGGGCATTTGTAACGGGAAGTTTCGCAACTCAAACATTTCGAGAACACCCACGAGCCGTCAGTCCACCTCTCTGGCAAAGCTATCCATCGCTGCCGAAACGATACACGAGTTTTGTTAGCAATATACCTTGAGCTGCTTCACTTGCTCCTTGTACTCCTCGTCTTCGTCGGAGTCGCAGTCCGGCAGCGGATAAAGGCGGATCCCGTGCTCGGCTATCTCCTGCATTATCTGGTGGCAGGAGAAACATGGTTCGGCAGTCAGCACATGTCGAATCGGAAACGTACGCTTTTCCCATTGCGTATCGCGACTAAAGTTCCATCTCTTCGGTATACACCGATGAACCCCAAAAGGTAATGCCCAAGCCAATATGAACAAAAATTAAGAAAAAAGAAAAAAAGAAAAAGCCAAAATAAAGTTATCTAGAACAAAAAAGAAAAAAAGGTTTCTGAAAGAAATCTTGAACTACAGCTTTATTCTGTGCCAACCTGGAACATGGCTTGTACAGAACTGTCCGGGAAGCTTCCTTCTTCGAGAACCACACTCCTTACCTCATTTCCTTCTCTTATTGGCACCGGGAAGACTACCAATTAATTCGGTAAATTGGGGAATCCCGTGCGTTTGTCCTTTTTTCTTCGAAATAGGCTCCCATAAATGACGAATTTCTTTCGCGGCATTGAAAATAGACACTGAAATACAAAGAATCGGAAAAACTCTGCAATGAGCCTTTGTCACATTGCGGGTACCTCGGCCAAGAATCGAACCCCTCGCGGGAACGTCTACTGCAACGTTTGTGTGCATACACCTGTCTTTTGGGGTGAAAGGAACAGCAGACGACGCACCTTCCTCTTGAGACGCATGACCTCCTTCTTGGTGAGTGCGTCCGCTTTGGCGATGACGGGCACAATGTTGACTTTGTTGTGGAGCATCTTCATGAACTGGACGTCCAGGGGCTTGAGCCCGTGGCCGAAGGGCGAGATGAAGTAGAAGCAGCAGTGCACCCTGTTGTCCGTGATGTTGCGTCGGTTCAGCCCGCTCTCGTCGCACAGGAAGCGCTCAAACTGGTCCTCGATGTACTGGATGATTGACTTGAAGCTGCAACAGAATCATACATTGCTGTTGGAGGGAAACAATACAAAAAAACTAGTAAACTTCCAAATTTAAAAAAAAAAAAAAATTCACATTGTTTTATTTGTAGCTTGTAAAACCTGTGGTGAGAAAAAAAAATTGCAAACGAACACACAAAGCGTGCTGCGATTGACTGTGACAGCTGCTGCATTGTGGAAAGGCATGTTGAAGGAGATTTGCCTTCAACCAGTGCGCTGTAGTACAATGTTTGCAATGGGTTCTTTCCTTTCAGTGAAATTGATGTAGGAGACATGCGTGAGATGCGTGCTCTGGCAGAACGATTCTGCGAGATGTTGCATGTGTTAAAAAGAAGCAGAGACATGCTTTTGTTTTTTCTGAAACAGTTGTTAAGGACGGGGGTGCCCGTGACCACGCCTGCGGTGGAAGAAGCGAAAGTATGCGTGCAAGTTGTGTTGCCTTTACAGAACAGCTCGCGTATGTATACTATGGGTGGTGGCAGTGGGGAAGCGAGGGAGCGTGTCTATGTGGGTATTTTGCAACGGCAGTGGCCTACAGGGGGGGGGAGAAGGGGAGAGCGAGAGAGAGCCTTGCCGGGTGTGAGGAACGACAGGGAGAGGGAGAGCAGTGCCTCCTGTGTAGAGTGAAGTTTTGCATCTGTACACAAGCATTCCTTTGCCAGAAAGGGGCACAGCGGTTACCGCCATAAAAGAAACCTCGGAGTCAAACAAAAAGACGCAGGAAGGGAACACGTCAAATCTTGCACTGCAGTGCCTGGCACGCGTCTCCGACCGCTGTGTTTAGTCTCTCATTTCGCCCATGCATCGAAGGTGGTCTCGTCGCAAGAGTGTCACGCCGTCGGACGTCATGATCCTGGAGGTTGGGTATAGAAGTTCCGAAAAAGTGCACGAGGGAACACGAGCGTCGCCGTCGTCGCAGTGACGAAACTTCTGGCCGCTGAAGCTCCCGTGGACTACCGAGATAGAGAACAACCCTGCAGAAAAACAGGTGTCTACCACATCAACCTCCGCCGCCGCGACACAGCCGGAAACAAGGCCGGCGACAGCATGACATTGTTACGACGTTCTCGGGAGGAAATCGAGGGACCGCTTTTGTGGACGCGATAAACACCACACCAGACCGAGACACGTTCCAGGTACCATACTTACGGTGCTCGCTGCTGAAATGTCCCCCATTCTGTTCAAACGTTCCCCTCGCATGCCTTTTCCGTAAAGACTTCAAATTTTCGTCTTTTTGCTGTCCTCGTTTTTTAGTCACTTTCACTTTATTCCCGACGAAGCAGGTGCATGAAGAGGTGCACATTACCCATTTAGTTTACAACAAAAGCAAAACGGAAGACAATATACCAACACGCGACTCTCGCGTCACGCCAGTTCGGTGGCGCCATCGTCGGCACGGCACGCGTGCAGACGCCTTGCCTTGTGCGAATCTTGTTTTCGCACACGCGCAGTGTCCATAAGTGGTGTGGGAAAACAAGGAATTGTTTTTAAGAGGCGTTTTGGTCTATAACAGGTGTCAGCAACATTTTGCAGCGGTGGGCCGAGTCACCACAAAGCCGACACAGAGGAGGCCGGATGACAAGTCGCAAAGTGAAGGGGAGGAGGGGGCAGGCGAAGAAAAGGCATGAAGGGAAGATGGTCTCCACCCAAGTATGGGGATGCCTGACAATGCCAACTGAGTGCACTCCTGGTTCGTGTTCAACCCCATTTGAGGTCAAAACCGCTGTGTGGTCCTCAAGTCCTTGCAACGAAGCGGCAAGGGAGGGGGGGGTGTTGTGCCAGGGGCCACAGGTCGCCGACCCCTGGTCCATACCATGGGCACATTACTGGCCCATACAGCACAATTTCGTTGGACCTAACTACACAACAAGTCGTAGGCAATTCCAGAAAACTTTAAGAACATGGAGAATTATTACAGCCCAAAAAAATGTCCTCCAATATACTACCCCCACAGGGAATTTAACGAGACATACTCAATCCCAAGTTTTCTCATCCAGGCATTCCAAAACTTGCAAAGTAAACCAGGCTTAGCTCAAGTTAGTGAATAAACATAGCCACAAGCGTGCTGCATTTGCAAACCAGTACAGGAACATGAGAAAGGGTATTTACATATTAATAGCCTTTCCTGTATTGTAAGAGTCGTAGCGTAGCGTCCACAAGACACGACCACGAAGGAGACATCATAGGCTCCGTTAGCGTTGGCGGGATGCAACCATCTCGTGCTTACATAAAGGGACGTCCTAGCATACCATCATCATATGATAATGGGATGCCTATGGACCAGCATGGTCCATAGGCATCCCATTCCTGTGTATCATGCTACATCTGTCCAGGCGCACTAACGGAGCATCTGAAAAAAATTAAACACCTTTCAAATCAGCAAGAGAACAGTGCGAAGTTGTGCCTCGGCATCTTATCAAAACGGTAAAATAATTTCCTTTCAACTTGCTAATGTTGTTTTGTTTCACAAAACGCGACCTAAAAATATCTGCTTTCGCTAGCCAGGGGCGCCGTCTAAAACTTGAGAGCTGCAGGCCTACAGAGCACAGGTGACGTACCAATCCGTGTTATCGATGGCATCCCCGAAGCCCGGTGTATCCACCACGGTAAGACGCAGCTTGACCCCCCTCTCTTCGATCTCCACGGTCGAGGCATCCAGAGCGACTGTTTGCTTCACTTTTCCTGTTGGGGAGGATGCGTCGCATTCATTAAACACAAGGCACGATGGCGAGATGACTGTCGAGAACCCTACCGCTGGCATCGGGAAGCTGGCGTTCTGGGTACAGGTCCGTCAGGAACAGGCTGTTGACAAGCGTGGATTTCCCGAGCCCAGACTCCCCTGTTTGCATCGAAAAGTAACGACAACCCTAAGGCACTGTGGCAACTCTTGAATTACCTTAAAGACCGACGACCAGTTCGCGCTTTCCACTTTTCCCCCGCTTTCTCCTCTCCACCTTCTACCCTGTCCTCCACTGCGTGTATCCTCCTCCCCCATGGTGAAGAGGATCTTCTGTCTCGCAGAATATCGGGTCTGGTCGTCGGCCTTTAAAGGAACACTTAACTCCCCAAAAAACTTTGTTTTTAAGTGCCTAGATGGGCCACTGATGTCACAAAACGACCTTTCGTCAAAGAAAAAAAAACATGCTTTAGCTTGGTTCGACTATGATCGAAACATGTTGCCACCGTGAGGCCGAAATTATAAACATCCGCAAGCGTGTATACCGTGGCATTGTCTGTTATGGGCATACGTTGAGAAGCATGGATCTTGACGGCGAAAGCCTGTTTCCGGCTGAGCGGCACTCTCCTTATTAAATGCTTGTTGTTTTTGTTGTTACTTCTTTTTTGCTAAAGGTTGTATTGTATCATTTTACATGCGTGGATATTCAGCGAAGCAAGAAATATTAAGTTTCATGCTTCCATACTTTCAGTACTGTGGTTCGTAGAACTGCGAGTCCTACGCATTTTTGTTGTCTGACATAAGTTATAGTTTCTAAAAATATTGAGAATGTTGACTGGAGCAGGGGTTTATTAAAAAAAATTTACCCGATTGATTGCCATTCTTTAATCAATTGACTAATCCGTTAGCTGATTGATCTCCAGGCATAATATAGAAAAAATGATATAACTACACATTTGTTTTACTGCTTTTACTATGCCATACACAACATATTGCAGACCCATTTGAAACTTGACGTTGCAACGCCTACAGAAATATAAATACATGTAGCCTTTTTAGAAGTCGTTTATCAGTTAGTATTTAAACGTAACAATCAGTCTCAATGACAATCACAAAAATGCTGAACTGGTTTACCGTGAAAACCTGGGACCTCAAAAAAATAAAGACGTCAGAAATTATAAAGTAGACATTTTTTACTTTCTTTTTGGCCCAACTTTTTCCATCTCAAGACTTCGATTGAACTGCGAAAACATTAGATTGTGATTAAAGCATTCCTCGAATCATCTAAAGCAGTGGTCGGCAACCTTATGGCGAAGCGGGCCGAGTCGCCATGAAGCCAAGGCGGAACGGGCCGGACGGCAAGCAGCGGGGGGGGGAGTTAAAATTTAAAAAAAAGAACTTGCACGAACTTACATTGACGTACATAAATCGAAAATGAACAGTTTCTTTATTTCACGACAAACAACATGAGATACGACATTTCCACGAAAACCTAGAGACTCCTCTCAGTGAGACTTTTGGTGTTGAACTGCGCTCGCCAAACTACGAACATCCACATTGAAGCTGCTAACTGCGAGTCGCAAAACATTGTGGAGGTTCTCGTCAGTCATTCGTGAGCGGAAGTTGGATTTTATGCACTTCATTCGTGAAAAAGTCTGCTTGCAGACGGGCAGCGAATTAGTCAACTTTATTTTTTTTTCTTTAGCTGACCGCGTAGGGGGCGAGTGGGGGTTACCGGGAGGCTGAGGGCCGTATGATACTACCTCGCGGGCAGAATCCGGCCCGCGGGCCGCTGGTTGCCGACCACTGATCTAAAGTTTAGTCTATGAATTGCCCAGTCCTAACATGCACGAGGTCAGGGCAGAGGGTTATCGGAAAGTCCGGTGAGAGTCGCAAGCACTCGACAGGAAAAGAGTGCCGCTGGGGTTGTTCGTTTGAGTCACAATGTCTACAACGTTTAAAAAGAAAAAAAAAAACAAAAAAACTTAGCCATAGATTTAGGATATTAGCACTCCTCAAGAACACTGAAGCGGGTGAACCCATACTACCGAGAAGACCATCTAATAAAACGCATACTGCTGCGTTGCTCGCTTACACTCCTTTAATCCACTCACGACAGATTTATCGGGATGGTTTATTTCACTTGCCTCAGTCGTCGGGTCAATGAGCAGTTTGCGTGTCGTAACTAGAGAGGACACTTTTTCCTCATCGCAACATAAAATCACTGAGACTCCACCCACAGCACGACATGGTAAAAGGATAGATTGACTGCAGCGGCAACAACTTTCTTGCACCTAGAGGTTAGCGAAAACATGGGAATTTCTGATAACCATCAGCACTAACTTCTCTCAATGCGCAACATTTACATTTCTGCAAAAGCCAAGAGTTGTGCGAGAAAGAAATGCGTAAAACCTATGATTCGACAGCCCACAGCTGCAATGTTATGTAAATATTTGGTTTGGGATTCTTTCTTTTTGTTGAATTTCCATGCCAGTGAAAGGCTACAACCATTCGAAAAGGAACAAATATTTAACGTAAAAAGTGCACGTGACCTGAAAACAGGCATCTGTCGTGAGGATCCATGCTTCCCACTGTGTATAGAGCAGACAACGCATCCACACAAGCATCCACCACACAATATCTAATTGGAACGCACTGCTCTATGATATTATTATCTCCCCTGACATCAATAGAGCACTCTATGATCACCCTTTTTAATTCATGCCATTACATTTTCTGTCACATTTTTGTATTCGGGCGCTGATTCTCCATACCGTTAGTTATGTAGAATGATGGTTGAAATGTCTTTTTTTTTTTTCTATTCTCTGCATCTTTGGGATCTGTATCTCACACCTGCAAGGGCCTAATCAAGGCCTGCAGTATGTAATAAATAATAAATAAATTTTATAAATTTCAGTTGTATGCTTGTGACACGATATGATCATTACTGAAACAACGAAAAGTACCGCACCATTTTTCGCTAAAATTGTTTTCCCAAATGATACCATGCAACAAAATAAACGCAAAAATCTACAGCGTCTCCCCACGCAAACTTGGAGATATGGCCTATTTACACTATGATGATGATGATGATAGTGCAACAGTAGCACCACCTCTAGGTCTATCTCGAGGCCACTATTTACGTGTCTAGATTCATTCTGCATTAGGAGCGATTTTGAAGCATGACTTTATTGCGAGACATCAACCTCGAAAAAGAAGCATTTTGGAATCGCACAGATGAATCTAGCAAATACATACACTAAAACATTTTCTTTGGCAGAACGTCAATTTTGTGACTAAGTAACCTTCCCAGGTACTCAAAAAAACAAATGTTTCAGTGTCCTTTTATAGGGGTATTCAAATGAATCCGGAGGTCATTTATTTATGGTGATAACTCAATCTATCGGCTCTAACCATCCTAAAAGACCCGAAAAAACACTCATGGGCAGCCGATTTCCCCATTAAAAACCTAATCAAAGATTGTGACACGGCCCTCTTTCTGCACCTTGGAGCAGGCACCAAACAATAATTTCTGTATTACGTCTCTTACACCCAAAGATTTGACGTTTTTGCCAACTATAATCCACAATGCGCCTAAACAGAGCAATAATAGTAACATTTAGAATCTCCACGTAATTAACTATTTTTATTGGTCAAGAGAAAAACCGCACATGAATTTCTATTGCTGGGAGATTAGTAAAATGTCTTGCCATCAGAACTGGTCATTTTTAATGACTAAAGCTCAACAAACAATATGCCATCAAAAACAAGCAAACCAGAGTGCCACTTTAAGGCAATTTTGAAACACTGCATTGGTCATGGGGCAGTTTGGTACTTTGGCCGATGTTCCAGGAGAGAAAACCAGCCATCGGACCGCCAAAACAACATGCTTTTCCTGCAAGATTCATCAAACTATTAAGCGCTGGAGAAATCAGCCATCTACATTAAGTCCTTATTTCAGACTCTTTTTGTTTACGTTCCACCCATTGAGAAACATACCGAAAGAGCCCAAGTATGCACCTGAACTCAATACACCACAGTCTTTTTTCGCACAATAAAGTCCATCTCTATGGTCATCAAATGTCAATAGACATGCATGTGAACACAGCGTCTGAAGCCAGCTACAGCCACGCCATCTTTCGAACATTGTCAGCTACCAATGCGACGCTAGCTTGGGCTCCAAGCTAGGCTGCCAAACAGTCCACACTGCGTGCGGACACGTTGACCTCCACAACGGCGCAACCAACTTTGGCTAATGTTGCAGCAATCGCGTTAGCAGAGGAGTTTTGCAAGGTGGACCCACCCACTACTCACTTCAGATCCATAAAGAAGACGCTTCATTGCCATGGTGACATTGACGATAGCAAATAGACCATCGTGTGGAAGCAGACGGCAGGTTGGCAAGATCAGGTGCGTACTTGTGCACTTTCGCCGTGTTTTTCAATGGGCGGAGTGTGAACAAGAAGAGTTTGAAATAAGGACTTGGCGCAGATGGGCGATTTCCATCAGCACCAAATATTTTGACAATCCTTACACGAAAAGTATGTTTTTAGTTTGCAATTTGGACAAAGTTTCTTGTACTGTAACATAAGGCTAAACTACCAATGTGCCGGCAATGGAATTGAAAGGAGCCACAGAATGGCAGCTGATGCTCAGCCAAGAGGCTTCTTTGAAGCTCTGAAGAAGCTCTTGCTTAGAAAAATGTTTGCTGGTACTCCGAGGCATCCCAGAGCTTCCTTTTTCAAGTTCTTTGCCCCACTCCCTCTGTGCTTTGCTTGGACTTCATGGGTCTAAAATCATGAACTTCTAATGTTCAAATAAATTTAAAAAAAAAATGTTTTCTGCTTTCACGATTTAAGCATTCCGACAGAAGCATGATTATCTAGTCTCCTCGACAATTCACCACATTTACTGATACTACAGCAAAAAGTCTTGGAAGACCATGGTTAAATAAGCTTCGGTTCAAAAATCAGCATGATCGGGGATAAGGTTTCCCTCTTTCCTGGCACAAAAAGTCGATCGCGGGTCATGCTAACTAATAACTGATTCACTCGTTATAACTCACCTACGACCATAAGAGTGAACTCGAACCCTTTCTTCACGGACTTTCGGTGGACTTGGTTAGGCAGATTGGCGAAACCAACGTAACCAGCGGTCTCTGGGTTGGAGAACTGTCGACAAACAGGTTAGTGGACGCTCGACATTGGCGAAACGGGTCAGAAAAACACGAGCTAGCTAAGTTGGCGGGGTTTCCAAGAGCGGAAACAAACATACATTACGTGGCTCGTTCACACACCTATCAGTTTGTTGCGCACACGGAGGAAAGACGGCCGTGAGCCCGAGCTTAGAAGACAGGTAAGTACAGGTACCGTCAAGAGAAATGTGAAGGAGAAGCGCGAGCTCCGGTAGTTGCCGAGATTTCGTCACAAATCGGGAACGGCCGCCGGGCCGAACAAAAGACGAGCTCGCGAGGATCCCAATCAAGGGCAAGCGAAGAAGCTTACCGTTTTCGTTTCCGCCGACATTCCTGGTTCAGTAAAAGCAGATGGCCCCGCAGAAAGTGGAATTCAGCCTCGATCACCTGGCACTCGACTAACGCGATCCAAAAGGTAGAGAGAGCGCTATGTAATTGTCAAACAGACCGGAAGGAATCCGTGTTTGTACGAGGCGCCATATTTGATGGGTGGAGATTGTGCAGATTGTGCGGCAACGCTAATGGCGTGCCCAGGCGGCGCGGTGCCGCAAAGGGTCACGAGACGCGTCGCCGCCGCCGGTTTAATCTTACTGAAAACGAAACCATTACTCGGCCCGCCTGCTGTTGAGGAAAGAAGTCGCTCTTCTAGTTATCGCCCTTTTTACCCACGCGCTGTTTTTCTTATGTTGTATCTGACTATAGCAGTGGTGATATAATGCGAAAGTTGGAGAAGGTGCATTACCTGGATCCCAAAATAAATCTTAAAAAAAAACAAAAAAACCGCATCTCCACGTGGTGAATGATGCATGGCGAAGCTCTGGTGGTGCTTGTCTGCGTAGACGCTGAGCCGCAGCGTGCAGAGCCTTTCGTTCGTTTTCATCCATGTCACGCTGCGGTCAAATGCTCAGATGCGTATATGATAGTGATAGTATTTATTGCACTTCAAAGTTTGTGGTGCCGCTTGGTGTGCAGGTGAGGAGGGAAAGGCATACGCCCATACACATATTGTGTATGGGCGCATGCCTCAACGAAGAGCCGCTTTTGGCGAAAGCGGCTCTTCGTTGAGTCCTGGTTTATCCAGCACACAAAGCGGAACGTGAATCGTTCTTCGGGCTCCCTGCCCAGCAGCTACGCCTCGGGACTGCGTGACGTGAGCAAAGCCCCCTACATCCGTATGTGCATTTAGGCGACACGTGTTCTTTTCTTTTCGTCACTCGCCCGTGAACAAGGGACCGAACTGGTCCCGAAACGTCGGGTAGATGTTTATTAAATGTTTGGTTAGAGTCCCTATTTTTCGCTTCAAAGCAACATCATTGGACCTTTTCCACATACCGACGGCATCTGGCGGTGGCTGCACGAACTAAAAATCGAGGAAGTGACCTACCTGCGCTACCAATTGATAATGGGAGCTACGCTACCAGTTTCTTCGCTCTTTCAAACGTCGTGTTTTCCTTTCCGTCGACGTTCTTTTTTTGTGTAACGCAATTATATATATGCTGCAGTTACGTGTTTTACTCGCTGATATACAGCCTCCTTCCTAATTTCCTCGATTTTTCGTTCTGACTTCCGCCGCTTGGCATCAGGCGCTCGCGCGTGCGCAGAACGCTTCTCGGAAAAGGTTCAATTCACCACGGTCTTTTTTCTTTTTTTTTTTTTTTTTTGCCCTACACGAGCACGTGAGCGCGTGCTCACGTGTATTCACACGCGGGTATTCACACGAGGGAGAAATCCCGTGGATTTCTCCCCGGCACGCGCATCCCACGACGAAAACGTCAGGCTTTGCGATGTGCAGAAGCCTCGCGTTTTCATCTCGTGATGCGCGCGTGCTGGGGAGAAATCCCGGGGATCTCTCCCTCGTGTAAATACCCTAAAAAATTATATAAGCTGACCAGCGGCGTAGCCAGGGGGAGGCTCCCCACCCCCATCCCCGAAATCCAGCCGACAGGGTGTCCCCACCATGGGTGTCCTCGACGAAAGTTTACAGGGTTTTTGTCACCGCAAAACTGAACTAGTTACGTATCGCCAAACGCTCATTCTCCGCCCGATGGTAACGTTAGAGGTCCGAAGCCGATGCCAAAGTTACGGCGCGAACCGATATTTTATTCAAAAGTTAAAAGGGATTTTCTGAAAATTTTAATAAAAATATGCCCGACGGAGCTTTGAATACGTATCTAATACATGGAGCTCTATGGCGCCAGAAACCAAAAACGGGTAAAAATGGACCCCATTTTAATATCCCATTGAAATTATCAGAAAATCCCTAATTACAACTTTTGAATAAAGTATTGGCTCGTGCTGAAACTTTGGCATCTTGTTTGGACCTCTATTGGTATACAGCTTTGGGCGGAGAATGAGCGTTCGGTGAAGCATAGTTTATTTTTGCTGTGAAAAAACCTTGTACATCGAGGGCGATGGAAAGAGACTAGGGTGACCAACCGCGACTCGCGGGAGTGTCCCGCATTGAGGGCTCGTCTCCCGCGTCCCGCGAGAAATTTCCAAATCTTCAAAATGTCCCGCATTCCATCCTGTCGTAAAATTTACTCTGCAACCCATGGCGCTGCCGAACGACGGGAAAGCGCGGAGGACGCTGGTAATCGTGTGAATCGCAAATGGTACGCCATTTTCTATCCAAGCTATTGCGGGAAGCGACCGTCGTTCTTGCAGGAGAATCGACGTGCTCATTCTTATGAAGCAATGGTGAGGGTGCAGGCTAGCTGGTGTAAATTGGGCATATAGCTGTAAACCCGAGACTGAGGATACGAACAAGGGACAAACACAGAACGACACTTCGTCCGTGTCGGTCGTGTTTGTCCGTTGTCTGTATCCCCTGTCTCGGGTTTACAACTATGCTCATTCTTCGTTGTCTCTCTCCCCTTGGTGGCAAAATATTGTAAGAAAAAAGTTTAAATATAAAATATTGTAATTATTTTCATATCGCTGTGTAAATGCAAAACAATTTCCGCGGTTTTTTTTTTTTTTTTTTTTTTTTTTTTTTTTTTTTATGAAGACAGTTACACAAGGCAGAATCTAGCCTGCCACTCGCAACGGTCGAAAAAGAACACGATGTTAAAAATTTCCGTAGGACCATGCTGATAAAAGTAAGCGTTGACAGGAAACAATAACCCGGAAAAGGTTTACTGTTTCTTTACTCCATTTGATGCATTGAGTACTGCTGCAGTCGATTTTTATGTTTTCGATTTCGACACATTTAATAACAGGTTTGCAGGGGCGGATTTAGAGGGGGGGGGGGGGGGGGGGGGGTCCGGATGTTCTGACCTCCCTCTTAATTTCTGCATGTGTAAAATTAAGGGCGTGAAACGAGGGAGAGGGGGAGGGGGTTCCTAGACATAGGGTACGCTCACCAACACCTGACCCCCCTTCCCCAGGGAATTCCTGCATCCGCCCCTGGCTTTGGCATAAAAAAATATATGTCACTGGGAGTGCAAATTAATTGCTGCAACACAATTAGCAGGTGTATAAACAGCACAGGATATTAAATATGTTAACACAGCCTCAGTATTTCCTCAACCCCCCCCCCCCCTGCACCGCGTGTCCCGCATTTCGCTATCGGGAAGGTGGTCACCCTAGGAGAGAGCGATAGAGCGGCGGCCACAGTGCAACGCACCATGCGAGTTTTTGCGTACGGACACCGCGCAATAATGACACATTCCGCTTAAAAGAAGAAGAAAAAAAAAAAAACACGAAAGTTTTGTGTTTAGTTTGTTAAACCAGGCATGGGTACCTGTGCCATTTATTTTAATAAAAATTACTTGTCACAAACAACATCAACAGCATTGTCTTTATGACAAAAGGCTCACACGGCCTTAAAGCCGCAAACAAAACCACGAACCTTCCAAGAGCCGCAGGGGAGGGGTGGGAGGCAAACTTTTGTCCAGAGCAATAAACGAAACTCCAACTACTTTCAATCTACCAAGTCAGAAGTAGTCCAACTGTACGTAAGGTCGTAGTAGTAGCACAAGATTACCAAACTGCAACCTTGTCTTTTGATTTAAAAAGCGTTCCATTTCTCTTTTTGGGGAAGTGCGTGTGACCGGGAGGAAGGAGAGGTAGGGGGGGGGGGGGGGGGGGGGGGGTAGGGGGGAGCCAAGAGCCGCATGCTTGGCATATAGGCACGGAAGTCGGCTCTCATAGAGAAATTTCGTTTTTCTCTCGATCCGCGAGTAATGTCATCTTGTCAACTTTCACATTTAATCAGCACTGCTAGTGTTACCATGTATTACGTTCACATGAAGTTTCAGCATTGTGCGATGCGTAGTTTGTTTATGCAAACCAAAAAACAAAGTTTCGTGTTTTTTTTTTTTTTTTTTTTGTTTTTAATACTGGACGTTAAAAGTGGGTGAGCTTTTCTCCCGGGACCATCGTTCCGGGGCTCGTGGACAGTGGACACCAATTGATACAAAAGCAAGATCGAACTTCTTGTCTGTTGATGGAACGGCACCTAGCCCCACGAGTTCCAGACGATCAGGAGCTCCCATCGCTCTTCGGGTGACAGAACATATATTGGCATGGAACACAAAAAATTAAAGCCGCTTATAACTCCCTGTAACACCGAATTAGAGCGCAGTTCTTGAGGAGGAGGAGGGAAGGGTACTGAGGGGAGCGTATACCTCTGCTCACCTTCTCATCCTGCTTGATACTACTCCCTCCGAGCGGCGTCGGCGTCGGCGTCGCCGTCGGCGTAAGATTACGTGCCCCTCATGACCGCACGGAGGTCACGTGACCTCACGGTTACGCCGACTAGTACACCATACCGACGTCGCTCAAGTCGGAAACGGGCGCCTAAGAACTGCGCTCTAAAATAACAAATAAAACTACAAAACTAGCAAATTAAATCGTCTATATTTTTTGAGGGCTTCGAGGTTCTAGCAGTTCTAGGACTAGCAGTACTAGGATGAAACCGGAACCGTTACGTTGAGTAAGCAAAACCGACCCTGACCAAACCGAAAATGTATGGCTTTCGCGTACATTATAATAACTCAATGGGCTTTCGAGTTTGGTTTCACACACACCAAGACGTTACCACCGCTGTCGACGGCGTCGACGCATCTCGACCAACGATTGATCTCGACGATCTCGACGCAAATACCCACTCAAACCCATAGTAGCCAACGTTAAATGACTAGCCCTCTATCCAACGCCGACCCAAATCGAGCCACAGGACGCCGGACGACGTACACAAGCTGCACGTGTTTTGGTGCTTTTGAAGTGTGATTTGAAGTTGAAGGTTTTGGAGTATGTCACTCGCTGAGCCATCACATTTGCGGGCCGAAGCTGTCACTGGCAAACAGAAAAGTCGTTTCCTCGATGCCTTTTATAACCTGGCCGACTCGAAGAAGCCAGTGCGCGTCAATGCGGCCGAGACCATCATCAAGGAGATTTTCAAGTCCGACGATCAGGCAAGTGAACTGCGACTGGTGCAAACTTTTTCGGGGACGCTCACTTACGTCTGTTTTGGCCCACCGATGTCTTGTCCATTCGTATGGCGACCGGAATAGGAGAGTTCTGCCGTGTGCGTGATTAATATCCAGTCAAATATTACCTTCCTAAAAGAAATATAATTAAAATAAGAACACCGACTTGACATAACAGAAAAAACAACTTCATTAGACGTTTCGCCTCCCATGCGGGAGGCGTCACCAGTAGTTACACAGCAAATGCAGGGTTCAACCTCAACTCAACGCTATTTATCACGAATGTCCACACGGACATTCGTGATAAATAGCGTTGAGTTGAGGTTGAACCCTGCATTTGCTGTGTAACTACTGATGATGCCTCCCGCATGGGAGGCGAAACGTCTAATGTAGTTGTTTTTTCTGTTATGTCAAGTCGGTGTTCTTATTTTAATTATGACGTCTCCCGGCTTTTGGAGCATTTTTGCATAAAAGAAATATGTAGGGAGCGGCTGTTTGCAGACAGCACTATGGAGCTAGCCTGGACATATATTCGTGGGTTGCTGCGTCTAACACTTCAGAATAATTGTGGACAATGCGTGTGTACTGTACAAGCGGCTTTCTCTACTTACTGTAATTTCGGGGGAACGAACACCACTAAAGTGCCGTGCGATCATTATTGCAGCGCGACGAACCATCGAAGGAACTGAACTACACGGTCGAGCGTCTAGTGAAGGGGTTGCCGTCCACGCGAAAATGTGCACGTGTTGGATTCGCGGCTGCGCTTTCTCAGGTAAGCACATGGCCCTTTCACAAAATCAGTGTCCCGTCTCCTTGTTGTTGTTTCATCTGCCATGTTGGCAGCTTTCCGTTTACTATTTCGGTAGCATAAAATTCAATCACAGGTTTATGATCCTAGGGGCAAGTCAAGTTTTTGTTTCTTACACGTATCACCGTCACTGTTCCTGTTGCTGAATAAATGTTTTGTCGACTTGGTGTCCTAGATCCTCCAGGTGTTCCCTGCCATATCTGCGGAGGAAGTGTTGGATTACATTGACAAGCACCTTCCACATGACAGCAAAGAGGTATGCTCTTTTTGAATTTGATCTGATTTCATTCCATGTTTTTCATTTGTTTCACAGAGGGATTGAAAATCTCATTTACACTTTACGGACAGGATGTTGGGAATGCCGTGTGCGCTCGCCTTCCCTGTTTAAAAGATTCAAAGTAAATAACCAAAATAAGGCTAGGACGAATGCATGGCCAAGGTGCCATTTGTTTTAGGCTTTTGCTTTAGAACACTTACTGCGGCAGATGCCAGCACGTGTGGCACATGGACCTGCATTCCCGGCATTCTTCTTGATGCTTGGGTAACTTAGCAAGAGGTTTGTTGTAGTATCAGCACCAAGGTCACCCTTCATCTGTGTTTTTATTCACCTCGTTCAGCAGGACTTGGTAGCACAAAGGTGCCACAGTATTTCGTGGCCCAGTAGATCCCGATAGTATATGCCTTTGTTCCTGAGTGACGTACAGTGGTTGGAAAAAATATCTTTTATTCGGGAAAATATTAAGGAGTTTAAGAATAACACACGCAATTTTAGCGCACGCTAACGCAAAATTTAGTGCTTGCTTTAGCGCATGCTACGAAAGAGTATTTTAAAACAGTGTTCCTCTGCCGCCACGCAAAAACCCAAGCATCTCGCACTGACAACGCCATCAAGGTACAGTAACAATTCTTATTTCACACATGAAATGCTGTAGCTTGAGAAAAAAAAAAAAAGTTTTTTGGCCCAGAGTAACATTTTAGATTGTTCCAACCTGAGAATGTGTCATGAGCGGTCGACCGGTCGTGTCCGCTTGCATCGCCCCGGCAAGAGAGGTCTCGTGTACTGACCTTCGCACATGTACCTGACGTACGTTAGCCGAGAAATATTTGCGCGTTGCAAGCAGCAAGTTTCCGACAATCATTGCCCACCTTGCTGGGTCTTCCGAACCGTTTGTGACGTTCACCTCCCATTCAAGTGCAGTGTCGTCCTCTATCGAAAATCACAATAGGGAGGACGGGGAAGATGCCACCGACATCACGCTCTTGATGATCGCCAAAGCGGTGGCAGCCGCGGTCCTGGGAGCCGCCACTTTCTAACTGTGCTCATCTTGGCTTTAGCCAACTACTCGCACATTGCGAATCCTCCTTGAAGGAGTGCAAAGACACTTTGTATACGCATGCAATTTCCAGAAAGTAGCGCACGCTAAAATGATGCACACGAAGTGCAGAACATAATTAGTGTTCGGCACATGCACAGGGGCGACGACGCTATTCTTTGCGTACTCAAAGCTTTAGCGTGCTCTGTTCTAAAACTGCCTATTAAGGGCACCTCCGCTTCAATTTCCTTTTTGAAACAACAATCCACTCACAGTCGCAAGTGTGTGAGCCAGCCTCTGCACCGTATGGCTGCTGGAGATTCCGACCCTTCCTCTTTTTTGCTCGCAGGACAAGAACCATGTGGCGATCGGACGCTGCCTTGCGCTGTCCTCGCTTGTTCGGTCGGGAAGGGCAGACGATGTCGCTGGCACCGTTGCGCGTAGACTCCTCAGCGTGGGCCTGGAATGTCCTCATCTTCAGTTGATGGCCTGCGAGGTCTTGAGGGAACTCCTAAATCAAGTTTGTCTCGTTTTATTTTTATTTTTTTTTCATTTTGCTGTTTACTTATTCATTTGTCAGTGTAGCATTTGTGACCGTCCGGGTTGCGTCCCATTTTTTTGGTTTCGTGGAGGGGCAGTGTTTAGCAACCACACACTATATTGTGCTTTAGTGCAACGTGGCAAATAATAATAATAATAAAAAAAAGTGTGCTAGTGTTGACGAAGTATGCGCTGCAACTCTCACTTAGTGACTCATCACTGCCTGGTCATTTCCCTGGGGCAGTTCCTCTTGTCCTTCTTTGAAGGACAGCTGAGCAAACTTGGTTTGCTTTAACTCTCTTGGAAGAGTAGTAAAAAGATGTCTACAGTAGCATTATTTTGAATAATTGAGTGGCACAGTATTCAAATGAATGTCTAAACCCTGATTTTCAGGTGACTTGTCTGTCCTTGGAGTTATGCTTTCCTGACGGTCACTGATTTTATTCAAAGGGAGGCATTCATTCAAACATGCTGTTAAAATTTCCAAATCTGTATAGTCTTTCTTTACCTATCTACAGGGTGTTTCACGAAAGGTGGACAAATTTGATATTGCGAAAACTATGCATCGCAACAAAAAAAGGCCTGGGCCAGGGGCTCACAGAGGAAGATTATTACAATCCAGAATAATTAGATCGTTAATTATTATTGCGTAATTAACTTTTTTAATGTTGTGTTTAAGGGCATGGTTTCAATTAGAAAATTGCTCAGCATCATTGAAAAACACTAAATCAACAAATTGCAGAATGAAAGAAGGCACGCGCAGCATTTTGCGGCTTTCTGAAAAACCGCACAAATTCAACGGGTTTTTAAGTTCTGGTTTGCAATCGAAGCGCATCTCGGCCCCGACGGCACAGTGCCTCGTGGAGAAATAGTGCAACCAACCTCTGCTGCGCTGTCCTCGCGCAACGCAGCAAAGCTTGGTTGCACTATTTCTCCACGGGGCGCGGTGCCATTGGGGCCGAGATGCGCTTCGATTGCAAACCGAAACTTAAAAACCTGTTGAATTTGTGCGGTTTTTCAGAAAGCCGTAAAATGCTGTGCGTGCCTTCTATCATTCTTTAATTTCTTGATTTAGTGTTTTTTGATGTTGCTGAGCAATTTCCTAATTGAAACCATGCCCTTAAACACAATATAAGGGAAGGGAAGTGACATTAGCGCCAATTGCGCCATTTTGATACAAACCCAATTTTCTGTGCCTAGTTGCGCCAAAAACGCGAAATTGGTCGATATTGCACCACACTGCGCCAAAGTAACTCAGAAACTAAAAAAAGTTTGCAGCGACGCTAGATTTAGTAGAAAACGAGAGCTTGGTTGGCAACATTCAATCTCGTCGTAGTAAAGTACACGGCACGGGTACAGTGTGGCGCTAGCAACTGCCTGATTTGAAGATTTCAGCTCTAGTACCCTCTATACCTATGACACGTGGTCTTTTCCCGATTTTCATACTACTTTTGCTACTTTCCGCTGTCATTTGTGACTGCATGCTAACGGTGCACTGTCACGCGGTCTCGCTGTCTGGCCGCGGGAGGTACGACGCGCAGGCTATCAAGATGAGCAAACCTAAGTATTTCTTTCATTTTGAGAGCAAACCTTTTCTTAAAAGTGCTATTGAGTGCCTCCATTGCGCAATTGTTCATTCGTGTCCGTAATCTCGTCAAAATGGATGGCGCCGTCGCCGTGAGTACTTTCGGTCATCACACACGTGCTTCCAGTGCGTGAGCGATCGAGTGAATCGGTCACAGACCCGTATTTAGCGTGAATGTCGCGCTCATAGTTTTTCTACCAATTCGCTAATTTACCTTGTGACTCGTTTTGGTGGGAAGTTTTTTTTCTATTTGCACGTGCTTTCTATGAGCGTCCGATTGATGTCTGGTTGTAGTAAACCTTGCTTCCCTGTTCATGCTCTCGAATCGCTACTTCAAAAAGTTTTGCACTGCAATTGCGCTTTGGCACCAGTTCGTATAAGCTTGAGGTACCTGGTGCCCAACTAACTTTGCACCAAGCTTGTTTTCCTGTCCTCATCTATGCGGATAAAACTTGCGTTTGCCTTCTCAGTGTTTTTTTTTTTTCTTTTATATCTTATTTTGGTGCGTATCGGTGCTGATGACCCATTGGAACCAAGGTGGACAAAAATTACATAAATAATTATGTGATTTATATAAAATTTTTTATGGTTTAAATTGCTGATAAGCTGCTCTAACATTTTCTGCTGCTAATCTGCTCCAAACTGTAAACTTTTGTGCTTCAAAATTGCTCCAAAGTGCATAAACTACTGCTCCGAAATGAGAATTTTGTGCTCCTGAGCTGCTCCAAAATCCAGATTTTTCTCCTCCAAAAATGGCTCCAAAACCTGTTTCACCTGTCTCACCCCTGCAATATTAAAAAAGTTAATTACGTAAAAATGATTAACAGTCTGATTATTCCAGACTTTAATATTAAATTTTCCTATATGGGCCCCTGGCCCAGGACCAAAACAACACAAGTCTTTTTTTGTTGCGACAAGTAGTTTTCGCAATGTGGAATTTGTCCACCGCCCCTTCCCTCTCATCTGCCATTGCATCAGCCCTCCCCCGGGTAATATACGCTTCCAGGAACACAGATTGCTCGTGTTTGGTACCAGTGCGCCAGGCTAATATGACAAGTTTCTATTTCTTGTGGCCGCAGCTGGCCACCTGTCTATCTTTGTGATTGCTGTTTTAGCACGCTTTCTGCGCCGTTTGTAGTTGAGAGAGAGTCGCACACAGGCAGACACCTCTCGTGAAGCACCATTGCAAAAAAGATATAATGGAGCTACTAGCATCGTTACTGCTAAAAAAAAAGTTATTCAAGCGTTACAAAAGTACAATACAGGGTAAATTGATTACAAGTAATCAATTACTTGTAATGCTTTACATTCTAGTCTTGTTGGAAGTGGCTCTTCTGTTTGACTGTGTCATATGTTGCTCGTACTGTCGAGACTGGCTATAACGAAGTCAATTATAACGAAATAGCGGCTACAGTGAAGCGATCACAATTTCCCATTCCCTTTTGCACTTCTTTATAACCGAAGTCGGTTATGACGAAATAGCGGATACTGCGAAGTGATGTCCGATTCCCGTTCACTTCGTTATAACCGGTCCCGACAGGAGTCTAATGCTACTAGCAGCAAGGTTTTGTTGCCTTCCACAAAATATGTGCCAAACACTGCACAACCTGGAGTTCCTGGTTGAATGCAAGAACCTCTCCTCCTCTTTCTGTTCTTCCTCTCAGATGAACGAGAAGAAGTTCAAGAAGAAGGTGTGGCCCGAGCTCCGAGATGATCTCTCCTGCGGGTGGGACAAGTGCTCGCCCCTGGTCCTCTTCGTCCTTGTCCTCGTGGCTGAGAACTTTCCGGTACATAACCAACTTTGGCATTTGTTTGTAAATATGTAAAATGTTGTTTTTAAAAAAAAGAAAAAAAAAGAAAAAGAGAGTTACAGTTGTTTTGCTTGCGCACCTTCTTCTAGACACTGGATCTGCATTGCGGGCAGTGTTTCTTCATTTGAAAAGATTTTTTTTGTTGTTGATAAATTCAAAGTGACAGAGATATTACTGGCGAGTGTCTTTCGGATTTTATCGGTTTTATTTAAAAACGGGGAGACCTAGTCATAGCCTCATGTCTCGCAAACACCGGTTAGGTTGTGATCGGTCGGGAATGGGGCATTCTGAAACTGTACTATTCTCCTGCTTCTGCATATTTGAGACACTCTTTGGTAGCATTGCGCAAAAAAAAGGGCACAAAGGGACTGCTGAACTTCAAAGTTGACGTGCAGTGTGGGCAGTGGAATAGCAAACACATCTTTAATTTGCTTAGGAGAATGCCGACGTAGAGGGGGTAAGGTGTTACGCTTACACTGACGATGAGGGCGGACATGTCCCTTGAGATTTCTCCCCTCTGCACTCGAAGCGTGTGGCACCACCACGTGGCGTCTCGTAATTATTAGACTCAATGACTCTGCTCATTAACCCTTCTAGCGCCACACCCGAGTGTACTTGGGTGTGTTTCCGTGTGGTTTCGATTTCGGTTTGCTCCCTGCCCCTCCTAACTGGGCCGCCATTTTTTTCTATTTGTAGCGGCGTATTTGAGCAAGCGATGAAAGCAATGTTTTATCTTGTGGTGTCACTTTTTGACGGCATGCTTTTCTTTCTTTTTTTTTTTTAGGCGACTTTTTTTTGCAGTATGCTCATTCGTTGTTACAGAACAGCGAATCTATGTCATTCAACTTTGCACTTTATGGCGAACATTGAGACCTAAAAATTATTAACGAAATAGGTATTCAACGACTGTGAACACTGTGAACACAAGAAAGTTACAGTTCCGAATAAACGAGCGCCAAGTAAAGTTAGGCCACTTGAAAGACTGACTTTAGGGTGCGAGGTCGAGATGCCGCTGCACAGTGTCATGTCTCGAAAACTACAACACCAGAAATATGTCTTAGGTTAGAGGGATGCAGATATCACTTAACCTTTTGGCCATAAAATAGTTTGTCTTTTAAAAATATATACTCTCGCAAGGTACACTGTTACTGAGACCAGAATTTGCCTACGGCATGCGGGCAAAATAACACGGCACTCAACAAGTAAAATCGCGGTTGAACTTTTGACACAACCTGCCGACTGGTGGCATCTTGACTGCCTCATGGGACCACACTACTATTGCACTTCTAGACTTCAGCCGTCACTATTGGATACTCATGTAAACTTCTGAGGCTTAGGTGCTACTAAATAAAACTACTAGTTGGTGGTAAAACCGGCACACACCACTCAAATGGCAAGTCACAGATTGTGTAACAATATTTTTTCTTTGTTCTTTATTCATTATGCTTCCTGCACATCTTGTTTATTTATATCCTCCTTGTTACAGGTAGGGATACAAAAATAAGAGATATAGAAAGCACTGGTACATATTTAGAACAAGTTAATGTTAAAGGGCATATTGATTATTTGAGCAGTTTAGGTTTTTTTTTCTTTTCTATTGTCCATTACAATGTGTGTCTCATTGTATCAGGAGTCTTGTAGTGCTTGGGCGTGGGGTTTACATGCTCGCTTTTATTTCATGGTCACTTTGCACCCTTCTTTTGAGCTGCCAGGGTGACTCGATACATTGCGAATGATGTTGACCAATGGGTTGAGATACTAAAAGGTTTCGCTGTTTCTCGGACTGCGCAGAGTGTGGTGGACCCGGCATTCCTGCGGCAGCACTGGAAGTCTGACAGCATTTTCGATAAGAACAACTTTGTCGAGATCTCCGGCATTCTTCAGGTCTGTTTTCAACATGTTGCCTATACAAAATCGGTCAATTTAGTAGTTATTGTTCGCTTTTCTCCTCTGACATGTTTATTGTGTTATGAGCCTCCAACCGATCAAGCCGTTTACGTGTGCGAGACTGCCTGCTGTGTACCACGAAACAAACATTTTTTAGGTTACCCTACTCCAATTTTAATCTATGATGACTTTTAAAACCTATTTTTTTTAACAACACTGATCTATAATCGGCCTGTTTATCTACCCAAAGTCCTCCTAGCATGTTTTTTTGCTAACTTAATATTTCACAAATTCGACAAAGTTGAAAGTTCCAGACTATATTGCAGCTACAAAATGTTGCCGAAGTAAAATAGGGGATGACAAAATAGAAAATAAACACACGCCATACAATCCTGAGCAAGTGCCCACTCATTATTTGGAAATAAATTTGTAAAACTGGGGATGAGCGCTTCTTAGGTCAACAATATGTAAAGAAATGTCCTTTGTGTATTTTCCGAATCTCACGAAATTGAGGAGTGGGTGATTATTGTGGAATAGGTGGATGCTCGGCGTCTTACGGCAATCTCGAAAGTACCATTTTTCACTATTCCTTTCATTTGCGAGAGCCACAAAAATTGAGGTCTGTGCAGAACGTGTCACACTCTGTAGCCTTCTTTCATATTTCCTCTCGTGTCCTTGGGTTCTTGCAGAAGTCTACAAGTGTTCATCCCCACATTCATCCCGCTTGTACGGCTGTCCTCGAGGCTGTCCTTGCTACCAAGAACTTCAAGAAGTTCTGGAAGCAGTTTGTGGACGGTAAGCTCCCTCTCTTCTCAGCGCCGACAACCTTTGTCGGTGCAAGCAGAGAAACCAAATTCTGCATCGTTGAAACCGACCTTTGTCACCGTTCCCGATGCACCTCGCCTTTGGGGTCCTGCAGACGGTCTCTTGAATGCCGGCCAGGAGCACAAGACGTTCCTCGCCCTGGAGTTGTTCAAGTGGTGCTTGCCACGCCTGTCCAGTGCTGAAAAGGTATCTTTCAAGTATCTTTTATTTTCTCCCTTGTGCGTATTAGTCTGATTTTCTTTTCTAGAATTAGAGTTTTCTGGCACCTGTTTTTTTTCTTTATGGGATTGGGCATAATAAACTGATGTATTTTTTGTTAAGGGGTTTTCGGCATCACATAAGTGAACTGGAAACACATGGAAAGACACCAAATGAGGGGGTACAGGGGGACACGAGCTGGTCGTCTTTTGAGAGCAGAGAGGCAATTAGTAAGTTGAAATCTGAACCAAGGTTGACCGAAATGGATGATACGTGGTGGGCACGGGAGATATTCAAGTGTTTATACATGAAAAGTTTTATACAACTGGACAAACTGAACCCAAAAGATTACATTTAAATACCTACTCACTAGTGATGGGGCTGAGCAGACTACTTCAGTGGAAAACAGAGGGAAAGAGGCAGAAAGAAAAATGCGGGAGTTAAGAATGCAGGAAAAATCAGCTTTAACAATGTGCAGGACACAAAAACAGGTCATAAGAAAGGAAAATCTGTTTGCCAATTCACTGCGAAGTTCTTTACTGTTTGTGGCGAGAACGGGAGTTTTTTGAGGACAAGGACACATAGGGCTAAATTTTAGGAGACGGACACATTGTGTGCTGCTTGCCATAATGAAAGTGAGACACTAGAGCACTTGGTATTGAAGTGCACGGGGCTTTGCCCTGTTCTCCATGAAGGGGTAACAGATTTGGCCGGGGCCTTCGGTTTTGCTGGCGACGATGGAGGAACGGAGGAGGAGAGGATTACAGTCACAAAGAGGCGATTAGAAGATTGGTGGAAATTATCTAGAGAAAATTGAATGATGCACAACTCACTAGCACAGCTGGGGACAGGCAGGAGAGAGGAAAATTGGGACTCCCTCCCACATGGCTTTGGCCCAATGTCTCAACCCAGATTCACAGTGAGTCCTGTGCTGGCATAACGCCGACAAGGTTTGACCAGAGGAAATTTGGCGACTCCCTCGCCGGGGGGAAGAGGCAGGGGGGTGATGTTTTTTAGTTTTTTTGCCCGACCCCCTGAAGGTCATCCTGGTGATATCCCACACTGCCTGGTGACAGTTAGGGGGAGAAAAATTGGTCTTAAAAAGGCAAGAGGAATCATGTTTTTGTTTTTTTAGACTTAGGCTAGGTGGCACAAGCTACCGCCCGTTACAAAGGGTATAGCTATTAACATCCATCCATCCATAAGTAGCTTTTTAAGCATTAGTAGCTTTTCAAAGAAGTTATCATGAAGGCATCAACGATTTGGTCGAGAATCAGACTAGTGAAAGAGAAAATCCTCTCTATCACTGCCGAAACCAATAAATACCGCCTTGATGCAGAAGTCCTGAAGCATTGAGACGTCTTTTCTGGGGGTTGTCAAGATGCAAAAAGATTTCCGTTCTCACATGGCTCTGTCCTGATCTTGTAAAAGACGAGGAACCTCCGTCTTCCAAGTTGTAGGAGACCTGGACGTGGTCTGTCCGAAATGAGCCTTTTCAGCTCGTTTACTGTTTGGAACATTATTTTTTTTAGTTTTGCCCATAACTTGAAATGAAAGGGCGCGTCACAAACTGTCATCTTAAAGGTTGACGTAGATCTTGCGCTTTCCATTTTTGTCTGCCTCCTGTTTTGCTATATCCTTTCCGCTTTTTATCTTGCTCCAACTTGGCTCTCCTCGCAGCTCAGGAAGGGGGAGTGGGGGCGCTAAGATGATTATCTTTCATGCAGAAAACCGGGGATGTACGTTGTACTTTAAGTGCTTTTGAGTAACTTAGGGGGGGGGGGGGGGAAGGGGGAAAGAGAGAGAACTAGAAAGCCGGTTGCATGGAATCTACAGGAAATGTGAAACTGGGAAAAAAATGACCAAGTCACTGGCCATTCCTCCTTTGTGAACCTATTATGTGGTGGTTTCATATTATAAATTCTTGGACTCCTTGCACAAGGCAATTTTTGACAACAAGTGTATAGACCAACATGCGGCCCTGACGTCACGCAGCTGCGGTGGCGCTGTCGACGGCACGGCGCGTGCGCACACGCTTCACTCCTTCCCAATTTGGTTTCTGCGCATGTGCAGTGCCCACACCTGGTGTGGGCAAACGCGGGCTTGTTTGTAAACAGCGTGTCGGTCTAAAGAGAGACCCAAGCATGACAAAGTATCGCGATACAATCAATACATCGTAAAAGTATTTCACTACTGAGATACAGATACATTTCTCAAGTGTATCATGATACAGAGATGCAGATACTCAAAAGTATCCCTAAGGTACTATCGCGATACAATTGTATCAGGATACTGGCAAGCCCCGCTTTTATAGAGCGAAGAATGTGGCCACACTTTTAGAGCACAGCTCTTAGGCGCCCGTTTCCGGCTTGAGCAACGTCGGCGTAACTGCGTGGTGCATTATGGGAAACATCCCATAATGCAACGCACGGGACCGTCGTGACGTCACGAGGGCGACGTTTTGGCATCCTGCAGAAACGTCACCGTGCCGAAACGTCACCGCAGTGCATTATGACTTGTTTCCCATAATGCACCGCACAAACGTTTCGGCACCGCGCGGTGCATTATGGGAAACGTCCCATAATGCAACGCACGGGACCGTTGTGACGTCACAAGGACGACGTTTCGCAGTGCATTATGAGTCGTTTCCCATAATGCACTGCACAAACGTTTCGACACCGCGTGGTGCATTATGGGAGATGTCCCATAATGCACCGTGGTGATGTGCGCATTGCAATATGGTACATTTCCCATAATGCACCACACAGGAGGGAGGGAGGGAGGAGGAGGAGGAGGAGGAGGAGGAGGAGGAGGAGGAGGAGGAGGAGGAGGAGGAGGAGGAGGAGGAGGAGAGGGTATGGATGGGGGAGGAGGAGCATACCATAGCCTCCCCTCCTCCTCCTCAAGAGCTGCGCTCTAATTCGGCATTACAGGGAGTTGTAAACGTCTTTCATTTTTTTTTTAGAGCGCAGTTCTTAGGCGCCTGTTTCTGGCTTGAGTGGCGTCCCCGTCTGCTGTTTTGGCGTAATTGCGCGGTGCATTATGGGACATTTTCCATATTACACCACGCGGGAAGGAGGGGGAAGGGAGGGGGATGAGAAGGGAAGAGGGGAGGAGCTTGAAGGATCAGGAGAGGAGGTGAATGAGGAGGAGGAAGAGGGGAGGAGTAGCAGGGAGGATCAGGAGGTGAGGAGGAGGGGGAGGATGGGTATACCCTTCCGTCTTCCTCCTCAAGAGCTGCGCTTTAATTCTGCACTACAGGGTGTTGTAAACGTCTTTCATTTTTTAATGGGGGCACCACCATCTCTCAATTTGAAGCTCCCTGTGTAGCTTTTTTAATAACTAAATGCCAACTAATCAAGATAATGATAGGCATATATTGTAGGTGCTTTTTATTTTGGTGAATAGAAAAACACTCCTAGCCATAAGAAATGTTATACGTCAAGCACCCTATCAATGTGTTATCATCAAAAAAGAAAAGAAAAAAAGGTTAGATGCTATTTTGAGTGTTTCTTGAAATCTCTGCGACTTGACCGTTTTTATGTGTTGACTGAGCATTTTGCAGTGCTCATGGTACTCTATAGGTTCCATGTTTTCAGAGTTCATTTTTTTATTGAATTCAGAATTTTTCTTCCAGGGTTTATTTTTTTCTCATAGATTTTTCAGTGTCTATTTTTGGTGTCTGACAACAAAATTGGGGTTTATCGGGTGCTCACGGCAAGGAAAACGGGACACGCTGCAAGATTTTCAAACCCCCGGGAAGCGTGCATACGACCCAAATACTAAAAAAATGTTTCGGCACCGAAAAAAAAAAAATCAAGGAGGGGTGTGCTTCCCGAAGATAGGAGTGGCCTCGCGGACGGTTCATTGTGGGCTGTGTTTCAGAGCAGCTCAAAATACAGTCGTAGATAAAGCTTTCCTGCCAGAATCATTCAGCTTTTTTTTTTTTTTTTTAAATTTTTATTTGGGGTGATTTGGCTTTGCCCGATCTCAATAAAACCGGCTCGAAGGATTAATCTTGGGGGTTTGTTGGTGTTCCCCAAAAACGGGAAGCCTCACTCTCATGAGCTCGGCAGCTCTTGCGCCAATTCGGTGGAAGCGGTCGACCGGTGCTCTCGCATTGACCGCCCTCTCTCCTTCTGTGGTTCGAGGTGGAGTGGGCCCTGTCCCAGGAGTTGAGGAGGCACACCATCCCGGCCATGTGCAACGGCTCCCACGCTCTGCACTCCGTCTCCCGTGGCCTGGTGAGCATTGACCTCTTCTTGAAGCAGGCGATTCTTTAGTGTAATGGAAGCCCGTAGTCTTCCAGAAATCGATCGGTCGGTGGCATGCCATGTCGCAGTGTCACCCAACACTGTGTCACGTGATGTCATGGTATCACGTGACACGACGGGTTGGCATCGTGACGCCACGTTACATGGTGTCGCATAACACCATGGCGTCGCGGGACATGACCACTTTGCATGCACGTGACGTTACAATGTTATGTGACACCACGACATGACAAAATATAAACAAATTGAAGGGGGGGACACTACCCAAAAGTGTCGACTTTTGAACCTTTGGCTTAATATGAGTGAAATTTACAGTATATACTGGCAGTTGTAAGGCAGAATGCAGTGCAAAGTTTCAGCTGCATACGTGAATTGTAAAATTCTTGTTTTTATTCTGAACACACTGACTTTGCTTAGGAAAACTATCATTAGGAAACTAATGTAATACCCAAAGTTTTTCTTCACTGGATATGAAGCAGAATGCTTGCAGAATGAAACCGTGAAAACAAAATTTCCAAAAAGTGATTTATTTTATGCTAGCATTGCGGTGAAAAGTCAAATAATTTTTTTGCCTTTTATGTCGCCGACAAAGTCTTAACATCTTTTATAAAAGACATTCACAAAGTAAAAATACAGTGTCACCAGATGCATTTCCCATTAAACTCCTGTTAGAAAAAACAATGAGTGAGTGTTTTCTTCCGTCCCGTTACCAAACTATAGTTTTCTTAAAGTTTAATTTATGCCACAAAGTGACAGGGAGGGAAAACCAGTTCAAAGTTCTCCAACCTCTATCTTTTCTTTAGCATCGGCAAACCAAAAATAATTTATAAAAAAATAACTGTGGAGTGTAAACTAATGTTACTTTCTGGGGATACGCTCTGGATGTTGGTGGATGTAAATATGGCATTTTTCAAAATCAACCTTTTTGGCGGAAAAAATTTTTTTTTTTCTTCTTGGTAGTGTTTTTTCTTAAGCGACCACCCTTGAATAGTGCATTTCATGAGTTGTAGGACTTCAGAGCTTAATGTCGCTGCCAGTTGTTTAGGCCATGTTTTGTTCTTCATATGACATCCAAACTCTGTGCATTTGATTGTGTTTCTGCGTGCTCGTTAATGTTATCATGGACTAAAAAAAGGTTTTTAGGTATTTAGGGGCCCCCTCAGGGCACCCAAATTTCCTAGGTAGTTCCTACCTTATGTGCGGCATTTTTTGAGCTCGTCATAGTTTGTTAGTGGCAATTGAGGAAAAGCGTTTAAAGCTTTTGCTCGGCACATCGTTGACCGCCGTGCAGTCGATCGAGATGGCGACCTTGTGAAAACGAACACTCCTCTCAGCGACGCTCAGTGAATTCCCCAGCTTTTCTGACAGCGAGGACGATGAGCTTCTTACCATCGCCACAATTACCGGCGATCGCTGCGGTGGCAAGGAGCGCCCAAAAGTTATGAACTTTGTGGAAAGCATTGTGAGGCATTTCAATGACACCGAGCTACTGCTATTATCTCGTGCTCTTTCTTGAACCAACAATGATGGGAAAAATGTACCTGTGGAATTGTCACCTGCTTCTTGACCCCATTGACACTCACGTCCCCGATGTTCATTTGTATGGGGTTGCTGAATCCACGAGTAAAAAGCCAGGAGAAATTGACAGCAGACGGGCACCGCGCGCGGACGTACGCGAGAAAAAGAATGAACAAAATGCCAGGGGACGCATGGTGGCGCTTGTCGCTGTGCAGTTTGTCCTCAATGTCGCGCCGACTTTGCGCCGCACAACCGAGGAGCGCTGCGCAGTGGTCTGGTTTCAGGGAAATTACGGCGCGAGTTGATTAAGGATGCCAGAAGATACCTAGGTGTTCCCGAGAGGATGAACGCATCGTGCGGTGTTTTATAGTTAAGATAATTTGAGGGATTTATATGCAGCAAGACCCACACAAAACTCCCGATGTTCCGAAACAGGAATTTTTTTTCACGAGGATTTTAATGAATTACCTAGCGAAGACGCTATAGCTCGCAGTTCTCGACAGAATATGTAAATTATCCGATTTCCTGCCTTTCCAGCTTCAATACCTGGTTGACTTCGCCAAGGTCACTTCGGATGCCCAGATCCAAACGGCCATCTTGGGATTCTTTGTCAAGTCGTAAGTAGTACAGAGTCTATCTCTCGGCACGAGCGGTTGTACTTGTGATCCGACACTTGACGCAGACTCATTGCCATCCGTCGACAGGCCCAGCAGCATCCTGTTTGATCAAGTGACGAAAACAAAGACCGTGCACCAACTCCTGCTTTCCGTGAGTGTGCATGTTCGTGTCGTTAAAGCCAGCGGTGACTTCACAGTCTAAACCGTGTCTGGGCAGAATACTTCAGCGTTTCACCGGCAGTGACGTAATTGCACCACCCGTGCCAAGGTGCTTGCCTTGCCGCATCCCGACACATTTAGTCAGAGTGTGTGGAATCTCTTTTGATCTTGTACCAAAAGCTAATACAGCTGAACCTCGATTTAACGAAGTCACCGGGACCTGCTAATTATTTCGTTAAATCGAGAACTTCGTAAAATCGAGGAAGGGAGACCTCGCGCATAGGCTGCGCGGAGAATCCAACTTCATTTGTTAAATCGGGAAATTCGTAAAATTGGGTTCTGTTAAATCGAGGTTCAGCTGTATACTGAAATCAGGCTTTGCCACATTGGTGGGTCATTACGGTATGCCCGTGTGAATCAATCAGTCTGAATAATCTCCTGCTATCGCTTGCTTTCTTAGTGAATGCGCCTACTGCAAAAGTGTCCATTTAAAGAACTAAGTGTCGGCCCATTTTGTAGCAGTAGCTCAAAGTGTTATTAAGAACGCTATAGTAGTGTATTTATACCTCGTAATATATCCCTGTCTAACGAACGGAAAACACAGCCCTGCAAGGCATAAATAACCACTATATTACAAATTTTCTGGGTAAGTGACTTCTCCTGAGTCATCTAGATGCGTAAAATAAGTGCAGCAGCGTCAGCGGCGGCTGTTAAAGTTACCACTGCTGCGAGCCCTCGAAGCTGCCTACACATGCACTTTTTTTTGGTCTTGAGCACAAATAACTTGTTAGTGTGCTCCTGTCCCCTCACGGATGCACACTAACAAGTGTGCACACATGAGTAGCTCAGAACTCCTTTTCCCCTCCGCATTAAATAAGCATGAAGTATTGTAAGGGTCTATACAATTTGTAAATTAAATTCAAACTCATAGTTTTCTTTAGACTTTTTTCACTGATAATCACTGCTTTAATGTCCGTACAGGACAAATCGTCAAAATACTCTGATTTCTGAACCAAATAAATACTAAACCAGTAAACATTCTGTGATTTTTTTTTTTATAAATAAGCGCTGCAAAATTTACGGCCAGGTCATAAACTGTGTAATGTATACTAGACATACATTTCGAAAATCAAGATTATAGTATTCTCTTCTAACATTATTTCCTACGTGGTAATTAGCATGTACACCCGTGAGCGATATGAAGGTGAACAGCGCTCTTCTTGTTTTTGATGCTCCTGGAAGTTTTGGAGCAAGCTCTGTTCCAGAAGAGGGCTAGAACGCAAAGTTTAGACCCTTGGCTACGTACCATTTGAGACGTTGAGAGTTAAAACAGGCAAGAAACCAGGTAAGGTGTTCACCTTCATATTGTTGGAAGAGCTCCTGCTTTAATGGGACTTGAAACATCAAGAAATCAACAATCATTTTGCTCTGCTCCGTGCTTTTTCAAGCACAAGTAAATAACTTAGTTGAATGTTTGAGGGAGTTTAACCATACGATAGGATCAGGGTTGGAACGACTGCGCCATTGGTGCCATTTTGCGCCGTACACATTTGTCTGCGCCATCCTGCGCTATTTTGCGGAAACTGCGCCACAGCCAATGCTTCGCGCCATTGTGCTCCAAATTGCACAACGTGCGCCAAAATAATTCTATTTTGTCTTGGTTTCGGTTTTTATCGACTCGATTGGCAATAATGAGCGCGTTTAGCTTGGTCGGCCTTGCAATTTCTTGTTCCATTTATTTTTCCTGCGTATCCCGAGTCAGAAGCATGCGAAAAAACTCGGGGGTCGGATTCCAAGTGCTACATCACCTGCGATTGGATTGTTATTCTTCAACCATAAGCTGTTGAACAAGTCGGCCGAGGTGAGGTCGAGTCGTTAAGCGTCACATAGCCTGAGGGTCTGCGGCCCGGGTTCCGGACGTCGGCCAGTTGAAAACACATTAGCAAACGATTCCTTTTAGTGCTTCATTGTTAGAAGTTAGAACCGCATTCCTGCAAGATAAATCGTGATTTGATTGAACTGAAACGCTGTCTGATCCGAATGCTTGCCGGCCAGCAGCTCTCACGCGAGTGGTAGATCTGCTCGGCGTACTTTAATCTTGCTCTGGCTCATCACTTCGAATATGATAACTTTGTTAATCGTAGTCTGATGAATTGATATTGAGTTGTACAATAGGATAGACTCAAAATTCGTTGCCCTGTTCCTCCGCGCAACTGCTCGTCCGTTGCTTACGCACGTCATATAGTTCGCACATATAATTACTATGTCGAGGACGTGTGGGTCGTACCATAAACAGTGCTGGTTTGCATTTTGAGCAGCTGAAAGCCACTCAGAAAATATGAAGGACACTATCTTTGGAAACATGTGGTACTTGCTTTTTGGTTCTTACTAGGGCCAAGTTTTTTTGCACCTGTTACACTGTTATCCCATCTACATAGGTTCCTAACCACTCATGCTCATCTGTGCTGCAAAGCACAATTGAAATTTCTCCCGTGCTCGTATAAGTCACAAGCTGAAGTGCAATGAAAACTGATTTGAGCTGCTCCTCGCCTGCTCCAGAATGTAGTTTTAGCTGCTCCCAGCCTGCTCCAAAACAGCAGTTTCAGCTGCTCCCGTGGCTGCTCCCAAATACATTTCATGAGTTTCACCCCTGTAGGATGCTACGAGCAGTTATACTGGAGTGGGAAAAAAGGACGTGGAAGTTTCTCGGTAATGGGTCCCCAAACTGGGTTCCCAGGAACATGAATGTTCTCCAGAGTATCTTCTGGAGTTCCCCGATATCCAAACTTTTCTTGACCATCCCAGCTTCTAAGTAGAGAGTTGAAGAAACATTTGAGCAGATATAAGATATTGACTGACGTGCTAGGCACTGCCTAGTATGAGCTATATTGTGAGCTATACATAGCCTATAGACTTCTATACCACTTCATTGCATTAATGCCGAAACTGGGAAGGGTTCCTTGTCCATCGGTCGGGAGAAACAGGGAAGTCTGATTTTCTCTGTTTTAAAGGGATAGGTGAACACACAAATCTTAGCATAGTAATGACGGCAGAATGGACATCAACGAAGTATATGTGCTTGCGCTTTAATAATTCCTTTTTCTGCTCCTAGAGGCGCTCTAAAATGACTCAAACCGTTTAAATCACTGTACTAAGACAGTCACACATTTTGTTTCTAGAAAAGAGAATCTTGCCAGTACGGTTTAATGAAAGGGTTAGCAATCTGGCAGGTAGTGAAACATCACCTGCAGAACAAAGCAAACTCTGATGTAAGCCGGAGGCATGTGCCAGGCTTGTACAAGATACTCACTAAAAGTATTTAAGTTAAGTTACTGAGTACCACGAAAAATAGTAACTGAGTAGAGTACTAAATACTAAAATTTGTAAAGTAGTTGAGTTAAGTACAAAATACTCCAAAAAAGTAACTCGTTACTTTCGAGATACTCTCAAGTTACAACTTTCTCTGCAATTCATTGTCAAGCACAACTGAAGTCAGAAAAAGTTCTTCCTCCCAGCTACTATGGAATCTCCTGTAAATCTCTTAGCTAGACTTTGGCTGCCGCACAGGCTTCTAGGAGGTCCCAAGTAACTACAAATGAAACAAAAATAAACATGTTTTTCTTTTATACCCTTGCTATGGTGAGGACATAGGCAAGGGCAGCGCGGGGCCCGTTCGCCAACAGAGGGTGTTTCTAAGGCTCGCCTCCGACACTCCCCTTGTGTCAGGTGTTCATTTCCGCTTCCCCCGTCAGTGCTTTGGCGGTGCCGTGCAGTCGGGGAGTCCAGGTCAGGGGAGAGCGGGCGCCACCGTGGTGGGCGCCGGCGGTCATTCGGCCTACCGAATACAATAAGGAGTTTTAGTAGACCGTGTTTCCTCCTCCGCGACCAGGAACTCTACAGCCAAGGCCATCGGCATGCAGGCGCAGTGGCGGTTTGTTCGTGTTAACAGAGGGGGAAGCACAGTCTACTAAAACTCGCTAATGCTGCGTACGCCGTGAGCGATGGGCCGCTGGACTGGAGCCGTGTAGTCGCGTCTTACGAGTCTTGTGTGCGAAGAGAGGCTAGTGAAACGAACGAGCGGTGTGTGCGACTGCATGCGGATGCAGAGGCATTTCTGTAGCTGGAAGGCTTTCTTTTATATGCTTTTACTCCATAACATAGAAAAATAAAGTCCGCTTTACTGTCGACTTACCAGACACTTGTGGAACCCACCCTCTCTCCGACACAAGTGCCCTCCCTCTGGCTTGTAGCCTTGTACACATCTTATGCTTTCACCCGCATGTCCTTCTGCTTCGGATTCTCTGTTGCTCTTGGTGCGTGGCCACAAACTAATTGTAAGAAAATGTGCTTCAACGTTTTGCCCAGTTAGAAGAAACGACACGCGTCCGCTCAGGTTGAGGCTGCGACACTTGCTTCTCCGTGTCATCTTTCAGCAGAAGAGTGGAAGTGCACTGTATTACCTGGCACGAAATGCATCTGCAATGGCAGGGTGCCTAGCCAAAATGACTGGAGTTCAATTATTTCCAAGCTTCCCGCCTCTAAAGAAAATAAAAAAATAGAAAGTAATTTAAAAACGAGTACAATTTACTTCAAAAAGGATTTAAGTTAGAGTTCTAAATACTGACGTTCAAAAGTATTTGCAAGATACCAAGTTACTCACAAAAGTATTTAAGATACAGTAAGTTGAGTAGAGTATTTAAGTTACGTACAAGTCTGGCATGTGCTAGTGCTACTGGTCGTGCATACTCTGCTTTGGCTTATGACGGGCCGCAGTGGATGATACAAGCAACCCCCGCCCATCCAGTGCTGCGAATATATTAGAACACACCCCGAGGTCACGTGACATTCACGGCGTAGGAATGGCTTCACTTTTATCTCAAAAGAAACAGTGCGCAATTTATTTGTCATATATGTACAAAAGGGAACTTGTTCCTTGGAACAGCCACCTCAACAGTGTGAATGAGAAAATACAAGTGAACAAAGAACAGAATGTAACCACTGCACGAACATCGTCACTAATCGCTGCCCGAACCCGACATGTCCTCGTTCTCGGACGATTCTGGCGTGCTGGCCGACGCCTCTTCGTCGCCCGACTTGATGGACGACTTGGCAGGCGATTTCGTGGGCGATGAACGTGCAGGGGACGAACGTGCGGGAGACGAACGTTGGGGCGACGGAGACTTTGCCTTCTTGTCCTCTTTTTTGACCTCTTCATCGCTGCTGCTTCCTGAACTCTCGATGAACTCCTTGCTCTTGAACGAGCCCCCGCCGCTCGCTTTGCTCGGCGAGCTTGTCTGCTTGGCCGCCGGCTTCGGGGTTTTCTTGGCGCTCTTGGCGTCATCCTCGCCACCGGCCTCCTTGCGCTTCCTCGGAGCCTTCTTCTTCTTCTCTTCCCCACCCTCTTCCTCCTTCTCATCCCCGCTGCTCCCCGCCTTCTTGCCGCGCGTCGCGTTGTAGGCGGCCATGGCCTCCTTGTATTCTGCGGCAGCCTTGGCGGCGGCCTCCTCCCATTTGCTCCGGTCGGTGACCGTCTTCCAGAGCTCTCCAGCCCTCTTGGTGATGTCCGTGATGCCGAAACCAGGGTTGTCCCGCTTGATCTGCTCCCGGTTCTCGGCCAGCCACAGGAAGTAGGCGCTGGGTGCCCGCTTGGGCTTGTTCTCGTCCCGCTCCTTCTTGGGCTTGCGGCGCCGGGGCGGGCCCATTCCGGGCTCCCGGACCGTCTTGGCACTCTTGCTCTTCTTCTCCTTCTTGGGCTTCTCCTCCCCGTCGCCCCCCGCCTCCTTCTCGCCGCCCTCCTCGCTGTCGGAGCTGTCCGACACATTGCTGTCAAACTCCTCGGCCACCTCGCTGCCAGACTCGCCAGGGTTGAAAGACTCGTCCGACGACTCGTCCGAGTCGCCCTCGTCGCGCTGCCGGCCCTCATCCTTGACACGGGCCAGGTATGCGTCTGGGGCGTCCTCAGCGTCAGAGTCCACCAGGTCGTCGTCGTTGTAGTTGGGCTTCTCTTTGGTGGTGTTCCCCAGGCTGCCGCGGTTCTTGATGCGCAGCTTCTTGTCGCTGACATAGTCGAACAGCCGACCATACTCCTCCTTCTCGATGCTGCTGAAGGTGTGCACCAGTCCACTCTTGGCCTCCACCTCAAAGTCGAAGGAGCGGGTGCTGCCGCCGCTGCGGGCGAAGTTGACGCAGGCGATCTCGTCGAAGCGCAGGTGCACGGGCGGCTTGTGGATGTAGATGAAGCCGCGCTCGAGCGGGTACAGGAGCCCATTGCCCGCCCGGTACGAGCAGGTGATGCAGTTGGTGCCCCCGTGGCCCGTGAAGTTGCCCGGCACGGTGATCTTGCGCTGGACGACCGCCTTCATGACTCGGCTGATCACCTCGAAGGTGGGGCCCGACATGTTCTTCTGGATCTTGTCCTCGAACTTGTCGCGGATGTCCTCCTCGGACATGGTGAGCTCGATGCTCGTCTCCTCCTCCTTGTTGAAGAGCAGGATGAGGAAGTGGTAGCGCGTCTGGCCCTGCTTGATCGGGGGGTCCAGGCTGAGCACGAAGAACACTTGCCGCGTGTCCTTGTGCGGCAGCAGGAAGAGACGCAGCACCGTCGTGAGCGGGATCTTGTAGTCGAACGTCTTGCCGTGGAGCTGGATGAAGGACGGGAAGATCTTGATGTCGTAGCGACCGCGCGGCGTGAGGCACTGGAGCTCCTTGAAGGTGACCATGGACTCGCCGGTCGCCTGGATGATGTTGGCCTTGGACAGGACGTTGTTCCGGAATGCCTGGATCGGATCCGTGTCCGAGTTGGGGTCTGTGGGCACGTGGAAGCGGAGCTCCATGAGCGATACGGCGGCGTCGTCGTTCTGGTGGAACTCGAGCGTCACCTCGTTCTTGGCTGTGGTACAGTGCGACACGTTTCCCAGCGGGATTTCGTACGCGGAGCTCTTGCTGTCGATGTCGAAGGAGAGCACGCTGCCTTCGAAGCGCGCCGTGCCCCAATTCCAACCTTTGAGGCACAGGTCGCGGGTGCCCAGCGGCATCTCGAAGTGGTGCTTGAAGAACTTGGCAAGCCTGTCTTGCTCGTCGTCCTGGAAGCCGCCGAAGCGGTACATGGTGCCGTTTTTCATCATGATCCGGAGCCCGTAGCCGGCGCCCAGCCGCTGCCAGTCAATGCTTTCGATGTCGGGGCCCTGCACTTGCTCTACCTTGCCGGTCTTGCTGTTTTTGAACACGACCGCCTGGTTTGTCATCTTGAGACGGCCCGATGTCATGGCGCCGCGGTCTTCTTTGAACACGTCCGGATACTCGAGGAAATCCATGATGTGTTTTAGGTGGTTTGTCGCGCAAAAGTTGCGCGTACTTTCTTTGTGTGGTTACGTTGCGCTGCGTGAACGAGCGGCGGGGAGCGTGCGCGCTTTTTCCGCTAAGCCTAGAATCCGCACTACAGTGTTGTGGGTCAAGGCTTCGAAAGGCGCTGGATTTGGCGGAGTCGTGTTCGTGGATTGTGTCGGCTTGAACCGGTTTTCCAGTTAAGTTTATGTTTCGGTTTCGCTGTGCTCTTTATCGCCGTTTTTTTTTTTTTTTTTTTTTCTTTTTTTTTTGGGGGGGGGGGGGGGGCGTAAACACGAAATATTGTTATCCCCAGTAAGCAAAGGTACATTTCGTAAACAAACGTCGGCATTTTGACTCGTTAAAATACCAGTAAAAAAATATATATATATAGTTTTTTTTAGCAGTCTGGTTTAGACACGCACTTCAAAAATAAATTTTAGACTTTAATTTTTTTTTCTCTTTTCAGTGACTTTTTAAGACCGAGTTACTATTTTTCTGTGTAAAAGACTTTGGAGTAAAGTCTTTTACACAGACTGTATGTAAAAGACAGAACTCTCACCGGCTGTATGTAAAAGACATACAGCCGGTGAGAGTTTTAATTCCGAAATTCAAAGACTCGCGGCATCTGGATATCCTTATTCGATTCTGTTCGATGTCGCTGAATCCATGATTACGTCAAGTGGAAGACCAGCAAGAAGTAACTTCAAGGGACGCCGACCGGCTGTAGTGCCATACATACACCGCATTTCCCATAACTTGAAGCGGGTGGCATCCAAGTTTGATGTACAGGTTGTGATGTCAGCTCCTGATAAACTAAGGAGGCTATGCCCAAAAATCAATAACAAGCAGGAACAAACTGCAAAATGTACTGTAAAGCATCAACACCAATATGTCACCTGCATCAGCAGTGTAGTGTACGAAATACCGTTTTCGTGTGGAAAGGTATATGTGGGACAATCCGGGCGTTGTCTAAATGTCAGGCTAAGGGAACATGCCTTAGCGTTAAGATCATCTCCCGCGGGACATCTTGCGGTGCATGTAAGAGACTGTCTGTGTACTCCACTCTTCGAGCACACGAAAGTCCTCAAACGGTTTTCGGGTCAGAGAAGTAGAGAACTCTTCGAAGCACACGTCATAATATCCAAGGGCGACGCCTGCGTCAGTGCTCCTTCAGTAGCCTTATCGGAAAAGAAGTTTTACCTCAGCCTTCATCCCTGAAGATCCTTCCTACACATTATGTTGACACTGAATTCTTCTTATTTTTTTTCTTGCACTGTTGTTTTTCTTGTACTGTTTTCCTTTTTCTTTTCCTTTTTTAATTCTTGTTTATAATTATTATTTTTTTTGCTTCATAATATTTAGTATATAATTACAAAAAGCATCCTTCTGTTCCCTATCCAATCTTTTTTATCTTCCTTCTTCTTTTTCTGTCTCCTTTTTTGTCTTTGAATTGCCTCACTTCTTTTCGTCTTCTTTTCTCTTGTAAATAAAACGCCAGTTGTCAGTTAGCACTCTTTCCTGTCTCTTGTTCTTCCCTCCGTCGTCCTTGCGCTATTTTTTAATTATACTTTGGAGTACACTTTGGAATGCGTTAAAATGTCTCTAGACAGTCTAAATTAACCCTTAGTCTAACAAAGGTAACAAAAAGTGGTTTAACACGTAAACGTGCATTTCCCCCGCAAAAAAAAACAAAAAAAAAAAACAATTTGGGATTGCAAGTTGTCAAATTTTTATGCAAACTTTTCTTTAGCCCATGAGATTTATTGAAGTTGTCATAGTTATTACATATTCTGCGTGCGAGGATAAGCACTTTTTTTTTTCTTCTGGTTTTATTATTCCTTTTAATTTTATTTATTCATACTGTCGGCCCATGAGGACTATTAAAGGGGTGGAAAATAGGCAAATAGCAAAATATTAATAAAATAAAACATACATGTTAACACAGACAATAAACAAACTAAGCAGGAATTCAATAAAAAACAACAACACCAACATTGCATCATCATGAATAAACGAAACATAGGTGAAGAGAAGAAAACTGTTAGAAAGAAAGTTGTAACAGATATTCACCTCCATAAACACTAAATAAGATCTGACTGCCATAGTGGGCATCTCAAACAATATTTTCAGTGCACCATCAGTCAAGCCCAGCAATAGGAGTTGTCTTTTTTTCAAAGTGAGGAGAAACATTTCCAATTTTCGGGTGAGTTATTTCCTGTGTATATCAATGAGAGAAGCTTACTTCAAACAAGCCCTTAGTTATATCCATTTATTACATCATTATCCTCCATCATATCCGCCGATCCACAAGGGGTCGGTGAAACGTCAATGGTTGAGAAACACTGGGGTAGAGCATTTTATTCTTTGATTACTCCAGGGAAAACACTGAATTTAAAACAGTCATTACAAACAGATGGGTTTGGGATGCACTATCAGATACAAATGAAATGTGAAAAGGGGAGCATGTGGCCTATGCTGCGCAACCTAGAGGCAACTAGGAACTAATAAAACAGTGGAGTGGAGAGAGGGGCTACAAAGGTATGCACCTCGGAGTGAGTGCACACTTTCGCAGCCCCTTTTCATCCCATATTTTTATCAGTTCCTAGTTGCTTCTAGGTAGCACGACATGTATCGTAGGCCACACGCTCCACTATTCACATTTCATTTATACTTTTTGATACATTCTATGGCGATGCCTTCAGGATTTACTTGTGCGGGTTTCCAGGTAGTCTGGTTTATTAATCGTAATGTAATTATGAATAATATGGAAAATAAATTTCAAGCCTTCAAACTCGGCTCTGGGTTGAAGTGCTGGTAGGTCGGCAGGTTCACATAGTTTTGTGGGAGGGTCAATGCGGCAATGCTCGTGTCAAATGAAACGGGGAGCAAGTCACTGTATTCTGTCACACTTAGAATAATTTGTCACAGTATTTAACCGTATGATTTTTGCATATTCAATAATAGTTCTAACTCTTGTTTTGTAACTGAGCATTCTTATTTCAAGTGTTGTGCTGGTAGTTTGGCCTCAAGCACCTTAACATTTTGCTAGCTTTTGTGGAAACATTATCAATATGGGTATTCCATCATAAATCGAGAATTAACGTCGTGAAATCCAAGTATTCATGTTTTTTGAACCGGACAAGCTCGCTACCAGCTACGCCATAATTATAACTCGGAACATTTTTGCTTTCTAGTTATCGACATGTAAACCCATCTTTTTGGGTTGAGCACCATTTCCCATTCGTTGTGGCAGTTATTGATTTCTTGTACAGTGCAGACCACTTACAACGATATCACATATAACGATGTACCGCTTATAACGATCAGTTTCTAGAGTTTCTAGACTGGAAATGATCAGTTTCTAGTTCAGATACAACGATAATCGGTTATAACGATTGAAATTTCGGGTTTTCAAATTATTGTTATAAGTGGGTTGCACTGTAGGTTACAATTTAGATCGACCTTATTGTCAGATGTTTCTATTTTATTTGATATGACACAATAGTCAGCAAAGTGTTTGACTGGTACTGAAATGACGGGAAGATAATTTATAAAAATGAAATATAGAAGGGGGCCCAAGGGGACACTCCCCTGCAATACCCCTGAAGCAACTTGTGAAAGGCTAGATTTATGCAATCCAACTTTAACAGACCGTTCACAAAAGAAAAGGTAGGACTAAAACAATTTCGTAATAATTAGATTTTTTAAAATTGAGTCGATTTTTAGTAACAGTTTTAAATATGATAGTTTATTAAAAGCTTTTGCAAAATCTAAAAACACTGCCAGTTTGACCGCTGCAATTTATTGCCTGTGAGAGATTGATGACTATTTCAGTGAACTGGGTTGTTGTGGAAAGCTCTTGGTGGAAATCATGCTGCAATCAGAACAGCTAATAACTTTTAGGAGAGGCCATCATTGTGCTCATAATGTAAAAACAGTGCAAACAAACACGGACGAAGGAGAAGAAACACGCAGACGGTACAGCGCTTGTACCGTCTGCGTGTTTCTTCTCCTTCATCCGTGTTTGTTTGCGCTGTTTTTACATTATGATCAACGAATACCAACTAGCCCAACTTTCGACATTAACTCCATCATTGTGTCTGTTAATGTGGAATGTGCATGAAGTGTTCCATTGCTAGCTTTACTTTTTATTACAATAGTCATTGTCCTCCCCCTCACATAATGCCCTGTCAGGGTGCCCCAAACTATACTAAATTAAAATAAAATAAGGGTTAAAAAATGAGACAATGGTTATGCCTAGTGCATATTTGGTGGATTGCAATGAAAATATAGGGCATACAGAGGGTGGATATTCTAAATCCTTGACAACTTTCACCACAGATCCAAATAATATCAACATAATTCAGTAGCAATTATTATTCCCCATATCACCCGTGCTCAGCTGGTCAACATTAAAAAAATTCAATAGAGTTGCTGAACATTAGCGTTTGTGGTATTTTGGCAATATTTGTTGACCCTAGTATACCTTAAAAAGCTACTAAAAAGAAAAAAAAATTTTTTTTTTTATAGTCCGCTTTTTTAGGAATTATTTTTGTCATTCTTTTCCAGCTCGCTTGCATTTTTCATTAACCGCATTATAATCGTAAGTGTTTATTTTTTTAATTGTTGTACATCAGTATCTAACTAGGTAGTAAATTTAGACAAGAATGTAGATAAGGTGGGACATTTTGATACATTTAGCGTACCATTAGAAAAATTACTCTAGCTTACTCTACCCATATTTTTTGAATCTAAGAAAGTTTGACATTGGCAGTTATTGGATAGTCTCCAAATCCTTATGTGTTTACTCCCAAAATGATTAAATAACATAAAGAAATCCAACATTGACGACATTGTGCACACAGCATGAGGAAAGCAGGGTCCACTCTACAAGTTCCCTAGAAGGCAGACTGTTTTGGACACTCGGAGGAGGGCACTTTTGAGGGCTGCCTTGTAGGACAGATGCTAGAATGGCCCTTGTCGCAGTTGAAGTCATAAACCTGAGTAACCTTTCAGGCATCCCCGGACTGCGTACAGTGGTATGCAGACCACCTGAAAACTTGCCTGCAGTCCGAAGAGGGAGAGAGGTAAGTTTTTTTCTTCTGGAGAAATGAGCTGTGAAACTTTTTGCAGTGTAGAAGGCATACTTTGGTGCCCTTTAGAAAACAGGCGGTTTGGTGACTGCTCATCTTTGCAAACCTGGGGCTGAAGTACAACACACATAGACCCCTGGCTGTTGACCCCATTTCTTTTGTTGTCGTCTAGTTTTGTGTAAACTACATTTAAAAAAAAGAAGTTTTTTAATGTTTTATTTTTAAGAAATAGCTTTATCAGCTTTTAAATATCCTGATGGATGCTGTCAGAAAGTTTTTAAGTATTTTTTCTGGAATAAATTATTCTCGATATGCTGGCACCATCTAAAGTGCAGCTTTCTGAAATGTTTTTATCTTAGTTTCAATTTTTGGCATTAAAGGGGTAGGGAAACGAAATTTCAGCGCTCATTTAATAGCTTGAATGCGTTGCATGTTGCACCCTAACCTCAAAAACACCAGTCTTCCATTGAAAGGCACTAGAAAACTAATTTTAAAGCTAAATAAACAATCTTTCAATGTGCACCTGGTGGATGCATGCGGAGCCTATTTGGGAGGTAATCTAGCAACGTTGGGGAACTTGCTACGTAGTCGCGTAGCAGGTTCCTTTGGAGCAGTGCTGCCCTTTGGAATTTCAACATTTTCCTTCTTAGCTTTTCCCTGGCTCAACTCACAAATCCCGCATTGTACCAAACGGTCCAAGAAGACGGAAAGGAAGGACTCCGCTCTTCCTCGGACCCTCGTTCGTGCAACCGGACACAGCCCTTCTCCCCCTAGAAGATTAGCCTGTCGCTCAAAACTCGAACAAAAGTTGCTTTCCCCACCTCGTTCAGCCCTAAGCCGACAGTGTTGTGGAAGCTACGTGCTCCTTGGGCCAGCCACACGCTCGTCGCCCCACGGGCACTTCGAACGGCTCGGTTGTAACGCGCTGACGCTATTGACACCACCGCAACGCTGACAACGCCACCAAGGGCAAAACTCATAACCACGCCTGCCTTGCTACGTCACAAATGCGGGGAATCTTTTCTTTCTTCTTTTGTTTGCGCCAGATATCCCATGACGCATCGCGCTCTCTGTTCACTTCTCTTCGAGCATTTGCTCGAGTGCACCGTTTGGAACGAAAAATTTAGCCAGTTGTTCAAAATACAAACGTGCGATTATCATTTACGGTTATTATCCATCATGCTTGACTCATTTCCGAACGAAATTTGAATATTTAAATTTTTGTTCTGTAAATTATATGTTAAGCGACCGATTCGACCAAACAAGCGCCCATGTCTGTAGTCGGTTACAAGTCAAGAAGGTAGGAGAAGCTCCTCCCACAAGCGTGATGCGCCCGTTTCAAATTTCTTCGCAGTCGAAAGAAGAGTTCGCTGGAAACGCTCCTTGTTCCGCTTCAATGGATTCCAACTTATCTCCGATCCCACTTTTTAAGAAAGCGACCTTTGTATTCATCGGGGAGGGAACCGAGCCCCTGAAAGCAGCCTTTGTATCCGTCGGGGGGGAAGCTAATCCCCGAAAGTCGTATTTGTTTCCGTCGGTGGGGGAGAACTCTAATCTCCCTCTCGTGGCTTCCACAATGCTAAGTCAAAGTCGAAAGATAAAGCAAATATGTACAGAAAGGCAAGACCCTCCTCGCGCGTTGGCCGCGACGTCACGGAAACGGTGGGACGCTATTGGATGAGGAGGTGGCGGAGAGATATCTGATTCCCTTTGAGGGGCATTTGCCGCTACCTTCTTAACCTGTAACCGACTATAGATTAACCCAGTTTTCAGTGAAAGCAGGGTGGGCGCTCACTTCGGTATTTTACAGTAAGTAATAAACATGCGATTTGCCAGTATTTCTTTGTATGTTTTGTTGCAGTCAACTCCTGCAGGGGAGGATGCAGTGCCAAGCATTTGAGCAGGTTTGTATCTTCGATAAAGAACGTTCACTTTTTGCCTGATATGCCAACGTGAAGGCGGGAAGGGAAAAAAAAAGAAGTCCACTTTCTCCAGAAGCAATCGGCACATAAGCAAAATACAAATTCGCTTCATTGAATACCCCATAGATATTGCTTTATTACTGTATGTTTTTTTGTTTTTTTCAAATGGAAGATGAAACAGGGAAAGTTTCCTAGGCCTGTTGAGGAGATGTTACAGGCTGGCTATTATTGCATTGATCACCAAATATTTCGGGTGTATAGAAAGGCGTCTAGAAAACATTTGAAAGGCGTTGAAAAACCTTTTTGAATCTCTTTGCGAAATTTCATATAATATGGCTCCAGCTATACAACTTTAGTGTTGCTGTTGGTGTCAGAATTTTGGTGCGTAGCAAGCATATCTACTTTCGTAACCGAATTATCGTTTTCATTGTTATTTATTTATTAATACCATCAACCCGTACTTGGATTGGGACGGGGGTGACAGTTGAAAAGAAAACTTGCAGAAACCTGACATGACAACATGCACGTTGGTAAACTTACCGTACAAAGATCCCAAACAAATAAATTTGTAATAATGCTATCAGAAAACAGCCCAGGCAAGGACATCTACGAGGTACAGCATATAGGCAAGTGCAAGCCCAGCAGCCAAGCTGGGGCCCGTGCACGCAAACACGTGTGACAAGGCGCGTAAGCGTAGCTTCCACAGGCTCGCAGCTGCACGCGTGTCCACACGACATGGCGGTGGTCGCACACCCCGTTTGCAATTGCTTGTAAACATAACCTAAACAGAAAAAAAAAAATACATTGGGAATTTTGATGAAAGATTTCCGAGAAAGACATTATTCGTTGCACCCAAAATAAGGAACACTATAAAACAAAATGACTATGAAGTCTTCCACAATACCCAGACAAATTCAGCATACTTCCGTCTTCTTCGGCATTTTTATTATTTCGGAAGGTCCACGCTCAATGTTTTAAGGTCGACTCCTGACTGAAAAGTTTACCGTCAATTTTTTTTAACATTTGGGCTAGAGTAAATTTGAAGCTTGTCTATAGCGAGGACAAGTTAAGAATCTGCCAGACGCTTCTTTGCCTTCAAGTCGACTCAAAACATGTTTTTGTTTTCAAACAGATAGTTAGTTCATACAATCTTTATCCGGGCAGTGGCCCCAAAGTTAAAACAGAAAACTGTCAAAGCGTTACCGAGAATAGAAAGAACGAGCTTTCTACTCTTGGCGACACTCCGGGCGTCTCGCGAGCATACCCGAGCTTTAGGCACATCCCTAACTCGTACCCGACCATACTACTGTGAAACACGAGCATCTGCTCGTTTTGCACCGAGCGCCCACCCCGAAATTTTTAAACATCCTTAAAAATACGGACAGCAGTCGCCTTTGACGCGTGAGAGGAAGGAGTTGTTGGATGCGCCAGTTGGAGACGCATTTCAGGCATTGCGCTATAGTCCGTTGCAACTCAAGAGGGTCGGACGAGGCTGAGATGGGCCGGGGAGGAGGAAGCAGATGGAACGCTGGAGAAAAGAGGGGGAAACCTTCTTTTCTCTTTAGCGTTCCGTCTGCTTCCTCCTCCCCAGCTCGTCCTACCCACGCCCTACCTTCTTGAGTTGCAATGGACTATAGTAGTGTTTTTTAATGTGTGTGCCTCGCAAAAGCGCGCTCCGTCGACCCCTCTTTCTTTCACGTACAGCTTTCCGGCCTCCTGCTGCTTCCGAGCATGGCTGCCAACTCAGACTTCAAGACCGACGTGTTACACTTCTTCGTCGACGCTTACTCCGGCAGGTTTGCGAGCGGGGACGACAACGCTGCGCAGGTTGGTTGCTCATACTTGCTGCATGGCTTCTTACCTTGCTTTCTATAGCGCAAATATTTTTAAGTGGCTGTTTTTTTTTTTGGTATTGCTTCCTTAACTTTTTTTGGCCAATAATGTTTTTATTTGCGGAACTTCGTGCCAGGGACTGTCACCGAATTGCAGAAAGGTTATGGTAGTTTTTACGTGTACTTACGTAGGATGTCGAAGCGAAACACCCGAAAGAAAGGCACCTCCGAGGCAAGCCGCTTTTATCGTGTGCCTGCTTACAAGCATAAGTTACGGGGATTATCTATTTGTAAATAATAAGAAATGTAGAGTGTACAGAAAGTAAAGAAAGACATCATCAGTTACATAGTCGTGGGTGGCAAACTGGGTTTCCAGGAACGCAGGCATTCCTCAAACTACCCTCTATGCTTTGTTTCATCGCAAGTTGCCAAACAGCAAAAGCTATAGCCCCGAACGAGCCAATCCGAGCATTTCAGCAAATCTAGTGACAACATACCATTGGCTTGCACTCCTATCGTGGAGGTCCGTTGCATCTTTTGCTTTGCCCCTCTGATTATCTTGCTGGTGTTGCAACGTTTCCCCTTTGCCAAGTTGTGTTGAAACGGATTATAGTGCTATAGTTTGAGCACAATTTAAGCGTAGCTGAGTTAAACACTCTTTCCTTTAACCCCAGTCTGTGTAGTTCTTTTAACGAAGCTTGTAAGCTTCTAGGAGTTGCTCTGAGGTGAGCTGCTCTTAAAGGGACACTGACGGGGTATTTATGCTCGCCGAGGTTTTTAGTTGTGTGTGACATATGAGAGCCCAACTACCCAGAGCAGAATTTGCGGCTCGAAATTCTGTTTCTTTCCGCCCGAAAACTGCCGATTGAGAACTGGCCAATTTGAGTTGCGCTCACTCTCTTCTTTGTGGTCACGGGCCGTTTTCTAAAGTTTAGACACAACCACCAAATACAATCAAAGTCATAGGTCATCGAAGGCGTGCACACAATATTAAAAATAGAAAAGAAATATGATACCCATTTTTTTGGGGCTTTTAAGAAGCTGCAAATGCGTTGTTTGGGGGGAAAAAGTATCACAGCCACGTGACTTCCGCCACCTATCTCCTCCTCTATGTTTCTTCTTCCTCTCCAGTCCAGTTTCGGTTTCAGGCAGTTGCGTTTTTTTACTCTATTAAAGATATATGTGACGCTGTCGTAAAATATGATTGGGTAGTTTTCTGACACCTTAATGAATCGCTTGGCAAAACATTAAAAAAATATATTTCGGGGGGTGTCAGTGTCCTTTTAATTGGGTTGTACTGTATTATGGATTATCCGCGCAAGGTGTTGAGTTCGTGGTTAACCTTTTCTTTAAAGGGAAGCTAAAGAGGTTCTTGAAGAAAACAAGTTAGAGGTGAATTCTAGCATATTTTTGTCCTGTGAATTTGGAAATCACAAGCAGTTGACCCAAAGATACCGATAGACGCGAGAATAACAGAAAAACCAATGGCCGGGTGTGGCGTCGTACCCCGAGGTTTCAGCTGCCTTTTGCGTTGCAATGTTGATGTCTCTGTGTAATACGTCATGATTCCCTCCTGGCACTGAACGCGACAGGAAGAAGGGGCTTCAGCGCTATTTCGAAAGCGCCGTTGTAACTACTCGCCGCATCAATCTAAAATAAAATTTTGACTTTTGTAATCCTGGAAGCCAAATAAAGATGACTGCAGTGTTTTTTTTTTCAAATACAAACCGCTTCAGTTTCCCTTTAATAAGACATTCCTTGAGAACAAAATGGTTATCTTTAATCTTTTGCTGTTGACAATACCATAGAATACTGAGCAACTGCCTACCCAAAAGTTGAAAGTTACGTCGAAAAACTGGGGAATGGGTGCTCTTTAGGTCCGAAAGTGATCAAAAGAACCACAGGTAAGGTTAACATTGGCCCACGCACAACCAAGCTTTATTGCATTGTGCTGGCATGCTTGGAAAAGCGAGTGAGGTGGAAGAATGTCTTGGTTAGCTGAATGGTCTCGAAAGTCTGGGCTGAGCTCTTGATACGTCCTTCGCTTACTTTTCAAACATTTAGGAAGTTGCGGGTGGTCCCTTGTCGTGGCACCGGAATTTGCTCTGTATTTTACTACACGTGAAAGCAGCACATTGTTTGCTACCGCGTGGGACCTCGGTAACAAGAGACTTTTACATGGGATATGATCCGATCTCATGCACATGCTTTTCATATTTTAAAAGGATGCGATTTTGAGTGTTGGAGATGTTTCCCCACGCCAGCTACGATTGTTGTGTCGGGTGCCCCTTCGTGCTTCCCAGAATGTCGCCACCAGGAAGGTCCTGCAGGGTGCCATCTTGAGGGCCCTCGTTCCGGCCAAAAAGACCAAGCTGTCCGACTTTGCCGAACTGCTCGTCTCTCTACTGGCGCACATGAAAGGTGAGGTAAACTTGACCACACCTTGAGGACCTCGAAGTCTTCGGTAGATTTGTCCGATGTTGTATCTAGAGTTGCTAGAAAGCTACTACAGTAAAACCTCGTTATAACAAAGTTGAAGGAGCGGTCGTAGTTATTTCGTTATAACCATTAGTTTGTTATAGCCAATGTCCATTTCTCCATACTATTAGCAAGCAAGGGGAATTATGATTGCTTTGTTATATCCATTAGTTTGTTATATCCCATTTTGTTATAACGAGGTTTTACTGTACACTTAAGGTGGCGTAGCTTTCTCCTCCCGTTGCGCGTTTCCCTGCCGCGCCGCGAAGGGCCAGCGATTTCCGCTGCTTCGTCGCCCTGCCAACTGTGCCATGGTTTGGCGCAACGCGGCTGGTAGCTGAAGAGGCAGCGCACTCTGAAGGCTCTGAAGAGACAACCCAACCGGGAACTCTGCATCCTCGGTGCACCCAGCTACGCGTCACTGCACAAGTGACTGGGAAGACGGCGTAAGAGCTAAGAGCAATAAGAGGTGCTTAACACTTAAAAAAAAAAAAAAAAAAGAATGAATGCATTTAGGCAAGCTTGGTTTTTAGTTGACTCTAGATGTGATGGGGTTCAAGTCGCACAAATATTTGACGGAAGTAAAGAAATTGTTGCACGGCCTCTTTCAGTCTAGTTATATGTTCCGGGGCTGCCCGATGGATGGTGGCAGTGGCAGGCACTTGTGTCCGATCAGCGAGGAGACGAGCGCCGTGTTAGCGTTCGGCTGGCACTCGGGTTTTGTTCTTCAGTCACAGGAGTGGGAAACCGTTTAGGTGCCAGTCGTATAACGCACTCCGTGTTCAAAATTGAAAAGGAAGAACCGCCCCTGTGTTTTCCCAGCCGTGTCGGCCGGCTGGAGGAGCTCAGAAGCCAGGAAGCAGCTGAAGAGGGCCAGAAGCCTGGTGGATAAGGTGGACTCTGCAGCTGGCCTTCCAGAGAGTGTGGCCACAGCCTTCAAGGTCCTCCTCTGCTACCTGACTGTCCTGGTGTCCTTCGAGGTGGCGGAGGATCCATCGGTGTTGCAGGTCTGGCTTTTCCACGCAACGGGTTCAGTAGGACGGTAGCTGGCTTGCTCGTCGGGACTCTGGTTTGAGACGAATTGTTTACGAAGGGAACAATGGAAATTTGGTGAAATTCAAGATTCCCCGTATCCCGTAATGACATTCCATAATGCAACGACGCTCACGTCGCATTATGGGGCATCGCAGACCTATGCATTAATTCAATTCTCCGCTAAATTTAGTGGAGAAACTGAATAGGCATGTAGGTCTGTGATGTCCCATAATGTAACACTGTGTGTATTGCATTATGGGGCTCCCACCGTACCCTCCTCATCCTCTCTGGTGTACCCTCAAACAAAAACAACAAAAAATCAAAATATCTATATACTGTTGAGACCGGTTATAACGAAGTCAACAGAAATCGGAAATCACTTCGCTATATCCGCTATTTCGTTATAACTGACTTCGGTTAACGAAGTGCAAGAGGGAATAGGAAATCGTGATTGTTTCGCTTTAGTTGCTATTTTGTTATAACCGACTTCGTTATAACCAAACTCAACAGTATATAAATTTTTCTCTCAAATTCTTTACCACGGTATGTCGCAAAATGAAAATACTTTGAGAGCTCTGCTCTGATTTCGCATTACAGGGAAGAACACGCGTGTGTAATTTTTTAACATCATGCACTCTTTGCACCATTTGTTAATTTCACCTGGGTCTTCCTGCAGGTGGTTATTATCATGCACAAAGGTTACTTCAGATGACACAGTTGTGGGCAGAAAGGTGTATTTTTAACCTTTCTGGAGGGCAGAAAAGCATTTCCTGCGATTTCAGGTAAAGCTGCCAATGACTGGCAACAACGATTCAGTGAGATGTCTGTGTAAGAATAGATTGGCCGCCATCTAAAATGGAGTGCAACTCGCGCCCTCTAAGTCCGGGGCCTCTCCAGGACTAGCAGAGCGCACTACCAACTGATCTAACCAGGACCCGGCAGTCGGAAGGGCAAACAGATGTTAACTGTTGCCACGAGTTTTGATCGTAGCTACTGCAAGGGTGAGGTCAGTCGTTAGTTGTTTGATATAGTGACCTTTAGGGGAAGTATTCTCGTCTGCCTTGTCCCGGGATTGAATTCCGGACCAGACAGACATATCTTCAGCCACCACCAGTCGCCTAGAGGACACGAATTGCACTAGATTTCAGGTGGAAGTCAATTTATTCTTACGTAAATCTTCTCCACTTTCAGGACTTATCCCTTAAAAGTCCCTACATCTAGTAACAAGACGTCCGAAGTGTCGTTACACCGAAGCGTTGCTTATTTATGGCTCCAGCTCGCCTCTCGTTCTACTGGTGCCGTTGCAGGACCTGTGCAGCTGTGCCAAGCAGCTCCTTGCGGAAGAGGAGGAGGGGGAGAGACTGGATGGGTGGGTCCACCTGGTGGTGGACACTACCCTGAGCACCCTGTCCATGTCCAGCCAGCCCGTGAGGACCGTGGCTACGGCCGCCTTCTCCCTGGTGCGAGGTCACCTGTCGGATGCTTCCCTCGCCCTGCTGCTCAAGGTTGGTGTCAGACGGGCCGATGCATTCGCCGAACATGGCTGCCCCGGTGGCTCCGAGGCAAAGTGCCGACCTACGGATCGTCGGGCGGCGGGGTTGAATACTGGCCGAGTCGTTCGCAGTCTGACAGAGGCTTATTGCATAGAAGGTGGTCAACCGAGATTTCGGTTGCATCTCAGAAAGTCCCCAGGTAGCTGAAAATAGTCCCGAGGGGCGTGCCAGATGCCCTTCTTCGGTTTGGCACGTCAAATTCCCAAATTTGACTTTGAATCACTGAACGTACGAGCCTGCTTTCGGCACGCTCGTTGCCATATCAAAACTGAACCCGGCCTTTCCTACCACGGTCCTTTCAAAGTATGGCAGCGATGTTTGTTTCGGTTGTTCGCACTAGCTTTTTGGTAGTTATGTGCGAATGCTGTATTTTGAGTCGAAGTGAATTCAAAGCGTACGGTGGTTTTGACCGAATATTTTCGAATCGAATATCAAATAGTTTTTCCAGGCTTTTAGCTACTGTTGCACCATACTTAAACAAATACCCAGCTAAACTTGTGAAGGTTGTTCCCAAGCCTCCACTTGTCCATTTATAAGCTAATTTTAGTCCGACTATATTTATGAACTGTGGCCTCAGAAAGTGTGATGCCTTGGGATGGCAAGTAAACGACGAATTTGACATAAAATTAAACCGAGAGAGATACCCAGCTATACCTAATTGAGTGGATTTGCAAATCTTGCTCTATGCAAATATTATTTCTTCAATCTCAAATTTGAAAAAGAAATTCTGCGGACGATCACGTGACATGATGCGAATAGACAGCGTCGGTTAGTGTAGTATTTCAATGATACTGTGTGGTACTCCGGTGTATGCTTCGGCCACCCTATCCTTGTGCAAAAGGCTTAGAGCGCCGAACAAACATTTATTTTTTATTTCAAAATACTATTAGTCCCTTTTTTTAGAAAAAAAACTATATTAGGAGTGAGCAAAAAAAAAAATCGCAAGTAGCAGACAGATTGAGCACACCAAACACCAGATCTGTGAAATGCCAAGATAAAGACCAAAATTTACACATGGTCTCTTAGCTATACAGGTCTAGGCACTTCATGAAATCAGACACCCTTTTGGCCCCAACAGTACTTTCTGGTAAGGCATTCCACTCTCTTATTTTTAGGGGAAAATAAGAATTCTTAAAACATTCTTTGGTATATCGATATTCTTCCATTGTTCTCGTATATTTATTTCACATAATTCTAAAAGTATGAGGTCTAATTAAATTATATTTGTCTATCACAATCGTTTCATCTAAAATCATGTAAAGCATCTTTAGCCGCTTCTTCCGGTGCCTCTTCTCCAGTATGCGTATACCCGCCTTTAAATACAGTTCTGTGGGTGAGTGAAGCCTCCTATACTTCTAATAAATAAATCGAAGCTCCAACTCCTCAATTCTTTCTAGCTTTAATATTAATTTCTGTGTGTGAGGGTCCCACACTTCACTGGCGTATGCTAACCTCGGCCTTATTAGCATTTTAAGCGCTAACAGTTTGGTTGCATTGCCATTTTTAACAACCTTCTTACCGACCAAAGTTTACCAGTACCTTGCTTGACTACCGTAGAATACCGCGCATCCGCCCATTCCACACTAAGCGCCCATACCCAAATTCCCAAGATCTGAGAAAATATGCACAGTGCATTTATATGTAAAATTAATGACCGGACAAGCGCCCATCCCCCATTTTTTCACGATTATCTCTAAATTTTGAGTGGGCCCTTGCCCGGTATTTTACGGCATGTTATTAATATGTGCGTCCCACCGTAGATCGCTAGTTATTGTTACCCAGAGGTACTTATATTCCTTTAATCTAGGCAAAGGAGTCCCTTTTAAATAATATTTCAGTACTGTCGGAGCTTTTTTGTGTGTAATTGACATGCACACTGTTTTTTTCTGGTTTAAAGACATTTGCCACTCCTCATACCAATTGCTAATTTTCTGTAAACATTTGTTAAGTTATGTGGGGTTCCTGTCGTTCCCTATACAGGTGCATAAAATGCAATTATCGCCAAAAAGTCTTGATTTGACTGTAATGTCGCAAAGAATGTAATTAATAAAAACCAAAAACAAGGGCCTTAACACAGAACCCTGTGGAACTCCTGATTCGACTCCCTGAAGCATAGAAGTGTCGCTATCAATGCTGACAAAATGTTTCTTACAGTGCAGAAACACTTCAATCCACTGCAGTACATAGTTCTGAGTTTTTATAGTTTTAAGAGTAGTTTATTATGGTTCACCTTGTCAAAGGCTTTTTGAAAGTCTAAAGAAGTTACGTCAATTTGGCGTTTCTTGTCTAGTGTTGAAGAAAAATCATGAATCGCTGAGTTCTGTTAATTGTGTGGTGGTGGATAAACCTTTCTGAATTCCATGTTGTTTACTATCCACTACAACATACTTATCTAAAAAGGTCCTTATGTGCTCTGAGGCAACATATTAGTAGATGTTAGAGAGATGGGCCTATACTTTGTGCTAAGACTAGCATTTCCACTTTTAGGAACTGATATAATCTCAGCAATTTTCCAATCGTTTGGGACAGATCCATCTGATGGTGATCTCTTGAAAACCAATAGTTCGAACTCCATTCGCTATTGTGTTAAGAAGTAACTTGGAATATCATCCGGTCCGGCGGCTTTTTTGGGATCAATACGAAGAAGCAACAAAAAAATTCTCTCCTCTGATACTTCTATGTTTGCAATTGAAAAAACTTTTTAAAATGAAAAAAAAAAAAAAAAAAAAAAAAAGAATGTTGGTAGGACGTTATTATTGGCAGAAAAAATACTGATAAAATATTCGTTAAGACCATTTGGGATTTCTGCCTTGTTTTCAATAACCCTGTCATCTACTACTAATTTTGTAACACTCTTTTTTCTTGGTGTTAATTGTTGCCAAAACCTTCGTGGTGAATATCTAATAAAGTTTTGCAGTTTTACATTAATAACTAACAATTTCGATGCCTTTATTTTTGCCTTTAGTTCTTTACTGAATGATTTTACTCTTGCCCATTGAAACCCATTCTTTTTCTTGCGAGCCTTTGTTCTACATCTAGATAGGCGTCTCTTGTGATGTATAATGTCTCTCATAATCCAAGGTCTGTTCGGATTTCTTTTTTTTTACTTGTATTGGAACAAAACCTAAGAGTGCAATCGAGTACAATCTGTTTAAAGTTAAGCCATAGCTCATCCACTTCTACTAATGGGTTTCTAGCTAGATGTTCGAATTAGTAATATTTTAGGTCCAGCTGTTTGATAATTCCCTGATTGATAATTGCTTCGTAATCGGCCTTTTCAAAATTTTTATATGAAGATATTTCGAGTCTCTTCCTCAGAGCTTCCAATCCTGCGGTAAAATGCACGGTACTATGATCTGAAATTCCAGGATGGATTTCACAACCATATGAATGGTTTGAAAGAATTTCACCGACAAATATCAGATCTAGTAGTGATCTCACTTGCCCTTGTATTCTAGTGTGCTCTTTGACTATTTGGGGGTGTTTATGTGAGAACGCTTGCCCACGAGATTCTATTGAGGCAGACCCTCCGGCGTCGGCGGGTATGCGTAACCATAGCACGAGGCGAGATTTGGGATCTTGCCAGCACAAACACTACGTAGGCATATCGGACACACAACCTTGGAGGCAGTCGGGTCACTGTCCAGGTACGACGACTGAAGAACATTGTGGCAAGCCGCCGGCAAACACACCGGGTCTCGCTTAAACCACAGTTGATGACAGATCAAACAGCTAATGTGCTCATCCCAACGGCCATGGTGAGACCAAGTGGTGAGCGACCGAAGGCGAGATGGAACAGGTGGTGCCTTCTCCCGGCACCAAAGTCAACTATACAATGTGTGTTCCCAGGCTCTGTTTGTTTTCGACAACATGAGGTTCACCCAGTTAGACGAGCTCAATGCAGCTGATGCCACGAAAAAAGAAAAGAATCATGACTGACGAATGCAGGTTGCCAGGGCATCTCTGCCTAACATATACACTCGCGTAACAGCCACAGTTTATTTTTGAAAATTCTATCGTCCTATAGATGTCAACATTTGCCAAGTTTCCATTTCTGTTCAAATACACCGTGAGCGTGCATGCACCTTCCCGCTTTGAAAGTGTGCTTTTCTCCCACGCACAAAATTGCAATATTCATACTTTTTCAAGCGTTGATTCAGCGGGTCACCTCGTTGACTGCGCTTCTTACCGAGCACCAATGCACTGCGGAAAAGCAACACCCGGGCGGAGCTTGCTCGATAAGAAACATGCTCAACGGGGCTAACCCGCCGCAATCAATACTTTACAAAAATATGAATACAGTGTAGACCGCATGTAACGTATGTCACATGAGTCGCGAAAATCCGCACTATAAGCGGTACCGAAATGTCGGTAGTTGTTTAGACAGCAGGAGTTTAGACTGCCAGAGTGTGGCAACTTTAGCTCTAGACAAGAAATTTAGCCGGTGCAGTACAACCGCTGGCCTGGGGACTTTTAACGTGCACCACACAGTACTGATACACGACCGCACGCCGGTACGATACTCATGCAGATCGAAACAGGCAGGGGTGGGGATTGAACCCAGGATCCGTGGGTTCTGCAGCATGAGCTTTCGCTCCACCTGCTCCGAGCTCGTGTGCACTGGCTTACTTGGCCACCGATCCCCCTCGTGGTTCTATTTCTGTGCCCTTTACTCCCTTCAGGTGTTCCGTTCGAAGAAAGACGAGGACGAAGATGAAGATGAAGAAGACGAGGAGGAGGCTATGGATGAAGGTGAGCTGACTACAGGTGGTGTTCTTGTCCTCCAGAATTCCAGTGGTCCTGCTGCAATAGTATACTACCCTTTTTCAGTGTGATGTGATTTTGTTGGGAGTCTTTCAGCCTCCTTGTTGCGGTTGTTCTGGCACTCGAGTTACTTGTTGGTAAGGGTGAAAGATAGGGTTATACATATTCAGTTGGGGTGTGTGGAAATCAAAATGTTTAAATACCGAATACAAATAATGCAAAAAAATTACTTTGGATATTAAATACAGTTGCCAACCGATTTTTCGGACTTCGCAGGGACCGAAAAAATGTCAGAATAATAGAGCAGTCTGAAAAATCAGCAGATTAAAAACCTGCCTTTATTACGTCTTAGCGGGCCATAAATAGTGCCTCGCTTCAGGTTACACCTACGCGCCTTGTTTCAGGTTATGCCTCCGTTTGCGTTCGGCAACTTTCTATTAACTTGAGAATCGCTGCCTTCTTTTCTAGCGTTATGGTCTAGTACTTTCTGCGCTTCTTAGCGCACATTGCGGCGGCAGAACAGATAGGCAATGACGTCCAGGCCAGCATAGTCCGAAAACACAATTCACCGAAACGAGGTTGAGATGAGGCGCAAGTCTACGACTGCAATGGCAAATTAACAAAGCAAAATGGTAACAACAATGATAATGATAATGACGAGCAGCTAGAAAAAAAAAAGTACAGCGTCACCTAGTGGTAGGAGTTAGCAGTACCCAATTAGACCTGCCGAACCAAGCCAATTTATGTGTAGCCCACATTAAAATTCAAAATGCCCGCTTCGCGGTAGTGTTTCCCACTGATCGCTCATGACGATTTTGTCCGAAAAATCGAACGTTCGGACTTCAGACTGTTTCAGTCATCGGGCGTGAACATGCACTATTTCTATCGGGTAGGTCACGGTTCCTCTTTTAGGTCCGAAATATCGAACAAGTCTGAATTATTGGCGTCCAAAAAATCGGTTGGCGACTGTATACGCGCAACAAAAATGCTGCTAACATCTTTGGAGCTAATATTGTATGGGAAGTGCACTCTAGGACCACCCCAACATGATATGATGGTACACTACGGTGCCGCTTTCATGGTCACATTTGGCAGATGCTGCAAGCGGTGGTAGACAGTAATGGGGTAGCAGACGGTGCCGAAGTCTACTGCGCACCTGCTCGCACGACTAGCAGACGGTGTCAGGTGCCAGACCACACGAACCAGACGCCTTGACAGTGAAACATTAGGCCTGCATAGGCTGTTCAGCCGAGCAGCCGAGCCAATCCGGTAGTAATGGGTGGGACTTACGGCGTGATGTGGGCTTTGCGTACCTGTACCTAAATTGCGTTCCGCAACATAAATATTTTGTTGCAAATTTCTTTTGCCTGGGAGAAATTCATTTTGTTACATATGCCCCCTACCTGGGCACTTTAAAAAAAATTTTTTTTGAAGGTTCGGGATCTTCGAGGAAAGTGTGACGTGACGTGACTACACGAAAAGCTGTTGCGCCACGAATAGTGCCATCACACTACAAAAAGCCGTTGCGAAGACCCATCACACGCCCGCCAGTCTTGGCGAACTTATGTCCCACTCAACTTGGTGGACAGTGTTCTTGCGACGTCATCAGCGTGACGGTCGTTACGTGACACTATGACTTGACACTGTGATGCCACATGACGCCATGATGTCACATGACACGGTGACGTTATGTCATGCGACGAGGTCACATGGTCAGTTGTGGGGTCACATAACACTCTAACCCGGCACAGCTCAAAACACTCCGCATATTCTGTGTCTTCCGACTTCCTTCAATTAAGATACACTCATTTCCACTTTATTTATTGATTTATTTCTATGCCCTCGGCCAGCGGCATTACAGAGGGGGTGGGACGTAAAAAATGTAACTTGCAAAGGCAAAACACAAATTAAGATATGGCACGTTACAATATATTAGTAATGGCTGATTTAAACGAGTGATCGGGCTGGATAGTGGTTACGGAAGTGGGAAGGCAGTTCCGGTTTAAGGATGTTTTGGGAATGAACAACCGGTGGAATGCATATTGGTGTGCCTACTTTATAAGTAGGATCCTGTGTTTTTGGGGCTTAGGTATTTCTCATGAAATTTGGAGAGTGTTCCTCAGAGTTCATTTGTTGACGAAAATTCGGGGTTTATTGGAGTTCATTTTTGTTAGATTCTCATTAGACGTAATGCAAATGTGCTTGATGGTCTGAGAACACTGAGAGCGTTGCCATTTTAATGTTGGCAAACGTCGTCTGTACCGAAGCACATCTGTTTGTCCACATTTTGTGGTCGTAAGGCGGAAAACACAGCTGCCACGCTATCGCACACTGCCCGTAAGGTTGTCTCCGACGTCTCCATCGTGCTTTGGTACCGACGACGCTTGCCAACATTAAAATAGCGAAACAGTCAGTGCTGTCAGACCACCAGGATATTTTGCATAAGGTCTATTGTTTTAAAAATTTGGAGTCGATTTTCCTGTTTCCAATTTTTAAAACTTCAAAAGCAAAATAAATAAAGTTTGGGCACCATGACCCGGGGTTCCAAAGGAACGTCGTCATACTAAAAGGCAAACCCCTTTTGTCGGCAGCTCTAGATTTCAAAGAAACTGAAGTGGCATTGCCTCAGGACCATCAACCCTGTGCTCTTACAAAACTTATTTATTAAACATCATCTTGTTAGCTTTTTATTTTGTTTTGAACTTGAAATTCTGAGTTTTCCATATAAATCCGAATCAAAGAAAAATGTACTGGCGAGTATTTTTCAGACTTTTTCAACGCGGAACCCTATTTATAAGGACGATTGAGACGGGGTGAAACACGGAGAGGTTGCGTCGAATGGTGTTGACTGGGTGATGGATTAGCGCAAAAGGCCTTACGAAAGAATGTCTCCTCAGAGATGGACGAGGAGGAGAGCGAGAGCGAGGAGAGCGACATTGACTCGGAAGACAAGAGCGGTCCGGACGAGGAGCTCAGGGCGAGGCTCAGATTGGCTCTGGGCACCGCCGCTGCCGACGAAGACGCCCAAGAGAGCTCGGTGAGGCGTTTGCAGAGGCATCTGCCGAAGCCAAAACTTCTTGACCCCGTATTCCGTTTGCAGTGTTGGCGGTGCAGAATCGCGGCTGATTATCTTATCCGCAGTTTCTTACCTCCAGCCTCGCTCCTGTTGCACGAGCGGTAACTTTAGCGCACTACCGCACTTCCCACAAGCTTCAACTTTGTCTAAAATGGACCGACTTAGTGGTTTTAGGTGACGCTCAGCAAGTTTCTAATTGGAACCATATGTTTATGGAACCATATGTCACATGGGCCGAAAGTGACCGAAAATGACACGATAGGCACAAGTAAAGCATTACGCCCATGATCTTTGTTATGCGTGACAAAACGCAGCAAAAAAACGGGAGTAGATTTGCTGCAGACACGACGAAGATCCGTAGAGACGCTGAGCGGAGCGCATGCCACACTGTGGAAGTGGTCGCCGCGCTTTGAAAAAGCTGGGTGCGGATAATAGTACACAAATACAGTTGAACCTCAATTTAACGAAACCCGATTTTACGAGTTTCCCGATTTAACGAACAAATTAAGATTCCCCGCGCAGCCTAACCCGAAGAATGTCTTTCTCGACTTTACGAAGTTCCCGATTTAGCAAAATAATTAGGGGGTCCCGGTGACTTCGCTAAATCGAGGTTCAACTGTAATTTTTTAATTATTAAAAAATATTTTATTTGGTTTAAATATAGGAGGTGTGGCCCTTATATGAGTACTGGCCGTATACGTAATTATATGTTATGTACAGCAGTATTTGCTTTATTTTCACATTGAATTTACCACTACCGTGTGCAATGTGTTTGGGCGTAGCAAGTTACTGTATAGGTTCCCGAACTGGGTTCCCAAGAAGTTTCGTAGAGCGGCCTTTTGGGTTCCAATCACCCAAACTCTTTCAGTCACCCCCACTGCAAGTGAAGTATTTTTCCTGTTTAAATTTTAGCAGTATATTTGAGAGACTCGACGAAGGTGTGGCCCATAACTGGAGCTCTAATTTTATGCATTCTTTGCATCCTCTTTCCTGCCCATTCAGGAGGCCGAGATTGTTCCAACGGACGAACAGATGTTCCAGCTGGATGGAGCGATTGCAGAAGCTTTCAAGAGCCGTCTGGGTCCCAGCAAGAAGGAGTTGTCCAAGGAACAGACGGACAACATACACTTCCAGATCAGGTAGGGAGGCTCCCAAGTGCAGGAACTGCCATGACGTGGGGAGCTTCGGCATTAGCCCTGGTTCACCGGTGCCCACGTTACTGGCATCCATAGAGACCAATGCAGAACCTCAAGAAGCTCTGTGTGTGCGCGGATGAAGTGAACAAAGCTGACAGGGAAAAGCTGTGTGTTTGCAGCTGGAAGGAGCTTATGCTCGGAGGCACATTTAAGAGGTTCCTGTCAGGGCATTTTCACACGTACTTAGGATTTTGTGGAAGTGTAACGTAACGAGCCAACAATCGTTAAAAAATATTTTTAATTTGAAGTTCGAAAAACTTTTCTTGTGGTGTGCACAAAGACCAGCAAGAGCTTTTTGAAAACGTCAAAGCACACTTATTTGTTTGACAGGGTCAGCTGATGCCAGTGTGGCCTTCAGTTACCAATAAAGCATCCAGCTTCATCTGTAGCTTCAGAGAATATTCTGGAATGAGTGTAACCCTCGGAACATCTAGTGACTGTGGTTGTGATCCTTAGCTCGCTCGCCCAGGTGCCTGGACCTGGTGACTGCTTACGCCGAGGGCGGTCCTCCCCTTCACCATCTGGTGAAGATCGTGAAAGTCTTGGTTGCAGCGTCATCACTGCCAGAGTTTAGGAGCAACCAGGCCGCCACCAATGCCGTTGCTAACGCGCTGCAGGCCATCAACGGCGTGCGGAAGGTGCAAAACTGACTTTTGATTTGCTATGCTCGTCGTTGTTACCAAAGAGAGTGATTCGTTTGGACAGTGGTTGCTAGATTTGAGCAGTCTACGGTTTTTGAAAGCACGAAAGGCTTTTTAACAGAACCCCCAATCCCAAAATCTTGTCAGTTCTTTCGTGCATTTCCCGCCGAGTTTAGCGGGAAAATTGACGTCCTGTGACCTGACATCCCGTGGCCTATGCACGAATCCAGTCTCCACGCTAAATTTAGAGGAGGAATTGACGTCGCGTGACCTAAACATCAATTCAATTGATGCCACTTGACCTGACATCATTAGACCTATACACCCGTTCAGTTTCCCTGCTAAATATATAAAGTGAAAATTTATGTAATGTGACATAACGAGACCTACATACCAATTCAGTTTTCTCACTAGATTTGGTGGAGAATTTGATGTCACATGAGCTATGTACCATCAGTTTCCCCGCTATATTTAGTGGGGAATGGATGAAAATTTAGATTCTTCACTCTCTGAAATGGCTGTTTAATGTCATCTAAACAAATTTAAAGGATTGTTCTTTAAATACTGCGTCTAATGCATTATAGGGCTTTGAAGATAACAGCCAATCCTTTTCACCAGCAGTTTGTTCTTTGAGTATGGTTCTAAGGAATTTTTTTTTTTTTTAAGTTGTAGTAATATGTTGCCGTTTTATTCACTGGCAGTCTGTTGTTTGAGTATGGTTGTACAAAAGATTTTTCTGACGGAATGACTACAAGAAAATTGAGTGTCTAATGCGACACCACGTTTCGCAAGTGGTGGACAGAATAGTCAGACCTTTTGAGCACCTGGATGTATGTCCTAGTCATGCTGTACTTTTACTTTTACTTGCTGGCATACTAGGTTTTTGGAGCTGCTGTTAATGGTTTGTTTGATTCATTGCATTCCCATGTCGGTGTACTATTATTTTTTTATTACTTCTCTTTTTTAAATATGATAGCCGGATTAAATGAATGAATATTGCTGCAGATGGCACGAGTGTGGAAAAAATAATTGTCTTTGTCATGGACGAAATTGCTAATTTTTCTATCTTGCAGTTCTCAAGCGTATCCGACGTCCGCGACGACATTGAAGCTTTGGCTGCGACAGTCATGGAGCAAACTGTTTTAGGTTGGTTTTACGTCGAGATTTATTTTCTTGCCTAGCAATTTGTATTAGCATGCCCGCAATAATGTTTCCTGCCAGGGTTTAGGAGCAGTCGAGCTCTCACCAACATAAATCGAGCACATATTATGCAGACCTTGCAATAGTGATTGGACATGATTCGGTTAATCAGTTATCTGAGATGTTTGCTTAATGTTGCGAAAAAGCAAGCGAGTGATTGCTCTTTCTTTTTCTAAATAATCATTTCTCTTCCAGTTTCAAACGTCAACACGAAGAATGCTCTGAGCGCCACGTGCACATTCTTGGCAAGTGTCTGCTATTCCTTTGCTTCATACACAGTTGGACCCAGTTACAGCTAAGTCGACGGGAATTAGAAATATGCCGCCTATATTCAAAATTAATTGTATGTGAGATTTGTAAAATATCAAAATTTTTTATGCTTACGGCACTTAATGGTCGTGTACCGATAGTATGCAGCATAGAGTTGTGAAATGGCTGCCACCCTATTGCAGGATTTCAGTAGAAGCTAGCTACAACAAAGCCGCAGTTGTGTTTGTCGGAACAGCCAAAGTGCGTGCATGTTAATACGACCAGAGGTGCCCCTCTCCCTTCGATCGTTTACACTCTGGGCAAGTGGCATTGTGGGGAGCTGAAGGATGCACTTCCTCTGGCTGGCACCGCTGGGGAATGTGTAATCGAATCACAGCAGAACTTCGGTTAGTGCACCTGTCACGGCAGAGAGCGAGAAAGGCGCATCATCATCAGAGCAAATGCAACAACCGGCAGTGTTGCTGGATGGATGTGAACGAAATGGAAGCAACTCTCTCGCGACCGTTTATTCCACGCGTCGGTGCATGGACTTGGAGCACCCAGACTCATACAAAACCTGTGAAACCGAAAGTTAACAGAACTTGACAATGTGCGTTGTGTCTCGTGTGAAAAAGAGATGGTGATGAAAGAACCACAGTCTGAGGCTGTCGGTCGGCACGCGTGCATATGCTGGATGGATTGATGAACGAACGGATGGATGCATGGACTCTCGCAACAGTGCCGCTCCTTGGAGAGATGAGGAATTCCTTCTTATCATCTTTCCCTGACGACACGGGGCAGCGCATCGTCTCGCCAAACTGCATTGACTTTCCACTTTTTCTCATGTTTCGCCGTTTTGCCACATTGTTGACAGAGTCACACTATCGTTACATTAAGTCATTGGTCTCAGAGGAGCGAGCAGAACCAGCTCGTGGTGTGCAATATGGCAAAGCCAAATCTGTCGTGCGAAGAGCAACACAAACTTTCCCAGAGAAAGCCGTCCGCATTATAGAACAGCAAAGGTTTTGCTCTTCATTATGATTCTGACACCAATTCCTGATCATTTTCACAAGAAAAATTTCTCAGCTTTAGCAATTTTTTGTTATATCTGTCGTTACAAATGGGCTAAGATTACATTGAGAGGATACATATCCGATTTTTCGTTATTCCAGTACTATCATTATAAGTGGGTTTGACTGTACCAGCTGCCTTTCTTTTTATTCCCTTTGAAACATTTGGTGCTTTTTTAACCTCTCTTTGCACGTGTGTTTTCTAGATACGCTGCCACAAGAAAATCTGCAGTGATTTGGTATGTCCGAGTCTTGTACTTGTCGCGTTTTTTCTGACATTCCTATGGGGCATGTTTCTTATGACATGGAATGCAAGCTGCACAATGGGACAGCAACTACAGGATGGCATTGACTGCTAATCAGGCTTTTAGTGAGACTGAGTGTCTGAGCAATATTCCTCTTACTTTGTGTCTAGTTCCGATTTCTTACAATATTGGCTAAGGGACATAATGAGTCACCGTCTCTGACTGATTCTCTTTCTTTTCTTTTTTTCTAGGGTGTTGGCAGCAAAGGCACCCCATGGTACATTGCAATGTACATGAAGTCTCTCGCTTCCTATTTGGATGAAAGGTGCGTTCTGTCTGTTCCCCCCGTCATTGCCGATGAGCAAGGTTCCCGTAGTGTAACAACCGTGTCGTAACATTCTTTTTTTGCAAAGAAGATACATTTATTGTGCTGTTTTCTAGTTTTTGTTTTATTTGTTTTCAGTTCCCACGTCAGCCCACAGTTGTTTGTCAAATTCATGGAGGCCTTCCCGGTAAGCAATTGTCAGCTTTGCATAACGTGATTTTGGGCAAGAATATCAAGGTCGGCCAGATTTTGTCAAGCTTGCAGCTGGTTAACTGGGAAAAAAGTTGTTACATATATCGATTTTATGGTCTTCTAATTTTATTTACCGTGTAACTGGCTTCTACTCAGGCGGGAGAGATCAGACGGGTTATTGAGGATAGAGTTGACATTGTTTGTTTCGTTCACAAACATCAGTGATAAAAAAAAAAGTTTCAAACTTCACTCAAATTTTGTTACATGTCACATTTTCTCAAAGTATAGATGTTTTACGCTACACTTTCAACTTGAATTTTAACTCTTGCATACCACACCCATTGGCCATCGATCGCCTGTAATCAATGAATTCTACGCGCCGCCGAAATTCGGATTCAGTGGTAGAAGACGTTGCGCCATCTCGTGACTCAGCGGAAGAACTACAGCTTCGGTTTCAATTTTATTTTTGGCTTTCTACAAAGCTGGTGAGCTATCATAAATAAACCTCCGCACGTTTGTGGCACCTGTCAAACACTGTCTCCCATTGACATTGGGAACCGCTACAAAGACAGCCTCGATTGCATGCCTTAAACTGCTTTTGCCACATGTGTTTTTTTTTAAATTTCATTTCATTTCATTTCATTTATTATACTCTCAGGGCCCGAAGGCATTACAGAGAGGAGTGGAAATATGTACATCAATATAAGGTGAACAATAAAAACAAAATGCAAAAAACAAACAAAACACAAGGTACAGAATCGCTATGGAACATTGTTAAGAACATCAGTTGTGGCGGTTTTAAAATCAGCAGCGTCAGTAAGTGAGACTATGGATGCGGGAAGGCGGTTCCAGTAGACGGAGGTCAGAGGTAGGAAGGAGGCATAAAAGGCGGAAGTGATGCAGTAGGGGATTCCTACTTTTAGTGGATGATCGGTGCGCGGCGATATGTATGATGGTTCTGAAATTATTGAGGCTCGAAGTGCTGGGTTAGAGTGATAAATTTTGTGAAATAAGCAGAGGCGAACTATTTTTCTACGAAAGGAGAGGTTGGGCAAATGTAGAGACGCTTTCATGGAGGTGACGCTGGCTGTACGATGATAGTTAGAAAGTATAAAACGTGCGGAGCGATTTTGAATGGATTCAATGGATGATGCTAGGGATACGCCAGGGTTCCAGATAGAGCTTGCATACTCAAGTTTGGTGCGAACTAAAGTTTTATATAGGAGAAGTTTAAGTGAAACAGGGGCAAGGGAAAAGTTTCTTCTGAGATAGCCTAATAAGCGATTAGCGTTGTTAGTGATATAGTCGACATGGATGTTCCAGGAGAGATCGTTAGTTATATGAACACCGAGATATTTATAGGTTGACACAGAAAGCAGGGTGGAGTTATTAATACAGTAGGAGGGACAAGTGTTATTTTGACGGGACACTCTCATAGATTTACATTTAAAGGTGTTAAGTTCCATAAGCCAATTATCGCACCAGCGGGTGACGTTGTTAATATCGGTCTGAAGAGCAGATATGTCAGAGTCGTTAATGATTTCCTTATAAATTACACAGTCATCAGCGAATAGGCTAATAGAAGAAGATACATGCGTGGGAAGATCGTTAATATATATAAGAAATAGAAGTGGACCTAATACAGAACCTTGTGGGACACTGGACTTGACAGGTGAAGTTGAAGAATTAGTTCCGTTAGCGTGAACAAATTGGTTACGGTCTGATAGAAACGATTCTATCCAAGCGATTATATTTAGATCTATGTTAAGTTTACGGAGTTTATGAAGAAGCAGCGCATGAGGAACCTTGTCGAAAGCTTTTGAGAAATCAAGAAATATGCAGTCAGTCCTGGAACCCCGGTCAAGTGTTACGTGAAGGTCATGAGTAAAGGTTAGGAGTTGAGTTTCACATGAATAAAACCTTCGAAATCCATGTTGCGCTAAGTTAAAAAACGAATTTGAATCTAGAAAATTGAAAATGTTAGTGTAAATGATGTGCTCAAGGATTTTACAAAGAATGCTCGTTAAAGAAATGGGACGAAAGTTTAAAGGGTTATGCTTATCGCCGCCTTTGTGGAGAGGGATCACCTTCCCCACCTTCCAATCTTTTGGCAATTCTCCTTGTTCGAGTAATTGCAAAAATAATTTAGATAAGATAACGCATGAGTACGTATTAGTGTTTTTCAAAAACTTAGCATTAATATTATCAATGCCTGCGGTCGTATTGGTTTTAAGGTTTTCAATAATATTAGATACACCTTTACAGTTTACAATAACAGGAAACATGGGCAAAAAATCATAAGTTCTGAATACAGGACAGTCCGAGGTTACCGTGCAGGAAAAAGATTCAACAAACACATCATTTAACAAAAAAGAACACGCTTCACTTGGCACCTCCTCTCCATGGGTGTCCCTAAGCACTATGCCAGTACTAGAAGGAGGATTAATAACTTTCCAGAATTGACGCGGATTGTTAAAGAACATTGACGGCAGCGTATTGTTAAAGTAATGTAATTTTGCCTCTTCGACTGCTTTCTTATATACGTTAGCTGCAACTTGGTAGGCCTCCCAGCGTTGTACATGGTCTGATAGCTTTGCAGTGCGAAATAATCGTTTCTTTTTATTTGACAGCTTTTTCAATGTCACGCTGTACCATGGAGATTCTGGTGAAGAAGATACCACGCGAAGGGGAACATGGGCGTTCATGAGTGACATAACTTTCTCTTTAAATAAACACCAGTTATCATCAACTGAGCGCTCAGCAAAACAACCTAAGTAGTCCTCTAGAAAATGGCAAAGTTCATTGTTGATTGAATTAAAATCAGCCCTAGCATAGTCCAAAAATGTTTTCGTCTGATTGGACTTACTGCGTCCAGGAATGTTTAAAAAAAAGTATAGTAGGGAATGATCACTGAGACCAGGCATGTAAGTTAACGAGGAGATCAGCTCAGGCGATGTTGTTAATATGAGATCAAGCACAGCAGCAGTTGTTGTAGTCGTACGCGTCGGTTTTGTAACAGTTTGAGAGAAATTAAAATCTAAACAAAGATTCAAAAACTCACTACATTCAGAAGAGAAGTGACTAAGGTTTGCACGCTCGTCTGACCATATTATAGATGGGTAGTTGAAATCACCCAACAGTAGTATCGGTGCATTCGGGAAACGAACAATAACTGAGTTGATCGTATCGTGCAGATCCGTTATAAACGCGGTATTGCTAGAAGGAGGGCGATAACACACGCCTAAAATGTATTTTTTATTTTTTAACTGGAGACCAACCCATAGAAGCTCGAGTTCAGAAACAATATTGATAGAAAACGATGGTACATTTTCTGCTACCGCGACCAACACCCCAACACCCCGCAATGACAGCAGCAGTGAGGACTATGAGTAATGTTGGATCATTTGGTTTGAGTTCCTGCAGCAACGATTTATCTCGAGGCTTAGAATATCGACAGTTGCTTGTTGGAGAGCGTCGTTCTAGCTTTCTAAGCTGTCCCGAGCTGGGGCACACATGTTATGTGTATTGCAAGTCATTAAGACACCGACAGAGAAGTTAGAGCAGTGCTGTAGCAAAGCAAGGTTTGTGAAAAAATATAAGAGTTCTGGAGGACATGCACCGCTGCTTGCAACAACATCTCTGGATGGCACGACGCCACGGAAGCACACTTGTCGACAGACCAAAAAAGGACGTTGTTAGCTGGAGCTCTTCAACTTGCTGAAGTAATAGTGGTGTGTATGGGGGACACTTTTTGATACATAGGATTTTTAGGAAAATATTAGTTTGATTTAATATGGATGTGTAGACTTTTTGCTCCCATCTATGTTTGACAAACATTTTTCAGACATTGGTGTATACCTTTTTTTTTCTTTTAACGAGCAGCTTATTTGCTACATTTTTATTTATTAGAATTAGCCATATGCTAAGTAGTTCTTAAAATACTTTTTTTTTTGTCCCTTTAAAAATTGCCACTTTTTCCATGGTACGGAAAAAGTGAAGGGTGTGACCCTGCGTCGCATAAGTAAAGTTTCTTTTCTGTCCTGTTTCAGTCGCGCATGCTTCGCTCTTTCCGATTATGTTGACTCTTCAGAAACTAAAACACAAATCTTTTAGTTGCGAAGTCACCATGCTTCACCTGCATCAACCAGAAGTCTGGCAGTGTCAGAATGTCAACCGAGATATAATGCCCAAAAAATTTGCTCTAGGGAGGAAATGTGTACCAGTAATTAGCAGATGCAACCTGAGATAAAGCAAAGTAGTAACAATGCAACCAGTAACGTAGCCAGGATTTTTTTTTTTTTGGGGGGGGGGGGGGGGGGAGGGGAGGGGAGGGGGAGGGGCTGAGGTGTCTGGGACGCCCATGACATGGGGTGCGGAGAGGGGGCTCAAAATGCATGTGTGTATTATAGGGTCCGCTGGATTTCGGGGGGGGGAGAGAGGATGAGGAGGAGGAGGAGGAGGGGGAGGGGAGAGAAAAAGAGGATGAGAAGGAGGATGCTGAAACCCCCTAAGCCTCCCCTTGGGCTACGCCACTGGATGCAGCTGCGTGCACCCCTAACGAAGAGCGTCAAAACTGTAAGACAGATTGTGAGGAGTCCTACAGGATATAGTGTTGGGCTTGCAAAGCGTGCTGGTCAAATCGACCAGAAACACGTGCAGCCCAACTCCTCTTTCTTTTTTTTAAAATCTTTTTGACACAATCAATCTGCAATCTTCCCTGCATCTTTGTCGGTGAAGGTTTGGGAGCCGACTTCTTCCTCTGTCGCCCCTGACAGGATCACTGCTACGACTTCATAGTTGCCCTCGGAGAGAAGGCAGCCAGCTGCCTGCAGAGGAACCATAAGAGGCTGCAGATGCTGGGTCTCCTAGTGGCCGCCCTGCGTCTCATTCAGGTACGTTGCAGATAGATACAGATGGATGGACAGGTGCAAATGGCCTAAACCTTTGAATTGAGCGACAGCTTGTGCCACCCAGCCCATATTTTTAATATATGAACGGTTAACCTCTACCCACAGCGTGTTCCCGCCAAAAAATTGAAAAGTCTTTTTATTGCAAAAATAAACGACGAGTTGCTGAATGCTCAGCCATCGCCCGCAAGTAGCGCTAGTGGTCCAAACACGATGCCAAAGTTTCAGAACAAACTGTTACCTTATTCAAAAGTTACGTGATTTTTTGAAAATTTCAACGGGAAAATGGGGCCCGTTCTCAACAACTGGCGCCATTCAGATCCGTGCGTTTGAGCGCTCCTTCAGCCGCCATTTTTGCATTGAAAATTCAGGAAAATCACTTATAAAATTTTAATAAGATAACGGTTAGTTCCGAAACTTTGCCATCTGGTTTGAACTGGTAGCGCTACATTTGGGCGGAAAATGAACATTCGGCGATGCATAGTTCATTTTTGCAGTAAGAAAAGCCCCGTAGATGTCTTCGGGGGACAGCCTGCTGCATAAAATTACAATCCGCGAGATGGAAACCTGTTGATCTGCCCGGCGGATCAACAGGGACAGAATAAGGCAATATTTGTTCTTCCCCCTTCAACGCTGCGGTCGCATCCAGCTCGGCTCTGCATCGCATTTTGTGTTACCACCGCTTTGCCAGTATACTGGCGGAAAAAGCGATTTTCCTTTCAGACGAAGGATCGTTTCGGTTTCCACGATTAAAACGTCTCGGACGTACATATCTCTCTCCGATGACTGCCGTGATTCACGATAGGCAGGAAAACATGGAAAGATTCCCGACTGGATGCGACGAGTTCCAAATACCACACTATGGTCTTTACAATTTTTTTCTTGTTCCGTCTCAATCTGTTTGTGCCATCTGTCCAGTTTTGATGTGTTCCCATCTTTTTTCTGTCTAGTTGCGCTGTACATACCGATCACAACTTCTTAACAGGTGGAGAGCGTGCCAAAGCAGAAGCTGGGAGCGTCATTGACGCAGCTGGCAGATCTGTCCATCAAGGTAGGAGTATTCGGTGCTGGGCATTAAGCAAACTTGAAGGGACCGTGAATTTTCTTTTTTTTAGCTAGCTATATTTTGTTTTACCTTACGATGAACCCCAAGCAAAGCTGCGGGAGACCAAATCCAGTCACGAGCCAGTTAGAAACCACGTGGCATACTGCCCCGACACGCATGTAGTCGGAGCAACGGTTTCTAGCTAACTTGCGATTGGACCTAGCGACATGCAGCTTTAGCTGTAGTCTGTAGGAAATCGCGTACCGCCGCCGATTCGCCATTTCCCACGTGGTCCGTCAACAAACCGAGTCCAGCCTGGTTCTTTCACGGGAGCGGGATTCCGCTCCCCGTTTATTCGTACAATAAAACACAACACTACAAAACACTCAATCTAAACTACAAATACAAGCTACATTACACAATTATTTACAAATGCACGTTCAGGCTAAAGCTAAACACAAAGGAGGCCCTTAGGCCTCGCGTCCCGCGATATCCTAGATCCGGTCGCCAGCGCCACCCACTTGCCTGCCAGTGCCTGCGTCTCGGTCGCGTCCGGAGTTCTTAGAGGCCTCTTGCCCCCTGCCCCACCGAGTATATATCTATCGATGGGCGAGGAGGTTTCTCCTCGCCTGCCACGGGGGCGCCTGCAGCGCCCTCCAGTGGCTAGGAGAGAAAGCGGCGCGTCGGGAGCCGAATTCGAGATCCCGATCGACCCCGCGGCAACACGACCATGTGATCGTGTCGCGGCCAAGATTGGCCGAATGGTTTGATGGGCGCCCTCGTGAATTCACGGTGCGCCATACTCCCCTCTCCTAAAAATCGAAGTACGCCGGAATTCAGACGTACGGCTAGGCTGCTGGGAACACCGTCGCTTGGTTTGGCCTGGAGACCCCCCACACGCACACACACACCGCTGGTCCCATGGGTCGTCCTCACTGAGGTCCATCAGTTCGCCCGAGACCTGGGGTGCGCGGCCACCACACACCTCGCAGTAGACTGTGTCGACTTCGGCTTGGCGGCGGCCTCCGGGGCAACGGGGTCCTTGAGCAGTGTGCCTGGCCACCATGAGACTGGCCCCTCCACAGAGTGGTGCACCGGAGAGGGACTGTGGTTGCGACCCAGCTGCGACCGCCCTCCCGGAACGATGCGGGGCTGGAAGTCCAGTGTCACTGAGAACTGCACCCCGGCGTCCTGCGTGGCGTCGCAGACGTCCCGCAAGGCTCCCCGAGCTGTGGTTCCTGCCGGGGAATACGCTGCCAGAAGACGAGGAGCTCAGCCCAAGCTGGTGTTTGTCCAAACGGCGACTCCTCCTTTCATCCCTCCCAGAGAGGACCATTCGATGCACACCAAGTTGCGTCTCGAAGCAGCAGCCGCAGGGGCGATGACGCACAAGAAAAAACAAAAAACAAAAACAAAAAAAAAACATTCAAAGCACAAACAAGAAAAACAAACACTGAGGGTTCCGAGGCACCCTCCCCCCACCCACAAAGAAAAACAATAAAAAAAATGCCGGGAACGCCGATTTCGGATCGCTCCCCCCTCTTCTTCCCTTTCCCGGGCCACGCACTCTACGAAGTTCCGATCCCATCGGGTTGCCTCCGGCTACGCGTGTTGTAGCTGTGCCGCGGTGGTCCCAGGAACTCCTGAGATCGTTGGCGCCCGCGAATGCCCCTTTGCGGCCGCTTGACCGGCTCATCCCCTTCCCTGGGGAAAAAGGGTTTCAGTTCGCCGATGTGAACTGTCCCGCGGACGAGATCAGAATTCTGGTCCCTCAGCGTGTATGTCAGTCGAGACTTCTTGGAATCGATGACAAAGGGGCCAACCCACTTGGGGGCCAACGCCGCCGAGAAGAACTTACTCGCATCGCTCTGCACGTGACTTCGCCGCAGAACGGTGTCGCCCACCTCGAACTGCGCATCGCGGTGCGCTTTGTCATAGGTGTTCTTCTGCTCCGCCCGCGCGCGAGCCCTGTTTCCGCGGGCGGCGTCCAGCGCCCGCGACAGTCGCTCTCTTGTGCGCGTCGCGAAGTCCTCGTACGAGGGCACCGCTCTGGCCGCGCTCTGTCGCGGGCGAAGAACCGCATCGGTCGGCGTAGAGAGTTCTCTGCCGAAGTTCAAAAGCGCAGGCGTGAACCCAGTGCTGCGGTTGAGGTTGGACCGCAATGCAAACGAAATCGAATCCAAATGCAGATCCCAGTCCCGCTGCTTTCGAGCATACGCCCCGAGCAGCGGCTTGATGTCGCGGTTCCGCCGCTCGGTCACATTTGCTTGTGGATGGTAACACGAAGTCTTACAATGCTTAATCCCGAGGGCCTGGCAGGTTGCCGCGAAGACTTTCGAGCAAAATATCGAGGCGTTGTCACTCACCAGTCTCTCGGGGAACCCGTAGCGACACCAGACCTCGGACAGCCTGCTCAGGACTCCCTTGGCTGTCACCTTCCGCATTGGAAACATCTCGACGAATCCGGTGAAGTGGCAAGTGACTACCAACACATGTTGATAGCCTCCGCTTGACCGCGGCAGGGGTCCCATCAAGTCGCAGGCCGCGATCTCCCATGGCCGCGTACTCACGATGGGCTCGAGCAGGCCGGGTGGTCTGCCGCCCCTGGGCTTGCGCTCTTGGCACACTGCGCAGCTACGGACATAACGGCACAGCTGCCCCTTCATGCCCGGCCAGGTAGCGAAACGGCGCAGCTTATGCCACGACTTCGGTGCACTGCCATGACCGTCCGCATCGTGGTAGTGACGCAGCGCTGCCACTCTGAGATCGCGGGGAATCACGGTCTTGAACGACTCACTTGAATCGCTCTCTTCCGGGAAGTAGCGCAGCAGGACGCCGTCCCCATCGATCAGGTAAGACTCCAGCTCACCTGCTTCAATGTCTGACTCCTGGGCGGTGGCACTTGGCCCTCTCGGTGTTCCGGAGTGCCGGAGCGTCTTTTCGCCCGTCTGGTCAGGATCCATCTCTTGCCTGAGCCGGTCGAAGATAGCGCGACAAAACGAATCGCTCTGCTGTGCTTCGTACAGTTCCGTTCGGTTGAACGCCGGTCCCAGTGAGGTAATCGCCTCAGCCAGCTGCGCGACGCCGCCACAGTGGGGAGCGGAGCGAGAGGCGGGATTTCCCGTCTCCCGGGGGATGGCCCCGCCTCCGTAGTCTGCTGCCTCGCGCGGTGGGGGATCCACGGGTGCGCGGGAGAGCGCGTCGGCCACCACATTTGTCGTGCCCTTCCGGTACCGAATTCGGTACTCGTACTTCTGCAGTGTCAAGGCCCAGCGCGCCAGTCTTCCGGCGGGTTCCTTGATTCGGGAGAGCCACGCGAGGGCCATATGGTCCGTCTCGATCGTGAATTCCGTCCCCTCGACATAATGATCGAACTTCTTAAGAGCAAAAATGATGGCGAGGCATTCGCGCTCACTCACCGTGTAGTTCTTCTCCGCCGGGTTCAGCGCCCGGCTGGCAAATGCCACCGGGCGGATCTCTCCCTCTGTCTCCTGCAAAAGCACCGCGCCGAGTCCCTGGTCGCTGGCGTCCGTCTGGATCGTGAAGGGCCTATTCAGGTCTGGCAGTTTGAGGGATGCTGTACGCGCCAAGGCCTCGGTCAGCTGGAGGAACGCCTCCTCCTGCGGCGCCTCCCAGCTCCAGGGAGCAGCTTTCCTCAGCAACTGCGTGAGGGGTGCCTGCATGGCGGCGCAGTTCGGGATGTAGGCTCGGTAGTATCCTATCATGCCGAGAAAACGGCGCACTCCCCCGACATCGGTAGGGACTGGGAACTCCAAGATCGCCCGCAACTTGTCCGCGTCGGGGGAAACTTTTCCTCTCTCGATCCGGAATCCCAACAAGCTGATCTCAGAAGCTCCAATTTGAGCTTTAGTCGGGTTTAGTGTGAGGCCGGCGATTCGTAGTTTGCGCAACACGTCCTCGAGGTGACGAAGGTGGTCCTCGAAAGTTTCCGAGTACACAATGATGTCGTCCAGGTACGCGAGCGCGTGCTGCCACTTGGCATCTCCGAGCACTCCGTCGATCAACCGCTGAAATGTCATCGGTGCACCTGTTAATCCGAACGGCATCCGAGTGAACTCGAACAAGCCTCGGTGACACACGAATGCAGTTTTGCTTTCGTCGCCCGGGCTCATCTCCACTTGGAGGTAGCCTTTGCTTGCGTCGAGGGTAGTGAAATACTTCGCCTTCCCCAGATTCGAGATGATTTCTTCGATGCTCGGAAATGGATACGCATCTTTTACGGTCACCGCGTTCAAGCGCCGATAATCGACGCAGAGTCTCGATGTTCCGTTCTTCTTGGGCACCAAAACCACCGGGAATCCCCAGGGTCCTGATGACCGGCGAATGATTCCCGACTTCAGGAGCTCATCGACTGCGGCATCTATCGCTTTTCGCTTCGCCAGGCTCACAGGACGCGGATTGGACTTCCAAGGGCGTGCGTCCCCAGTTTCAATGCGATGTTGCACCTGCTTAGTGCAGCCCGGCTGTTCGGTGAACATTTCGTCAAAGTTGTGCAGCAAAGCCGCCAACCTCTCTCGCTCTGGTCCGGACAGTCCATCGGCATTGGCCAACGGGTGGCCCATCTCGTCGCAGTGCTCGGCGGAGCTCGGAGTTGGGTGACTCATGGGCATGGCGTCGTCGCGGTCGGTTCTTTCCTGTTCTGTCGCTTTTCCCAGCGCTGCCGCCATGGCCCCCATGGAGCGCTCTCGGAAACTTGAAAGGGGTGCATGTGCCCCCTCTCGGTACCCGCCACTTGCCACGTCAATGATGATGCCAGTGTGGGCCAGGAAATCCCGTCCCAGAATGATGGGCACTGTCAGCCCGGCCAAATGGACGAACCGCTGTCTCTGCACGCGTTGATTCCAACGTACCACGAGACGCACTGCTCCCCTCGAAGTCGTCGACCCACAAGCCAACTGGAAAGTGGTCTCCCCATGCCTCACCCGAACGGACTTCTGTTGGAGATGCCTGAGGACCTCGTCCCCAATTAGCGACGCACTAGCCCCGCTATCCAGAAGAGCTGCGAACTCCTTTCCCGCCACCGTCAGGGAAATAAATGGGGCCGCGGTGCTTGTCGCTGCTCCGACTCGATACGCCGTCGGCACGCACACGGTCGAAGGGGTGTCGGGGACCCGCTCGTTGGTCGGTTTCGCCGCCGATAACTTTATCGGCGGCCTCCTCCGTTTCCCGGAATCTCCCTTGTGCAGTCGCGCCTATAGTGCCCGATTTCGTGGCACCGAAAGCAGCGGCCTCGCCAACCTGGGATAGGATTCTCCCCAGTGGGACGTCCGATGCGCTCACCCCTTTGTGGCAGCGGGTCGGCGGCAGCCTGCTCCTGGGCTGCGGCGATCCGTGGTGCGCCGATCGGACGGAATTCCGTCGCGGGGACGGCCGCGCTCCCTCCTCGGCGCGATCCTGGCTCCAAGGCGTCATCCGTGAGTTCCCAGGGATTCCCGCTCGGCTCCCCGCTGGCCTCCGCCATTGCGGCCTCCCCCCGTCGATACCCACGTGGCACCGGCCCCTGCCACGCGCATCGGGGTTCGAGCGTGTCGATTGGTGCTGGGGGAAGGTGGTACCTGCGCTCCGCCAGTATGTCGGCCTGAACCCTGCGCGCCTCCTGTGCGAGCTCACTCAGACTTCCGAATGGGCGCCCACGCAGATACCGCGAGAAGGTGGGATGCGCCTGCCTCACCACCCGCTCGACCTGCTCCTGGTTCGTAGCATTCGGATCGGCGATCTGCAGGAGTTCCTGCATTGCCCGCAAGTACTCTCCGAAGGGCTCAGCGGGAGCCTGCGTTCTTTCCTCCAGTTCCCTGCGCATTCTTGGCAGGTAGTCTGCCGGCAAGAATTCTTGTCGGAAGAGGGCCGTGAACTCGTCGAGTGTTCCGGCTGACTCGCCCACAAGGCGATGCCACCTGGCTGCTGGGCCTACAAGAGCCACCGGCAGAACTCTGCCTAGCGTCTCCTTCTCTGTCAGGCCGGTAGCCTTCCGATATCGCTGGATTTCCAGCAAGAAGTCGGTCGCGCTCAGAGCTCGATCGCTGTGTCCGCTGTACTCCGGCACCGGAATGCGGATGAGGGTTCTTGGCGGCGGCGTTTGCCTCTGCATGCTCTGTAAGGCCTGAGCGAACGCCGCAACCAACGCCGTGGATTCACGGGACATCTCCGTGCTTTGCGGCATAGACACGACCGGCGCTACCGTCGGCGTGTCCGGACTCGGCGCTGCGGTCATCGCCGCGCCGTTCCGCTCCGCCAGCCCCGTCGATGTAGCGACGTCGGCCAAAAACATTAAATCCGTGAGGGCGAAATTACCCGTGGCCATCTCGAACAGTTGTTTGGACGTACCCTTCCCACTTTCGCAGTGCCGCGGTATAAACTCGCCAACCAGGGGGACCGCCCCGCGTGAACTTCCACGCAGTGTCGTCGACGGACGTTGCGACCGTAATTACGGCTCGCCTGCCCCAACGTTGATGCGCCATTTGTAGGAAATCGCGTACCGCCGCCGATTCGCCATTTCCCACGTGGTCCGTCAACAAACCGAGTCCAGCCTGGTTCTTTCACGGGAGCGGGATTCCGCTCCCCGTTTATTCGTACAATAAAACACAACACTACAAAACACTCAATCTAAACTACAAATACAAGCTACATTACACAATTATTTACAAATGCACGTTCAGGCTAAAGCTAAACACAAAGGAGGCCCTTAGGCCTCGCGTCCCGCGATATCCTAGATCCGGTCGCCAGCGCCACCCACTTGCCTGCCAGTGCCTGCGTCTCGGTCGCGTCCGGAGTTCTTAGAGGCCTCTTGCCCCCTGCCCCACCGAGTATATATCTATCGATGGGCGAGGAGGTTTCTCCTCGCCTGCCACGGGGGCGCCTGCAGCGCCCTCCAGTGGCTAGGAGAGAAAGCGGCGCGTCGGGAGCCGAATTCGAGATCCCGATCGACCCCGCGGCAACACGACCATGTGATCGTGTCGCGGCCAAGATTGGCCGAATGGTTTGATGGGCGCCCTCGTGAATTCACGGTGCGCCATAAGTCCACAACCCACCTAATGCAAATGACAAAAAAAAAAATATCTATATGATTGTTGATGTTGTGCAGATCTTAAAACTTTGTGCATATATCAAAGAACTCTCAAAGTTTTCATGTGAAGAGTAATCTAACTTGTTTGACGATTATCTCTCGGTGACCTACGGTCCGCTTAGTCACACTCGTTAACAGCGGAACAGGGAAAAGAAAGAAATCGCCGCAGCTAATACTTGCTCTGTAACGCAATGTGTTGCACAAGGTACCTGTGCCACCCTGACAAAAGGTCATCTGGTTTATCGCTGCCAGATTCCGTCCCAAACTTTGGAAGATGCCCTTGCTTGCACCCACTTAATATCCACTCATTAAAACTGAGTAAAAGGTGAACGAGACACTGGCGTCGTGTCGGTGTACTAGCTCAGATTTTTTAAGATAATAATTAATAAAAATATGAATTGGTGGCTCATGGTCCAATGCTTCTTTGTTTTATGCCATTCAGCCTAACCAGCAATGTGTCTCACTCTCTGTGCACCCTGATCCTTGAAGTTACTGTACGCCCGACACCTTGCCTCGCCCTTACCAGATGCTGAGTGAGATGGTGGAGAAGAAGGAGCCGAAGATGAGCGTGGCCGTGGAGTTGTGCGACCTCCTGCTGCTGGCATCGAAGCAGTCGGCTGCCGTCGGACTGGAGGTGCGCCCCCAGGTTTCCAATCGCCCAAAAAAGCGCCCAAAAGCACAGGAGGACCAGAATGTGGACGATACAGAGCGCAATCGATACTGACATTTATCGAGCAAGATTGATCTTTGCTGCGCAAAATTATGCGCCCCAACAAGTTTGCAAAACGTGCTGCAGGAGTGATCTGGGATATCCATGTGTCGTGCGGTTCTTCATTCGTTGGCCAGACAAGCAGACGTTTCCAAAATCGCGCGCGTGAACATGCCGCGGCTACAAGGACAAGCTTGTCGGGACATCTCGCCATCCATTGTAGCCATTACCCGTATGCGCCTTTATTTAGTGACGCCAAGTTTTTGGCACGATATCCTAGTACAGTATCTGGAGAGCTGCACGAGGCGTTTGAAATCGAAGCAAAAGGCACGCAATGTATAAGCGACACATTCATTTTCTTAATGGCAAGGGAATGTTTGTTCTTGGAACATGGGCTACACCGGCAATAGTTGTGCCCGAGCATTTTGCCAAGGCTAAAGCGATTGGTTTTTCAATTAATGTCAGTTGTGACTGCACCCCCTATAGTCCACTTTTTCGTCCTCGCGTATTTCTTTTGGCACTTTTTACAGCGGAGCTGTTAAGGGCTAGTTTCCCCAGGATCGTGGTCGACACAACCAGGGTGTCTAGCGACCGGAAAAACCGGGAATTGTCAGGGAAATTTTAATTACCAGGAAAAATCGGGGGATTGTCAGGAATATTGTCAAAAAGCGAGCCCAGTCAGGGAAAATGAGCCGGAAACGCCATTGAGTGCCCTGAGCAAAGACTTGAGAACTTCGGGATAGAAAAATGGGCAATAAATTCTGCTTAGAGCGGAGCGCAAGCTCTGCTCACCCGACGTATACAGTGCGCTACTCGATGCAAAGGGAACAGCCGACAAATCCAGTCGAAGCCTTAGATTAGATTGGATTGAGGGTGCGACACTAGGCTAGATCCAGTCAGAGCTACTAGATTTAGTAACAAATGAAAAAGTCGCAGACACCAATCTATTCCAAGCCTTAAAGGCGGACGACCAGACTCGACATTCTGCAAGGCAGAAGATCCTCCTCCCCATGGGGAGGAGGAAACGGGCAACGGTGGACAGGGTAGAAGGGGGGAGAGGAGGAAGCGGGCGAAAAATGGAGAGCACGAACTGGTCGTCTGTCTTTAAGCCGAGAGTATCTAAAAGTGCATCTGGCTGCCATGCTGCCTTTCGGTTATTCACGTGTGTGTTTGAACGTTGTGTCTTCATGATGTTTCCGGAAGTGGCCTCTTCACTGATGATGTCGGCGGCAAGAAAGGGCTTGTTTAATCCGGACTAGACGAACCCGAATATTTCGGAATATGCTAGTTGGATTAAGCCCGTGCAAAATTATCCTTACAGTGTTCAATGCCTTGTCTAGTAATGGTCTTATATATTTTATCGCCTCTACAGTAGTCAGGGAATTTACTTGAAATTGTCAGGGAAAACCTGGAAAAGTCAGGGAATTTCAAAATAATATTTTGCTAGACAACCTGACAACACTTTGGTTGCCGCCGTCGCTCATAGATGGCGGTAGCTGTCCAGAGTGTTGTGTTTGCTGGTTGTCTGCTTGCCGCCGTCGCTCACCGTCGCGGCAACCTTTCCAGTCTCGGCAACCAGACAACTGGTTGCTGCCGTCGCTCATAGATGGCTGCAACGTTTCTTCGGAGGAAGAAGAGCGAGAATGGAACGAGTGGCGATGTGCGCAGAAGCGCGTGGAAAGGCTGAAAGTTTTTTTAGGTTACGGAGAATAAAATGGCCCGAATTATCCGTTTAATAAAGTTCCCCATTCCCGGGATATCGTGGGGCTCGGCCTGAAGGACGGAACTGTAGCGTAGTACGTCTGCTACTTGTAGGATGCATTCTGTCCGCTTCCACTTGACCTAAACTTAACTGTCCTCTAAACGACCGGGGAGTGTCCTGCCTTGCCTTTTATGTGCACATGACCAGTTTACCATCTATGACTGTACACAATAATTGGTAGCGAGGGGCAAGGAACCCACATGGACTGAGAGCTTGAAAACACCAAACCAGCGTTTGGCCGCGCAAATACTCTTAAGACCTTCCCTAGTGAAACGCAGTTTCAGAGCCACCTCATAGACTGGCACGTCCTCTCCCTAAGAAAGCATGAGGCTGCGCAGCACACTCATTATAAAACAAACGCAAGCGCGTCAAGCAGCATTTATCTTTTTTTGGAGATGAGCAAGAAACACCCGACAGTAGTGAAGCTCTGAATGCACGCTGTGATCCAAAGGCTCCAAATATATTTGTGTTTTTGCATTCGTGAATTTTTCTTAAAAAAATGACCGCATCTCCATGTGGTGAATGATGTTGATTGAGGCGAAGCTCTGGTGGTGCTGATGATACTGATTTTGTTCATAGGTAGTGCTGATGGTGCTGATGTTTTTTTATTGCTTATAGGCAGTGCTGATTTCCAGTTTGCGTTTTGACTTGATTATTACTGCTTTATGGTCAATGAAATGCAGAGCCAGTGATTCTTCTAGCGGATCAGCTTTGATCCGCTAGAAGCCGTGGGAACGCATATCCACCGCTTAAGTCAACGGTCCATGTCAGAAAGAGAATGTGTGGTATGGAACGTGGTTATATACGCATTTGAGCATTTGACCGCAGCGCCCTCTCATCTATAAACGTTGAGCCAGTGTATGCAAAGTTTGACACGATTATATACGCATTTGACCACAGCGCCCTCTCCTGTATAGACATTGAGCGGCTACATGCAATGTTTCATCCATGACATCCCCAGCTCTTGAGTTACTACCACATCTCGGAGCCCCCTACTTGTCTTGCAGTCGTGGCCGAGTGGTTAAGGCGATGGACTAGAAATCCATTGGGGTCTCCCCGCACAGGTTCGAATCCTGTCGACTGCGCAAACATTTTTTTCTTTTTTTTAAGAAGACCGGTGGGATGGCAATCGATGTGAGCACGGACGCCGGACAAGGCTAGACCCTAAAGAGCTTCGCCCCTAAAAATGTCCGTTCATGAATATCGAAATACCTTTGTAGATAGTAACGGGACAAAAGATGTATCGTTTACCCAATTTGTTTCGAGCTAGCTGCCCACAGTGCGGACCGTGGTTTTTTTATTAATGAGGCAGGATCCTACAAAGATGGGCGGGCCCTCGAAAATTTGTCTACTTAGCGGGGTGTGCACATTAACAAGGCACGACTGTATCGGGTTGTTGCGAGATGAGAGGATGTAAACGATTTCAAATAAGGTGTCTTTATGTTTACATCCAGAGTCCCGTGAGAGGGAACACCCCGCTGGCATCCACATTGGCATCGCTGAAGGGCTTCAAGGTGTCGAAGGAGAAGCTGCTCAAAAGGAAGATCAACGAAATCCTAAGGGAGTAAGTGGAGAAGCAGGCTCGTCCACCTTCTCGATTTGCAAGCGTTGGCTTTAGGACAAAAATGTCTTCGACGCTCGAACTCGTGCTCACGACTTGGAACTCTCTGTGCCAAAGACGAGGAAAACCTTGGCTACCTCGGAATCTTCGCTACATCAAAATACCACGTTTTTTTCAGTAGCACTTTGTCGTTATCTGTACCTACAGTTGGTGACATGCTAAGAACGCAGTAGAAGCTCTGCATCCAGCATGCACTCATTGCCTTCTGCCAGGTTTTGACTGCACGTGCGAGCGTTATCAAGGTCGGAAAGTTTGCGCCAAACGTGGAGCATCTTGTACTGCATCTTTAACCTGTCGCTGTGTATAGTTTTACTGCATCTTTGTGAGTATTTACGTGAGACCACAAAAAAGTCCTACTTCAGCGACAGACAATTGTTGGGTTGCCAAAGTTACGACTTCTGCAGCAGGCGCAAAGCTAGCAGTAACGGAATCCGCGTTTTGCCACTGCTAGCTTTGTGCCTGCTGCACGAGCGGTAATTTTGGTGCGCCCCCGAGTTTCAAGTTGTTCTAAAAAGAGTTGATTTAGTGGTTTTCAATGATGCTCAGTAAGTTTCTAATTGAAACCATATGTCTGTTTTCACTAATTAAAAAGTTATTAACGAAATTTAATTAATTAGCCGACTTATTGCAAAGATTAACCACCCATATAATGTCCCCCTGGCCGTGTAACTCACCTGCACAAACTGCAAAAGAGTAACTTTCATGGCTTTTCTAAACAAATCTGTAAAGCTTAAAAAAAAGAAAACCCTGTATTTATGAATACAGCATGATTATGATTCTTTGTTGATGTAGAATGGGGGTCTCCAAATCTTTTGGCTAAAGGGCGATTTTTTTTTTTTTTTTAGCCAAATCAAAAGGTTTGGAGACCCTTCTGGCTAAAAAAAAAATCCCTTTGGCTAGAAAGAAAAAGAAATTTATGGTGGGTGATTACATATAGAAGCACGTTTGATAAATGCGAGTGTCTTCGAATTACAAGGGCATATCAAAAAGTAAATTACACTTTGGTGGGACGTAAAAATAAAGGGAGACAGTTAAGTTGCGTATATTTGTCGAAAGGCACAAACAAACTAATCGTTTTTCGACATAGTAGTTGCCCAAGGACTGAAAACACCTATGGAAGGTGAGACTGATTTTTTCCATATCCACACAGAAAAAGGTCTTCTCCAGTTATGTGCAACCATTTCGGGACCGCACTCGATTTTCACGGCCTCATCGGTTTCGATTCATCGGCCACCAGCAACTGGGTCATTTTCCATTTTACCGAACAAACGGTACACTTCATTTCAGATCAAGTCCAACCGCAGCCGATGCTGCGATCCGCCAAAAGCGTATCGTCATGGCGCTCATCGTCTGCTTGCCATCACTGGCCAAGCCAATTGTGCAAAGTGCACGCGGCATGATCCTGTGGTTTTCTTTAGCGCGCGATTGGTTTGGGCGGCTGTAGCGGACGGTGACGAGCACCGTGATGGTGCACTTTTGGCACCGCTCGACTGACTCCATTGGACTGTGGTGTTTACCACGGTCGGACTCAACAGGAAACGGAGCAGTAGCTACACACCTCCTGCTCAGACTTGTTTGACTACTCCTCTCGAAAAACATCGGTCCTGAAGTGGTTGCACAAAACTGGAAGGTTACCTTTTCTGTACAGGCACAGAGATGTTAATCGCGCATTCCGACAAGTGTTTATTCCGCTGAGGTGACAACGTCGAAAAATAAATGAAGGTTGTACCTTTAAATGACCGTATTCATTACATGAACACATCTCCTTGAACGTAAACGTTTGACAAATTGGTTGGGGGAACAAGCGGGCATCGAAACACTGGGTCCCCGAGATTTAGGGTTTGGTTGGATATCTTTCTTTAGTTATGTGATACTGTATTTTTGTGCTTTGTTGAAAAGTGTCATTTACTTTCTTTACGATATGCTCTCGTACATATAAGATTCTATGTGATGCGACAGAGGTGGCAAACTCTTCCGGGTTCGTATTTTTGAGTTGGTTGGCGGCACTGGTTGTGAACCCCTCCCCCCCTTTCCCTCTTCTCTCTTTGCATACCTCTGTGGTAGAATACAGTGAAATATGCTAGTGATATCTAGATAAATGTAGTTGTTGTGTTGAGGCACCTCCACAAGTATTCTAATGTTTTCCAGAATCCAGGGAAGCAAAGTCACCGATGCGTCGCAGGGTTCGAAGAGCCAGAAGAAGAAAAGACCAGCTTCGGACGAGGCAGACGCAGTATCTAGGAAGGCCAAAAAGAAGGCCTAGCATGTTGCCATCTGAAAACATTTTTGTATAAAAATGCTTCTTGTTTCCTATCAAATGACTTTATTGAAGCCCATTTTCTGTTAGAGAAGAATATACTACATGCCTTTCGATCACTACACTTTCTGGCCTGATTACATTGTTTATCATCACCATTATAGCAGGTTTGTTTCCTTAGCCCCAGTATGTCACAATATTTTACACTACCACTCTATAAAGGTTGGACAGTATTTGAAACTTCACATAGTTTGAGAATAGTGTTTGCTTTTTGATTTGCAGCAAAATTTTACAGTTCGAAGGATATTTAATATTCGACAATGACAAATGATGCCTTCAGAATTCTGATTTCATGCGTCAATCTTTATTGCCTCGCACAAGTGCTCTGGTGTCGTGTTTCACTACTTTGCACCAGTGCTCTGGCATCAAGCCCCGCCAGTGCACACATGTCAGGCTTCACTGCTTTGCATTGGCGCGCTAGAAGAAATGGCTGACTTGTCAGAGCATCTCGGTCGGCTCGATGGTGTCAGAAGTCATGCTCACCAGTGTGGTTATAAATATAGTTAAACCCCAAACTTCAAAGGGCAGTGCAAAAAAAAAAAAGGACACCTCAAGCTAGATTTAATTGAATAACAGTCATTGTTGCACTTGCCATGTTACATGATTCTACCCAACTCATCTAATCGGAGCTTTTTACAGCGGTTGCAGTAATGGGCCCTTCCCACCACTAAAAATGACGTCAGTTGTTGTTGTTGTAGTTGCAGTAGTTGGCGATGTAGGGCGTCCGTCGTCGATGTTCCTCGAAAAAGATTGCCTGCCGCCCGCGGGAATCTAACTCGCTTTAAATTTGGGGGCTCTGTGTACCCGATGACCACTGCACATGCTTTCTGGAATAATAAAAAATAGCCAATAACAAGGTTCTGTTGTGGCACCGCCAATGCCAAGAGCTCGTGCCGGGAGAGGCGCTTTCACGTGCTCCAGAACAAAAAAGAAACAAAAGCGTTTGGAACAGAGCGGAGAGGAGCGACTCCATCTCAGTCTATTTATTACATTATCATTATTTGTAATATTTGTTCTTATAATCAGGTGCAAAGAAAAATGCACCTGCTTTTCCCCATAGAAATACAATACCGGAAGTCAATTCTTGACTGGTTGCTGTCGGCTTCAATTCGAAACAACACGCTAGCGCCAGCTGAGCCTCTAGTGTACATTATAATAACCGTCTGGTCTCTCAGAGCCGTGTGAATGGGTCAATGGAAGGAGGGTGCAGAGCCAGGGCGGGCACCAGACGCAGTTGGAGGGCTTGGCATGCTCTCTTGGCCAACTAAAAGCCGAAAAGAGCCCCCTAGCGGTTGTAGTGAGAAACACTTTTAATAAGAGCATAAGGGTTAAATGTAGTAACTCTTCGTGGTTGAAAATAGGATGCACGTGATGTTTCGATTATGATAATGCAAAAAGATACAAGAAACGAATGTGCCGCTTAAACTCTGTTCTGCTCAAACAGTGTGCGACCGCTCAAACAGATCCATACCCCAGGCACCTGGCGTACGGCTTACGTCGATCGTTCCGCTAGTCGCGCTCTTCCATTATGATTTTGGATGACCATGATTGAAACATCATATGCACCATATTTTCAGTCACCAAAAGTTACTCGACTTCTGGTTGGCCACATTCAAATTTGTGAAGATGCCCTGGAACATGCCCAGCTCGCTTTTGGCCAATGGCACCCCCTCATTTGCCTCCTATACTTCCCAATGAATGGCCAAACTCTATAGACCAACACGCGGCTCTGACGTCATGCAGCCGCGGTGGCGCTGTCGACGGCACTGCGCATGTGCAGAAGCGTCACGCAAATTCGGTTTCTGCGCACGCGCAGTGTCCACACCTAGTGTGGGCAAACGCGGGCTTGTTTGTAAACAGTGTGCCGGCCTATACACGGCTCTGTGGTCTCGGAGATAGCGCAATTTATCAATACATGCGCCAAACCTGCCCTGCCACTTGACTCTGTCGTCTGCATCCACCGTTGTCCCTGGCAAGCTTTTTGTCCTATTTTTTACAGAAAGGGAGCTATGCTTTGTAATTTTACAAGGTACATCCCGCCTGCGAAATACACCTTTGTTAAAAATTTTAGATAGCTACTTGCAAGCGCCAATGTTTACGGCCCATTTTAGATGCAGCCTCGGTATTTCAAGACACCCTTTAGACCCTTTTTATGGCAAACGCTACCAGGTGGTGCTTTAGTCCGACATCCCAGAGAACTTCCGGTTTATAAAAATAATGAACAAAGGCAACCTTAACACCGCTGCTTGAAATGTAGATGAAGCGTTCAGTCTTGGGTAGTAACGCGTTACTGTAATTTCGTTACTTTTTTGGTAACTTGTAACTGTAACGAGTTACTTTTTGAAAATGTAACTTGTAACTGTAGTTCTATTACTTTTCCTGAGGTAACGATGAAAGTAACGACATTACTTTTGTCATTACTTTCCAGTTTTTTATTAATAATATATCACTGAACGAGTACAATTTAGCCATTCTTTGCGCTTTCCAAATTGTCTGTTCCGACATTTCGAGTGTCAAGTTATTTTTTACACAAACTTGTGAATACGTTCTTTCTCGCCAGTCACGACCCGAATATAGCCACGTGCAGATTTGGTGAAAAAAAAAGTAATCTTTAGCACGCGCTTGTACTTTGTGACTGAACACTTGCATCTTGGTATCTTGAAGAACTATCTCTTTTGCGTTTTTTTTTTCTTTTTTCTGCTCAAACGCTTTTTAATCGGTTGAATCAAACATGCATCTCCAATACAGGCGGAGGGCACTGCGAATGTTTCGTATTTTGATTAGCGCCACCACTCCGCACTGCGCATGTTTCGTATTTTGATTTGCGCCACTACTCCGGTGTAGTGTCAACACTCGAGGCAAAAGTTACTGCGGTTTTCGAGGGGTTTGTTTCTGGCTTGCCGGGTACGAACTGAAATATGTCCAGGGACTCTATGAACCCAGCGCGACCGTCAACGAGCCAGCAATGTGCTAGTGCTACCAAGGATATGAATGTTGACGAGAACAAAGAACTACCATGGCCGGCGTACAGAGAGTATTTTGCTGTTGTGGAGGTGGTTACTAACAACTTGACCGCAGAAAACGGCACTCTGTTGCCTCAACGCCTACCCGGCAATCAAAAACCTGTTCCGGCGAAACAACACAGCAATCCCAACCAGCGCGTTAGACGAGCGCCTGTTCAGCAAGGGCAGGGACGTGTTTGTTATCAAACAAGGGAAACTCTCAGGCACTAATTTCTAGAAGCAACTGCTGCTAACTTACAATATGAAGTAAAAAGCACACTTTTTAATTTTATGCTAATAAACTTGGTGAAAAGCGTTTTCTAGTTTTTCCTAATTTTTTTTTGTGCTATAGAAAAGTAACTGAAAAGTAACGTCGTTACTTTTTAAAAGTAACTGTAACTGTAACGAGTTACTTTTTTGTTGCGGTAACTGTAACGGTAACTTCGCTACTTTTTTCTGAAAGTAACTGTAACTGTAACGAATTACTTTTTAAAAGTAACTTACCCAAGACTGGAAGCGTTTAACCACCAATTCAACAGGTGAACGCCAGAAGAACAAAGGAGTGCAAGATCTGTTAAATGTTTCGAGTAGTTGAATATGGTCAGCTGAACAATTACAAATTAGAAAAAACCGCGAGAGGAAATACATACACACCGCTCACGGATTTTTCTAATTTGTAATTGTTCAGCTGACCATATTCAAGTATGTACCAACTAGCTCAAGTAAAACCTGTAGTACAGTTTCGAGTAGGGTTGTGCGAATATTCGAAATTTTGAATAGTAGTTCCGAATAATACACTATTCGATATTCGCTTCGAGGAGAACTGCACTATTCACGTTTTTCTAAGTGTTGATTGCAGCAAGTTAGCCCCGCTGAGTGCGCTTCTTACCAGGCATAGGTGCGCTGCGGAGAAGCAATACCCGCAAAAGTGATCTCTGTGGGTGTTGCTTCTCTGCATTACATCGGTGCTCGGCAAGAAGCACACTTAAGGGGAGGCACGGCCTAGGAATCGCGATTTTTTCAAAAAAGTCACATTTTTGGAAAATAGGCTGACTAGCTTTTACAACTCATAAAGAATGCTGTCCAAAAATTTTATTCCTGTAAGTAAAGTATTTACTCCGAAATAAATTATTTTCGAAGTGCTGGCGGCCGCATGTGCGCGCCGATGACGCGGCCGATTACGAAAATGTGCCAGTTTCGAAGCGCGCTCCCTCCGCGTTTCTTAGGACTAGCATGGACAGGCCCCCCTCGTTGGAATGAGCGTCTCGCCCTCTTTCGTTCTGTTCGCAGCATTGTTCGCGATATCGTGCTCACAGACCGTAAAACCCCGTAGAAAACATAGCTGTGCACACTCTTATTGGCCAAGCTGGCGAAACAAGAGCTCCGATTCGCTAGGACGAGCCACGTGACGTGGCTCGTCCTAGCGAATCGGGAAGCTCTGTTGGAAATGGGCATACAGCCAGGGAGCTACCAAGCGTCATACGGAGAGAGGGCCACCAAGATGAAGGTTGCGAAAGCCCAAGTGAAAGCGCTCGAGTCCTCCAAGATGTCCCACAAAAAAAGGAAGATGGAAGCTGTGGCCAAGGCACAGAGGGACCGTGCAGAGGAAGGAGTGACATATGCCCCTGGAGCATTTTAGATGAAATGGCAAGCCCCATCTAAACTAAAACACTGTTCGAACTTTCAAACCCGTTTTTCTCAGCTTCATGTTTTCACCATTTTTTCACAGCTCTAAAACTATCGTTCGATGAGTTAAGCGCCCCCAAGTCTAATGTATGGCTTTTTTGGCATGAAATTTACTGGAGAACTCGGCTATGCGCTTACTTTTTGCAAATTGTTATTTCTTCACTCAAAAATGTTGACGTTTGTGAAACAAGAAAAAAATTAAAAATTCATACCATTATTGAAAGTTAATTTTTACGTGAGATATAGCCTTAAAAATTATTTCAAGCTTACTACCGATTAGGTTAGTCATTCAGCGTTATATCCTAACAAAGAAATTGTGCCTTTTTATTCATATTTTGAAACAAGTTTTTTTCCTTTGGTACTGCTACATGTACAGTTTTTTCAACGAATAAGGCTGTAACTTGTCAAAAAATAAACCTTTTGGTTTGAAAGTTGGTGTAGCCTCCTAAGTTTTGACGTTTAACATACCCTAAAAATTTCATTGACCTGGCACAAATACTTAAAAAGTAGACCCTCCAAGGGAGTGCCTCCCCTTAACAGGGTAACCCGTTGCGATAAACACTTGGAAAAGTAGGAATATCGTAATTGCGTGCTTGGAAGAAAAGCATACATTCAAAGCGGGATGGCGCACCTGTGCCAACTATATTTGAGAATAAATGGAAACTTAGTGAATCTTTATATCTACATTGTAGTAAAAGTTTCAAAATTAAACTCTTATGCAAGAGTATTTATGTTAGGCAGAGATGCCCTTACAACCTGCGTTCATCATGCGCGATTCCTTATTTTTTTAACTCGATATTAAGAAAGAATATTTTATACAGCAAGATTTGTAAATTCACTCTATTGGGTATAGTTGGCCATCTTTATAGGATTCATTTTATGTCAAATCCGTCGTTTACTTGCCATCCCAAGAAACCAGACCTAGTCTAAGTTATAAATAAAGATAGATTAAACTCGGCTTATAAATGAACAAGTGGAACAACCTTCACATGTTTAGCTGGGTTTTCGTCTAAGCATTATGAAATGGTTGTGAAAGCGCCTAAAAAAGTGCAAAAAAACAAACAAAAAACACAAAGACGAGGAAGTAGACGACAGCGCTCTGTCTCTGTCATGAGCCAACTGGCACAAGTTGCTGCCTTAGTGGTAGTGAAAGGCGTGGAAAAACTATTCGATATTCAAATAGAAAATATTCGGCCAAAACCACTATTCGCTTCGAATTCGCTTCAAACTCAAAATCCACTATTCGCACAAGACTAGTTTTGAGTTTTCTTGTAAACCAACTTGCCTAATCCACAATATATTTATTGCACAGCCGAAGGCCCTCATTAAATCTCCAACTGTTGTCCGTGTAGCATTTATGCTTTCTAGCACTGGTGACATAAGCAAGTTCAATAGGCTTGCAAAGACGGTGCGACCGGACGTCGCTTGGGAAGCAAGCGGCAGTTCACGTTTGTAAACAGCAAAAGGGTCTATATAGATGCATTTCTACCTCATTATGGACGATTATTGGGGAAACGGAGGTGTCCATATTGTGGTAGCCACTGGTTTCCCTCCCTCCGAGCAGGCGTAACTTGCAGGCGTTCTGGCCAGAGTCGTCTGGCTTCGAGCCTGCTTCCTCGCATCATGTTAAGGAGAGATTGTCACCCTGTTGGCCTACTCTCTCGCACTCCTCTGGGTGTTTCCCCTTTTTGAGGGGCCCATGACAGACTGCTCAGGGGCAGTTGGTGTTCCCTCCTCCGAGTGGACGGCAGCCGAGTGGACGACAGTGGATTGGACTCCGGGCAACGGGTTGTGTCACGATGTGAGCTTGTCCGTGTCGCGACGACTCAACTTGCGATTCCCTTTGGCTCTCAAGTCGGCTCGCTCGACCACAATTGGGGACCGCCGTTTCGCAATCTGGTATCATTGTTGTCCGCCGTGTCGGCAAATCCGGCGTGGCGACCGCCCTCGCTGGTAGCTGTCGGATGTGCGGTGCGACGGGCATCAGGTTCTTTTTGAACACCAGTTCCATATTAACAAAACATTGTTAGTTTACAAATTACTGGTGCATTACAATTTGTGTATTGTCTTGGAATTCAAGTGGGTGCAAAAAGGTGAATGGAGTGAACGACCATGACCGACATGAACAACGAACATCACACTCGCATGTTCCTTCATTTCCATCAGCTCAATTGAAGGTCTATGTGCAGGCAATTGTTTCTTTTTCTTGTTGGCAACTTGAGGCAAAAGGAGCTTACACGCATCCTTCGAGAATTGAGGCGAACATTTCACTGCATTTTTATGGAAGAGACATACATCTGCAGAATTTTCTTTCCTGGCTTGCTTTGTTGAAAAATAACTTTGCAAATCTACACAGACAATCACCAACTCTTTAGAGAACGGAAGCCTCCTAATATATGAGCTAATGATGAGATAGTACAATCAATACTAGTACCATCATATCTTATCCAGTCTACGAAAAAAAACAAAAAAAAAACAACATGACAAATGAAATGGATAATGCTTTATTAAGAAACCCTGCTGCACAGAGCATTATGTGCCAAACCAGGAAAAGACAAAAATGCCAAATAAGTTACACATGACGGGTGCTAGAATGCAGCCTTCTCTTTGGCGGGACATGAAACAAGAAAACAATGGACAAAAATCCTCGACATGCGTTTGTATGTTGAGAAGCAAAGGACCAACATTATTTACAAATGAAATGCATTTGCGAAAACAAAAATATTTCTACCGAAGGAAACTGGCTCGCAAAATGATTGGTTTTGAGAGATGTGAAATATAAGATAGTTGTGCAGCGTTTAGATAAAGCACTGTTGCAGGTTGTTCAAAGGCATCGAACTGGATAGCTCTCGACTGCACCACAGTTGTAGAAACGAAGCATGTAGGCATTAGCTTAAAAGGCTTCAGTGTTGTGCCTCTACCTCGACTTGTAACAATAGTAGGAAGAGGGCAACTAGAAAAATGTTAGTTGTCTATCATCTCAAGAATCAAATGCATTCTTCTTGCCTTCGGCGACTCCCAAGATCTGGCTGTTTAACACACCACAAACTGGCATCTCAACTTATCACTAAACTGGCATCTCAACATATCGCTAAACTGGCATCTCAACATATAGCTAATCTAGAATAGGAGAAGCAAATGAAAGGACACAACAGACAAGCAATTTCAACTTCAGATAGTTCAAGGTCCAAAAGTGCTGCCACACAAAAAAACATCTTTGTGCAGTTGCAGTTTGTATAAATGCACATACAAGGATGGCAAGTCCACTCGTAATTAATATAATTCAGGATAAAGCCCTCTGACAGAAGTCTTTAAAATATTTTTTTTTAAAATTTTCTCACTGCTGCATTTGTGTATAGACCATTAAATTGGCAGTAGCCCAGCTTTTACACTCCCGATATAAGAGACAGTAGTTGTTCTTTTTCACCTTTCACCATACAGTACCTCTAGTACTACTCAAGACAATCATGAATTTTGCCTATGTGACTGCACCATTATCACATGTACCCTCAGCGAGTAAAAGTAGTCACAGGTAACAAGAAACTTCATCTAGATTTTCTTCACAAAGACAGCTAAGAGACCAGTCTTTTTTTTCTCGTATGTGCTACTTTTAACGTTTATGGCGGCTGCCATTGTGGTGACCTTGCTCCCGAGCTCATACCTTCTGCAGTGCAGCTTACACCACAGACTTTGTTTTTCTTGGCTAGAACAAGCGATGATGACCAGCACGACGCAGTGACGTCGCATGCAAACCATGTGTGCAAGAAACCTAAAATAGCAAGCACACGGTAGTGATCTGAACACTAGAGCAGACTTTTCAGTGCTGCATGTCCTTCTCTTCTAATCGTCTGCATTGCAAAAGAACTTGGGAATCGGTCTACCCCTTTTTTAACTGGGAACCAACGGTAAGCTTCACCACGGCAGCGCAAGCAGTAGATGCCGCACAAGGTGCTGAAGGCACACCTACTGTGCAAGTTAGTCGTATAAACTCCAGAGAGAAGCGGCCTGTGCCAGGCACATTCCAGAGTAGGCAGGCAAGAACGGCTATGCCTCCAGCAACAAGAGAATGTATGAAGCCTTACAGATGTGTCGCTTCCTGTGCCCGTAAGTCCTTCCTGCTCCAGAGGCAGCCGAAGTTACAGCTGTTCAAAGGCCAAAAGTCATTTGCTCGAGCGGGTCGCTACAACAGATACATAAACTCCACTAGAAACGTATCAACTAAAAAAGTAGCAAAAAAAAAAAAAAAAAAAGCATTATACCTACTGCATTCATTAACAATGTCTTCGATGCATCCTAGAACGCTCGAGCATGGTGGTCCCAGCCCTCATACAGAGAAACGAAATGCCCATCAAGCGAGTGTAGAAACCATGATACGGTAGCAACGAGATGGCAAAGGCCACTAGGCTTTACAGCACAAATTTTTGTTTACCTGGAGTAAAGTGGATCCTTTTCATGATGGTTATTGCTGTGGCTCCTGAAATAGTTGCTGAAGCCAGCCGTGTCTTTTGAAAACGCCAGTACAATGCTGCTCTTGGGACCAAAACTTGTTTACACACTAACCCCGGCATCAATTGCAGAAGTACAGAGCCCGATACGATTAACTCAAACGAACAGTCGCCGTATTTATCCGAGCTTTCGCAGCTCGGGTAAAGTCACCAGTGTGGTGGAATCAGCTTATTCTCTGCACCAACTGGGTCGGTAGATTTCGAAATTTAGGAATACTCTATTCTACCTAAGCTAAATGCGACATGCCGACATGCGGCGCATTGTGTTTGTGTGGAACGCCGACTCGGGTAATAAGAATTCGCCGTTTGACATTACCTGTAACGGACAAAATGTGGAACGGCACCAATGAATAGAGCGAAAGCTGAGAGGACGAGCCGAGCGTCTTCGAAGGTGGTCGACGGTAGAAATGCCCGAACAGAAATCGCACCTGCCGTAGGAAAAGCCAAACAGAGTGGGCCGACCTCGAGCGAATATTTCCGCCATCCGTAGCACCCAAAGGCAGACTTCAAGCTATGCGGAGCGCAAGTTTGTCTGCTTGTGGCGATGTCAGAAAGACGCCGAGCTCCAATTGGCCCTGATTAAATGATTGTGGGTAGACCTCAAAGCAAACTGTCTTTAGGTCTACCCGCTGTTCTTCAGTCATAGCCAATCGGAGCTCGGTGTTCCGACGTCACCACAACCTCCGCAAAAGAAGCAGACGAACTTGCAATCCGCATTCCTTTCAGAGCAGGTACAAGGCATCTCCGCAAAATGCAGACGCACAAGGCCGTCGTAACGGTAGATAAGCCCCCACACTCTAGCCCAGTGTTTCCACTGTCGAGGGTCGCACCCATCGCAGAATAAAAACCACTTTACGCAGGTAGAAACGCCGCGCACTTCTCTGCTGAAGAGAAAGCGAGGCTATCTCAAACTCTAGCCAAACGTTCCCGCCGTTAAAGGCCACACGCATCAATGCCAGTCTGCAATCCGCTTCTCGCAGACGGTCAGTGGTCCACACAAGACGGCAGAACCTGCCCCTGGGTCGAATGCGCAGTGGGAGCCACGTGCACGCCGGGTCGATCAATCGCCCGCCTCTCGTCGTGCGACGCCTCACTTTGGGTGTGGGTGGGAGCGTGGTCGCGTGGCATAAGATGGACGTGTGGCTAGTCCAATGACCGTGTGGCCTCCACCCCGTCGTCGGCTTAGCGGTGAACAGAGTGCAAACGCCACCAAGCACTCGGTGTAGTCGTTCCCAGTTGTCCCATGGTTGCGGCCAGTGCTCCTGCTGCCCGGAACGTGAGTCTGCAGGCACCGCGCGCCCGCCGTAAGGGAAGGCCGCCGCCGCGGTGCTGCTAGAGCGCCAGCCACGGGTGGAATTGGAGGGAGGTCTTGCTGCGGTCGCCGTAGTCGTAAAGCAGCTCCTCTCCGGGCTGGATGTCCCGCTGGGCGACCAACACTAGGTGGGGAACGCCCTTGATGATGCACGTCTGCGTCTTGAGGTTGCCGCGCTTGCTATGGTTCACCAGGCGCCCCAGCCGGCCGGACTCCTTGGTTGCGTCCACGCTGGCAAGAGAAGGGGGGCACATTTTTGGTCCGGAGGCAAGGTGGCCGAACCGACCGATCACATTCTGAAGGCACCAAGCACTCGACGATGATGCGGTTGGTGTGACTTGTCTAGGACTGGCCGAAGAAAGCGCAATATTTCATTCGCGCAATATAGACCTATTTTGTCGACCGCTCTGACTACGCCGCCGCTGCCACGATGCATAGGGGGAAATTTAGTCTTTCTGCACCTACCAAAACCTCGCCGAAGCTGCGAGTGTGCAGAGTACGAGACGTTACGGGCTATCTTGTGCACTACCACCCGCCTCATGTGAACAAAAGTTATGGTGGTTTCACGTATGCGCCGAACGGTTAGTGAGATAGTGGATCAATCTATTGCATTTTAACGGAAGCTAACTCAGATTTCGCATTCATTTGTGACATGTGACTCACGGTGCAAGGTCACGGTGTCAAGAACAATACTGAATTTTGTAACGTCGGGTTTCAGGTTGTTGTGCAGCACTATCGCAATGTCACATGACACTGGCACGTAAAGCGACATCACTCGACACCGTTAAAAGAACTCTGACACCCCTCAAAATATTTTTTTTCATCTTTTGCCAGGCAATTTATTATGGTGTAGGAATACCACCCAATTAATATTTTGCTACAGAGTCCCATATTTTTTTAATAAAGGCAAAAAACATAACCGCTCGAAACCGAAAATGAAACTCGCGCACTGCACGGAGAAGTGGATAGGAGAGTGTGAGTGGGGGAAGTTATGTGGCTACACCAGACTGTGCGATTTTTTTTTTTTTTCCCGTACACAGCAGACGATATGCGTTGCGGAATCCGTTCGCCGTGCGATTCCTTTGCAGTTATGTTTGTTCCGCTCGCTGTTCTGTACTTCAGGATGAGTTGTTTTGTACATTTAAGTGTTGGCAATCAGGAGTGAGTGCCCGTGGTGAATTCCGGTGATCGGCTCCGAAAAGAATACTCCCAAGATGTTGCGTGAAGAGCTTCCTCTCATATCCTGCATCTGAAAGTGGCATTTTGCGGCAGAGTGCACAAGTTTCCGAAAGGATCAACGGGTCGGGGTCACTGGCTGACTGCAATTCCTGTAGAACAGTTACGCGAAGCTCGGAAAGCGGACACTGCCCGGTTCATATACTCATTACATTTGTGGAGAGTGACTACATTGAGTTCGCAGGTGTCAAAAATGGAATCCCATACCATTTAGTTCAGCGACGCATCATCCACAATTGTTTCTTTCAGTGATAATTGTAAAAAAATTAATCTAAACATCGCAAAATGTTTGACAAAAAAGAAAAAAAAAAAAGGCCGCCCACACTAGGGATTGAACCCGTGCCCGCTGCGTGTGAAGCGGACATCTTTCCACTGAGCTACGGAAGGAACTCTTCCGTTCGCAGTAATGCAGCCGGTCGACTGCATGTCGGAAAGTTTGCTGCCGATTTCCCTTCAGTATATGCACTCCCGGCTTGATGTCGGGCAGCACCACGCATTGGCCACATTCGCACCTAGTAAAATAACCGTACACGTCCGTATTCAACTTGAAGTACGCACTTCGTGCTTGATGTTTGAGCGAGCAATGTCTTCAGCCACGAGAAGGGACGACAGCTCGGCGATGTCTTCGTGCAATCGGCTTGCTGGTCGGGCGTGTCATACGAGATGAACATCAATTCTTTTGATCGGTCCAAAGTTTCTCTTTCGAAGGAAGACAGAGTCCGCCGGTACCGTGAACGACAGTTCTGAAGTAGAGGTCCCATGCCCATCGTCCACTGCCATCCGTTAGTCCCACGATATGATACGCGAAACGACGCCATGTTGAGAATTATGCAGTGAATGCACAGAATGCTTCCGGTTGTCTGTGCAACCTTTTTTTTCGATCAACGTATTTGCAGCTTTTTGGAAGCCACAAAAAATGGGTTTCATAATTTTTTCTATTTTTAATACTGACTGTGTGCCTTCGATGACCCACGACTTTGATTAAATTTGGCGGTCGCGTCTAAACCTTAGAAAATGGTCAGTAACCATGGAAAAGAGAGTGAGCGAGACTTGAACCGGCCAGTTCTCGTTCGGTGGTTTTTGGGCGGAAAGAAACTGAATTTCGAGCCGCAAATTCTGTTCTGCGTAGTTGGGCTCTCATGTCACATACAACTAATAACCTCGGCGAGCATAAATACCCTGCCAGTGTCCCTTTAAGTCGGGTCACGCGACACTGTGCCACGTAACGTCGTGTGACAACATTGCATGATGCGACGCAATTAATCGGCGTGTGCCCATACATCGTGAAAGCACCTTTTCTCGTACACTGCAATTCTCTGTACGACAACTCGATTGACAAATCGAAATACGGCTGCCAATTTTTTTTCCATGTCCCTCCAAGGCACAGCACGCTTCACGTCTCGGCAGCATCCTTTCACGCACCCAGTCTCTACGCTACTCGGCTACGATCCGACCCCCAATCGCTCTTGCGGTGCTCTCACCAGTACTGCTTGTTCCTGCAGCTGAAGTAGTACATGTAGCAGCCCACCGACTTGTCTGCAGCATAGAGCTGCTCACGCAGCCTGGCCTCCTGGTGGTCTATGAGCTCCCCCGCATACTCCAAGACAAAGTCGCCGCTCCTCAGGGGTCGGATGGTGGTCACGCCGCGGCCCTTGTTGTCGAACTCCGTCACCTGCGTTTTTTTAATCCCGAAATAAAAAAAAAAAGTGTGTCGTAAAAGTTTCTCGTTTTCCCAGCATCTGTGCAGTTTGAATGAAAGGCTCAGGTACAACATTGGTTACCCTACCCTTTGTATGACTCGAAATAGTTTTGAATTCTTCCCGAAGATGATGTAGCGTTAACGTGACACATACAGAAGTATGTCCTGAATGGTAGTTCATGAATAAAATAGAAACACTCTCGCAGTATATGTAAAAATAGCGTGAAACAACATCGTCACTATTTTGCATTTTACTTCGAAAGGGCACTAAATTTTATCGCTTAGGTCAGTGCTCCAATGAGCATTTACCACCACCCTAATGGCTGTGATGACAAGATTTGCATTCCAAAAAAAGAATGCTAATTTGTGCTAACACAGTCTCACTACTGTTGAGACCGGTTATAACGAAGTCAACGGGAATCGGAAATCACTTCGCTATATCCGCTATTTCGTTATAACCTACTTCGGTCATAACAAAGTGCAAAAGGAAATGGGAAATCGTGATCGCTTCGCTATATCCACTATTTCGTTATAACCGACTTCGTTATAACCGGTCTTGACAGTATGTACTTGTAAAAGTGGCGCTTTAATCACCTTGAATCCATCCTCGTCACCGTTCAAGATGGCGTCCTCGACATTCTTCTGCCTTTCTTTCTGCGGGATGGGAAAGGACCAATGAGAGAGAAGGAAAGCGCCTTGTAACATGGATCGAAACTGCCCCCTCAAGACGGAGGCACGCCAACATGGGTGATCGCCACACTCACCGCAAGAGCACTGCGTGTCTTCCGGCCACTCCTCCGGATGGGAAAATACTCGGTGAGGGAATGACACTGGACGACTCCTTTCCTGAAAAGGTTTGCATTGTCCTTACAAACGGGACTCGACCTTCAAAAACAACGCCCGAGCTGAAGCTCTGCAGATGAGTGGCATAACAACAGCTTATAATTTCTCGCTCATCCCCAGCAGACTCTTTGGACACATATCCTGGCAGCCATGTTCACTGTCCAGAATGTCCAAACATAACGGCATGGCAATACCTTCTTCATTGCTGAAATCAAAGACAAGCTGCTAATAAGCGAACAGTGTACTGTGTGCTGCAGTTGGCCCAAATGAGATACTGGTGTCTTTTAATGTAGAGAGCAAACCTAAAGGGTAACTCTGGTACATTTTCTCGATTTTAGGGTTACGACGGTTTTTAGTGAAGGAAGTGTCCCTGAATAACGAGATGTCAGTTCTCTTTCGATGCCTTGCATGGCTTTGTAGATATTCTATCTCAAAGTTTAGTTTCGGGGGTCTACGACGAAAGCGAAAATACCGGCTCGAGCATGATGGCAACCCTTGTGATCAGCTGCATCGGTGGGCAAAGGACAGGGGAGCCTTGATGGCTGAAGTAGCATCAAAATGGGAGAACTTCCAAGAGCAGAAAAGGAAGGCATCAGCTTTAATACAAGCCAAAATTGAAAGTGCAGTGGATGATGGAAATCAATAAAAAAAAGAGATAGGAATGCGGCAAAAAGGTTTTGGGAGCGCAGTAAAGCACAGGGGCGAAAATTTGACATGGGTGGACCCCCTGGTGCACAAGAAAGAAAGGGAGAATAGTATCTTTTCAAACTCCATCCCCCCCCCCCCCCCCCCCCCCTACATCTTTCGTGTCACAATTTTAGGCAGATTTTATCCAGCTTAAAAAAAACCTTGTACTTTTCCTGTGTCCTGCAGATTTTAAGTTATGCTTGTATTGTATGAAACCCGCATACGCAGAACTCTATAAATTGAATCAAAAGAGTCCAAGCCGCGAGATATGTATCCAATGACTATGATTTCAGCAATAGTATCTCCGAAATAAAGCTAAAACTCGGTTGGCAACCCCTAAGCAAAGGCAAAAATGCCTTTGCCTTAGACTTATTTCTGATCTTTATTATGGTTATATTGGTCTGGATATTTAAAAACATATGACATCAAATTATGTTTCTCGTAGAATAAGTAACCAAAGAAAAGTCTGACGTCTTAAAGAAATAATTTTTTCCCTAAACAATTAATGATTGGCACTTGCTCCCTGAACCATTTGTAGACCTTCCTACCTTTAATTAATTTTCTAAAGAAATTATGTTACTTTAGTGTGTTTGGAAAGTTTTATTTTGAGTGTTTATCTTGTTTCAATCTCATTCGTTATTATTAGCTGTTTCTGTGCTTTTTTTACAATTTATGTGCCCCCTCCCCCTACTGTAGTGCCGAGTGGGCAATGTAGGTACAAATAAAAAAATAAATAGTACTCATAGCAGAAAACAGCATTTCCAAACTATACAAAACCCATCACAGATTAGAAAATACATGGCCCTTTCTCAGACACCGAGTTAAGCTAAAAGCATGAAATGCCTTCATTAAATGTCATAGTCATCATTGACATAACACCCAAGCCGAGCTAGGATGCGAGTATTTCGACACTGCAAGCGACGCAGCTAGAGCGAGAGGCGTGTTGACATGCGACGCTGAAGTGTGACCTAGACAAGACGCCACCACGCAACAGGATCGAGAGGCAAAATCAACTTGGCAGCTGGCAAACTGTGCAGCAGCTGCTGCTTTCGGAACGCTTCTCTAGCGCTGACAGCTGAGACGATTACAGTAGGAAAGCGTTTCGCGCCTAAAAGGAGCGGGGTGCAACATACTTCTTGGCGACCTTCGGAGCTTCACGCATGACGGTCTGCCGCGGCGACTTGGGCGGAACCCTTGGGCCGTCTTCCTCCGTGACCTTCAAGTCGCCGGTCGCGCCGGCTGACTCGGAAGTGGCGCCGGCTGCTGGCGCCTGCTCTCCCGAGCTAGGAGACGGCGGCTGGGTGGCGTCGAGGCCGGGGCCGGCCGGAAGGGCCGCTGCGTTGGGGCACGGCACGTCCCCCTCGGGCTCGGAAGGGGGCCGCTCCCCGATGCCGCTCCGCTCATGAGAGGCCGCCGTCGACTCCAGGGCCGGGAAGTAGTCCTCGATGCGCGTGTCCCTCTGTGACGCCATTTCGGACGAGCTGCGGTCGGCCATGGACGGCCGTTGGAGGTTCTCGGAGTCGTTGGGTAGGGGATGCTTCTGTGGACACGCCGAGCCGGCCTTCTTACGAGCCGTTGTTGTTCTCTTCCTCCCTGGTTGGTAAAAGAAACACCAGGAGCACCGCGTTATAATACATTGCATCACATTAAGTCTGAATGCAGCCGACACAATGAGGCGGTGGGATCGATCAAATGGCGTCAAAAGCCCAACAACATGGTGTTTGTCACGTTTCTGTACGTGTTCTATTGGGGCCAAATTGATCCTGTACATGTAAGGCCCAATGACTCGCGATTTTGCCACTGTTTTATTCATCCAGGATTTTATTATACTGACAATTTTTGTTCGGCAACAAAGCGTATCTGTAATCCAGCTGTGACACTTCTGCCTTATTGAATGAATCGGAACAGTAAAAGTTGCTATTGAAAAGTTTGTATGTTACCGTTGCTCGAACTGTTTACTCAAAAACGTTTACAGCCCACAACTGCATGGCAGTGGGGAAGGACACACTATGTTTACCATGTCTCTCTTCCTTACACGTTGGATGTAAGAGACTGTGCTAATTTCCTTCATTTAACATTGCCTCAAAATGTTAGACCATTACATTAAAACCACTAAGTACTACACAAAGGTTACTTCTGCAGCTCATAGGGCACCAACGCAGCAGTGGAGTAGAAACAAATTAAGTGCAGCCCACGAGCAGGTTACAGAGATAGGTCACCTTACAGGTGACTAGCATTCGCTCAACACACACCAGCAATACATGTGTGAGACACTATACTTGGCGTCAACTATTCTGTGCTACACTGCCAAGGCAAGTGCAACTTATGCAGTGCTCCAGTGCTGTCCAAGCTACCTGCATGAGCACGTGGGCATGAGACGCAAGACGAAACCATGTGCTCTCGCAGCACCGGGGAAGCCATGTCAGCTTCGACAATGTAGCACAAAAGAGCCGAGGCCAAATACAGGAGTTATTTTGCTCGAGCAGAACATTTGCCAGCGAAGGTTCTGGAGAAGCAGTGCGAAGATTCTTTCCCTGCAATCTCTCATTGCCCTCCAAATTTCCGAGTAATGTGCGCAGACTAGTCACAGTCGCCCTTGGGGACGAGCTATGCAGCACTAGCAAAGAAAAACCCCAAAAAGCATCCAGGGGCCCTAACCTACAAGGTGGGACAAAGCGGGACATCGCTCCCTGCTGCGATTGGTCAGTGCCATGCGGCCATGCCGCTGCCCAATCGCCTGCTGTAATGTCCCAGTCCCTTTGTTCCGCCGTGTAGATTAGGGCCCCAGGCCCGCGAGCCAATTGACCTGTAGGCTCGCAGTTCGGCAGATCATGACGGGAAAGGCCCAGCAGTTGGGGGACAGTAGTCTGAAGGACCCCTCCTAAAATATGGAACAAAGGACTACCCATAAGCATCCTGGGTGAGAAACGAAAAGGTAGGACTTTACAACTCCAACTGAGCTCAGAAATCAAATCTCTGAACGATGGAAAAAAAAAAAAAAGTATATATATATATATATATATAAAGAAGATATAAATGTGGAAAGGCTGGATGGATGCTGCAAGATATCAGATAACTTTTCGGTTCGGCAAAATTTGCCAGAGTTGGAAGAACACCTATATTCCTCTCAATTTTTCTTGCGCAATCTTTTCTTCTTTTTTTTTTTTTTCAACGGTACTGACATGCTCACTGCCAAGCCCCAGACGGGCTTGGCAGTGAAATACAGACGGGTTTCGCAATGAAATACAATAGCCTCAGCTCGTTACTGTCACTGCACCGCCCTAACATCGAGTGCAGCGCGCGTCAAAAACATTGATGGGCCCACTTTTGGTTTCAACCGAGAAAAGCGGGAAACAGACGTGGAGGCTGGGTGCAGCCTTCAACCAACAAGCAAACTTCGAAAAAAAAAAAAAAAAAACGGAGAAGTTTACCAACACACCGGTTCACATAAACATTTTGACGCCCGTGACCTTATTCCGCAAGCAAACGCGACGGGCAGGGAAAAAAAGAAAAAGAAAAAAAAAAAAAAAAAAAAGAAAAGCCCCGCACAGAACCCTGAGGCGACCATTTCCAACACGAACAAGAAAACGCGCCAAGATCCATCCTCAGTCCCATTTGCACCCGACTTTGTCGTTAGGCGCCGTGTATCACGACTGCCTCGCTTGTTGCATTCGAACCCTGTAGAAACGAATTCACGGGACAAATAACAACACTAACGGAGGCGTGTTGTTTGGAAACTGACCTTTCACCATGCTCGAGATTTGTTCAACTTCGTGGTGGTGGTAGCTCGTATCACGGCCGTCTCATCGGCGTCTCCGTGATCATCGCGACTCCAGAAATAATCCGCTAGGAATAGGTGCCCATCTTCCAACCTGTGTTTTCTGGAAGTCAAGGCGGCATTCGTTTTTTTAGCGTCCGAACCGAAATAAACAACATGTATTGTTCGAGCGGCTAGGAACGCTCCCAACGCTCCCTGCTCATTTGCCGACTCGCTTCTCCTTCATGCTTCCCCCCGAAGGAAGCAACAGACGCGTTGCGCGGCCGCTGCCATGTGGCGCTGGTGTACTGTCGCCGAATAGGCATGTTTTAGGTTGTTTTACCTTAATACGTTGCTCGATAAATTAATAAATAACAGTTATGGGCTTCACATAAGAAGAAACACCTGTATGTACGATGTTTAGTTATTTCTAGGTGTAACAACAATGTGCCAACTTGGACGAAATGTGTGAGGGAGGCGAAGAGGGTGAAGAGACAATGCTTGCCGCCAGGTGTTTTATGCGAAACTGTCGCTCGTCCAGGGCGAAGAATGAAAGGCTGCTGCCGCTGCTGTCTTTTCGGGCATATTGTGGTCGATGGTTGTGGGAATCGTGCAGCTGTAGAAATAAAATGCCGTTTGTGCCCGCATTAAACACGACCTAGTGGCTGCCTCCGTTCGACAACCTGGTTACCCGAAAAGCCTGAGGTAGGAGAACGCAACACCGCTCCTTACTCGCGTCCATCGTGCGCGCTTCCGCGGCGATCAGCGATGCCGATTCACGGCAGTATTGGTTAGGCCTAGGAATCTCCCCCTGCCATCGCGCTGCGAGAAATTATGTAAGAAGTTCGCCTCCGGCCCGAAAACTCTGCAGTTCGGCGGTAACCGTGGGGCTGGGACTTGCGGGAAATGCACTCTCGGGGTCGGCGCGTCGGCTTGTCATTGTTTGCGACACTTGCGGGGAGGGTGACTTTTTTTTTTCTTTAGTTCGGCTTGAGCGCTAAGTTTTTTTTCTCGGCAAAAATCGCTTTCGCTTGCACGGGCTTCGTCGTTTCTATGCGATTTCCAACGGGGCCTTGCAAAAGCCAGGGACACAAACTCTGGGATGTCTTTGTTCCGTTCTTTAAGGGCTGGAGTCTATAAACAAATTTTGCTTTCGGGTCGCGGGAGTGCGGCATGGAAATCCGGAGTTTGACGTTTTTTGCGCTGAGCTTGCTTGGTGTGCTGGGGAAGTCCCTGCATGGCTGGAGCTGATAATCACTGCTTGCTGCTGGCGAGATTAACGCCGGATGCACGCTGCTTGGAAAGCGGATTATCTCCCGAAAACGGGACGCTTTGTCCGGTTATGTTTATTTCTCTTCGCGGTGGTGTTTGCTTTTCTTGTTTCGGGTCGTGGTCAACAGCGTTTTGCGGCGACCACGAGTTCTATTGTTTCAAGAGTTCCGGCTCGCGTTAGTTGCTGTCTACTGTGTTTGCCCAATATTGTAAACTAAACGAAAAACTAACAAACAAATGAATTGGGAAAAAAAACTGTTATGTTTTATTGTTTTTTTAATTTCTCTAGTAGAAAGAATGAACAGAAGTCTACTTGTTTTTAAGGCCTAAAAAGGTCGCGTTAGTTATCTATTTTAAAGAAATGTTCACTTAGCACCACATGTTAATCGCCAAAAAGGACTAGTGGTGTTTAGTAAATAATTGTTTTGCAGCGATCTAAAGGCCATGTCTTTAGATTACTATAAAACTTGCCGCTTTCGGCAGAAACAATAGTGTATTTTATACACTTCTACTGAAATCGGCATACCCGCCTGTCATATCACCCTTTGTGAGGTAAACATGGAGGTAAAACCAAACTTTATAAAGTAGAGCTGGCAGTGTATGGCAAGAACATCATCTGTGCAATTTGGCCTGGATGGGTAAGGAAGCTGTTTTTACGAAGCTTTGGTAATAACTGTTTCGAGTCCCTATGGCAGGGTCTCAAACTCATTTCAGTGCGGGGGCCAGGTAGGCCACCCCAAAAGTTCGAGGGCCAACATGGAGTAAGGAAGCAAACATATTTTAGGAAAATGAAACAACGATGGCGTTTTAGGTTGCAGAGTAGCCGAGTCTTTCAGCATCACCCAGAGATTGGTTCCAGTGACATCTCTATCTTTGATTTATTCATACAGCTATGCTTTGCTTTTGTACCTAGTGTGATTACAAAATTAAAAAAAGAAAAAAAAAAAAACTATTTTACCAAGACGCTGGAGATTTTCTAATAGAACTAGAAACCAAGCATACAGTATTGCTGCTATGTTGCTCAACACAGGAATTATCCGAGTTTAGTGTCTAAAAAAAAAAAAAAAACCTTTTTCATATGGTAATTTTTGCTTTCTTGGCAATTTTTTCTATCAGAATTATGAAAATACTTGTGTTTTAATGGTATGTTAGACAAAACAATCCTCAATCTGAAAGAAAACAGGTTAGTGCCAGATGTATTCAAACGTCGTAAGAGTAGGGCTACATTTCTGAAGGCATTGAATGGACGACAAGAAGGCATTATTTGTGGCACATGCAGCGCTCCGGGCATAGGAATGGGACCTCGCAGCCACGAGATACTTGCGGGCCGCATCCCAGAGAGCCGCGGGCCCCGTGTTTGAGACCCCTGCTCTATGGTGTAAAGAATCCCCAGGGTTCATTGAGACACAAGTTTCAGTGCTAAGAAAACATTACAATCAATAAGAATCACATTCCTTGCATGGTTTCCGGCTTTGTTTTGGTGTAAATAAAGGTCCAAAGAATAAGCTGTTTGAATGAGAATTAAATTTTATAACTAATGCACTGAGCTGTTGCAATAACTGAGAGGTTTTCTTGTGTGCTTTTGTTTTCCGTGCCCAAGCTCCTTCAGTAAACACTCCCTTGTGGGTGTCATCAAATCAAATGTTTTCAACTAAAAAAAAAACGCTGTTGGAATTACAATTTTATTTATACCGAGGAATGCAGAATTTTTGATGCTATAATTCCGGAATTAAGTTCATGTTTTGCAATTGAAAAAAAAGAAAAGAAGGCACTTCTGTCTTGAAATTAAGATAAGGTCGTGGCAAGCTCTCGTGTCGACTGAACATGCTGGCTCAAATCGAGGTATAGTCACCCTCATCATATTTGTTTACTCATCAACAATTTACTAGCATTCATGGTAGCTTCAAGAGCTAACAGCTGTCTTACAACCTTTAAAGGTGTGCACAAACCAAATTTTAGCGCCGATTTATTTGCTCATATATGGCTTACGTTATGGCATCACCTCAAAAAATGGCAGTCTTTTGCTTGAAAACTTGAGCCAATTTTTTTATCAACTTGGAAAACAAGCTCCAAATGACACCTTGGGGATGTCTTTAAAGCTTTGTTGTTATTTCATGATGTCATGCTCTTTGGCAGAGAAGCGCTGCTCAAATAAGCAAATTGGGCTTCAAGGCTAGCGCAAGATTAACGGCAGAAGCCAAGGTTGGATCATCCGCCATAGTTAAAAGGTGTCTATACTAGCAGGTGACCCTGTACATAACCATGGGAAACAAAGGGGAAAAAGTATAGATAAAGTACAGTAAACTATTTAATTTTTTTTACTTAAACAATAGAGAAAAAAAAAAGAATGGATCACTCAAATATACTAGCGAACACCAACGTTTAGAGCTTAGAGTGAATGCAGTATATCATTCTAAATCGCAACATATTCCCGAAACCCGCATATTGGCAAATTCACGAAAAGTGTAGCCCAGAAAAATAAAATCGTTTGTAGATGGTGTGTGTTGATCTAGCCTTTGTTTACTTGATTCCAACCGTTGCGGCATTCCTAAGTTGGTTGATTCGGTTCGGTGTGCCGCCCTCTTTGGTGCTGCGGTTCCTTCGGTGTCACCAAGTCTTACTGCAATTTACCTCATTGCTGGAAACATTGTGCACCATTACGACTAAGGAGACAGGTTGCACGAGAGCGATAGTTGTAGTCGCTCTGCCATTGGCATCGTGATTGGTTTGGAGGCGGCGGCGTCTTCACCAACGTCCTAAACAAAAGTTTTTGTTTAGGCTGCATCTTGAATGTTTACAAGTTGGGGTTGGCAACACTGGTACATAGACTTGTATGTGTTACTGGAACTTTTACTCGTGATCCCTTGAAACCACAAGAGGACTGCTTGTGGCTCGTGGTGCATTTTGTGCCGTCGTTCAATCATCGGGTATTTCAACAGACGAGAATCTACTATATTGATATTACCAAGTGGCACAACTTGTAGCCAAGACAGCCTTTGGGGGCCGTCTTCCAAAATTTACTCTAGGGTAAGGGTTTTGTACGTGCCCGCATCCAGCATTTTATACCTGCGTTGTCACGTGACATGACCCATTGGAGTAAGTCGGATCCATTTGGGTGAGACTTGGATCAGAGTCTGGCTGTGCAGAGGTCCCTACATCACGAGTGCCACAAGTATCCCAGATGCCTTGCGCTTCTCCATGGCAGCACTTGTCAGAGTGGGGCGTTTAAAGCAAAATGATGTGGCACTGTTCCAGATACAAGCATGCTATCATTATTTATGGATATTGGTGATTATACTTTACTTATTTCTGTATCTGTTACAAATATTAAAAAAAAATTTTTGTATCAAGCTTTTTCCTTAGCTTGGGGAATAGTGCCAATTTACAAAGAATGAACACAACATTTTTATTTTATTTTAAGAACTAAGTGGCAGGCGGCATCATCATGACACATCAAAATGAAGCCAGCAACTGCTGGTTAGAAAAAGAATAAAAGTTACAACTGGAAAACTTTAGCAAATTTAATTGCTTAAACTAGAATTTATGTAAAAAAGTGGATACAAAGTGGAAACATTGGCGGCAATAATAAAGCATACAGTGGATTTAAGAGAATTGGCAGCAACCTCATGTAATAAATTATTTCAGGAGCAGTTGTTTAAAATTGTTTAGAACATGTTTTTTTGGAGTGAAACCATAGTTCATTAAATGCCATCACCCTCGTCTACAACATGCTCTACAGAGAGTGTCTGCACGTGGAATTAAGGCGTAGGGTAGGGTACATGCCTTACTGGGTGCACATAACAAATTGTCCAACTTGTGCTCAGGCAGAGCATCGCTTTACAGACCTATAGTTCATTGCAACCCAAGAACGAAGAGCGAGGGTAAGACGGGCCGGGGAGGAAGAAGCAGATGGAACGTTGGAGAAGAGAGGGGGAAACCTCCTCTCTTTAGCGTTCCGTCTGCTTCCTCCTCCCCGGCCTATCTTACCCTCGCCCTTCGTTCTTAGGTTGCAACGGACTATAGAGGTTCAATTCCTGGTGGGGGATGAGTGTATATTGGTTTAGAGGGAAGCTGAAGAGGTCCTCGACTTAAAAAAAACTAAACAAAGTTTTAATGTAGGCATTTTCAAAATGGTGTATGTTAAGTTGTTTCTCGATTTCATTAATGGGAGCGTCATAATCGCCAATTAAAATTTCGACATAGCTTCGTCCATCGCGGCACATTGAGTGCAGGAGAGCGTGAGAGCAGAGGGAAAACTAGCAAGAGTGACGTCATCGGCGGAGCCAGACAACCCTTGCTGTCCACTAAGCTGGCTTACGGATGCCTGTGAGAATTCGCTCGCCAAGCTTTGGACAGATAACGGGTGGCAGAGAGGCTCGTGGCATGTCCTGTGGCAACGCTGCCCACGTTTTCCAAAATCAATGCTGTTTACGTTTACTTTTGCCCGAGTTAAGTGCAATAACTGAAGTCACAGCACAAAATGCTATAGAAGTCTGCTCCTAACTCTGATTTCTTAAAAAGTGCTTCAGCTTCCCTTTCAGCTATCGTTTCTGCAAGTTGGAGTGCACTAACCGATGCTGTCAGTTTTTGGCTTGTCAAGCCAGCTTACATGGTGCTTGTGCCATTCAGATGAGTGGTTGCGTGAAGCGGTGAGACGCAAGTATTTTATGTCTCAAATCCTGGAGAACATATGCTTTGTGCTGAACCTTTGTTTCATGGTAGCACAATTGTAGTTCCCCTCTTCTGCAGTTTTCATGGGTTGCGTCACACATAAAATGTATGCCCCATCTCGGGGAAAGCCTGGAGAGCTAGAACGATGCTCAATGACAAGCAACTTCGATATTCTGGATTCGTGGGATGAAACATTGCAGTTGAAGCCAAGATCGGATGGTCCAGCGTCATGTACAGTTCTCTACTGCTTACATCCGAAAGCCAAGCAGAACATGCAATCAAATTCCACAGTTCATGCTGGCCTTGTGGTATGCTGAACAGCTGGTTTGGCAAGTGCTACTGCTGTGCACAGATTTGTTTCTGATAGCTCTTTACTTCGTAAGAAAACTCAAAACGACATTGAAACTAAAACCATAGATCAGCTTTCCATAGAATGGTGCAACACATTCCGTCGTGCCAAAATAAATTTTGGTGGTGCGTGGAAACCGTCGGTCATATGTGGTCGATAGCCTATGGTCACGGTAAGGAAAAAGTTAAGTTTGGCATATGCTTGAGCTTACTTTCTTTTGATGGTCATTCACGTCGAACACGCTGTGTGTTTGGTCAAATTGTGATCATAAATATAATTGCGTTCTGGATTACTTTGGGGTGCTTAACTGCACCAATGAAAACTGCTAAAGACTGACAGGTCCTGGGATTTAACTACCTCTTAAAAGCAATTATATTGCAGTTGTGCGCTGTACATGCAATCACTCTAAACAAATCTATATGTATGGGTTTCATGCTTTTTGAATTTAGTGGTAGAACTTGTGTCTTGCAAGCAAATGTACCTATGGCTCGTGTAAATGGGTATATGGAACGCAAATGAAGGAGAGAAGAGGCATGGTGGGGAGAGAGTGGTCACGTTTGTAACGAAGCTCAGCCCCTGCAGCTGCCCCTTAGTCTGGAGCAAACGGCATCTCGTCTGTTTATTTCTTGTTTGTCGGGGTGCATCTGGTAGTTGTCAGTCAACAAGAACATAATATCCTTCAAGGTGTTTCTTCTCCCCTTCTTCGAAGGCTAAGTCCTCGTTCGTAAAGAGCCTGTGGGTTTCCGAAAGCGGTAAAAAATGTAGCAAAAGGACGCTGGCCTTTTGTTTCCGAATGCAAGATCCTAACTCTACTGCTGCCTCTACACAAGGAACAGACAATCTTGTTTTCTCCAATCGGAGAAAGCCTTCTTGGCAGCAAGCCTTCTTGCATCATTGCACCCCTTGCGCAAGAAGCACTGAGGGTACGGCGAAGGATGTTTTCTTGGAGTTTTGTGTCCCTTTGGTGAAACTTGGGAAGTATCTGAGACTTACGCCGTTGCATTCTCCCCTTTTATCTCAGCTGGGCAGACGTGCAGCAGGGCCATGGACACTCCGGACCTGCTGTCTGCAGCCCTGGATGAGTCCGGCATTGGGGAGGAGGAGGTGGCCAACCACAACAACATGCAGGACAACCCCATGAACCCCTCCCGCTTTGTGAGCACACTCCGCCTCTCTCGCTGTCGTTGCTTGCCCTAACGGCGATGGCACTGATCCCCCAGCGTGGACGTTCGGTTCGTTTGTGTGCAATATGCAGGACCTGTACTATACTGCATTCACCTCTAAGCTGACAGTGCTGTATGCTTGTTGGACCCGTCGCACGTCTATCTTTTGGTAGATGACCAGTCATGCTCCCGCTAACCATGTACAGAAAGTGCTGTCAGGTGATGAAAGGCAGAAGGTTGATTGGTCCGGCGAATGTATAGCTCCCATTGCACTACCTGCATAGAGGTGAACGGAGTATAGCAAGAAACGTGTGCATACCTGACAAGTTTTACGATTTTATCGTAAAGTGTCTGCTTTTCACACCCCGTGTAAAAAAAAAAAAGTTTTTGTTTAGGCTGCATCTTGAATGTTTACAAGTTGGGGTTGGCCACACTGGTACATAGACGTGTATGTGTTACTGGAACTTTTACTCATGATCCCTTGAAACCATCTTTGGTACAAGGTGTCGGGAAAAAAAATACTTGCACGTGTTTAATCCCAGCTATTCAACCGACTTTCCATTTATGAAGATGGCGCGTACGGGCGAAAGGTACGGATTCGGTAGTCTGTGTCGCTGCGATGTCAACATTTCGCATGCTGGTCGCCGGGACATTCTGTGTCATCTGAATACAAAAAAGCACAAGGACTATGCAAAATTAGTTGAAGCCAACGAGAAGCTTGGAGGGTACTTTAGTCTATCAACAAATTACGACACTACCCGAGCAGAATGCCTTTTTACGGCATTTTCGATCGAACACAACGTGCCGTTCACAGCGGTTGTTGTGGAGTTGTTAAAGAGCAAGAACTTTGCTCTTTAGCGTCTTCGTTAAACCAGGCACAGACGAAAGAGTTTTCAGCAAAGTGAAGAAGGCACACACGCAGTTCCGCTCCTCTATGTCGAAAAAGACTCTTGAACAGTTGTTAGTTGTGAGATGCAGCCAGTCCGGAAAGTGCCATGAACAAGTGTTTGACAAGAACTTCCTAAGAAAAGCAAAAGCTGCAACTTCCTCAGTGTTGGCCCAACCTTCTACTTCTAAAGAACAAGACATTTTGTGCAATGTATGATGTGTTTGTGCCCTAGTTGAGGCATTTTTCTTACCTAAACCAAGTTTTTGAAGAATAAAACAGTTTTCGTATTTCTTCACACAATTGTAGTGTTTTTTAACAACCCCTGTAGTATTTTCAGCATTGTAGGGTTGGCAGGTCTGCATGTGTAAGTGTCGGGGGAAAATTTGCCAACTATGATGTTACTGTATTGCAGGCTCTCGGTGCCTCATGTATTCAGGGGATCCAAGTGCAACTTGTCAACATGTTTAGTAATTGTAGTAGTAGTGAGCGTGCAGTCAAGTAGTAGGGGAGGTTACAGGGGTCAAAGATAGGGTAAAAGTCAAAGACAAGGCCTAAGATGTTTTGTCCTGTCTTCGTCCTTTATGTCGCCTCCCTTTTATCCTTGTAACTTATCAGCACAGATGGTAATTGCAAGCTGCAAATACCATCTGAAGCAATCATTATTTGCGGCTTTTCTCTAAAATGGTTAGAACATCTTGGTGAAACGATAGAGAAATTGTAAAGCACAGTTGTTGTGTTATACACCCCTTTAGGCAGTTCATACAGTGTTTGTAAGGTTGGAAACCCCTGCATGACGGGTTTCACTTTGCCTACTCGAGGTTTCGATACCACTTTGCGTCCGCGAAGTGGTACCGGGCTGTTTTGCGGACCGTCGTCTATGCCGCAGGAGCGGCCTTCCCAGCACCCTCACGACGATTCCCTCTCTTCGTCTCTCCCTTTGCAGCAAATCCCGTCACACCTGATGAACTTCCTGCCGCCGCACATGATCCAGCAGATGGCGGCGCACATGGCCCAGCAGATGGCGACGCACATGGCCCAACAGAACTCGTTCCAGCCTCCCGGCTCGAGCAAGTTCCTCGGCGGGGGGGACAAGGGGCCTGGGGGGGGCGCCATGCCCTACTTCATGATGCCCCCCTTCGGGTACAAGGCGACCAATGGCTCCACCCCCTTCCCCATGTTCCGGCCCCCCTTCGACATGAAGTACGCCATGGGCCCCGGCGGGATGCCCCTGCCGGTGAGTGCGGGGGGGATTCTTAGAGGGACGCCGGACTCCCAAAAAACGTGATTACTTTAGTCGCCGACACGTTAAGGAACGCTGGGCGTGGCGCGCAATGTTCGCGTGATTCCTTCTTGGGCATTCTTGTTGGCTAAAGGTGCAGTCCCATCAGCTGCAGAACAATAACAAAATGCTCGGGACTCGACATATGCCCGGATAGGATGCCAGTTTCGCAGAATAAAATATCCCCAAAAACCGTAGATTTCATGGCGCAATATTTGCGCTACGAGATACATTTTGAGCTGGGAGTGATTCCAATACACGGTTCTATTTCAAAATTGACGTCTCGAAATAGAAGCATGTTTCGGGATTTCTCCTAACTCGAAACGGGCTTTGCAATGTAAATACAGCCACCCCTCTTTAAAAAAATGCTGAATCGAAATTTTGATTTTAGAAAACAATGCAGAAGCGCTAGGCGGTACGCTACAAACTTGAAAACATCACTCATAAAGCGTTATCTCCAACGGATGGTCATATTTGTGTATTTTTTTGCGAAAGAAGAGTGCGCTTCAACAAGGCCAAAAAGGCCCTTGGCGTCGCGATTCTCGTTTTCTCCTCTCCTCGCTTCGACTCCGCGAGGACGCGAAGAAAGCAAGGTTGTTTCCCTCCTCCTCAACTTTTGTGCAGGAAATGCGACGTTGCGATTCTCACGCGATCTTATCCTTATTTTACAAAAAGATGGCCATCTGTTCGAGATATCGCTTTATGAGTGGCGTTTTGGGGTTTGTGGCGCTCCGTTGAACGCTTCTGCTATCTTATTAATGCGAGCATTAATTGTCCCATGGAGCGAGCCGACGTCATCAGTTTGAAGCGCGCCAAACGGCACTTTAAATCCTTTCTCCAAGTGAAGCCAGCTCCCAGCTATGAAACCATCCGAAAAGCCTAGACAACGGCACCTAGTTTCCCCGATCCCAAAAGAGCGCAGTAAAGCTGATAGATTTCGCCTTCAATCCCATTGGCTAGCGTGCGTTGACGAGGCTCCCATTGGCCGCTGCACATGTCAGTTTCAACAATTGCCACCCCATGGCGCTGCGTGTCTGTGCCGCGAGCGTGCCTGTAACATGAAGCATCCAAGGTCAGCTGCGAGGAGAGGTGGGAGAGCGCTCGCACGGCCGACGCAAATACATCGCAAAGGAAACACGGGGGTGGAAGAGCAGGTGACATACTAGAGAACGAGTATTTCACACCCCGCTTAGCTGCGCTAACGTGAACAGTCACGTTGGCATACTTGATTCCTCGTTCTATTCACGACTGCACATAGCGTAACGGGTAGATATATGCATTCACTCTACGAACCCGTAACCTCGTGTGGTATCCAGTCGCTAGGTTAACCCTCGCCGTCGCATCCCTCCCGGTCCCCATACAGCCGCAGCAGACGGGCGAGGATGCCGAGGAAGAGGAAGAACTTGGACTGGCAGAGACCTACGCAGAGTACACGCCCTCCAAACGTGAGTTTCCCCGCCTGCTTCATGCACCCCAGCCACGTTTCCGGGTGTCAGAATGCCGCCGACGCCGTCCTCCTCGCCGCGCGTCGTCGACGAGGAAGTTTGAATTTTGGAGGAAACGAGTGGGTGGCATCAGAAAAGCTAGTCTCATCATGGTTTTTCATCTCCTGAGTTTTCACCCCCACTTGCCTTGTCTTTTTCTTCATTGTGGTTTTAAAAATGCTAATATTTTAACTAGAAAAGCTCTCCTAATAGTATACTTGGCAAGTCTAGGAAGAGTGGTCGAATCACCTGCCAAGATGCCGGAAAGGTTCAAGTAGAGATTAGCTGTAACAGACTTTAAAAAAATAGCCACCTCGACAGCTCCGAGGCAACGCTCCAGGCCCACGGCCCCTATTAGGTGGATTCGAAAGGTCCTCAGGTGGTCGAAGTTAGCTGACGGGTACTCTTCGTCGGTTCGGCATTTAAAATATCGGAATAGGTCTTTACCGAAGTTGCGCGCGAGTCGTCCGAAGCGTCCCAACGGGCCCCTTTATACCGTTCCGGATAGTCCCCGCCCCCCCACGCCACTTGGAGGCGAGGTTTGCCAGGGAGACTCGCGGGTGATGCCCGTGTGGTTCTTGCCTGCAGTCAAGATTGGGGAGCGTCACCCGGACGCCGTGGTGGAGACGAGCTCGCTGTCGAGCGTGGCGCCCCCCGCGGTGTGGTACAACCTGTCCATCCCGGAGGAGATCATCGACCGGGGCCTGCTGTCAGCCCTGCAGCTCGAGGCCATTGTGTATGCCTCCCAGCAACACGAGGTGGTACTCGCCGACGGCAGCCGGGCAGGCTTCCTCATCGGTGGGTGGCCGCCGCCCCACAGCGACCCCCGTCTGGGGCCGCCCGACGGGCTGCGCTCGAAGGCGTAGTCGCGGTCTCGCGACGAGAGAAAGTGATGGCGTCGTCTACGAGGCGGCGCTAAAACTGCGTTTCACAATACTTAATTCCACATTTCACTTTAAGTGTGACCGTCGCGGAAGCTGCGAGAGCAAGCTTAGGGCTTTCGGTGTCTCTACCTAGCACGCATGTTCGTGCGGCGCGAGCCTCGTTCGGGGTTACCCGCTGGGGCTCATAGCTTCGGCCTTGCCCGCACTTAAAGTGAAACGTTGTATAGAAAGAAGGCTTTGCGGTATTTCTAGATCAAATGTAGGTAGTTAAGTGCGAGATGAGCGTGTTGGTACCTTCCTCGTGTTAGTTTGTTGCGTCGTTACGTTACGTTAGTTTGTAGCGTCGTCAAAAGTTTTTCAACCCCCCCTCCCCCCAATAAAAAAAGATGTGCAGAAAAAAAAAAAAAAAAAAAAAGGAACTGTACGGAAATGCCAAGAGATTTTCGTGGGCTCCGCTTGATGGTGCCAGAGTGTTCTCTCGTCGTGTAAGAGTTCCCGACGGGTTCTAAGGCGCTCAATTGCGAGCCGTCGCGAGCGCATCAACCAGCCGTACAGATGTGCGTCGCTTTCCCTCGTAACTGCTCAACTCGCCGGCTTACCGAGGTCGTCCGTCGGCTAGCCCAGGAATGTTTCGAACCCGCGTATATATTTTCACAATGCTTTGCAAGTCATTTGCAAACCGGGCCCGAGAGTGTCGGCACTGGGGACGTCGGGGTCCCGCCCAGGTTTGGGTTCGTTCGGATTCAAACTTCTCAAACTTTCAACTCGAAGTTCTATCAAGGTTTTATGTAATTTAGATTGCTTAGCAGAGGCGTGTGAATTGAAAACAAGTGGGCACTGGCTAACGGAGGATGGGTGCAGCATTTTGGCAAAATAACTATATTACTAAAAGCCGGTATGTTTACTGTTGTATTGCGTAAATATTGGTAATTATTCCCAAGACTTTAAAACGGGCTATTTTTTATAGATAGGTTTTGTACCAGAGGTCGTAAAAATTGTGCATAAAACTTCAGAATTTTTTAAGGAAATCGAGCAACACGGTTTAAGGTGTTGAACCTCGTCAAATTTTGCCGAAAGTTAGAAGGTTTGCTGAACCAATCAAACCTGGAGGTTCGACAAATGTTTGTTCCTTGCCGGCACTCCCTTTTCAGACTGTCTTGCGGGCACCGCCTTTTTGTGGCCTAGCTCAGAGCGGGTGTAATTTGTGGTTGCGGCGGTTAGAAGATGCTGCTTCTTGAGCACTACATACTTTAACTTCCCTAAAGGCGACTAAAAAAGTATGGAGTTCCCAGCGAGGTGCGAATGCAACGTCATTTTGTTCACTGTCTCCTCGTTTGAAATGTTCACTGAGGGTCTTTGGCCTCTCTTTGGCCGAAACCACAAACGCAGGCGATGGTGCCGGTGTGGGAAAAGGACGAACCATCGCGGGGATCATCTACGAAAACTACCTACTAGGACGGAAGAGGGCTATCTGGTGGGTCCCTCTTTCCCCCATTTTTCTCCCACTCTCTCTCTCGAGGCTGCTGAAATGTTTTTTTGACGTCTCGTCTAACTTGGATTAAATTCTCGCACCTGCTAAAACTTCGTGGCGAAGCCAAATTTTGCGAAATTTCAGGTTCAACGAACAAAATGTAATTCCCCTTAAAGTATGAGGTCACATTTTGGAAAAAAAGAAAATTTAGCAGCAGGAGGCAAACTGTAAATAAGTAGTCTATCTTTAAAACGCACATTGTTAGCAGTGAGAGAGTGCAGGCGAGCTGGTAATCAATCGTCATCTTGTAAACCCTGAGATTTTGTTGTTTGTTGTTTTGTTGTTTTGTTGTGTTCGTCCGTTTTTTTATCGTTCCCCATCTCAGGGTTTACAAGATGGCACATTGTTTTAACCTATTTACAGTGTTAAAACATAAGGAATGATGTTTGATTATTTTGAAGAAATGACTTAAATATGCATCTAACGTCAGCAGTCATAAATTCAGTTTAATAAATTGTTTTGGCAGTTGCGTAGGTAAACCTTTGAGCCGTGCAATGATGCAGGTTTGATATGACGTATTGAATTATCAGTGTGTAAGGTTCAAATAACCAAAAACGGTGCTTTTCTGGTGGGGATGCTTTGTGGCAAAACGCAGTAATATCGTCAGTTTTACATAATTTCATTTATTCTGGTTCGCTGCAAGAAGCAAAAGTGCAGGCGAGCTGGTTAGGAGTCATCCTAATCTGAACCCCGAGATACGGAGGAAATAAAATAACAGGCTCGTCTGTTATTTTATTTATTTCCTCAGTGTCTCGGTGTTTAGAGTATGATGGACCCTTTGAAAGTTTGGTCGAGACAATGGCACGCACTTGTGCCGCGGATGTGCTATTACTTGTGCGACACGAAAACTTGGATCATTGTAGGAGGCACGGTGGTTTTCTCTTGTTTCTCCCATCAGGGTGAGCGTGTCCAACGATCTCAAGTATGACTCCGAGAGGGACCTCAGGGACATCGGTGCTGGAAAACTTGAGGTCCATTCTTTAAACAAGGTGGGTCTGGTTTCACGCATTGCCGTGTGATACATTTGCGATGACGGTTGTCATATTTAAAGCATGGAAGGCTTTATGATGGAAGCTTCTACTCCGAGAACTTTGTCTGTCCGCTAGCGTTATATGAATATTCAATATTCCTAATACTGTTGAGGCCGGTTATAACGAAATGGCAACTACAGCGACATGATCACGATTTCCCATTCCCGTTTGCACTTTTTCAATACATTTGCGTCTGTTTTTAGCAAAGGAAATTGAGCGGCTCCCGCGGATATAGGAAAAAAAAATTTAGTGATAATTACAAAAAAAAAAAAAATTTCGGAAACATTATTAAGTCTCAGACCACCTCACTTAGCTGCCGCAACCAAGAAGCGCAAGCGCAAACTCGGTGTCGTGCGCGCTTCTTTGTTTGCTTCGTGATCGATGAGGTCGCTCTTGCGCTAAAGCCTACTTCGCTCAAGCGCCGATTTGGCAAATTAACGCCACTCAACGGTGGAGAGTCCCAGCACCTTCACGGAAGAGCCGATGGCAATCTCCTTGAATCAAAAGCTTGCGATCTTCGACGGAGTGCGCTAAACGTAATGAATGCCATCCTCCGCGGGGCCGTCGCAGCTGTCGACACGGTCTGTACATAGCAGGATCTTTTTTCAATCGAGCTTCTCGCAGTTGGCGAGAAGCAACTCCGATTTAGCAGAGGACGCGTGCAGGGAAGCCTTGACCGCTTTCTGCAGGCTCGATAAACGTGCCCGTGACAACCCGTGTTATCTTTTTTTACAACGGAGCTGTTAAGGGCCAGTTTCCCCAGTATTGTGTCCGTCAGCAAACAAATGATGACACGAAACTCTGGACAGCTACCGCCATCTATGAGCAATGGCGGAAACCAGACAACTGGCTTGTTGGTTGTCTGGTTGCCGCCGTCGCTTACAGATGGCGGCGCATAGTACAGCTCTACTGCTCTTTCTTCTTCACGAGAATGGAAAGGCTAAAAGTTTTTTTTGTAAGCATGTTTTGAAAATGTTTTTTTGTGGGCAACATTGGGCATTTTCTGCACTACTTCACATTGAACGAGTGAAAGTAGTTACAAACTGGGAGAGGCACAGGTGCATTTTGAATTTCGTGAAGTAGAGAAAGGTGTTACAGGATTTGCAACATTTGTGCCCGTTTTTCTTTTCAGTCTTAAAAAAAGAAAAAAAGTTAAACCTTAATTGGGACACACATGTAAAAAAAATTAATTTTACGGAAAAAACTTTTTTTTTATAGCAATATTGACAGCGCAAGACGCGATTTAGTTGGTAGTCACCTCCTTTCCACTTGTTTTCTCGGCGTTTCAGGCGCGTGGGGGAGCTGGATTGGCTTAGTGCTCATGTTGAGGTGGAAAGAGGAATTACCATCTTGTTGAGTGAACAATCCTTCTGTGACGTCATGGACTTTGCGCGCAGAATTTGAAATAAATCTCTCGCTGTCAATATTGCTCTAAAACTGTTTTATTTTTTGCATAAAATTTATTTTTTAACACGCATGTCCCATCCAGATTGTTTAAAAAAAATGGTTCCTTCCTTTTCGGGGGCTTTTTAAAAGGAAGCTGACAACCACCAAAAAAATTTTTATTTTTTGCCAGGCAATTTAATATAGTGTCAGAACACTACCCTATCTATATTTTGCTGCAGAGTCATGTATCATTTTAGTAAAGCCAAAAATACCAACTGCTTTGAAACCGAAACATGAGCATGGAGACTCGTGGCCAACTAGCGGACTGAGGAGGAGGGGGAAATGTGGAGGAGGAAGGAGTTACCGGAAGTCACGTGGCTACTGTTTTTGTTTTTTTTTCTCCGCTCCTTTGCTTCACCGGCATGCGAGGCAGATGGCGACGTTGCGTACACTGTTTGTTGTGCGATGGTTTCACACTTACCGTATAAACTGGAATATAGGTCGATCCGGAATATAGGGCGACCCCCTAATTTACAAGTTGTAAAAAGGGAAAAGAAGTTTTTATGGAGAGAAAATGCAACCCTACCTTGGTAACAAAATTGGTCAAGTATACAGAAGGACGAGAAAACACGGCACATTTATTTAATTGTTTCGCACGCAATAAAACGGGAAGTGCACGAGCGTTACTACTCAGATTTTCAGACCCTTCGTCCGACGACGAGTTCACTAATGCAATTCAAAGGGGCGATGCCGTCCCTTTGAATTGCGCCCTCGAGAGCCCGGAGTCGCGAGCGACCTCGACAGCTTTCGTACGGATGCACTCCGACGTCGCAGGCAGCGATCTGGCGCGCAGATCTCGAATACAATTTGCCACCTTTGTTTCCAATTTGGGTTCACCGCAGTCCTTCCATGAAATGAAGTTTTTTCCGCCTTGCTGCACGCCGCCAGTTTTTGTCTCTGGCCTCACCAGTAACGTATGCTCTTCTCCCATACGCCAAACTCTCACTGTGCTGCAAGATTCCCGTGAATCTCTGCATAGGCGATTGCCTTCTTCTTGTAGGCTACCGTGACCTGTCTTCTACCTCCACTCATTATCACTCCGGGAACGGCAACGGTAGATGTAAGAAACCAAGGAGCACAAGTGAAAGTGAATCGTGACCACCATCGTGACAAGTGGACGAGTGCTAGGTGATTGCAAAGAAAAACAAGATGGCGGCTTCAGCCACCCAGTGTTGCGAGATTATTTTTGTCTTTCCGCTAATGACCGTTATGACCGTTGCTTGACTAGCCTCCTCTTTTTGTCTTTCCGCTAATGACCGTTGCGCCTTGTAGGACTTTAGAGGTAAAGGTCAGTGCCAAATGTTTTGTGCAACCCTTTGTGTCTCCTTTCTTCCTCCGTGCAGTTCAAGTACGCGAAGATATCCTCGAAGGTGAATGGCAGTGTGAAGAAGGGCGTCATATTCTCCACGTACTCGTCTCTGATTGGGGAGAGTCAGAGCGGCGGCAAGTACAAGACCCGGCTCAAGCAGCTGCTGCACTGGTGCGGCGATGATTTTGACGGCGTCGTATCCTTCCTCACATTTGCATTTCTCTCTTGCTTCGTACGGGGGAGGAGAGGACGTTGCAGAGATTTGGTGTAGCTGTTTTACTGTACTCTCTGCAAACTAATTACCCGAAGAATAGAAGTGCTGAAAGTCTATGCTGGGCCCACATTGTCTCGCAGTGATATGGTAGAACCTCGTCGACGCATTCTCGATGAATACGTTTTCCCGGCTGTTCCCTGTCACGTTGGCCATTTTTCTTAAACAGATATACGGAGTGCAAGTTCGTCTGTTTTCCGCAGAGCCTGCGGTGATGTCAGAACTCCGAGCTCTGATTGGCTCTGATTGAAGGATTAGTGGGTATACCTCGGGGCAGCTTTGCTTCAAGGTCTATTCACTATCCTTTAATAAAAGCAAATCGGAGCTCGGCATTTTGATGTCGCTACAACCCCTGCAAAAGAAGCAGACAAACTTGCGTTTTGCATAGAGATCTACCCGTTATTCTCTGCTTGGCTACTTTCTGCTTCGAGGCTGCTGCGTCCGAAAGCTGCCGCCTGACACGGCTGGCGTGACACGTCAAACTGCCCGTTCGCTTTAGTGGCTGCCCCTTTCGTTTTGCTCCTTCTTCCCTCTTTTTCAATCTTTCGCTGCTTTGCCCCACCCTTCTTGCCTGCTCTTACCTAGACGGGCATGACCTTGCACTAGGCTTGGAACGGGTTGAGGCTTCTGCAGCGGCCTGTTCACCTTACTGCTCCTTTGTCGGACTCGGGCAAGCGCTTCTGCCGTGCTCATTTGCTTGGTTGTCTCGGCTGTACTAAAGTATGTGGATCGTGGGAAAGTAGCACCAAGATCCCCTAATGGTGGCCATTGGGGTTCATGAAATGAGCAAGTTCCCCTTGACCATTCCTGGTGAGCAGATCTGAATTCGCTGGTGGCGGGTAGCTTTCTGGAGGCGTTTCTTGTATATGAGATTTTGCTATCCATGCACCGGCAAAACAAATCTTTGTACCGCCACCACATGTGGTGTCGGTGTTTGGAAGCATTGAAAAAGCACTTCCTCGTCTTGAAATACACAAGAAGAACAGTGTGGAGGTGGGCACGACTAATAAGTTGATTGCATGCACAGTGCCAAGAGCGCTTTTTGGCGAGAAAAACCTTCAGTACAATGTAGCTCCATGGTGACCCTCGTGCAACTGGTTCAGAACGACCCTCACGAAGATTCGAATGGACCGAAATGGCGATTGCCGTGGCAACAGAGACTGATTAGCCAATCGCCTCCAGAGGTTTGGGTCTTCTGTAGGTTAGTATCTGCTTGTGCCTAGCTGGCAGGCAGCTAAGGGAGTGGCACTATTTTTCCAGAATTCAGTGACTTTGGCTGTATTACCATACTATGCCAAGAGATAGCCCACTTAAAGGGCAACTCCGCTTAATTTCAAAAATTTTGAGATAGTGGCCGATTTTGCTTTTTGAAGCACTCAAAAACAATCCCCAATCCTTTGTTTCATGAAAAATAAAATATTTTTCGTGTAATTTTACTCTAGCCATGATCACAAACCGAAACCGAAACGGTGGCAAAGGCGGACAACATTGTATATTCGGCATCACTAAGCATGTACACCCACGTGATATACAAGGGGAAGAAGAAGCTCCCCTCTTATCAGGATCCTCCCTTGTGCCTCCTGGATTAGCACAGGCGTCGCTATTCTCCTCCCAGAAGATTATAGAAGATTAACCTGTCACTCAAAATTCTTACAAAAGCAGCTTCCCTCTCCTCCTTTTACTTGGTGTTCAAAAGTATGCGATGTAACACAAGCCGCGCTCAACGAGGCAATCGGCTTATCAGTAGTATCAATAATCGAGCGCCGGGCCGGCCGAGCGCGTCACTCAAGTCTTTCACGGCGCTGGCGCCACCCGTGCTCTCCCAAAGAAAAAAAAAAAAAAATTAAAAAAAAAAAAAAAAAAGAAGCTGTACATGTTTGATGACGTCGCGGATGTGCCGGGAGAAGGAATTTGGAGGAAGCGGAAATGCAGCCGGGCAGTGTTGTCTGGCCCGCACGTCTCAACCAAAACCAGCGGATTCATGCTTGTCAAACTTTGACAGCGATTTTAATGAACTTCTAGGCGGAATTCCGTCGTAATATTTGCCATGGGGGTTTCGTAGATGATGATAAAGAGAACTGTATAGTTTTGCACTACTGGGAAAGAAGCGGAGTTGCCCTTTAATATCGAGAGTAAATGGGATGAAAATGAGGAGTGGGCTCCCTTTTGGTATATACAGTCGCCGACCGATCTTTCGGACTTGGCAGGGACCGAAAAAAACGTCCAAATACAGTCTAAGCTCGTTATAACAGACCTTGATTTTGACCAAGATTTCGGTCTGTTATAAGAGGAGTATGTTTTATGCAGATATGAAGTTGAGTCAATAGAACGTAGAGGAAAACACACCAAACTTCACAAATTGGTATGCTATATCCAAATGTCTGTTGTAACCAGGTCTGTTGTAATGAGCTTAGACTGTAATAGAGCAGTCCGAAGAGTCAGCAGATTAAAAAAACTTGCCTGGTTTTAAAAAGCTGTAAATAGTGCCTTGCTTCAGGTTAACGCCCGCGTGCCTTGTTTTAGGTTACGCCTCCATTTGCGTTCGGCAACTTTCCGTAAGCTTGAGAATCGCTGCCTTCTTTTCTCGTGTTATGGTCAAGTACTTTCTGCGCTTCTTAGCAACAGATCACGGTGGCGGAAGAACGGATGGGGCAATGACATCCAAGCCAGCGTAGTCCGAAAACACGATTCACCGAGACGAGATCAAGATGAGAAGCGCAAGTCCATGACTGCAATGATGAATGAACAAAGCAAAATGGAAACAACATTGATGATGATAATGATGCGCAGCTAGAGAAAGAAAAAAGCCGTACAGCGTCACCTAGCAGTAGGACTTAGCAGTATTTAAGTTGCGCTGCCAGACCAAGCCAATCCATGTGCAGTCAACATAAAATCCAAAATGGCCGCTTCTCGGTGGTGTTTCCCGGTGATCCCGCGCAACGATTGTCAGAAAAATTTAACTTTCGAACTTCAAGCTGTCCGAAACATTGGTCGTGATTATGCTCTATTTCTATCGGGTAGGTCACAGTTCCTCCTTTAGTCCGAAATATCGAACAAGTCTGAATTATCGGTGTCCGAAAAATCTGTCGGCGACTGTAATTGAGAAAAAGAACATTATATTTCTGTATTCTGCGACTTGCCAAACTTGTTCTCGCTTTAAAGGGCTACTCCACCGATTTTTTCATTGTCTCCGATTTGCTTGAAATTTTGCTAAACTAACCAACAAACATCGGGAAAATAGTATCCCAAATATTAGGTCAAAATATTGTTTTTTCGCGAAGTTATTGAATTTACAGTTTTGGTCCTCACCGTGTTTTTCAAGCTCGAAGTCTGTACTGGCAACAATGAAAAAGTGACGTCAGTGGAAGGCAGGGGTTCACTCTTTGGGCTGTAGATTTTGTTTTAAACTGATTCGAAGCAGTTTCATGGTGTCAAATGAATGCTTGGGAAGCTCGCTGCAGTACCCGCGCTCTAGCACGGAACAAATGATTGGCATATTCTATTTTTTGGCTGCTTGCTCGACTGGCAAGCCTGCCTGCCACTGACGTCACGGCCCTGAAAAGCGCGCGAATATTTGAATGTTGGTTTTTGCATCATTTTCATCTGCCGATTTCGCAATAACTATTATGAATTTCGCGATTCTAAATAGCATACCGGAGAGAGTAAAGGCCGGGGAGTCAGAAAATATAGTTAGTTGAGGTAGCTCAAAAAATCGGTGGAGTACCCCTTTAAGGGGTGATGAAACATGGAAAACTGTCTTTCCCATTTAGCAATGTTCGCTTATTTCCCGCCTGTGCTAACACCCCATATTGCACGGAGTTCGAGCTTATAAGTGCGCCGCATGTGGCGCGCACATAAAGCTTTGCCGCTTTGCGCCTGGTGCTAGGAGTGGCGACTGACGCAGGACAGTATCTGGGCTAGGTCGATGGGCTTGGAAATTTTGCTCACTCAACACCCGTGGAGGAGTGTGTCGATGTTCCGCATACGTGCACACCATTGCAGCACCGCTGCAGGAGCACGTAACTTCGTACTGCGCCGTGCGCGCTCATTCGAAGGAGACGTTGAGCAAAGCCACATACTCTCGCAAGTACCAGTTGGGATGGTGTGATGCAACAAAGCTAACACCGAGCGTAGACCCTGGAGCCGTTGCCTGCTCCTTGACTGGTGGCCCCAGATTGTATTTGACGAGTGCCACAAGGCGAAGAACCTGTGCCCCGTGGGCTCGTCCAAGCCCACCAAGACGGGGCTCACGGTGCTGGAGCTGCAGAACAAGCTGCCCAAGGCGCGGGTGGTGTACGCCAGCGCCACGGGGGCCTCGGAGCCCAAGAACATGGCCTACATGACGCGCCTGGGCATCTGGGGCGAGGGCACCCCCTTCCGGGAGTTCTCCGACTTCATCTCGGCCGTGGAGAAGCGCGGCGTCGGGGCCATGGAGCTCGTCGCTATGGACATGAAGGTTGGCATCTCGCACCTTTCCCCCTTTCTGCGGGTCTCTTCGAGCACTGGGCTTCTTTAGTCTTGTGCCGCATTGCAGAGGAAACCACATCTTTCTTTGTTTTTTTCCTTCTCTCATTACTCAAAATCTATAATGGTAAACCCGAGACTAGGAACAAATGACAGAACAACCATCACAGGGACTGCATATGGGTACGTCTTTGTGTGGCATTGTTTGTTTCTTTATTTGTTCCCAGTCTCTGGTTTAGCGTCACAAAGTTTGTTCACAGTCTCTCTTGTGTTTTTTTTCACTTTCAACTCAACCTCGTTTCTTCGTTCTCTGCCTCGCACTCACCCTCATTTTATACGCTCTCTTTTTTCTGAAAAGACAGCCGCGAATGGCTCACGATACCATCTCGCACCATTGTTTCGGTTTCCGAGTTCGTTTCGTTGTTCTCTTTCCTCGGTCCAGCTTCGGGGAATGTACATGGCTCGCCAGTTGAGCTTCTCCGGCGTCTCCTTCAAGATCGAGGAGATACCCCTGGTGAAGCCGTTCATCGCAATGTACAACGAGTCCGTGAAACTGGTGAGAAACCTCGCGACTCTCGTCCTCAAAGAACGGTCCGGGCTTTTGCGCTCGTTGCCTTCAGGTGGCGGAGGGTCGTAACTGGGATCGGCTGTAGCGGGAACAGTTAAGTCCCTTTTTAAGCAGTCCCCTCTCCGTGGTCTGTTTTTAGACCTTACACTACCATCTCAATAACGTCTGCGGTAAGGACAAAGGCATAGGTGCGTGAGTCTGGTTCGGGATGGTTTTGTTTGTGCAAGAACTCATGCATAGCGGGCACTTTTCGAAGCCACGTGCTCGTGCCCATTGTTTGCACCGCGGATGTTCTCAAACCCCAAGTTTCCTCGTACATCCTGCCGCTAACTGGAGTTCTCCCGTTTAAGCGAGACTTTAGCAGATCTAAACCATCTAGTAAGGCATAACCACGAGCGAAACACTCACTTTCGTGAGCTTTACCGTTTACAAAGGTCTAGTTTTCGTTACCCCTTAAATGCATCATTAACTAGACCGAAAGCGGTTCTTCGGCTATCGGTGGAGAGAGAGGCGGATTCCTCGAGGTCGACAAGTTTGCGAGCCTCTTTGTTGGATCATGTGTTGTTTGTAGGTGCGCGTGCTCATGCGTCCCATTTGTTCTTCGAGGCAAGCGCATCTGGGTTTTTTTTGGCTACGATGCCATCGGGCAGGCTTGCGCATGTGCTTGTGAATCGGCTCCATTCTCCCGAGACGACCTGACTCGACTCGTTGCAGTGGGTGGATGCGCGTGCCATGTTCCAAGAGGCGGCGGAGCTGATGGAGGGAGACTCCCGTATCAAGAAGACCATGTGGGGCCAGTTCTGGGCCTCTCACCAGCGGTTCTTCAAGTACCTCTGCATCGCTTCCAAGGTGCCCTTCGTCGTGTCCCTCGCCAGGGAGGCGGTCAAGAACGACAAGGTATTGCTCCTGCGCACAAGCACCGTGGTTGCCGGGCTGCGTACAGTTCGCGGGGACAAATTTAGGTCAAGGAGATTACGGAATGGGGCCGGTTCATGTACTCGCAACTCCTTAGAACCGAGTGCCCTCAAACCTCTTGGGACCTCTTATAACTGGCGCCATCTGTCGGGAAGCCGTGGAACTTTTGGCGATGTTATAAACAATCGTTTCTTGTTAGATCTCACATACATTTGATCTTTCAAATACTGCAAAACTTTCGCTCTAGTGAAATGCAGTTACAGGGTCGCATGGCAGCTTGTTTTCTCGTCGTAAGAGATCATGAGAACTCTGTTGTGAGCAAACGCGAGTGCGTGGACGGGTCTTAACGACGCAGACCCAACAGCGAGGAAAGTGAGAAAAACGACGGATGAAAGCATTTCCTCGGTCCCTGCATCGGTTTGCCCGTCTTAATATTTTAAGTTTTTCTTGGCTAGCTTGCACCTCGGAAAGGAGCATCTCCTAGAAACTGACGCCGTAGGTGCATAAAGACATAGTGTGATGCAGAAACAGCCGTGCACATGTTACACGACTTGCTTGAGTTGGACCAATTGCTGCGCGGCAGGTAGTGCTAGAATTTGTCGCCTATGTGAGAATAATTGTAAGTAGTGTTGTACTGTTTGGGGCATTGGCTTTGGCTATAGGGAGTATTCCCTGGCGGCCATATCTGTGTGTGTGGTTGCTGAGCGCGTGCTGAAGACGAGCTTCCACAGTTCTTTTGCAACGTGCATTCCAATCCATCAAGATTGCCGGTCTTAGCAGGCTATTAATGTAAGCTCGTTCTGAGCATGCGCCCTAAACATCGCCCTCAAATATGGCGTCCAGTGAATGCCCCCTATTCTCGCAGCGCCCCAATCGATGTTGGGCGACACGTCGGACTACGTTGTCTGGTCAGGTCGGACTACGTTGTCTGGTCAGGTCCACTTACAACAAACTCCTCTGCCACGCTAAGTGAATTTCTTGTAACGTCAGAATTGTCGACAAGCAACAAAACAAGCTGGAGATTCAACACGCACGCGCGTGGACTTTATTGCAGCAAGCTAGTAGTGGAGGTCAGCTTTAGTGGCGGCACAAAACCTGTTAATTGCACTCTCTGGGTTCGTGAAGTTATCAGTGTGGACGTTGCTCAGTCCCCCGTCAGACACCGGCAGCATTTGTGATGCCGGTGTTTCCTTCCTCGTTCGCGTAATAAATTAGGCAGTTTGCCGTCACTCGCACTATCGCTCCGCCACGAATGATTTCTGGGACCCTTTGTCGGTGGAGACCAGATCGTCCCCAGTCCTTACGTTCCCCTTTAGGCCGACATCGCCAGCTCGTGTCCACAGAAACGCGAGCAGTCTATTTGTTCAAAAAATAAGATACTGTTTGAAGAAGAAAAAAGTTAAAAAATACAGCAACATTTACAGCACCAGGCACTGGGGCTGCAAATGCACGAGTCTACCTCCTCTCCTCTTTTCGCGGTGCTCCTAGGAAGGTTTGCGGCAGCATGTGCGAACGGACACACCTCTGCTCCGGTTCCTTTGTGCCAATGGGGAGGCGTACGGGGCGGCTCCTATGCCGACATAACACCGACCTCGAAATAGGAGCCATTCTAGGAGCCACTTTTGGGCCAGTGTGCACTAGCAGACAAAACTACCGCAAACTACAAATGCCTCTTACGAGGTGAATACTGCATTAGTATCGGCACTAGAAGAGGGTTTTGCGAGTGTTCGTTTTAAGCGGGGCCGTCATAAGTGGACTCGACCATACAGTTTTCAGAAGTCTGTAAAGGCCGGTTAACGTTGTTACGGGCAGGACAGGTGGCACAATCGGTCTCGGAAAGAGGAGGTTTGTACGGTGTAATCATTGCGCATTCTAATCTTTCTAGCTCGTACATACTTGACCGGAGCGTGCGCCAAGCCCCAATTTTTTTGCATCTGCCTTTTCCTTTGCTCCGCCCCAGTGCGTCGTGATTGGCCTGCAGTCAACGGGGGAAGCGAGGACACTGGAGCAGCTGGAGGAGCAGGGAGGAGAGCTCTCAGACTTCGTGTCGACAGCCAAGTGGGTGCCCCCTTCCAAAAGGAGGGGCTTTTTTGGGTCCTCAGACAAGGGTAGCTTTGCATTACTGATGCAAGTGGACTCTCCAACTTCCTCTGTGCTTACATTCCTGCAATGTCTAGAAGCCTGGTAACCAAGCTACAGCCCCTGCCGTGGCTACGATATCGCACCTTTTCAAATAATGAACATAAATTAGGGGCGCACGAATATTCGAGACTTGGAACAATTTGTGAATAGTTTTTGCCATTCGATACGATTCGCAGCACACTTTTACTGCTCAAAGTGTGAGTTTTTCAGGTATTCGAAAATTATGAATGACATCTTCGGGACTTCGGCTTCTCATGGGAAGTTTCGCTGCTTCGCACCAGCATTTTGGCGTCGGGCTTCTCCGCTTTTCGCCGGCGCACTGGGAAAAGCGGCTAACGCGTTGGAGGATCCAGGTTGGATCTATTTTAAAAGAAAACCACCGCCTATATTTAGAAAAGTAAGGTAGTCATTGCTGTGGATGCCACGTTACATTGTTTCATCGATTTTATCGTGAACTTTTTTTTTATTGGTGCTTTGTGACATGTTTTTCACGTAATGAAGCCATTTCTTTCAATAGGTGTGGTCACTAGAAAAAGTTTCTAGCCTCGATTTCGTAAAAGTATCCACAAACTAAAATGTTGATAACTGAAAAACATCACAAATTCAATTTGCAGTCAGATTGAACGTTCGTATTTGATTTGCATCAAGGAAATTAGACATTTGCACACCTCTAATATAAGTGGCACATGTGTGCTCTAATCTTCTAATCTCAGTGCAGGAAAGTCGGCAAAATCCGAAATTCCTTTCGTCACGCCGAAATGGTTTGTCGTCGGTGCAGGGGCGTCCTACAGACGCTGATCGAGAAACACTTCCCGGCGCCCAACCGCAAGAAGACTTTGAAACTCTTGGGGTTGGACGGCATCGTAGAGGAGCCAAACCCCTCGCCGCCCCCGTCTTCGTCGACGGGGGGACACAAGCGCAAGAGTGGTGCGTACTCCGGACACCCCCTCCTCTCCCCTTCCCCCCTCTCTCTCTCTCTCGTGCCAATGCATCCTAGATAAGAGTGCCCCAGTGCTGGATTTTCTAAGTTGCCTCCCGTAAACGACGTAGAAAATGGAGCCCTACGGCTCTGTTGAGGTGGGACGAGTGTTTCAAAAGCGACACTGTTAGAGTGGATTTTATAACTTTCTAACCAAAGTAAGACACAATTTAATAGAAATGTTGTCAAGAAATGGTAGATCTGTACGTAACATAATAATGATAAGCTGAAATGCAATTTTATTTGTGTTTTTTTGCAGTTTTGCCTTTTTAGAAGAATTACTTGTTGCGAAGTTCTCAACTTTGGTCGGCAAAGAGATTCCGTATTGCGTGGCTGGTACTAGAACTGAGAACTTTTGTAAGTATGTTACTACAGTTGAACCCGGATATATCGAATTCAAAGGGGATGGTGAAATAGTTCGTTACATCAATAATTTGATATAAAAAAAATATGTTAAATTAAGCTCGAGTTGAAATTTCCTGGCGTCTCTGCTAATACCGTAGGTCGCAATGCGACAAACGGGAGCTTACCAAATAGAGCACCCAAGAGCCGCTGAATACAGTAGAGCGTATTTGGCGGAGACCGCAAACACCGCTGCGCTTACACGCCCACCTGGCCTGGACCTCCACACAGCATAAGCGACAAACATAAAAATAATAATAATAAAAAAAATGAAAGAAAAACGGAAAAGCTAGACGCATAAAGAAAAACAGAAAAAAAGTTAAGCAAGCAGCAGATAAAAAAAAAACTCACTCAATTCAAACAGCAAACAAAAGAAAAAAGAAAAAAAGGGCAAAGCAATAAAAAGAAAAAGGTAAACAAAGATAAGGCGTTAGAAGTGCGATTGGCAGAACCATTCTTGTCAACACACTTGAGTTGCCAAGCCATTTTTTTTTGTGTGCTCATTTTGGGGCTAGGGAGTCGCGCAGCATCAGCAGTGTTCGGGGAGAGGGCGCAGGCTACCGTACCCACAGTAGGCACTCCCTGCTCTTCCTACACAGGCGCACGTGCCCTTCCTCTTGCTTTTGCCATCCTCCACTTTTTTCTGTTTTTTTTTTTTTTTTTTTTTTTTTTGCGGTTCATCTTTTTTTTTTACAACTGTTTTCTTGCTGCGTCTCTTACTGCATGTATGCCTTAATGAGGAGACCTTGGTTGTGCCTTCTTTCTCTTCTTTCATATTAACATTTCATGTGGTATTTTCTGGACACACTCCGGTAACCGTGGTGTTACTGTAATTTTGTAATGGCTAAACGAGACGTTGACATTAACAGCTGGCTTGTGCGCGTTATGGAGTTCCTCAACTGCACCGTTTATGCGAGTGACTTGGTGGAAATGGAGACCCCATTTATGGTCGCTGGTAATTGCTTTGATTTTGTTTGAGTCGTGGAAATCCCGAGGTAGATCAAAGGCCAGCTCTTGGCGTTCAGAGTAGTGCTCTTGGGTGCCCCCTTTTTCTTTCCACAGGGAGTTTTCCTCCCTATCCATTGCAAAACTGCTGGAAAATATGCCGGAAATATATCTGTTTTTGGGAATCGTATAATTTCTCCCCATTTTGTGGCAAGTTAAAATACTTGTATGTGCATTTCAGGTCAGTTGTCTGTTACATTATAAAAACATGCATTTTTAAAATGCAAAAACCAGCCCTATTTTTTTTACGAAACTTCTTTATATGCAAATCTTGCCTTTTTTTTCCCTGGAAGCAACAACGAGTATAGATGACTTAATGAGATTTTATGCTAGTGGTAGAAGTGGTGACGTGCCTGGCGACAACATCCGAGGCGACTAACTTTCGAAGGTCGGCGCTCTCTGTGGAATCGGAGCTGGAGGAAGCCAGCTCGGTGGGACTTGTGGAAAACATTGCGTGGCGATTGAAGAAAGCCGACTTCATAATCTAAACCCCGCGACAAGGAGAAACCTCAATTCCTCCTTGTCTCGGAGCTCAGATTTGGACGTTTCCCAACCAGCTTGTCGGCATACTTTCGCTCCTCGCAAAGCCGACTTGCTCGCACCTCGGTCCCGACAATTGAGTCCAGCCGCGTTGGTCGGGAATTCCGATCTGGAAAGATGTCGCCGTGTGCGCCGAGCGTCCCCCCTGAGGGTTGGTCCGGGGTTCCGGGTGGCTGCGCAGCTCGCCAGGCTCGGCAGGGGGTGAAGCGCTACAGGGAAGCGTCATCGGGGGACGACAGCGAGGCAGAGGTGAAGAGCGAGCCTGAGAGCGACTTTGAGCCGTCTGTGTCCAGTTCCGCAGCCGAGGACTCCGAGGGAAGCTCGGCCGTTGAATCGGACGCAGAGGACGACTTCAACCCGTTCGGCGACGACTCGGACAGTGACGGTGGGTCCTTTTGGGGGGGCGGTCACGTCCCCGGCTTGGCGACGCGCATTCTTAACGGGGCAGCGAACTAGAACACAAAGAAAAGCACAGCAATGCAGATGCTTTGTCGCGGAAGCCGTCGTGAGGCCGGCGGGGTTCGCCACGCCGGCCTCACGACGACCTCCGTGACGTGATGATGTCGGCGCCGGAGCGCCGTGTGCGATAGGAAGACGTGGCACACTGCCTGTTGAAATGCACTGCGTGTAGGAATGCTTTTGCCTTCCTACACGTAAGCAGTCTTAAGTGTCTGCCAAATTTCTTTTTTTTTTTTCTCAAGTATGAGAAATTTGAATTGCAATATTGCGCTAAACCTTTTAAAATTTAATTCAATGGCATGTGTTGTAATTGGGCACTAAAGAAATGTCGCCATCCCTTTAGTGGCAACAAGAATGTCAGCACTCCCGTTTCGGTCTGAGGCTAGTTTAGTTTGACTAGTCTTTGTCTGTTAATTCCTCGTCTCGCCGTCGGGGCACAATAAGGGGAAGCAGTTTTTCGAAGGCTGCAGTTGCATTACTTATTCTTTGAACAAGACGTAGGCTCTTTCCTACTTTACCTGTGCCCTAGCTGTTTCGTTTTTCTCAAATTGTTTTAAATTTAATGCGTTATAGTTGTAGTCAAGGCATCTCCGAGCTGCCACCTGATTGCATTGCTAGTGACAAAAGGGAACAGGCTAGGTCACACATTTGCAGTTGAGTGTGACCGGCTGTTATCCAACCACTGGCGATTGCTTAACACAAAGACTTCTGACCTGTGCATATATATTCGTAAATTTTTTTTTTTTTATATGATTCTTTCGTTGTGGGTTTGAAATAAGTCTGGCAATGTTGCGAGCCACAGACCCCACGTTGTGACGCATTTGACGGCACTCGATCGGCAGACGCAGTCGATCAAACGCAAACGTGTTTAGGTTGCAGCCGGCTTGGCGGACGTGCGCTGACCCGTCTCTCTGCGCAGACCCCTGGGCCAGTCGTAAGAGCAAATCCAAGGGCAAGAGCAAGAAGCCCAAGGCGAAGAAGAATCGGAAGCACGAGAAGGCCCTAGGGAACGGCACCGCTCCGCAGCCCCAGCGGGCGGCCCCGACGGTGGACTCTGAGAAGAAGGCGGCGGCCATGAAGCAGGATCTGCTGGACCGGCTGGAGCGCCTGGGGGACAAGCTGCCCCCCAACACCCTGGACCAGCTCATCGACGAGCTGGGCGGGCCGGACAACGTGGCCGAGGTGATGCTCCCCTCGGCACCCGCTCCGTCTGTCCTCGGGGCTTCCTAAGTAGCGGCTAGGGTCTCTAAACGTTTTTCTTTATAAAGGCGAAAGTATAAGCTGTCTTGTGGAACGAACCGGCGCTATCACCTTTCGAAGACGTGCCAAACGGCACCTGAATTCCCCTGTCCCATGGAGCGAAGCCTATAGTCTGTAGCGGCGAATTGATGGATAACTTCGCATTGGCTGGCACGCGTCATAGTTTCAAGGAACACTATCCCACAGAGAAGCCCCTTCCATGGCGCAGCGGCCCGGTAAGAGGGGGAGGGTGGCCGGGCTCTGCGGAGCATTCGGCTGCAGACTGCGCAGAGCCTTTCCGGGCAGTCTTTGCAGAGGTTGTCCGGGCGGGCTTACGTGCTGCACAGCTTGTAGGAATACGCTACGTATACGAATGCTTTCGCATTCCTACACGTTAGCAGTCTTAGGTGTCCTGTAAATTTTTATCGGCAAACGTTGTTTTTTTTTTTTTTCAATATATATTGGCACACAGATATGTCTTTTAATGATGACTTCATATCTGCGATTGAATTTGAAAAATCTCATATAGAGCAAAAAATATGACAAAATATCAAGTTTTAAAAATATCACCCTTTCCCCTGGCCTCGATTCCTGCCATCCTTTTTTTTCGGAGTACACAGTCCCGCATGACTGACAATGTCGGCACCCGTCTGCGCGCATATCTAGTCGTTTTGGACGATTATTTTTCGAGCATGCATTGTATGGGGCACAAAAAGGCGGAGGAAGCCTATGCAACGGCACAATACCAATGCGTTTGTAGCTCGCACACAACTTCTCGGACGGTGCTCGTCGCTCGCAAAAGGTTGGTTATGCTACGGGCTCCGTTTCGAGCGGGTGCGGGATGCCCGGACGAGGAGCGTCCTCCGACGTTGCCCGCTCATCCCACCCCCCAGATGACGGGCAGAAAAGGGCGGGTGGTGAGCACGGACAACGGCACCATCCAGTACGAGTCGAGGTCAGAGGTGGACGTGCCCCTGGAGACCCTGAACCTGACGGAGAAGCAGAGGTTCATGGACGGGGAGAAGGTGAGGGGGACGCTTGTGATTCAAGTGCTTTGCCGACTGAGCTGTCCAGGGTCAGAGCATGCAAGAGCAAAGTCGTTTGCGGGGTTGCATGCTTTGCGGCCTTTCCTGGCATGCTGCCCCATCTTGCGGCGTGTGTCAGAAATGAGAGCAAACTTTTGTCAAGCGCTTCCGTTCGGATGCCCTTTTCTTCTTCCCTGGAAGGCCTATCACATATTCTGTGCTTGCCAATCTTTCTCAGCATAATCAATCTTTTCTTTTTTTGTTCTAGCTTTATGTAGCATGATTGTTTGACATTGTGCACTGTATAATATGAAGTTGGCAAGCACTCAAACACTTTCGACTCGTTGCAACGAAACGAACGCAGCTAACCTATAGTCTGCATTCTTTCTCCGCTTTTCTGTCACTCGTTTTATTTCGGGAGCACAGGTGTGGGTGCTCATGACTAGCCGCCTTCTGCTCACGTCTTTAGCCCCCTAATGGGACCCGGCTTAACGTCTGCTTTTGCGTTCCCGGGCCGCTTCCAGCACATTGCCATCATCTCGGAGGCGGCGAGTTCGGGCATCTCGCTGCAGTCCGACCGCCGGGCGAAGAACCAGGCCCGTAGGGTCCACATCACTCTCGAGCTGCCCTGGAGCGCCGATCGAGCGGTGCAACAGTTCGGTACGTTCGTGACAGAGAGTGTGTTGCATCGGACGGGCGTGTGGAAGTCTAGCCCGGTAGAAATTGCCTTTATCACGCAGAATTGCGTTATAATGAGTTCTTTCTTAGACTTCGTGCTGGTCCGCGGCGTGCGCTACACATTGTGCGATGTGACAATGTCAACGGCGCTGTTGGGTCGACAGTGTTGGCCGGCAGGTCTCGGTGTATCGTGATGTCGCAGTGTGCGACCACATCGCTTGGCCACATCCTGCAAAGTCGTGTAATTACTGTAAACCCTCGTTAACTAGGAAGTCGTAAGAACTAGAAACAAAATTCCAGGTAAAGATAGGCGAGGTACCAGATTTTCATTGCAGTGATCCCTCGTTGTGCCCTTCCAACAATTGCGCCAATTGACTTGACACTCACACAATGCGAGCAGCACAGTGGGGAGAACAAAACAGGACAAAACGACCCCAACAAAATGATCAACAAGCAACACATAATAAGCAAAGCCAAAAAAATTAATGAAACAAAAAAAACTAAAGAATTTGCAAAAAAAAAACAAATACTGAGAGGGGACGATAACTTGTGAGACAAACAGGAGCACTCAACCTAAGCCAAGAACCTTTATGCTGGCGCTCATGACAGATAACTTTTTTTTTTTCTTAAGCATTGTTACGTGATGTAAAACTTATTTGTGTTTTGAGGTCTTTTTGAGATGATCGATGACTAAATGCATTGTCCCTATGGGAGTTCATTTCGTGACTAGGAAATCTTTCGACTTAACTGAGACAGTAGAGTTCGAGTTAACGAGGGATTACTCAATAAAAAAAGACGTGAAAGCCCACGGTTTCCCATAAATCGTAATTCTTCACATGACTTCTTGAATGATAAATTGAAATACAGTGGCTAAAAATACAGCAATAACTGTTGAATATACTTTCCAGCTGCGTTTGTGGCAGATTTGTGTTGGGCAGGACACTCCAGCCCAATAAAAAGCTGCGGATATTGTTTTTAATGCGAAAGCATTAACTGGTCCTATGGAGCGAGCCGATGTCATCAGTCTGAAGCACGAAAACGGCACATTTAATCCTTCCTCCAAGTGAAGCCAGCTCCCAGCTATGAAACCTCGTGAAAAGCCTAGACAACTGCGCCTAGTTTCCCCGATTCCAAAGGAGCGGAGTAAAGCTGATGGATTTTCGGCTTTGGTTCCATTGGCTGGCGCGCGTTGACGAGGCTCCCAATGGTCGCTGCGCATCAGTTTCAACGGCCGCTCACCCCGTAGCACTGCGTGTCCATCAGCGTGCCATAAACACGGAGCGTCCAAGGTTAGCGCGTCCACAGGAGCGAGCGCGCTGACTGGCGATGAAAAGGGGAGAGGACAAGCGGCTTGCATGCTTTCGCATTCACAACTCATAAGAAGTGCTTAGGTGTAGCTCGAGCCTTTTCTACGGAAGTCTGGAGTATCAATAAAATTATCTGTTGGGGTAGTTGGTTACACATCAAGAAAATCAAAAAGCGCAGAGGAGAAGGACAAGTGGTAGACCTAGACAGGACAAGTATCTTTTACAATGGTTATAACCTGGATATGCTGTGTGGGTTCGAAAGAAAAAATTGAAGAGTGCTTTGTACAAGGCTTACTCGTGGCGTTTAAGCGTCATTTAATTGTGCTCGAACGGCTCGCAAACCTTGGCTTCTCCGTCTGCAAAGGTCGGACGCACCGGTCGAACCAGGTGAATGCCCCAGAGTACATCTTTCTCATCTCGGACTTGGCGGGCGAGCGAAGGTTCGCTTCCATCGTGGCCAAGCGTCTCGAGAGCCTGGTGAGTTGTTTCGGTTTGCACTTGCCCATTCTTTTTTTTTTTTCCTCACGCAGAAGGAATTTTAGGGCTAATTTTCAGGTCTGCAGCGTTGCAAAAAGTTGTTAGAAAAACAGGATAATAGAGCCAAGTCACGTGACCTAAGTTTAGAAGGATGTTTTCCCACTAAATTTAGTGGGAAAGCTTGACCGAAGTACTAGATTACGAATGTCTTTACGTCCAGGCAATTTTTCCCATTAAATTTAGGTCTCGCGATGACGCGTGCCGACGTGATGTCGGGTGATACCACAGCGTAACACCGTGACGTTACGGTGCCGCTTGACACTGCATCACGAAACACCATGACGTGCATCGTGACATCGCGTGGCGTGGCAAGATGTCAGATTGTGCAGTCATGTGATAGCAACTGCATGGCCCGTAATGCCACCAAGCCCAAAAGCCGGGAAGACAGGAGAAACAGAATCATACGATTGAAACAGGTGCATGCAATCACACCAGACATTCTGCATCAGTTGGATGTATGCAAAGTATTAGGGTAGGAACATTTTAAATGCAATGGCTTTCATTTGCAATCCCTACACACCTTCATGTCCGTCCTTCCGTTTGTCACAAAGAAAACAAATGTGCACGTGCGGGAGAGTGATTGGCAGATATCTTGAGGCGAAAGTTCAAAAGGCCGAAAATCCATCGAGTGGGTACCGTAGGTTTGTTCACACATGCAGACCCGAAGCACTCGAGCATAAACAAAGTGAACCACTTTTCCTCTTGGCGTGCAATGTCAATGTTAAAGTCGCCCATCACTATGGCAGACGAGTCATCGCCGAGCGTGACCCAGCCAAAGACGTCCATTATGAATGCCTCAATGCCTCTCTTGGGCATGGCGGGGGGGGGGGGGGGGGGGGGGACGACGACGACGACGACGACGACGACGACGTACACTACAATGACCACCGGACCATCGCCCGCCTTGACAAAAAGGCTGGAAAGGTTGCTGCCATGTACGAGCGTTGGTTGTCTGGTTTCCGCCGTCGCTCGTAGATGGCGATGGGTGTCCAGAGTTTTGTGTTGACATTTGTTTGGTACCAAACACGAAACTGCGGAAACTAGCCCTTAACAGCTCCGCTGTAAAACGGGATGGCTGATCTCTCAGAACTTTACAGTATATACTAATAGCAAGAGAGAAGCATTATAAGGGGCAACACTGCTTTTAGAGCTTTATTTAACTTGTAATTTAATTAAATGAAATTTACATAGCTTATTTATCATGGCAATCATACTACAAATATGAACTTGGTTTTGATGTAACCTAATTAGTTTTGTTAATATTGAAAATTTTATTTGCAAAGATTATGGGAAGATTAAGACAAATTTAAATACTGAAATAAAAGAATAAGCATATATCAGTAAACTAAATGGTATGTGGAATCCAATAAGGCATAAGTGAAAACTCTAGGGTGCTTTATAAACTTTTTAGTTGACGACGTCACGGGAACCATGCCGAAGATGACAGACGTTAAGAGAAACGGATGTCGTCATTGCCGACGTCCGTTTCTTGACGCTGGCAGCGATCGTGATTGGGAAGAGACGAGCAAAGCTAAACAAAACTAGCGAAACAGAGTGACGTAGCCGACTGAGTCGCCGAGTGCGGGCAGCGAGTGGTGCGGACGTGGGGATCGGTGACACCGCAGTGCCCTACGTGGAGCTTGAGATGCCAATGGCATGCACATGCGCGGTGCTGGTCAAGCGTTTGAGTCGCAGACGCCTGCTGTGCCACCGCCTTGCGCCGTTGTATTGCGGGAAAGTCTGCCGCAAGCTTCTGGAGTTAGATATGTTCATTATGAGCACAATCACGTTTGATATAAAAAGTTTAAAAAGCGTGAAAGTTTTATTTGAATTCAAAAGGTTTTGATATGGGAAATAATTCTATATGCCCTTGTTCGATATAATCAAGTTTGACTGTACTGCCTTTTACCACACAGCATACCTATCTGAAAAGCGCTGTTTTTGGCTATTTGGAAATTACAGACGGATAATTCGTCATATCATATGAATTCCGCTTCATTGCACGGTTCAAAGATTTAGCTACGTGACTGCCAAAGCATCTTTGTTTTTTTGTGGTGAATTTAATTGGAGTTAGTATGACTGCTGGCGTACAATGCATATTTAGGACATCTGTTCGACATAAAGGTGTTTAGACATTTTTTTTTTTTTTTTTTATGTTTCAACGTCGTAATTAGGTTAAAACAATGTGCTTTTTGAAACAGGCTGCTGATTTGCAGTTTGTGTCCTCTGCAAAAATATTTTTGCCAGAATGTGGCCTTATACATTAAGCTGTTTAGTGAAGAAAAAAAGAAAAGGTGTTTATGCACTACAATGCTTGGCAAAATGCTATCGCATTTCAATAATTTGTGCAATAATTTCAGCAGTTAAAAAAAAAAAAAAAATCCATTGCTTTTTTTTTTTTAAACTGAGTGTTCCCTGTTTGTCTCTACTCTTTCCTGTGTGATGCTCACAACGTTCCCCTTCCTCGGAGTGCCCATTCTCTGTGAGTAATGCCGCCCCGTTCCTTTGCCAGGGCGCCCTCACTCACGGTGACCGGAGAGCCGGCGAGTCCAGAGACCTGTCGAGGTTCAACATCGACAACAAGGTGACGCTCCTGCGGCCATTTTTATTCCTCGTCTTTCTGCTTTGTTGTGCGGCACGCTTTACAGTGTAGACAATCAATATCAGCCTAATGTGTCGCGCAAAAGCGGCGATTTTATGTGACTGTGGTTCCAAGACGCTAACCCCAGCTTGCACCGAAGCGAAGGAAACCTGCAGTCTGGTTGCCGTAGCAGGTTATCGCCGTACTATGCACTTGTAGTCTGACAGGTATGGTGCACTGTTGAAAGGTGACGCTTAAAGGTGTACTCCGCCGATTTTCGAGCTACCTCAACTAACTATATTTTCTGACTCCCAGGCCTTTACCCTTTCTGGAATGCTATTTAATATCGTGAAATTCATAATAGTTATTGCGAAATCGGCAAATGAAAATGATGCAAAAACAGACATTCAAATATACCCGCCCTTTTCAGGGCTGTGACGTCAGTGGAAGTTCAGCTTGCCAGTCGGGCGAGTAGTCTAAAAAATAGAATATGCCAATTATTTGTTCCGTGCTGGAGCGCGGGGACTGGAGCGAGCTTCCAAGGCATTCATTTGACACCATGAAACTGCTTCAAATCAGTTGGGAACAAATTCTACAGTCCAAAGAGTGAACCCCTGCACTTCCAATGATGTCACTTTTTCATTGTTGCCAGTAGAGACTTTCAGTTTGAAAAACACGGTGAGGACCGAAATTGTAAATTCAATAACTTTGTGAAAAAAAATTATTTTGACCTAATATTTGGGATACTATTTTGGCGATGTTGTTTGGCGAGTTTAGCAAAATTTAAAGCAAATCGGGGACCATGAAGAAATCGGCGGAGTACACCTTTAAAGGAGCACACGAGTCATCTTTACGTCCATGTACATGTGTATCTTTTCCTTTGTTTCAGTACGCATAACTCTAACCAACTCACTTAGTCCTTCGTGCAGCTAAGTAAAATCTCACTGATGGGTTTTTCAGGGGGCTGCAGTAAGATTATGATCTGGGAAAACGTTTGTTAACACTTACACGGGTTTACGTGCAAGACGGGAAAAAGCTCCCCCACACACTAAATCGTCTTCCCTGGCTCGCGGCCGTTTATCCAAACATGGGTGACTTTCCTTTCGACAGTTCTTTGGAATCGAGGGAGATCTACGAGGGTAGCCGAAAAATGTGCGCCTATGAGAGCGAGATGAGTTTTCGACCACGTCGAATTGATCCGGGCACCCTCCGGCGTCGGCCTGCTCCCGGCACGATGGTACAAGGCGGCGAAGGCAAACGGGCCGGTCTCAAAATCTCGAATCTCTTTGGAGCCTAGTTTGAAGTTGCGCCCGCCCGGACAAGAGGAGCGGTGCAGAGAGGCGATAAAAAAAATGCCAGCGACCTTCATTTTCAAAAATGCCTAGAATGCACAGGGTGCAGTATTGAGGAGCAATTGTTTAAATTTGTCGAGGAGGCATTAAACGTTGCGTGACATTTCAGCGTCGGGTTGTGGTGTCCCGCGAGACTGACATCGCGCGACATGGTCGCACAATGTCGTGAGGTCTGGTTGTGGTGTCGTGGAACGTCGCGTCGCACCACAACTCGACGCGCTACGACGAGCGAACCGGTTATGCCGACGCGTCCTGACATGGGGTGTGCGCAGATGGACGGGAGCGGGGGGTTCTGTCGTAAAGTGCTCCACGCTTTATAGGACGGATGGCGGAGCAGGGGGAAGAAGGTGACCGTGGCCGGGAGGCATTACGTCGGGTGGCAGTCTTTGGAAGCGAAGGTCGTAAAGGTGTACGTGTCATGAACGTGTCGACGAGGTTCTGCCGTAAACATTACAAGGTGTGAAGGAATGAAGCGGAGGGCTAAACTCCTAGACAAGCTTATGTACTACCAAAGATGTGCTTTTCGAGCCAAACGCTGCTATTTGAAAACTGACCTAGGGTTTAGTTACCGGGCTCTGGCCCCTCTGGCCGTGCTCACTGTTTCTTTCCTCTCATGACCAGTACGGTCGGGCAGCCCTGGAGACCATGATGAGGGGCCTGATGGAGATGGAGGTCCCGCCCCTGGTGCCCCCACCCGAAGACTGGGAGGGCGACTTCTTTGCCGGTCAGCCCCTCTTTCTGCGCCGTCTGCATTTGGGACGGCTACTGTATGGGCACCCTTGTTCCGTAGAAGCAAGCGTAGACACCTTGGTCCTACGTAAAAAGTCAGAATTCTGCAGCGTGCCTTTTCTTTGCTCAGTTTGCATGTATGTGTGTACGTCTGTTAAAAATTAAGCACCGCTTCGGTCTTGCCCGGCACGCTCGGGGATATAATGTGTACGATAGTCACGATGTCGCATGAGGTTGCGGTGTTCGGTGATCTGGCGTAGCGTGGACAGGATATTTTCCCGCTCAATTTGGAGCGACAAATATTTTTTGGGGACATTTAGATGGAGACCTACGCCCCTGCCTTAAATCTTAGCGTGAACACGGCGATTCAGAGGTCTAACACCCAATATGTTCGAACGGTGCGTAATTATTGATACAATTGGTGTAATACGAAGATGCATAGGAAGACGAGGAAATGAGGGTTCAATGTGTTGCGCCTTTCAACGGCGCTTGTCCCGTTCCCTTCCTTTAGACTGCAGGAAGGCCCTGGTCGGCGTGGGCCTGGTGAACGAAGATGAGTTCAACAAGATGCAGAACCTGGACAAAGGTACGGCCGAGTTGCCACTCCCTCGCAGACTGGAGGGGGTTCGCGTTGCTTCTCCAGTCTGTGGTCCTTCCTGTCTCGCTTGCCCTACAGCGCTTGCTTGCTCTATGCTTGCCCTATAGCGGTAGGGCACTCTTTGACTCGACGGTTCACGGAAGTTTTAGCAGTTAGGAGTGGGAATGCCACGATGATGGGAACACTCGCGTTGGCTCGTCCCTTTTATTGCGCAACGTTCCTTGGCTATGTGTTCGGCATTTCATGGAGCCCAGACAAAAGTGAAGCCCGGAGAAAAGCATGACCGCAAGGCTCGACACCAGGTGGGAGAGCAGGAGTGAGCTGCTCGATGCCGATTGGTTAACAGGCAGGTCACGTGACCGGAGTGGCAGGCGAGGAGCGAGATAGGTACTGAGGGAGAGGAGCTTGAGAGTATGGAAGGCTCCGGAAGATCGCCCAGTTTATCGGCCTGATTGGCATGGTAGTATCGCTTCATTCTAGGAACTATCGAGTGTACACATGGTACCGTAAAAGCCCGCATATAATACGAGGCTTTTTTTTTTCTTCAAATTTTGCCATGTCAAATTTGTGGCTCGTATCATACGCGGGTCCCGACAATTTTCAACTTCGGTGTGACGTAGTTTCGGTTTCGAAGCAATATGGCGTTCAAAACAGCTATCATCATCATTAAAATCACAATGTCCGAGGCGCCACCATCCGTCCACAGTCAAGCTAGGCAATGGCCGTCGGCGCAAAAACAAAACTCGGCCGCCTTCAAGAAAAGTTCTTTTAGTTGTGGAAGACATCGGCAACAGTGCTACCGGACGACAGTTCCTCGTAAATGAAGGCAGCATCAGTGAATGGAGATGACGAAAGCAAGCTCTGTTGGCGTGCAACGACACGAGAAGCTTAGGAGCCCAAAGAATGCCGTGCTCGCCGACGTCGAGGCAAGTCTCAGCGACTTTGTAAAAAGAGCAGCACGAACGGCACCTCGCCGTAAACACCGAGCTGCTGCAAGAGAAGGCGAGAGAACTTTAGCGAGCTGACATTGGGTTGCTCGCTTTATGCGCCACGCCGGGTTTTTACTGCGTCGGCACACGCTTGTTGCTCGCTCTTTCAGGAAGTGCGGGATTTCAAATGCGCTCGACGTCACTGAAGACTACCGAGAATACTGCCTTTGGGAGGAGGCGTCGGACAAGGAGTCTGGTGGAAGTGATGACGGTGATTAAGGTTCAATTACGACGCAAATAAGCGTTCTTCTCAAGACTTCCTGGGTTGTACTTTATGCGGAAAATTTTCGTGTTCCTTTAATTGTTTCGTATTGTATGCGGATAAAACATTTTTTTCTTTTTTCGCGGTCCTCAAATCATGCCTCGTATTATATGCGGGTTTTTGCGGTAACCTTTAAAAGGAACCTCCTCTCCCCCAGACTTCAACGAAATTTGCAATATACCCGTCGTGTTCAGAAATGGGTGAATAGGATCCACAATATCTGTAAATGACAATCGCACATTTGTATTTTGAGCCTAATGGCTGTATTTTTTGTTATAAACAGCCCACTCTGGCGAGCATTTGCGGAACAGCCGGCAAAGAGCACGTCACAACCGGCGCAATCGTGATGTAGGCTGTCTTGGGATAAGCGAAGTTGCGGCGAGGCTGATGTTGTCAAAATGCCCTAGCCGTTCCACCCGCCGAAGCGGTCGAAGCACGCCACCGCTCGGGCCACTGCAGCTAGCCGCAAAGCTGCTTTTGTGTGGATCTTAAGTGACGGGTCAATCTTCTATAATCTTCCAGAAGAATAGCGACATCTGGGACACACAAGAGGGGTGTTCGGTCAGTGGGAAGTTCGTCCCTGTTCTCTTGTGCTGGCTGTAGACCTGTCGGGATGACGTCGGGTTCAAAGCATGTATGGTTTTAGGCAAGACAGTTATTGTCACTACCTGTCAAGGTTCCTAGACAAGCATTAGAAAACGAGGCTTTAGCAACATCCACCAGGTGCTCTTTGCTAATCATTTAATTTGTCGTTCGTGTCTTTTTTTAGCAAGATACTGGTGTGTCCGATTTGATACTGCTCCTTTGAACACATACAGACCAAAAAATAAGCGCCGAAATTTCGTTGTAGTATCCCTTTAAACTATGAGGAAGAGCGCCGTGACCGTAGGCGTCTGGCATCTAGAAACTCGGGTGTATTGCCAAACGTTCATGATGTTAGAACGTTTCACGTATGGGACACAAATGCTTACCAGTTTCCCATAAATTTTTTTCTGGAGCTTTTACAAGCGATCGCCAGGATCGCGGCATCAGACGGCACGACGCACCGTCTCTGGCGATGAAATTTCTTGCTCCTTCGGGACCCCTTTTGCTGCACGAATATTAAGCACGCCGATCGAAGACGCATCCTAGGCACCATAACCATGCGGGGCTTGGCAGCCGTTCCGCGTCGTGCCGATTCACCTTTTGTCGTGCGAGTTGGGAGTGCGCGAGCGAACGTTGCGAGTCGTCCTCCTCTTCCCCAGACTACAACAACATGAGCAAGTTCCTGAACCGCATCCTGGGCATCCCCGTGGAGCTGCAGAACGCCATGTTCAAGTACTTCACGGACACCCTGGACGCCATCATCTCGGAGGCCAAGAAGACCGGCCGCTACGACCTGGGCATCCTCGGTGAGGACCCTTTGTCCAAGCTTCGCGCCATACCCAGGTGCACGTCTGAAAGACGCACACCTGGGTGAGCATCCTTTTTTGTTTGTATTGTATTATTTTAGTTTTATTTGTTATTTTATTATTTTTTATTTAAAACACAGCACTCTTGCCGGCATGTTTTTTTTGCACGCGGGTGCGGCACGCACCTGGGTCCAAAAAAAACGTGCCGGCAAGAGCGGGAAGGTTTAAGTAAAAATAATAAAATGACAAATAAAATTAAAATAATACAATGAAAAAAAAATATTATAAAAAGAAAAAAAAATCTAGCACAAACAACACAATCTGTGCTGCTTCGTCATTGTCAGCATAATCAAGTTTGTATAATTTCTTAGACACATTGCATCATTATGAAGTGGCAATGCCATCAATCGCTGGACGAGTTGCTTTTACCTAATCGGTACCGAAGCGCCGAGGACAAGGACAAGCGAAGGATGCAGTGGCAAGAGTCGGTTTGGGAAAGTCAGGGGCACCTTGGTACATCTAAAGTTGGGTGGCAAAGGCTTACCAGAAAAAAGTTGAGAATGCAGGATGGCAGAACTTGTCAAAAGTTCTGCCATCCCACCCTAGGGCCGATCTAGTTATGGCTTCGGTAGGCGGAAACTGAAATAGGTGAGGGTAAGATTCGAAACGTATATCTAGCATGGACGTCGAAAGGCAAGGTCTCGCGCATTGTTGACCGCCTCCCCCCGTCCGAGTCCACACCACGAACGGGGTCCGAACGTGCACGCAGACCTGGGCACGTCCGGGGACAATGTGCGGCGGGTGAAGGTGGACGAGTTCATCCGGTCCCACGCGACTGGCACTGCCAAGACGGAGCTGCACACGGTTAGCGTGGAGCGGGGCCTCTCCTTCGAGGCCTCCCAGGACCTCTGGAAGGAGCTGGTGGGCAAGGACGAGGGCTACTACCTCTCCAACCAGGTGAGTGGGCAACCAAACCGCTTCCCCGGCCCATTCTATCCGTTTAGTAGCTTCAAAAGTTTGCCCAAACAAGTGAACGAGTTTACTGCGAAAAAACAAGGGAGGAAGGAGGGGAGAAATGAGGAACGAGAGGTTAGTCTCAGGATAGTGTGGGTATGCTTGTTGTTCTGCTTGGAAAAAAAAAAGAAAAAAAGTTTTCCTAAACTTTAGGTAATTGCATGCGAGGGGCTCGCTTAGTAGGTCTCATTTCCAAATCAGTTTACCCGTTGTTGGGCAAGTGTTGGAACCGCGTTTTGCTCACCCATTTTGTTTCCCCCAACGATGCCCAACGGCGTTGGCACCTTTCGAGTGGCGAAAGAAAAGCCGTCGCATTTCAAAAGGACCAAAGATCGTATACAGCAGTACATTCTGTCATTCTTTCGCGTTAAATTATATTTTGCGCGAGGGAGCTTCGCCGTGCACGCGAGAAAATGCTTTCGAAAGAGATCCCGCCAGCGATCGAAGCCAAATTTGCGCAAAGGAATAGGTCGGAGGGGGTGTTGTTTTCTGCACGCCAGCGTCCGTTCTCTCGGGTCGGACGGCCGGGGTGACAGTCACGACGTCTCTGCCACCCCCCCAGGTGCGCAATGGCAAGAAGACGGCGGTGCTGGCGGTGTGCGACCAGGCCCGGCGCTCCAAGGAGAAGAAGGACAAGCTGTTCCGGCTGTACCGGCCCAACACTGGCCTGCAGGTCCGGCACGAGAGTCTCACCGAACTCAAGAGCAAGTACAAAAAGGTGGGTGTCCGACCAGCCTCTTGCGTCCCGTTCCGCCCGCGTGTCGGAAGTTCTCCCGGAGTGGTAATGTATGGCATCGCAAAAAGCCTGTTGAGAAATAAAATGTTTAACCTTAATACAAGTAACTCTATAACGCCCATGTATCTAGGCATCTAAGAAGTACTCATCCATGTCAAATAAATTTAGAGAAACCAAATAATGATACCTATAAATATTCTTTCTTTCCAAGAACTATATCAGAGTGGAATAACCTCCCCGAAGAAATAGTATTAAGTGATACCCTAGCTTCTTTTGAAACATGCATTTCTAAATTGTATAATCAATACTAACGAACCTTTCCCTCTGGCACTGGATAATTTAGATTATATGTTTTTGATACTTAAATGGATTGGGACTTCCGTGACTCCATTTATTATCTGCTCATGTGTTCTTGTTGTTGTTTTTTTTATCAGCCTTTGTTCGATGTTGTTTTTGCGCGCTCAGCAGCGTACGCTCTTGTAAGTTTTAGCACTGAGAAGATATTATACAGTCGAATCTCGTTAATTCAAACTCGAGGGGGACCGAAAATTTGTTTGAATAAAGCAGAGTTTGAATTACCGGGAGTTCCCTCCCATAGAGGCGCATAAGATGGGACCTGCATGTTAGTTTGAATTATCGGGAAGTTTGAATTAAGAGAGTTTGAATTAGCGAGATTCGACTGTACGTAAAAATGTTTTTGTTGTGTATTCAGTGTGATTTACCAAAATAGTGTACTCTTGTCTTTCGTAAGTTGTAGTGTTCAAAAATGTGCCTTCATATGTACTACTTAGTGTTCTATTTTGTATATCTGTTACACTCCTGTAACAGCCCCTACGGGCTAACAGTATAAATAAATAAAAAAAAAATAAAAAAATAAAGCCGTAGTGTTGCGCTGTTGGATGTCACGGTCCTGAGTGGTTCGGCGTAGAAGTTCTGACAAAAAAGCACGAGGGAACTCGAGTGTAGCCATTGTCGCGGCTTCCCAACTTCCGGCTGCCAAAGCTTCCCTGCACTGTGGAGCTGGAGAGTGACTTGCGGGAGAACAGCTGTCTGCTGCCTCCACCACCGCTGCTACGAGACCGCCAGGTTTGCGGCCGGCAACAACGTGACAATTCTAAGACTTCGTCGAGCGGAAATGGAGGGACCACTTCTAAAGAGATGGCTTTACCGGTACCACTTTGCGGGGGTTTCGGTGTCGGCGTTTGTAGCCCGCCGTCGCGGTGGAGATTGAAAAACCCTAGTTCTCTTTCGGTGCAAGGAGAGAGAAGTAGGGCGTTTCCATTGACTGCAACTACGGGGGAGCGTCGTCTGCTCACGATGATTTCAGAATGGGTGTTTTCAAACATTACTCGCGTGATACGAAATCCCACTTCGGCAGTATCTAGATGCTAGGCGTGATGTTGGAGGTTTTCTGAAACTCCCACCACATTCGATTCCGTCATAACATCTCCACTTCTCGAACGCAGCTCGAAACATAAAATATGTCCTCTTACACCTCCTCGTTTCTCTGCTTGCGTCCCCTTCTCTGCCCGTCGCCGAGCGTCAATGTTACCTCCGTCCTCACTGCTCAATGACAAGGGGAAAACCCGCTTCTTCGCCCAGGATGGCGCAGGTTTTCTTGTCAACGTGCAAACAAGTGAAGGCGACGGCTCTAGCACGCTCGCGCAATGCGGGCAGAACGGTGTTGTCATGTACTTTCCTCGTGGACGGGGCGACACTGTTTTGCCCGCATTGTGCGAACGGGCCACAGTTATCGCTTTCATTTGGCACATCGTGGGCAAAAGAGGCACCCTTCTTTTAGGAAGCAGTAAACACACCGGTTGAAGACGCATTCCATGCACCATAGCCTCGCTGTCTGCCGAGTGGCTTCAAACGAGGGAAATGGAGTCGGGGTAAGCACTTAAAACAATGGCGTGACAATGGCCTCGGGCTTGACCACGTTTGAGTTCAGAACTGCCGCGTCATGCTTGCGCGTCGCTCTCTCTTGAAGCAGGTCAATTTCTGATAAAGGACCACAGATGGTTGCTTTCTTTTCCTCTAGTTTTTTCCCTCTTTGTTGGGAGCCAAGGGTACATTTTTCCTTTGAAGAAACCCCACGAATCGATTTCTTATCGCATCTCTTCGCAGCTTGCTACTGAGGCGTCCATTTGTGGTGCATTCTGTATAGCAAAATTTGAAAGAATGGACCGACCTACTGCCGAGACCTGTCATAACGAAATAGTGGCTACAGCGAAACGATCACGATTTCCCATTCCCTTTTTCCGTTCGGTAACCGAAGTCGGGTATAACGAAATAGCGGATACAACGAAGTGATTTCCGATTCCCGTTGACTTCGTTATATCCGGTCTCGAATGTGTAATGTGTTCCCCTTACCTACAGTGTTGGTTCCCAAATGACACACGTCGGATTGGCGCAGCAGCTGAAGGACGGCAACGGCAGTTAACAGAGGATGACCGCATAGCCAGTATAGCTCGACAATTTCTCTTTTATTAGAGTTAGGTTCGTTCACTGTTTTATTAGTGCAGGAAAAAATTGTGCTGTGACAACAAACACCAAAGATGCACGCCTGTTTTGACTCCAGAAGATCAAGGGGAGCACTGCATCCCTCCGTCTGTTGTCGCGCCAATCATGCACAAGTCATTTGCGGACGGACGCCGTATGCAGGGAAAGACGGTCAAACCTCATTACATGAAACACGGAGATATATAATTATTGCTTATATCGAATACCTGTGGGCACCCGTGTAGTAAATTGTACCATAATACAAGATGCCGATTTCTTTGTTTTCTTCGGAGCACTATCAGGTCCACGCTGCAGATTTTTGTTAGTGTAAACTGCATGCTGATTCATGCGGGCCATTTCTTCTTTCATGTGCCTTGGAAGTACCTTTTATGGTTGTTATCGTCGTAGTTCATTGATCGTTGGCTTTGCACCACGTCTCTCGAAGGTCACTCCCGACGACGCCCAGCCCCATTGGAAGGAACAGTATGAGTCGTCGGAAAACACCTGCAGTCACGTCTACTGGTAAGCTCCGAACCAGTGATCCTATTTGTGTTCCTACGTAAAGAATATGCACGAAAGCACCTCCATTGCCAGTTCTCCCACCGTATTTGGCACTTTGGCAAATGTGACGGAGCGTCGGGTAACGTTTGGGGCACGTTTATCTGCCCAGCTGTAATTGCGAGCTTCCAAACTCTGCCGAAGAGCTTTCAAGCATGGCGCTTGGCAGCTCAGAGAAAAATATTTATAGAAATGCAAGTTTCCCATCACTGGAGTCAAGGGGCTGCAACCATTTTTGGTTGCCCATCTGTAGTTTTTATTTCAGCAAACTTTCTACGGTGTTCACCCCGAATTTCCTTTTATCGCGCTATGGCTGATGTGATGTTCCAGTTGGCTGCGTGGACACGCAAAAGTTGTGCAATGCGTTCTCCTCGAAGAACCCTCGTGTTACGTGGGCCTCTGCTGTCCTTAAAGGAAGGCCTCGAAAGCGTTTGAGCCGACATGGTTTGGTGGCCTCCCATCTGGAAAGGATACTATAGTCCGTTGCGACTCAAAAAGATCGGGCGAGGGTAAGATCGGCTGGGGAGGAGGAAGCAGACGGGACACTGGAGAAGAGAGGGGGAACCTCCTTCTCTCTTTAGTGTTCTGCCTCCTTCCCCCTCCCTGGCCCGTCTTACCCTCGCCCTACCTTCTTGAGTTGCAACGGTCTATAGACCCGGGCACGGCTTTCCCTTCGGCAGAGAATGGCTGCTTCAAGATTGCCGACCAACTGTTCGGCAGCGACCGTGCGACGCGTAACATCTGGCAGGCCTGCATCTCTGGCCTGCCTACCCAGAGATGCGTCTCTGCTTGCATCCAGAGACGCTTGCATCTCTGGGTATGCAGGAGGTCGCAGTGCTGCGGGCAGATGAAGTGACGAAGCATTCACGCAGTAGCATTTATGGAGCAACATCTAGCGTCGCATTTACAGCGTGCCTGTAACATGGCATTTACTGGGTGCTTACGTCGCGATACGACTGCGGGTTACGACACGTCCCGAGGCTCTATTGCCTCGGGACACTCTTTTACGTGGAGGCGCGGGATTCAAACCCCAGCACCCTTCCTTTTCCTTTTAAGGGGGGATACTACCCAAGAGAATAGACTTTTTTTTTTTTTTTTTTTTTTTTTACTTTTGGCTGAATGAGTGAAATATACGGTATATGTTGTCAGAGAAAACTACAGTTGAACCTTGATTTAACGGAACCCGATTTTACGAATTTCCCAATTTAACGAACAAATTTGGATTCCCCGTGCAGCCATGCCTGAAAAATGTCTTTATCAATTTTATGAAGTTCCCGATTTAACGAAAGAATTAGCCGGTCCCGGTGACTTCGTTAAATCCAGGTTCAAGTGTAATTTAATATCTTACGTTTTTCTTCTCTAGATCTGCAGCAGAATGCCTGGAGAGAGCAACTGTGAAAACAAAATTTCCAAAAACTAATTTATTTATACAAACATTGCAGCGAAAAATCAAATAAATTTTTTGCCTCTAATGTTGTCGACAAAAACCTTAACGTCTTCTATAAAAGACGTCCAGAAAGTAAAGAACAAATCCACAGTTGCATTGCCCATAAAATTTCAGTTAAAAAAAAACAGTGAGTATTTCCTTCCGTCCCATTAACAAACAATAGTTTTCCTGGAGAGAAATTTATGCCAAAAAGTGGAATGGAGAAAAATGTGTTCAAAGTGCTCCAACCTCTATCTTTTCTTTAGCATCGGTGGACCGAAAATAATTTATAAAAAATTAACTATGCAGTGTAAACTAATTAAACTTTCTGGGAATACTCTCTAAATGTTGATGGATGTAAGTATGGCATTTTTCAAAATAATTTTTTTTTTTTTTTTAAATTGTTTTTTTCTGGGTAATGTTCCTCCCTTACCTGTCGCTGCTCACTTCTGGTCGATTCTCGTCAATTAACTTGCGTTTCGGTTTGAAATTTTCCGGAACATGGAGAGCGAATAAAAGCAGCCGTGGCAGACTGCTTCGGCTCAGCCTTTAACCGGTGGTCGATCCCGCCGCTTCGTCCACATCGATGCCCGCGATCCCTGATGTTGCACTTTTGTTTTGGCACCCATTTGCCACATTAGACCTTTTAGCTTTCTCGGTTGTTTCGTCGCTTGTCATCCGTGGCAATATTTTGGACGTTGCCGGGCGCTCATGGCGACGTGGGCACATGCTCAGCGTCTCGCGGCAGTCGCGATAAAGAGCGGCGACAAAGCAGAGCGGGAGGGTGCGGTCTGGCTCCCGTGGCAACGCTGTCTCCCCGTTGGCCGGGCTCCGCAGGTACAGCAGCTGCCGCAAGAAGACCATGGGCCTGACGTGCGAGGTGGGGCTGCGGCGGCGGACATACCACGTGCTCAGCGGATCGGTGCTGGCTGTCTGGGCCAAGGTGGAGAGCGTGCTCAGCTCGGTGCACGGACACCACAACTCCTCCAAGCTGCAGGTGGTGCGACTCAAGACAGAGGACTCCCTCCGCATCGTCGGTGAGCCGCCCACCCCCCACCCCTCTCAGACGCATCGCTTGCTCTAGACAACGGTTGAGCCACTCGAGACCCGCTTGGGTGTGACGGCAATTGAGCCATCTTGTTGCTCAAAATCAATGTTGGCAGTTGTGTAAGCCTTTATCTTCTGAAACTGCTGGAAATACTTTTCCGTCCTCCGGAAAAGTTGAAAACGGTCTGTGACGGAGTAAAACATGGTTGCTTGGGACTTCTCCCAGCTGAAGCAGCCATGTCACAGATGGAAAAGAGCGCGACAAATGAAAACCAAAAATAAGGGTTTAATCGGCGAACTTGTGCCAGAAAACAAAATAAAGAATGAGCGTCAGGACAGCGGAAAAGCGGGCAGCGATTCGACGTCGTAGCAGAGAGCGAGAGTGACTCCACAAGGTCCAACGCAGCTCCTTATCTAGTGTGCGTCGGTATATCAAAAATTCGGCCCAGAAGATTCGAGCGTTCGGGTGAGAATGAACAGGCGCTTTCGAGAAGGACAAAGTAGGACGAAATGATAAAAGTTGCATCCTTAGTAAGAACAAACGAGAACCTTCTAGAAGTCCGTGACCGAGCGTTGCTTGCTCGGCCCTGGGCGTGGCAATATGTAGACCTTTCCCGTTTTCCTCGTCCTCGATGTGGCCGAGGACGAGGTCGGCGAAAAAAAGCGAGACGTTACAACCTGCAACCACGATTTGAGATGGCGACGACCACGCGAAACAGGAGCATAGAGCACGGGAGGTCGCATTTTCCAATGGTAACCAGTATCGCCAATAGAGGTCTTTCCAAAGTGTTGTTGAAGTGTCGTACCCTCCCTGCACTAGGCAATACAGCGACGGCGCCCGCGAGATTGTCAGGAAAGGGAGTGCAACACTCGAAGTTTAGCTCATTTGATGGTCCCGGCTGGGAAAATGTGTTCACCAAGAACATGCCAACGCGTTTATACTGTATGGCGTATCCTCGTAAGCTCTCGGGTGGAGGATTTCGCTGCCACAATATTCAGTGCCATCTAGTGGCTCTAATATTGGCAACTCTTTGCGTGCCGATTGCGGCGAAATCTAACATCTCAACGAGCGCCGTCGCTCTCATACGTCGGCGGCAAACGGGCACGTGTTCTTTGACATGCAGTTCTTTGTCTGTCTGTTTATGTTGCAATGGTGAGGAGAAACTGTTGCTCTCTACGAGACGCTTACCTGAGGAACGCCTCCGATTACCCCATTGACCATCGTGCACGGCACTTGCTTCCGGGCCCTTTGTACCGCACACATCTTTGCACTAGAACTCGGTTTGTCGCTGCATGATTGTTTTGTTCGTGCAATAAGCTTTTAAAGTAATAACAGATGTGCGAAACAACGAATCATGTTTATTTACATTTTTGGTGGCTTTGTTTAAGTTGACAAATCGTTTGAGCAGTCGCAGGTTTCTTCGCAGGATTTTTTGTTTTGTTTTATGTATGAAGCATTTTGAAGCACTTAGGCATGTGGAAAGCCATGCCTCCTGGCTTTCTAGAGAATCCTATAAATTGTCAAATCGTGACGGTATGCGGCCGATTTCTTCATTAATAAAGCAATCGCTTGAGATGACCTCGATGTGTTAGTTTTTTTTATTGCTTTTTAATAGGGAAATCGGCCATGCATGATCATGATTTAGGAATTTCTAGTATGCTCAGAGCTCGCAGAGTTAGTTATCGCCATATTTAGGCGATCTCGGAAACCTGCTCAGGAAAACCTGCAAAGGAAAAAAACATTTCTTTTTAAACAGCTTAGATGTTAAAAGGACGTCATAAAACAATTTTACAACAAAGAAAAAAATTTTTAGAGCTATATTTATGGCGCTATACGAATTTGTAGTTGGCGCGCGCGGGTGCCACGAAAAAGTGGCCCTTATTTATACGTGGTGCTTGGGCTCTTTCGGAAGCTTCCTATGGCCTCGAAAAGTAACTTATTCATCTTTGTTTGAAGTATAAAAAAAAAAAAAAAGCTATGATTTATAAGTAATTTTTAGAGCCCAAAGGAAACTCCCAAAAAAGGGCAAGCAGAAGTGATAGACCTGTGCGCCGGTCAGACGACGGCGGTGGCGCCCCGAAGCAGACAAACTTGTGCGGCTGCAGCGACGGCGACGTAAAGAAACACGTTGAAGCGGCGTCGCACAACGTTCAGTGTGCGGCGGCAGGGACGCAGTGCAACGGCGCGCGGGCCTACCACGTGACCAGCGGCGGCTCCCGTGGGCACCAACTACAAATTCGTTTTGCGCCGTAAATACAGCTTTATATTTTTTTTCTTCCTTGTAAATTTGTTTTATAATATTCTTTTTCCATCTAGCCTGTTTACAAAAAAATTTTCTTTCCTTTGCATGTGTCCTTTAAAGGAGCTGTGCAACGATTTTAATGTTGAAAGAATTTTCTTCTTCTACTTTTGTCATTGTTTATCTTGTCACAAAGGACAGAAAACACATCTCCTTCCTTCAAAATGTTGCTATTCCGCCGCGTAATCGTGAAGCAAAAATTAGAATATTTCCCGACCTGCAGCCGCGAGCGGTGGCCATGAGAACTACGCGGCATGACGTCGATGGGGGACTTGTTAAAATAGAAGAAGTTGTGCAAAAGCTGTTGGATAGAAGGTAATGTTTCTATAAATCTTGTCGTTCCAATATAAATATAAATGCGTCAGAAACCTGGTATCATCGGCAAGACATTTATTATACGGAGTTTTAATGGCGCCATCTATCCGAGGTCAACAAAACCGTCAGCTCTATCTGCTACCGCAAATAGCCGCCAGAAGCCGGTGGAGGACGGGGGCAGAGCTGGACGGGGATGGCCGGAGCTTAGCCGGACCTGGACAAGCATGTTGGCACTTTCCTCCTTTTGCCATGTTAATCGCGCTGCACTAGCATGTGGTCACGTGGTTGCGAGCGGGTGAGTTCTCGCTGCTCTCTGATGGCTGTAGAGAGAGAGCTTCACCGGAAACCCGCGTGTCCCCCTTTCACGTCACAGCGCAGGCGACTCGGAAGACGATGAAGGAGTTGAGAGGTGCCAAAAACCTCAATCTTCGTTTATTTTGAAAATAAAAACTAGGACATTCAAGCAAAAGTGGTTTTTCGTTCTTTACTTCAGAAAGGTTGAAGCACCAACTCCCAAATTATTTAAGCTAAGCACTGAAATTTTTGCACGGCTCCTTTAAGATGCTGTTCTTCAGGAGACAAAAATTGCAAATGCCACACAAAGTGTGTTGTATTTTGACAGAGGCAGATTTGGTTTTTGTCTTTGTGCTTTGGATATTTGCTTTAGGCACTTTGCTTTCAGTAGAATAGCCATAGATCTGTGAAAGGCACTTATGCACTACCTCTTGCGCTCGATAGTCCGGGTCCTGCACCTTTTGTCAATCTCGTGGCACTGCGGCCCATCTGCTCAACGTGGCACGCTTGCTATTGCCGCTGTTTAAATGGAAAGCGAATTGTAGACGCATAGGAAAACCTTCCGGAACCCCAACACTTTCATACCGTAGATGACATGGTAGTGAAAGGGACGACGGCAGTGTGGAGATAGCGCAGCTGTGCTACCGCTCCCTTCAATCACCGGGGTGTGCAAACGTCGGCGTATTTTGCCAAAAAAGGACCACTAATAGCTACCGTCATAAAATAATCCTAGCAAATGCAAAGACACATTAGTTTATACATTCGAACCTCGTTATAACGAACTAGCATAGGGAGCAGAAATTTATTCGCTATATGCGATATTCGTAATAAAAGTGCACACAAAACTTGACGGTTACGTTCCCGCAATCGAGCCCGTGCAAAAATGTGCACAGCACTAAGGTTTAAAAACTCGCTATCGCGGACCATGAGATCCTTACCTGTCACTAAGCAGCATTAAAAAAATAGATCAAAATGTGAGGATATCAATTTGCAACACGAGAAACGGCGTTAGCAGGATCTGTTATTCCATTTATTTGAAGATGCGATTTTAAGCTGGTGCCTCTTCACCTCTAGCCACCGTGCTGGAGCCAACTGCTGCTCGCACTGAAATCAAGACTGATTGCTTTTGTTTGAAGAAGCTGATTAGGCATCGTGCAATTTCATCTGTAAACCATGAGAACGGAGCCTCTCTCTTTTACGTCTGGGCTGAGGCAAGGCCTAAGACTCTTTCAGTCAGTCTTGTGCTGCTGTTTGTATAGTAGTCTTCTACCTTGTTCCTTGCACTCAGGATAGTAGATATCGTGCTTGGTGCATGCTCGAAGTCCGCCATGATGACTTTTTTCTTCCGACCGCTGTCCACCGCCCTCAAAACCTTCACTTTCGACTCCAGAGACAGCTTTTTGCTTCGGCGCCATTTGCAGCTCCGCTATTAGTGGCGTGGTTGGCGGTTGGCTTTAGTCTTCACTGGTTCTTGATGCCTTGCATAGAGGCCAGCAGCGGCCCAACCGCCGTTATTCACTCGGTTCATAGGTGGCGCTACATTCAAATCGGGCATATTTGCACATCAGGCAATCTAAACTTTTGAAATTTTTCCTTTAGAAATTACTTTTTGTATTTTTTCTAGTTTTTAAGAACCTTCGTAATATTTTGTGACGTAACAAAAGCAGGAATTGCTTCGCTATAACCAATAGCGCGTCGAACTTCACGCTTTCGGTTTCATTACATAACTTGAACTCCCATCAAAATAGAGCATGACGAACCATACTTCATGATTAGTTTGCTATATCCGATAATTCGTTATATCAGTGTTTGTTATAAAGAGGTTCAACTGTAATATGGTATGTTGATTGTGGTTGTGGTCATTTCCAGGCACCATTATTCCAAGCAACTGCGTCGCCCCCCTAATCAACGTGTTGTCCCAAGACGCAGAGAAGACACACTCGGAAACCTTCTGAAGGCCGGGATCGTCGGTTAGTGCTCCACCAAGTAACCAGCCACCCACCACTCCGAGAGGAACCACCTCGCGAGACATTTTTTCTTTTTTCTTTGGTGCCCTCTGCAGAACAAAATTGGTAGCAGGGCTCGTCGGAAAGGGGGGAAAAAAAAGCTCTTCTCTTGGCGTCGTGTGTTCTACATTGTGGGAACCTTCACTCCTTATTTCTTTCCCTTTCCTCACACTGTCTCATTCCCTCCTTTCCTCCGTGTGTCTGTCCTTTCGTGTAGGAAAGCAAACGAGGGGGAACCCACCCTGCATGCGACGATTGCGGAGACGCAAAACACGACGAGCTATGAAAGAGGAGGTTCTTCTGTCTCCCCGTTTTTGTGGTGGGAAAAGAGTGTGGGAGTTAAGGAAACTGTCCCCCCAATTTGTGGAGGGCACCTTAGCAGTGCGAAAGAGCGGGAAAATCCCTTTTCTGACCAGAGGGAGGGGGCATGTATGAGTAACATGTGCGTGTACATGACGTGTGTATGTGCGAGGGAGAGAGAGCCTACGGCCAGCCTTTTGTAGATATTGTCACTTTTTTTTTTCCTCGTTTACTCATTCTTGTCAGTTTCCCGGAAAAGGCGTGCAATCCCACGAAAACAAAAGTATGCATGCCGGTCGGTCATCCTGTGACGTTTGTTCTTCGTTTGGTTGTTGTCTTTTACGTGTTCTTTGTGTCGGGCGTGGTTGCCGACGGTTGAGGGAGCGTCCGTTATTCTGTCCTTGCCCTTTTTTTTTTCCTCATGTATGTGCTTCGTTTGCGTTGGATTTTTGTTTACCCCCGTCCCCTCCCTCACTGCCGTCCTGCAAGGACGGGCGTCCCTCGTTTTCCTTCCGCCTTTTGTTACGTCTGCCGGTAAATCAATCAATCAGTTGAGTCGGATCGTGCGACGCGCTCTCCCGGGCTCTCCCCCCCCCTCCCCGGTGCGATGTCTGGCGATGGAGGGGTGGGTCAAGAGGCAAAAAAAATGTGCTGAAGCGTGACCGAGTCTAGTGACCAAGTGTTGCGTAACGAAACATTATTTATTACTCTTTGCTCCGTGAAGCGGTGTTTATAGTCCAGTGTGTGGTCAGGTAGTGTTTCAAAGAAGTTCTTCAATCCTTGTAGGGTCTTTCACTTTCTCTTTATTTTATTCTCTCGTAAAGATCGATCGGAGGAGGGTAGTCAAGTTGCTTCCAGAAAGGCATTGCACTGCTTCGTGTTTCCAGGGTACACACTGCTGCTGTATGAAGAATGGGGGTTTGTGGGACTTTTTCTTTCTTGTGTGCAGAAGTTGGGCTATTTGGTGAACCCTTTTCTGTCATTGACTGCACTGTTTTTAAAAAAATTAATTTTATGTGGACTCTCAGGAGCAATGTAGGAGGATGCACATACGTACAGCTTAAGTTTTCTTTTTACATTCAAAACAAAAAGCTTTTGTTTGTCGAGTTTCCCTTGCTTGTTGCTAGCGATGTACAAAAAGATGCCAAGCTTGACGATTCTGTAGTTCAAAAAACGCGGGAAGAGAAGAATGAGTACTGTCGGTAGCCACTGTCTGTCTTTGCAGCGATTGCTGGTGACTGCCATTGTTTCTTGCGATAAAAGATGTTTCACTTACCCTCGGTTCGTGCTGAAACTTTCCACGCTACGAAAATTTGTTAGCTGCATCTTGAATTAAATTTGAAGCTAATTGTTAAATGTTCTGAAGTTTTTGCCTTTTCATTTCTTCAATAAATGCTTCCATTTTTACCTATTTTATGCGTTATCATGCTACCGACATCAACAAGCCCTGGCGGTTAGTCTCATGCTAGGTCTGCAGCAATCTGTTTGACTTTGAAAGTTGTTGACCCGGAAAAATCGTTGCTTGTTGTGACGAGCATATTTGTATGTTGGCTACAAATTGGTAGATAGGAACGAAAATTGATGTGCATTCTTTCTGTGGAAATAAAAACGGCGCAGAAAGACGAGGACCAGACAAAGAAGCGACACGGACGTGGCGCTGCGTCCGTGTCACTTCTTTGTCTGGTCCTCGTCTTTTTGCGCTGTTTTTAATTCCGAAGTATGTATTAACTCGCCCAAGCCTCAACTTTAGCATCATTCTTTCTGGTTCACGAACAGTTGGCATATGCTATGTTTTTCTCCGGGAGAGGGGGTGTACCTCTCTTACATTTTCCACCTACGAGACAAATCATTGAGGGTGCACCGTCATTCCTTGTTTGAGATACGTCCAAGAACGAGCTACGTATAAACAGCATTTTCTCGTTTCTTAATGTGGCGGTGGAAGACGTCACGCCTGTGTCATTTACCTTATCGTCTGCATAGAGTCCGCCACGGATGTAGCTTAGCCACAGTCGTAGCAACGTGCACCCCTTGGGGCCGGGGATGGGAGTGTTCCCGGCCTCATGCTCTGGAGGCATCTTGAGTACACATCGCAGAGAGTACAGTTCATGATTAGCCCCTGCTTGGTTTTGTGATGGAAACGTGCTGCATAACTCCTTTCCCCAAGGTCTTCGAACCATCTACCATACGGTGCCCTTTTTTTTTTAATTTCGATTATTTGTTGATACGATCCATGAACTGCATTTGGTGTTATCCACCCGTCATGTTTGGAACATTAAAGACCTTCGAAATTCATGCTTCGTGGGTCAGTGTCCTTCTTTGGTGTTCGTGGTGGAAATCGACGTCACCAGGCAGAAACAGGCGCAGTAAATGCACCAGTCTGAAACGTGCTTCAGACACTGTGGCTGCAGTAAGAGTGTCGAAAGGCACGTAGGAAGCTATACGGGGAGCACGCTCTTCCACTTTTTGCACAGAGGGTCAAGGGGATGTCGCGGTGCCGATATTTGGTCAGAGGACTGCTCCAGGCTGGGGCCACGACGAGAAAAACAAAAGTGCCGGTGCTCGCTAGTTGTAGCAATGTCTGCCTCGCCTTTTCTACGGTTGTGGGAAGTCGTCCGGTTCTTTACGGAATGAGGACTTTTCGCCGAGCTGAAGAATTTGGGTCAGCATTCTGCAGAGAGTCAATTTCAATTTATCGACACTTAAAGGGCAACTCCGCTTCATTTTTGATATTTAGAAAACTATGTAGCCCTCTTCAGTATCATATAGGAAGGCCCCATGCAAAATATTACGATCTAATTCCGTTTATATATTTAATAAACTGGCCAGCAAACCTTCAAGCGAGCCAAGTCGCCGAAATCTGCCAACTCTAGCGTGCGGCGCGAGGCGCAATGATCAGCGCAGTCAATGCCACGGAGTTGGAGCGGCCAACGCTGAACCCCTACGTCAGAGGCATGTGTACGCCATTCTCACGTTTTGCTTGTTTTTACTTCTCAGAGCGAAATTGAACGACGACGTCATGAGTTTCTCCTCCCGGTGTTGGCTGACCGGGCGTTAACGTGATCACCGTAACACGGATGGGCTAGTTTGCGCTGCCCTGCGCGCGTCTGTTTTTCCGCTCCCCTTCTCCTCTTTCGTCTTCTCCCCTCCCCCTCTCCCCCGGGCCATCACCGTCCACGCCATGCGATGCAGCCTGCCCGCGTCCAATAAAAAAAAAAAAAAAAAAAAAGAAAAAAAAAAAAAACCTGCCGGCGTTGCGTGTCCTGTTTCTCGCTCCCTCCCGAACGTCACAAGACCACGTGGTTCGACGTGACGTAATCATGACTGTGACGACCTGAGACCAATGTTGCCTGACGCAACCGAAGTTTCGGTTTCGGTATCTGCTGATGTTTAAATTAAGATTACACAAATAATATTTCACATTTCGCGAATCCGAAGACGTAGAGTTGTTTAGTAGTGCTTTGTGAATGTGAATCACATGGAAGCCTAAATTTTTCGAAATTGAGCGGAGTTGCCCTTTAACCTTAACTATTTGAGTGTGTTAGTTTTCTCCGTTTGGTGCAATTCTCGCTGTGCACTTGAGTGCTGCAGTACAGCGACACCTGCAATGCAGACATTGCGATTTTGTGTATCTCGCTTTGTCGTGGTGCACCCGCGTGCTAAAGGTTAAAAACCATGATTATGTGCATCATACCTGGCTGTAGTTCAATTACTGCAATTCATCACTTTTAACTGGAAGTGGTTCTAATTTACTTATTCGCGACTCCAACTAACTATAGGTGGCGCCACTCATTTTCCAAGATGGCGGGTTTAGTGAGGGTCAGAGATGCGTGCCGCTGCTGAGCCTGTCTAGTGTGCTGGCTTCACTGACCGACATAAATTATTTCTGGTAATACGAGGAAGCTACCGTTTTATGAGCGCAGGTCACCTCTTTAACCTGAAAAAAAGAACGGTGTTTAGCGTGTTAATTACGGAAGGATGCGCGTTTTAATTCTGGAGCGAAACCGAAACTTGCCTCTATTTTGGATTTAATTTCTCGATATAGGTCTTAATTTCGAATTGTTTCATGACTCAAGATGTGTCTCAGATCGTAATTATTTACTTAGAAAAGTTGTTCGCGGAAACTTTTTTTTTTGTGACATACTGTTCGATCCAGGCTTATATTTGTAGTGGTTGAAAAAATCAGTGCTGATATTTGTGCGTTCTCGTATAATAATAATATTAAAATTCACATATTTGAATAAGTAATTCTTCAAGCTCTAATATAATTTGTTGCTTATGATCTAATTTTAAACGCGCAAAGAACTATGACAATGAAAACTGTGCTAATTATCATCAATGGTTCCAATTGCTGCAATTTGATTGCCAATAAAATAAAAATAGTCTAAAATCAATGAAAACATTTTAGCTAATGTGAGAAATCCACGTAAATTACATTAATTGTGGATAAAGTATATTGTGCTATCAAAGTCACCACTTTTGACAATCGGCGAAACATCCATTGTCGCCGCCAATATACTTCAAGAACAAATGCCAAAAAAAAAAAAACTTAATATGAGTTTTTTCATAACATTTATTTACTCCTGTATTTGTTCGCCGTTGTTTTGCCAATCTCAACCTTTCCAGTTTGAAGGAACGCCTACCTTGTTGCACGTCTGCTCACTGCAGCACTTATCGTTGGCGTTGGAAGCCGGTGAAACAGTAGTGAGTTTTAATATTGCGTATACGAGCGAACTCAAGTCCCGTGTGTTTGCGTTAGCTTTGCCTGTTCCACACTGCGCGCGCGCGGAGCCCGAAATTGCGGTCTTGGATGGCGCATGGCGATGAGGCGCACGCACAACGTGGGGCACGCAACTCTAACGCAAACGCACACCGCTTGCGTTTGCTTCTATACGCAATACTAAAACTCTCCAGTAAGGTACAATCCCATACCAGCTGCAGCACTACGTTGGGACAGTGAAGAGTGTTGTTTGCATTCGGAAACGACATTTCGCGAGCCATGATCGCGAGCAGTTTCGCCATGCCCGCTGAGCAGGAGAATCGGGGGACCCTCACTAGAGCGCTTCCGGTTTCCGACGCGGGAGGGCGAGCGTCGAGCTGGAGACGCGAATACTTTTTAGCAGTAATAATTGCAGAACTTGAGTTACAATTGCACCTTGCAATGCCGAAGCTCATCCCCTGTTTGCGGATCAGCCTTTTACATAAAGCTGAACCGCTTTCAAGGGTGCGGCGCACGCGAAGAGTCCCGCATCTCACGCCGCTGGGCACCAAGCTTCTATTTGCCGTCCGTTTCTTGCCAAAAGAGCCCAGACCACTTGAGGGAGGGCGGCAGTGGCACCAAGGAAAGGTGTCTGCATGGAGTCTAAAGAAAGCCACACCTTCCTCAATTTAGCAAAATAATGCGATGAAAGTGAAAATAAAAGGCTCGCCCCTTGAAAGCGAGGTCAGTGTTAGTCGGTCGCGTTTTTTTGTTTGGAGTTTGGTGGTGCTCTTCGGCCAAGGAGGGAAGGAGAGGGCATGACGACGGCCGTGTAGCCTCTACAAGCCATGCTCCCTCGACGCCTCGCCTCTTTCTCATTTTCCTCCTTACTCTCCTCACTTACCACGCCAACGTGACCACATCACGTGAGTCGTGACCATAGCTAGCCTTCGTCTAGCTATGGGGTACTAGAATACACCACAGGCTAGCCTTCGATCTGATAAAACCTACCGGACGGAGCGCGCGCAAGCCTGCAAGGAGTCCTTCTACAATCAACTATCCATCTCACGCGTGACATGTCACGCGCACCAATAGCCAGAGAGATCTACGGTCACGTTGGCCACAACATCGTTTAAACTTTTTATGACTAGGCTTCACCAATATTGCAACGTGCCCTCTCCTAGTAGTTCTAACCTCCTTGGTGCAGTAGCACCACTGAGCAGTCCATTACGATGTGAAACCGATGACCTGATCTGCTTTTATTTGTGCATTTATTTTCGCAACCTGATTGGACGAGATTCCAAAACTTGACAAACCGTGGCTTTGGACTGTCTGGCTCGGCATCGCTGAACTTGCTCTTTTGTGGCAAGCTTTTTCTTTTAGCTCGAGGACAGGGTTCCTTGGAAGATGTCCACAGGCAATTGCAACTTAAATAATACCACAAAACTGTATCATTGGGTCGCACACTAGCTCTTCTCTATCTTTCAGCTGAAAGGTGCTCCAGTCCAAATAATCACACTCTATTGCAAAAATTAAAAAAAAAAAAAAATACAGAGGTACGAATGCGATTATAGATTTTGATTTCTTCAACCTCGAACAAGGGCGAGGGGATGAATAAAGGGATTTCGGTCTAAACGACTGCCGTAAAATTACGTCTGGCATTACGAGGTGTACAAACTGAAGTAACTGAATCGCTTTTAATATGGTAGTGAGAGTAATTTAACTAAATTTGAAAAGTAATTTATCGGTGTATGACGCACATGCAAGCACCAGGCGTTTGAAAACAAAATATAACTGTGAATGCTGCCTCGTAAAATTTTCTAGGAGTGAGATGCCACCCTTCCTCTTTACCAGGGTGAATGCGGGAGAGGAGGCGACATGCAGCAAAGGGGGACTTGCCTCCTCTCCCTCATTCGTTCTCTGCCATGTGGAAAGGGTGAAGGGCTTTGGGGAAAGAGCCTGACCTGCAACAGGGTCTAGTGTATATTATCAACACATTCTATATTTTAGGAAGGATACTTGGGTATAGTAGGGCGAGGATTTATATGGGCTGCAAGAAAGGTTTATTCTTATGTCAAATCTCGGGTACGAGGGCACGGTCAATATTTAAAGAAATTCAAACTAGATTGGCCTCAACAATGGAGTAGAATTAAGCTTAAGCTCCATGGGAGTTAGTTTTAAAAAGGCATTTATTACACACATGCAAGCTTTGCACCTTCGTGAAACTGCATGATAAGTGCCTTGGTGTGCATAATTAAATGCCGAGATGTGACGTCTTTCATCAGTCAGCATCTTGTTGCTGTGTGAGAGGCTTTTAAACATTATTTAATTATTTAAAGAACCATGAACCAGCTGGCTGAACTTTCCACTTTGCTGCTTTTAAACAGTCGGGTGTTAGAGGAAATAAAATTTGCTGCTCGATTTCCTTACATAGCAAGTTTTGCGGTATTTGCATGTTTTAGAGGTAAAGGTCGCAAGTCGAGGCAGAAGACTTTGGTCTTGTGCTCCACCTTGGAGTCGTCGTAGCACATTTTGCAGTTTCGCCGCTTCTCCATTCTCTGGGGTTTGTGTTGCAGCTGTTCAGGGCCAGGAGGAAGA